TTGTCATCTTGAGCGAGTGCATTCAAGAAATGTTGTATGTAACTGTTCAAGCCCTCTGTGACGATGTCTCTGCTCTGAGAAGAAACGCATATGTAGAATCACCCAAAGCGCACTAGTACGCTTGCATTGCACTCGACTTGCTCAATTGTCAAGACTCCAATCGTTCTTCGTGCCCGGCTACCGGCATTGTGCTACATATTCGCCGCCCAACGACGCTAAGTCTCACGATTGTCGTGTATGCGTCTCCATGTTACCGGGAAGTCTTCCACGAGCGCAGGATTCTTGTCATGGCTTGTTGGCTAAGCAATCATTGTCACTTCATCATTCTTATTCATCCATGTTATTGTTTACCGCTCTGAACCTGGAAGTGCTACTAGTAGTTGTGCACTAAGTACACGCCGCATCATGCCTCAATAGGCCGCCTTCAACGACATCCGCGGACTGGCAAACGTGGAACCCAAAGGGCGAATATGTACACAATCCCGGGACACCTCTAACCTGCCCCTCACCATAGCGTCTGTGAACTTCCGGTGACGAAGGCTACAGGTGACTGCCTTACACTGCCAGAAATGGGCGTGCACTGAAATCATTAATTAGGGTTCTGAAGGTCAGAACGAAGACATGATCATTTCCGCAGCGACAGAGCTGCCAGTGACAAACATTCATGGCAAAGATAGCACGCCGGAGATATCTCGCCAGAAGGTGGTCGTGGCACGGCGCTGTGCTAATAGCTATGCTACAAGGTTTGCCTCTGATGCATGTGTTTGACTTCGAGATGGGGCTCAAACAAAGTCCTTCTCGTGCTGGCCTTCGAATTCGATGGCAACACCATTACGTTCCGTCCTTGATGACTGCGCTTCTGTTTAGGAAGGTTTCGGCGCTGGCAAGTAGCGGGGAAGAAGGCCCTGAGGCCTGATCCGTCGAGCTTGTCGGCACCGCTACTAAGTAGTGTCATCCACGGACCCGGGTCTCAGAAACCTTAGTCTTCAGCAACCGCCGGGTTTGCTGGATCATGGTGTACGTCCGGCATGTCATAACGATGTCCTAAGTCGATTCCCGCGCTCCTGTCATCGGCAGTGCTCTGAGCACAGTCGAGTTAAGTCGAGCTACGGTCGGTGGGTCTCTGCTAGTGAGCCCGGTCGAATTTCGGCTGCCTGGACGATGTCTGCAGAGTGGCACTACGGCCTCATTCAAGGCTATACCCCAGAGGCGTGGTATTGGATTGATCCTGTTGTGTCCTTCATGGCCTCGGAACTTGGAATGCATGCTCCTAGAGTTACGGTCGCAATACCTCCATGGACTAACAGCGTGACTTACATACGGCATCGACGCTATGCTTGCGAGAGCATACTTACATAAGTAGCACCATCGTGAAGATGCCGTCTCGCTAAGTAGCTGGAGTAGATCCGGCCGCACGGGTGATTCTCAAGTATTCTGTCCGGCGGCACCCACACAAAGACACAGTTGATCTTGTATGTGTACATATGTATATATACCAGTTCCGCATCGTACATGAGCCAGAGCACGCGTTCTACACGTACAGGCTCCTACTCGTACAGGCCTTCCTCACCACCTTCTGCCCATCCACCCCTATCACGCACGCCGGCGCCAGCGCCGACATTGAACTTGCTCTTGGCCTTCCGGCCCTTCAGCTCCTTGTACATCTCGCGCATCTCATTCTTCGACGGACGTGCCTCACCCTCGGTCTCCGAGCGCCACTTGTCTTCGCGCAGCTCGCGTGGCGTCTGCGCGCCGGAACCCCCTGGGGTGGACCGGCCGGAGTACGAGTGGTAGACGGGCCCAAGCGTGTCGGAATCGCGAGAGGCAACTGTCTGGAGGTAGGTTGTCCGCTACATGCGAAAGTGAGCACGGGCCGGGCGTTTGTAGTGTAGGTGGTACATACCCAGTTCTGCTTCGATTCGCGCTTCGTCCACTTGCCAGGCGGCAAACTATCGTCGTGGAAGTTCTCCTTGCGATAATGCTGGAACCAGACTGAATCCAATTGTCAGTACTTGACCTAAATGCGAGTGCAAGGATACACCGTACCATAGTTCAGTGTCTGACTCCTATTCCACTTCTTGGATACCCGCGAGCAGCGCGCGAGGTCCCTGATCGACAGCTGCGCGAAGATGCGCTGGGAAAGGTCCGTCGGGAGCGCCCTTAGAGGGTCACTCGGCAATGTCGTCGACAAAGACACCGCCTGGTACGGCCGACGAGCAGCGCTCCGAGGGCCCGGGGACGATGGACGTGAAGGAGTTCGCGACGCGGGGCGAGTGCCAGGCGCAGAGACCTAACAAGCGTGGCTGATCAACACACATAGCCGGACTACATGTCAATGTATACGCACCACGCCGACTATCTCATCGTCGCTCTCTTGGTCTGAACGCTGCGTCTGCAGACGTTCCGTGATCGAGAACGTGTTCCCGTTCTGATCGATAGTTTGGGTGCGGAGGACGTCTTGCAGGAGACTCATGCTGGACGACGTGTAGTTCTTCGAAATGATAAGAGTGAAGTGCAGATAAAGATGCAGAGATGGTTGTAATGGGGGAAAGCGAGAAGGGCGACGCTGGTTATAAGCTGTACAGCGGGGGGAGCGGATGGCACAGTGGGCGCGCGGATTGGTCATTGACGTCACCTCCCAGGTCACCCGAACAGGCAAGTCTCTTTGCTCCGGGACTTCTTCCGCGCACTCTCCTTCCGTCGCCCTCGTCCAGATCAGCCTCGAGCATCGGGTTACTGACCCAGGCTATCGAGGCATCCGCATTCAAATCCGCATTTGAACCTGAACTGGCCACATCCGAACCCGACTCAACACACCAAGTATGATACGGTTAGTGGGGCCCATTTTCGAAGAACTTAGGCCATACATATCCGACTCAGAGGCATTGTGGATGAACATATCCGTACCTAAATTCACATCCGGAGCCGAGGACCGAATGTGAACGTTGCATCCTCACTTACATTCGCATACATGGAACCATGGACATGTCCACTTCTCAATTATCAACATCGATCATACAATTCGCGATTCAGTATGCTACATGTGTGATGATACATCGGTCATAAGGTATTAGAGTCAACACCATTGATGCAGTCTCGGGGGGCACAAGAGTCATCCGAGAGTCGCGGGCGGGAAGGCATCCAATCCCGGGTGGCGCCACGGATGGGTGAAGGCGGAACAGAAGTGAAGGCATTCCAGTCAGGCATGGATGATCACTGCAGGAACTTCGCTACACGCAGCATTTGTCGCATCCGTGGTGTGTCGGGTTTGATCGTCCCGTCCATGGGCGCGAAATCTTTCTGTATCCTCACATATCGGCGGAAGAGTACTCTGTATTGCATGACCTGCAAGAGAGATGTCAGACACTGTCTAAGTTGGTGACGGATTCACCCACCTTCGGTCTTTCAGGTGTCTCCGCTCGCCTCATGACGCTGCCGAAATACCACCCGTCATATGCATACACCCAGACGGATTCTCCGCGCTGTAAACCACTGATCAGTTTCGTTCTGGACCGTTGTATCGTTCGGCGCCACATACCTCGAACTCGTAGTCGAGCAGTGGCGCGTTCAGGTAATCGTACGCAGACTGCTCGCCATCAGATTCGAATTCTTCGTATTCAGACTCCTCTGCGGGAGAGGATTCTGGCTCGGGCACAACGTCCTCCTCATCGTCCGATAGTTCTGTGAGATCGGATTCCGACTCGGATCCTCCGCCGCTCATGCTGGCACTGCTATCTCTCTCTCTTCTATGGAGCCTGATGGGGCTTCCGGTTTGGAGGTAACCGATCCCAGTACTGACGCGGGTTATCATAGACATGTTTGTGTTAAGTTTCCTCGGTACGGCCTACGATCGGCGACTGTGGCTCCCGATGAACTGGCGATTGTGTTTGAACTGATGTGGCGTGAGGGCGCAGAGACTCGGAGATAATGGAAAGGACCCAAGGCGTCAGAGATAATGACCAGTGGCGAAAGTGATGGCGATGCGCCGGACCAAGTCCACGGGGCTGGGTGACAGGGCGAAGTGAGATGTGGACAAGAGCACGGAGGGACACTTGCTTTATATCTGTAACCAGCAACGTGTGGCCCAATCGACCATTGTTATCCTGTGGCCAAGCGCGCGAAGCCACAATGCGATACGATCTTCAGACGCCCGATATAGAAGGCCCTTTGTGAGGCACATAACAAAGCCGGCTGAATGCGTACGCCTCGAGGTAACCGCGAGGTTCGCGTGCCGCTTGAGCCCGCCCGTCAGCTGACAGAGGTAAGGGAGGGAGGTCACAGTAGACTTACAGCTGGTGAGCAGAGCGAGAGACGCTGCGTGTTGCCCGGACATGTACATAGGCTTGCATGGAGAGGGACGCCACTGGCGACTCAGTGGCGAGCGCTCCTGACCTTGCTTTTGCCTTGCTTCTGAGTGGTTTGATGATCCTAGGGTGGCCTTGAGGTGGCCGTGATGTGTATTCATAAAGCAAAGCGCCAGACGCCTCCAGACGCACGAAGCTTGAAGCACCGTACAAGGTTTGGATAGCCTTGTGTATGGCAGTGTTCATGATACCTAGAAAGCCCAACGCCAGAGGGAAGGCTGCCGTTGACCTGTGTTCATACAGCTTTTGCAAGAGCTGGGAGAAGTCGGCAGGCGTATAGGCATATCCATGCTATGCTAGTAAGCTGGACGGTGCAAGTACTAGATTCGAGTCTAGACACGTCGCGGCACGCCAGTGCCTCTCCGAGTCTGCAGAGTGCAGCAGTTCATCTCATAGTACGAGATGTTGGGACATTGCAAGGTAATTTCCGTCATAGTCCACAGTCTAAGACAACGTGTGGGCAAGCAGTAGTGAGCGCGGGGAAGACTTAGAGAACGATACGGTCGTTCGCCCCCAAGTCGGTCCCTCGCAGACGCGCCGGTGGCTGAAATGCTCCAGAATTGCATCACGTGCACTAAGCGAAGGCGCGCCCCAGCCTCGAAGCTCGCACTCGAGCGGAACTCAAGTCCATTCCACCACTCCCCCCATTCCTTCGTTCCTTTCACTCTACGCCCAGCATGACGAAGACATACATCATGAATGGGCTCATCGAAAAGGTAATTCGCAATTGTCCTCGATCTGCAGCAACTGACGCGAATGCTGCCACTCAGATGCAGTCCTCCGACCAGGACTTCCGGTATGGTGCCCAGGAGGCGACGCGTCTGTACATCGCTCATTGCGTTGGCTATAGTTACATGGGTCTCAATGACCTCCTGGTTGCGATCAAGGAAGATCCAAACACGTTCCTTGGCGATGAGCCCACGGAGACCAAGGTCTTGCGCCAGGTCCTGGCTCTTGTGGAGGATAAGATTTCTGAGGTGAAGAATCAGGCGGTGAAGTGGTATGTTCGTTCATCGGTGGACACGCTAGATGAACCCTCATGATTGCTCAGCCTGGGTCAGCTCATCAAGATCATCCGAGAATCCCAGATGGAATATGTTGTGGATCGACTCATTGACTTTTCGTCTGGCAAGGACGATGAGCTGCGCGACATCTCGAGCTTGGGTCAGACCGACTCTCCTTATGCCGGATCATCTCTCACAATTTGAACAGCCTTGAAGACAATTACGTCTGAGCTACCCCCGAAGGCAGAATCGCGTCAAAGGCGTGTGAGAAGCTCGCGCCCAAGCTGCTAACGCAATTGTCCAAGGTACGTCCGTGCGAGCGAATCTCTGCAGCGGTCATGGAAAGCGACGCGAATTCCAATCATTTCACAGCCCGACACACCACCAGACACGCTCCTTGAGACGCTTTCCATTCTATCCATCTTGATCACTCGCTTCCCAGGGTACCTAGGAAATCCGGACCTGCAGCCGCAACCCTTGACCGTGCTCACGCCAATGCTTTCCCACTCTCGAGCGGCCGTTCGCAAACGGGCAATCACGACTCTCGCGCAGTTCCTTCCGAGTACGCATGCCGAGCTCTTCCAGAAACTATTGTCGGAGAAGGTGCTTCCCGGTCTTGCACCGTCCGCGAACCTGGAAACGCAGCGTACGACTGTGCAACTTGTGGCTGCGATCGCGCGTCATACGCCACATCAAATAGAGCCTGTACTAGGGCAGATAGTTCCTGCGACTAACAAGGCGCTGCAGCGTGAGGACGAGGAACTCCAAGAGAGCGCTCTTCAGGTGTGTACCGAATGTTAGTCAAGGCAGGAGAGAATAGACTGAGTCCTCGCAGGCACTGGAAGCGCTAGTCCTGCGGTGTCCCACAGAGATCACACCGTTCCTGTCTTCTATCATACACGTCGGGACTCAATTCATCAAGTATGATCCTGTAAGCAAATTCTCTGTGTCTCTCTGCATTCGCTCATGTGTCACAGAACTACGCAGGTGGAGACGATGATGAGGATGAAGAAATGGCGGACGATGATGATGACGAAGCCGAACTTGATGATCAGTATGTCCCGGTAACGTAACTGAGCGCGCACGTTCTCATTCATGTCGTCCAATCAGGTATTCTGACGACGAGGACATGTCGTACAAGGTCCGGAGATCCGCGACAAAGCTGCTGGGTGCTATCATCGCAACGCGTCCGGAGCTACTAACCACGCTCTACAAGGAGGTGTCGCCGGTGCTGATCTCCCGTTTCGGTGATCGCGAGGAGACGGTTCGCGTTGAAGTGTGGTCGACGTATAGCGTGCTTTTGCAGCAAACACGCGTGTACGGAACTAGTGCACAGCAGAACGATGCGGCCACTATCGGTGGGAAGCGAAAACGGGCAGACGAAGGTATGGAGGTGGAAGAAACGCCGTACACTCTGCTACGCTCGCAGGTGTCATCATTCGCCAAAGCACTGCTCAGCCAGCTCAAGTCGCCGAAGACGTCACCCGCTACCCTCCAAGCTGGCTTCTCGCTCTTGCACACCCTGCTCACGGTCGTTCCAAAGTCCTTGTCCTCGTATTCTACGCAGATCATCACGACGAGCAAGGCTGTCCTGCTGCAATCGAGTAAGACCAATGCTGCGCCGCTGCAGATCATGTGTATGTCTTTCGTCGGACTGTTCTTCTCGACACATACTCCCGGTACATTCACGGCCTCGCTGGACAGCATCTTGCCGGTGTTGCTCAAGTCGCTCGGAGAGAAGCACCCACGGATTGCATCCGAGGCATTCCGCGTCTTCTCGTCGCTCCTGAACACTATGCGTCCGGTCAAGGGAGGTGACTGGGTTGACGTCGTCTACAACGAAGCAGTGGCAAGGCTCGGTAACCATGACACAGATGCCGAGGTAAGGGGGTGTACAGAGAACTGCATTGGTGACTTGTGGGTGTGTGCGACGGAGATCATGAAGACGAAGCCGAGAAAGGAGTGGGATGCGATGTGCAGGACCACCGGCCGGACGGAGGGCGCCGTGCTTGTGGTCACACGAGTGGCGAAGGAGATCGAGATCGACGATAACTGGGTAAACGGCTGTGTGAATTGGCTTTTGACGCTGTTGAAGAAGAGCGGTCGTGTCGGAAAGAGTGATATGTTCACGTGCTTGGATGCCCTGTTGAGGCGGTGAGTGCTACTGCGTTCGAGCGTCCTCTACATTCGTCTCATCGGCCTTGCCGTGGTCTGTAGGTACAACACTGTCCCAGCAGATCTCCCAACAACCGTTATCCCTACGCTCAAATCTTACATCTCCATCTCGGATATCTCGCTCATGTCACAGGCTGTTTCGAATATCGCCCTGCTCTTGGAGCTAATTCCTGCAAATACATACCCGGAGGTCGAACGGGAGCTCCTTCCAGATATCTACAACATCGCCCACTCTCCTCTCGTTGCTGGCGCAGCATTTGAGTCAGTCCTGGCGTTCTTCGCTGCGCTGGTGCAGGCCGACATGGAGGTCGCCACGCATCTCGTGCCGAACCTCGTCATCTCCGTCGACAAGGCGCAGAAGTCCGACGCCTCCTACGCGAATGTGGCTCGCTGTATAGGCCAGGTCGCGATCGCCCAGCAAAGTATTGCAGCCGGTACGGTCGCCGAGTTTGCCAAACACCTCAAGGTATGTCTAGCAATGAGCGCGACTGAGCTGGAACTGACTGTGAGTCAGCCCACCTCGAAAGCGAAGACGTCTCAGATCGTGTTGAGTTTGCTTGTGATGGGCGAGATCGGACGTTTCATGTGAGCCAATCCGTAGTCGACGCCTTGAAAGAAGCTCATGTCCTTTCCTTAGCGATATGTCCTTGCAAGAGAACATTTTCACAAGTGTCATCCAGCGATTTGCCGCCGAGCAGGAGGAGATCCGGACAGCTGCTTCGTTCGCTGCGGGTATGTCTAGCGCTATCAATGTCGACATTGTGGGTGCTCACGAGATTCAAAGGTAACATCGCTGTGGGCAACCTCCACCACTTCCTCCCTGTGATCGTGAAGATGGTTGAGAACGACCCTACCAAACGATTGCTTTCCCTTCATGCATTGAAAGAGGTCGTCACCCACTGCTCACATGGCCAGCTCGAGACCGTCGCAGATCTGCTCTGGGTGCCGCTGTTCGAGAACTCGGATAACTCTGAGGAGACGACGAGGAACGTCGCCGCGGCGTGTCTCGGCAAGCTGACGACGACACATTCTTCTCTGTACCTCCCGCAGCTGCAGGTGAGTGATCCGAGCGATGTAGGGTAGATCGGTTACAACAGGGCTGACACGTCGAACAGGAACGCATCACCGATGCGAACCCTGCGTCGAGGGCAACGGTCATCTCCGCGATCCGGTACACGTTCGCGGAGACGTCCAGCTCGTACGACGAACAGCTCAGCGCAGTTCTCATGGACTTCCTCGCACTGGTCGCCGACCCAGACCTGGTACGAGCTCCTTATGAGGTGCACTACACCGCGGCGTAGACGCTAACAACCATCCCCTACAGACCGTCCGGAGACTGGCGCTGTCTGCGCTCAACTCTGCCGCTCGGCTGAAACCCCACCTGATCCGGGACAAACTGCAGATCATCCTCCCGAACCTCTACAAGGAGACAGTCATCAACCCGGAGCTCATCCGCACCGTCCAAATGGGCCCCTGGACGCACAGAGTCGATGACGGCCTCGAGGCGCGCAAGACCGCGTACGAGACGCTGTACACGCTGGCACGTCCCCCTTCACTCACCACCCGCGCCCCCGCTCACCCCTCATTTGCAGCTCGACACGTGTCTGGCGAAGCTCGACCTGCACGAGTTCCTCGGGCGCGTGCTCGCGGGGCTCGCAGACGACTCGGACGAGGTCAAGGTGATCTGCCACATGATGCTCTTCCGGCTCTCGCAGCTCGCGCCGACCGCGGTCGCGCAGCGGCTCGACGAGATCACGGGCCCGCTCGAGAAGAGCATGAAGGGCGCGACGGTCACGAAGGACACCGTCAAGCAGGACCTCGAGCGCGCCGCGGAGCTCCAGCGCAGCACCCTCCGCGCCGTCGCGGCCCTCAGCAGGATCAGCCCGCCGGGGCAGAGCCCCAAGTTCGACGTGTTCGTGGAGGGGATGAAGAAGTCGCCCGAGTGGGGGTCCGAGTTTAGGGAGCTTGTCGGGGCGTGAGACGCGCGTGGGCTGGCAAATGGGAGGTGTGCTCGCTTTCTCTTGCTTTCAACTGGCTGTGAACGAACGAACGGGGGAGATGTAAGGTGTCGTGAGATGTTGTAGCAAAGTTGTATCTCTACTCAGTACAGGCGTAATGGCAATGACTTTCCCCAACTCCTCCCGAAGGAAGGCAAGGCTTTCTCATACTGGATCATCGACAGATGCTGCGGGCTCTGTGGAACACGTGCTCTACCATCGATTCGCGTGCCAAGCGCAGCCCATTCACACATATTTTCATCGTGCGGTCAAAAGAATGGACGTCCGCGTCACAAATGCAATACACGATGGAGAGCAGATCCGAAAATACAACAGTCCGAAACTTCATGCTCAAGTGTTCAGCCTGTCCACAACGCGCACTACGAGGTCCGAGCCAGGGCTCAGACGTATTTCACCGTGACCGAGCTCGAGTCCGCAGACGCGTCCGTCAACGTCTGGTTGTTCTGCTTGATATCGATGAGCGTCGCGCCGCTCGGGCCCACGCTGCCGGAGCTCGTGGTGGCGGCTGCGCCGGTGAAGGTGACCGTGCCAAAGTTGGCGAGCGGCACGAGCGCGCCGTTCTCCTCGTAGTCCTCGACGATCCACTCCGCGTTCTCCTCGCAGAGCGCGGCGGACGACGTGAGGTCCTTCGACACCTTCTGCCCCGTCGTCGTGTTCTCGATCACCGCCGTGCCGCTCGTCGTGTCGACGCGGTCACCGTACCGTCACAGAGTCGCCCGCGCTGAAGGAGATGCCGGAGAAGTCGTCCGCGGAGTCGGGGAACCACTCGTACCAGGCTAGGTAGGTCGCGCGCGCGCGCGCGTCAGTGCGAGTCGTGTGAGTTGCGAGACCACACACCATCATACGAGACGGACCCGCCGGAGAGGTGAAGTCGACGCCGGTCTGGAGGATCGCGGTGCTGCAGGTGTCGCCGTCGATGCCGACCCAGGCGGAGGCAGAGTAGCTGTCGCCGCTGCCCGAGCCTGCAGAGGGCGTCGGGACGGTGAATGTTCCGGTGACAGCCGTGAACGAGCCCTGTCCGCGCAAGGTGAGCATCCATGGATACGGGAGGGAGGGGAGAGCGTACCGAGGGTAAGAGTCAACACAGCGCCGGACCAGTTGTCGCTGTACTGTGTTTGGGTGGTGTTGCCCGTGCTCGTGAGCAGGCCGTCGACCGGCTGGAGGGGACGCGAGAGGCGGGAGCCAGAGCGGCGGGCGAGGCGCTGGGCGAGACGGGAGGGCGCTGCCACGGCCGCGGTGGCGAGGAGCACGGAGGTCAGGAGGGCGGAGACGAACATGGCGACTCGTAGACGAGGGCGTGCGGTAGGCTCGAACGGGCTGTAGGACCGGAAGGAACCTGGGGATCAGGCTGGGCGGAGGGCCATCTTTTATAGGGGGTGCGGGATCGGTGGACTCAGGGCTCTCCTCACCGGGATGAGATGGCGACCCCACAATTCTGGGGGTGTTTGTCGTGGTAGAGCGGCAGATGCGCGGTGGGATGGAGAAGGCCTGATTGGGCCCGACCACGTGCTACGGAACGCATTTCTGGCGGGTAGCCGGGGCAGCAACGCGGTCGCAACGACGGCACGGGTCGGGTACGTCGCGCTATGATGGATGAGAAGGCGTTACGAGGCCATGAATAGGAGGGAGCACGAGGAGGTGCACTGGATGGGCACGCGCAGGAGGCGGCATGACAGACGCGTATGGGCAGTGCGGTCGCTGGGAAGGGACCGTGGTCAGACGAACATGAGAATGCACGAACACCCCAACCTCCTTCGCGAGCGTCACCGCCGGCTTCGCTCCTACGCTGCATGTGCTGGTGGAGTCCCAGCGCCAGTCGCGTCGGTGGCGCGTTGTGTGCCCCTGCTTGCCACCGTCGCCATAGTGACCACCGGCCCCGACCCGACCCTTCGTGGCGGACGACACTAACCCTCTGCCGACTGCCCAGGCAGTCTTCGAAGACAAACCTGCAGGTGCTCCTCAATCGACCAAGTACTGTCCTGTATGTATCTGGGGTTGAGTCGTCTAATCAACGTTGTGTCCGTGTGCAATCAGTGCGCACCGAAGACCAGCATCTCCTTGAACATGATGCGGCGGTCTCAATGCTCTGCAACGGGCAATAAGTTCGAGTAGAGCAGCCCGCTGTCGGAAGGAAAGACGACGCGTGGTCGGTCGACCAAAGCGGGAGCGAGTTAAGCGGGGGAGAGATTCGATAGGGAGACGGGCATCCAGGCTCAGTATACATATATGAATAACGTAGTTGGCTGATCGGTACCCGATCATACATACGAACTTCTTCTGATCCAAGTCAGTGCGCCTCAGGCTCCTGATCTCTGCTCTCCTCATTCCTTCGGGAGACTCCTCTTCCTCCTTCCGTTCAGTTCTCTCCACTCTCTCGACGGTTTCCAGCGTCCTTGTAGCGGTCCAGTACGCGGGTGCACGCTCACAAACGACCCTTCCTCAGCCCGGCGCAGTCGCAGTCCATATGGCTCTGTCCGTCGCGATACAAGTCCTCCTGCTCGCCGTCGTGCTCGCTGCCGGCCTCTGGCTTCTCTCCTCCCGCAAGCACGCAAGGCTCCCACCCGGACCACAGGGCAGGCCAGTCCTAGGCCACTACGGCAAGATACCCACTGCGAGTCCGTGGCACTTCTTCGGCGAGCTAGGGCACAAGTACGGTCAGTCCACGCGCATTACGGATACGCGCACCTCCCGGAAGGCTAATTGTGCCCGTGTATGCAGGCGAGATATCCAGCATCCGCATACTGGGCCACACCTTGATCGTCTTGAACGCCTTCGACCCCGCCGACGCGATCTTCAACAAGCGCTCGAATCGCTACTCCCACAAGCCCCGCCGGAGGATGGGCGAGCTGTACGTGCGCTCTTCGTTGTCGATACACCCTGCAGCTCTGACGCAGTGTACGTGATCGGTGATGGTAGGTCGGGTCTGGTCGCGACGCTGCCGTTCATGGACCCGGGCCCGACGTTCACCCATGCGCGCAAGATGTTCCGTCAGGAGCTCAGCCCGCGCAGCCTCACCGCATACCACGGCGAAGTCGAGCGCGCATCCCGCCAGCTCGCCAAAGCGTTCGCTGCCAACGCTAACATTCCGGGCTTTGAGAAACACATCGACCAGTACGCATCTCCGTCTCTCCCACATGTGCATACCTCCAACCATACATGCTACGTGCAGGACGCTCGGCAGGCTCTTCATGAGAGTGTCGTCGGGGTACGTCGTCAAGGGCGACGACGACGCGGTCCTGCGGCCGATCCAGCAGCTCGCCAACTTCGCAGCGGGCATCCTCGGCGGGACGTACTCCATCATCGACCGGCTGCCATTCCGTACGTCCAACCTCCTCTAACCCGCGCGCTTGCCCTGACGCCGTCCTGCCGGCAGTATGCTACCTGCCCCACTGGGCACCCGGGTCGAGTCTCCTGCGGCTCGCGGACCACTGGCGCGGCCGACTCTGGGAGATCGCGAACGGCACGGCGGAGCTCGTCCGCGAGGAACTAGTGCGCAGCGTTTCACCCTCCTTCACAGGGATGCTCACGCACAGGACGCAGACGTCGGGCTCGCCGAGCACGTCCTTCATGGGGAACCTCTACGGGAACCCCCGAGGTGGCATGGACCTTGACGAGGCGCAGTTCAAGTTCATCGCCGTGACCATGTCCGCAGGTACGCACCCTCTTGTCCTGTCCTAGCGCCATGCGCTCACCCACTCCTTCCCCCCCCCCAGGCGGCATGCTCCCACTCACCTCCTCCTCCCTCGGCTTCCTCGCCGCGATGGCGCGCTTCCCCGCCGCCCAGAAGCGCGCGCAGGCGGAGCTCGACGGCCTCCTCGGCGGGAGCCGCCTCCCCACGCTCGCAGACCGCCCCGCGCTGCCGTACGTCTGCGCGCTCATCCTCGAGCTCTACCGCTGGGCGCCCGTCGCCCCACTCAGTGAGTGTGCTGCTATACTTTGAGCGTGGTGTACGTGTTGACTGGTGGGTGCCAGTCGCGAGGAAGACGCTGGAGGACGACGAGATCGCGGGCTTGTGGATACCGAAGGGGGCGACGGTTGTCGCGAACAACTGGTGAGCTGCGTTATGCGACCGATACATCATGTCCAGGCAGGATCTCAAGCAGCTTTGTGCAGGGCGATCTCGCGCGACCCCGAACGGTACCCAGACCCGCAGGTCTTCCGCCCCGAGCGCTTCCTCCCGCTTTTCGAGGACAGCGACGACGAGAAGAGCGGCCAGGCTAAGCAAGACATCCTGGACCCGCGCTCGTACGCGTTCGGGTACGGTCGGAGGTGCGTGGTTATCTCGCCTCTGAAGGTGGACGTCGGCGGTGAACGCTGTGCGGAATGTCAGGATATGCCCGGGGCTCGACTTCGCGGAGGCGATACTCTTCGCGAACATCTCGCATATCCTCACTGTGTTCGACGTCGTCCCTACTGGCGACGCGCCGATCCTCACGCCGAATGGCGACGTGGCGTTGAAGACCGTTGGGGCTGCTGCGTGCGTGATTCTAATATTGGTTCGCGTGTGCCTGTCACTGATGGTCTTATCCCTCGAACTGACCAGACGCGTGGCGAGCGTGGACTGCACGTTGCGCCCTCGCTCCGCAGACGCACTCGCGCTGCTCGCGGATGCGGCGGAGTCGTGAGGCCGTTGTTGACCGTTCCTTGGTTCTCGTCGCTGACTAGATAAATTATGATATTCATTAAATGTACCCCCTCCCTCCGCTACCTCCATTCGCTATATCCCCTCCATTCGCTGTATCCCCTCCATTCGCTGTATCCCCTTCCTTTTCTATACTGATCGATCCGACCCCAATCCGTGACAAGTCGAGAAAGGCTATCCCCACAGTTCACGGTACGGGGCGTACCCACAGCCCACCCTGACATTACATCCGTTCATTAGCTCGCAATACCACTATTGAAGAGAGGGCGCGGAACTGACCTTCACGAATGCAGTGAACGCAGTGCTCGGCCAGACCTGCTCGATCCGCTGGCGGCCTTTGCCCTCCTTCCACTGCCGCGGGGGACGCGCGCCCTCGGGGGTCGCCTCCGGGACGAGCTCGAAGCCAGAGAAGCGCTGGAGGAGGCGGACGAGCATGAAGGACGCCTCGTTCAGGGCGAAGTTCTGGCCGGGGCACTGCACGACGTCCGGGGGACATCAGCGTCCGCCCTGCGCGCCACACAGATAGCGGGGTGACTCACCGACCGCGGGCCAGAGAGGAAGGGCACGAACATGGACGGCCGCTCCTCGACGCGCGCGAGCCGCTTGGGGTCGAGCCACCGGTCGGGATCGAACTCGTCTGCGTCTTCGCCCCAGAGGTCCTTTCGCCGATGGAGGGGCAGCGTCAGCCAGGTGACGCGTGCCTTGCCGGGGAGGTACAGAGGAGGTTCGCCGTCCGCGGCCGGGAGGAGGACCTGATGCATGGAGTTTCGGATCCCCATGGGCGCGGGCGGGAAGAGGCGGAGGGTCTCGTTCAGGACGGCGTTCACTAGAAGGGTACAGAGAAGGTGAATTATAGGAGGGGTGAGAGGGGGGATGACGCACTGTAGGGCATCTTGCGGATGAGGTCGTGCGTTGGGCTGCCGTTCGCCCCGCAGATGTCGAAGATCTCTTCGCGGAGACGCTTCGCGACTGCGGGGTATATCGTGAGTAGGTAGACCACGTATGTCAGGAGGCCAGCAGTCTAGAGAATACACATGTTTGAACTAGAGTTGTGGAACCAAAGCCAGGCTGGCTTACCGTGTCACGGCCTGCCATCAACACGTTGAGTAGGCCATATCGGACCCTTTCCTCGTCTGTCAACAGCGATAGATTATTCAGAATGAACATCAACGTCAAAATAACACGAAGACATACCTTGAGTAATCTCGACCAGATTCTCCAACATGGTGCGCTCAGCCCTCTGGCGCTCGATTCCCTGCTCCCTCTCCCGCTTCTTCCTCTCCAGTGCCTGCTCAACAGTAGGTTTGACCCACTTCATGATGACGTCCACATGCGGCATTGTATGGTCACCCTTTATCTCGTACAGCGGGAAGAACGTGTTCAGCCGCCACCGGAGTGAGATGGTCACCTGGATCTCCTCAAATGCGTACAAGAATGTGCCGAGCTGGCCCTCCGTCGCCGCGCCCTTGGAGCCTATTTTGGCTTTGTACGGAACCGGACGGGGGCCGCCTAGTGCATCGGGGGAAGTGCCCAGGAGGAACGAAGACGCAGCGTCGAGGGTGAAGCGGGCGAAGAGATCCTGGAGATCGATGGGCTCATGGGTTGACACAGAGGAAGACAGGATGGAGAGTGCGCGGTCGGAGTGTTCCTGGAAGATGTCGAAGTCGGAGATGCGCTCCTTGTTGAGGAAGGGTCGGATGAGGGCGCGTTCCTGCGGAGAGGAGTAAGTTATCCTCTTCTCATTAAGAATTCGTCCAGAGCTAGCGCATACGTACTCTTCTCCATTCTGTCCGATCGCTAATACAGTGCATTGTATCAGCCACCCTGAGCATTTGTATATAAACTTTGGCACGATGACACCCACGTTACGAAGACACCTCGACCGAGGAATGTTCCCCTGGAAGGAAGTCAATCACGATTCGAGAAGTAGAACCGATCGCACGCACATCTTCTCGGCGGCCTCCGCCCCACGCTCGAACGATTCGAACTGTACTTGGTGCACGGCACGCATGTGTAGGTCGTCGCGGGTTATGATCTACACGGTAGACACATGACTTTCCGTTCTGCATTCAGACCTGAACGCTCACGTTGTCCTTCCAAAGGATGCGCGTGTTGAGCGTGTCGACGCCATGCTCATCGAGCACTTCACCCATGGCCTGCAAGATATATCCTTCTCGTAGGTCTTTGGCGAATCGCATCATGATATCGAGGTTTCCTGGCCATTTGCCCTTCGCCCGCGGAATTGGTGTCGCTCCGAGTTGCCTGGCACGTCTGTCATTCTTCCAAACCGAGTACCAAGAAGTCACGGTTATCCAGACTGGAATGGATGAGATGTAAGCAAGGGTAGCCACAAAGCCTGCGCCAGCACTGCCGAACACGGCTGTGAGGAGGACATAGGTCAAGGCGAACGGAGGCAGCAGCGTCTCTGCTACGCCGATGAGGAAGCGCGTCCGGTACCAGGTTGGTGGCAGTTCGAAGCTCATGGTCGTCGCTTCACAGCTCTGCAGCTTCCCAAGTGCGCTGTCGATTCAGACGAGATTGCAGACGATCGCCATCGAGCTGTTCAAGGACGGGGAGACTCTGCAATTGTCAGCATCAGCGCCACAGAATGCCGCCTGATACCGAATCAGAGTCCTTAGTCACCTTAGTGAGATAAGTATCCTCCTCCAGCCTCCTCCTCCCTGATACGATCGTTGTTCTATCAATAAGAATCCATCAAGTCATCAGTTTGATCAGACCACCGGGGTGGCAGTGCATCACTGTAAGTAGTCGCATCGAGATTCGAGATACCTTCGTCAACTTAGCTTACCATTTCTAGCCATGAACTGACGACGGAAGTACATACCACTGCCAACTGGGCTGTGCAGAGCGCAAGATGATGGCCGTAGGAGATTGAGAATGATCTACTTAATCAAGTTACGATGTATTCTTCTCACGTGAGGAGGAGGAAGGTCCATAGACTCCATTACATAGTCATCGGCCGTGCACGCGTGGACGTGGTAGTAGCGGCCACCGAATCGGGATACCATATGGATGGAGGGTCTAGACCTGCTATGAGAAGCTTCCCATGGCTGCACAGGAGTGATTGACTAAATAAGGAAGGGATGTGAGCGCAATGTGAGCGTCATCACCGCTTCCGGGGCTCGCTTCAACCTCGACGCCGACTGGAAATCGGATACATATGATATTCTACTGACAGCGAGCGGCCGCAACGCATTCTACTTATACACCCAAGGATGCATTTGTCAAGAATTTACGGCACAGGTTCTTTGTTACACCCACGCCAGCGTCGCTCGCCGTCTCAAATCATTGACCGCAGTGGGGACAGCCGACACAGAAGCCCGGGCGCAAGCTGTTTCGAGCATCGGTCACCGAGCGGCGTCACGATCGGTTGCTCAGTCGCAACGGGCGGGGCGGGTATGGAACTGTATGGAACTGCTCCTCGGCACCCCGAGCGTCGTGCTCATATACGTTTCAGCCGGGAGTTCAACCACACGTTGTTTCAGATCGGATTTGGACCCCTCAGTGTGTGAACAACGGTGGTCGGTCGGTTTGTACGTATAAGTATGACATCGATATCGTCCCCCGACTGTTCACCGTAACATTTGTTTCTCCAAGTTCCGCGGATAGAACAAGTCACAAAGTCGGCGCAGCAATAAAGCAGTTTGAGAGAAATAAACACGTTGTCACGTTGTCATCACGATGAACCCTTAGGCTGCCTAAGCCGCCTTGGGCGCGAACGCCTCCCGCCCCGCCGGTTTCGATGCATGCACTTTCCATCAGTGCATGTATAATCACAATCTTGATATGCCGTGGGCAAGGTGCTAGTGGATCAACTTGCACCTTCTGGCCGGGCATCGGAGCGCTGGTCCCCTCCGAGGTCCTCCTTTTTTACGAACTGGACGTCTGCCAACCGCACCTTTCACTCCTCGGCCGGGCTTCTGTCACGTAGACACAGCCTGCACCTCGGTCCCCGCTGTAGCCCTTTAGGCTGCTGACAGTTCCGACTTGACTTCTGTCTTTCGCCCTCGTTTTGACCACCCTCCTTTACCACACCTCCGCAGAAATGTCGATGCACACACCTACCCTCTGGGCGCGGCTCTTCAGCCAAACCGCCCGGAGTAACTGGATGTGGAGACAATTCGTGAACTACTGTGAGTACCACTTCGTTCGATCGTATTCCTACTACTGGGAGACCCACCGGGTCTGTCGAACCCCCGGTCTCAGACAGTAGCTGGACCAACATGCGCCCATGTATACTGAGACATGCCTTTCTATTAGCCCGGTCTCATGTCATGTCCGTCCTCGAATCTGGAATTGTACGGGGTCAGCTCCTCGTTGAAGACCATGAAGGCAAGCACGTCTACGGCGAGTCTGACTGTCAGCGCCCGGTTACGATGACCATTCGCTGCGACGATGTCTGGGCGCGCATTGTATTGTCCCTCGACATGGGCTGTGAGTCTTGCATTCAGTTCGGTTTGAACTAGTGCTGAATACGGTTCTGAGTAGTGTCTGAGGCGTACATGAGCGGAGACTTCGACATCTCTAGCTTGAAGGACATGTTCGATGTATGTTCAGACCCTTCAATTGCCTAACTTCAGGCACTGACGGCGCCATTCCAGCTATGGATCGAGAACCGACACACTTTGACAGGTCTTACAACCCTATTGAACACTGTTACGTCCTACATGTCTGCCTTTGCTATCTTCGCCCTAGGCAAGCAGAAACCCTCAATGGCACTGAAGAATGTGGTTAGTACACTGCTGTCGCGCTCATATTGCCCCCATGACTCACGTCTATCTGACATGCTCTCAGCAAGAGGCATATGACACCAGCAACGAGTTCTTCCAGTGTTTCCTTAGCTCCGAGATGATGTACTCCTGCGCCATCTGGAGCGATGCCGAGGGCGGCATCCGGGGTGACCTCACCTCGCGGGGCTCGCAACCAGACGACTTGCACAATGCACAGATCCGGAAGATCCACCATATCCTCCAGAATGCGCGCGTCAAGCCAGGGTACCGCCTGCTCGAGATCGGGACGGGCTGGGGCGCCATGTCGATTGAAGCGGCGAAGCTCGGCGCCATCGTCGACAGCGTGACGCTGTCTGTGCAGCAGAAGGTGATGACGGAGAAGCGAGCGGTGGAGGCGGGCGTCGCAGACCGTGTGCGCGTGCACCTGCTGGACTACCGTCAGCTGCCGGAGGACTTCAAGGGCCAGTTCGACTCGTTCGTGAGCTGCGAGATGGTCGAGGCGGTTGGACTGCGCGACCACCACACGTACTTCAAGGTGATTGACTGGGCGCTGAAGCCTGACCGTGGCGCAGCCTGCATCACGGCTACTGCCATGCCCGAGTTCCGCTACACAACCCTGCAGTAAGTGTGATTCTGCGGTAGCGAGGAAGCGGTATCTCACAAACCCTGCAGGCCAGATGACTTCGCGCGTCACTACCACTGGCCCAACACTTTCCTTCCAAACGCGACGTACTTCCCTATGGCCGCTCAGCAAGCCGTCCCCGGGCGCCTTATCCTTCACAGCGTCGAAGACCATGCGATGCGTATGTCTCTTGGCTTCAGTTCTACGGCGCCGACTGACGAATGACCAGACTATCCTCGCACGCTCCGGGAATGGGGCTACCGCCTAGAGAAGAACTTCCAGAGTGAGATCGTCGAGAACCTGATCAAGGAGCACCCGCAGCTTGCCGACCCGAAGAGCCTCGAGGCGTTCCGTCGCAAGTGGTTTTACATGTTTGACTACGCCGCTGCGGGATACGCGAAGGCCTACACCGCTTTGAACTGCTGGACGTTCGCGCGACCGGTGAGTGGTCAGCTGTTGCACATGATTATTGGTCTGAACGAGCGCCATGTAGGAGTACCCGATTGACTGCTGCGACTGAAGTAGGTCGGCCGAATCAGCCCTGTGTTAGGCCTCCCTTATCCTGGACTTACCTTTGTTGTGACACCGAGTTGTCTCCCGTCGTTCGCTACTTTACATCCACTTCCCCACCTAGTTCACTGTCACTCGTTCATACTCACGTTATCCCTTGTATCTTAACACTACGCTTTTCTAGATTACTGTATTGTTTTTCCCAGTTGTCGTTGTGCTTGGTTTTTGAGTATTGTACCCGTTGTTCGCTGAATTGTATACCCGAACATGTACCAGTGTGATAGCGAGCGCACACTATGAGTGGTATCGTAGGTCTGGATCAGTGAATTTTCGCAGGTGCTGCTCGGTGCCGGAGGTAAAGCCTGGTAAAGCCTGGGTGAAGCGTCCGCCGAAGTCGATGGGAAGAAGGGCTGAACGCTGAGCGCGCGGTGGCGGCTGTGCCATTTCGCCTAGATGCAGATCTTGATGTCGATCGAACCCGGCCGTTGCCCGTTTTGGTAACTACCGCAGAACGCCTGCCAAACGCCCGTTGTTGGGCCTTGAAGCTAGACAACGATGCACTACTGGTACTTGATGTGAGCATCCCCATTCGGTCTTCTCTCTTATTCACTCCTGATGGACCATCGCAGCAGACTTAGGGATTGTTGCTTCTCGTTGCTTCCAAGTTGCTTCTGGTGATATTGATGTAAACGCGACGCGAGGCTTGCGATTGATCATTTCATTCGCGCCCACACGGCATCTCCTCCAAATTGTCTCCGATCTGTCCGGTCCGAGCGCAAAGTCTATAGGTATGAGCGCTGTCCCATCCGCGTCTCGGGATAGTATCGTACACATGCGTGCAAATACGGCCGCACCCCCGCCGTCGACACATTCCGGGAACGCGTGACAGGAAAGTTGAACGCGCGCCCTCAAAGGCGTGGAATACAGTAGCCTCGTCGTCCGGGGAGTCAAGTGTCCAGACGTTCACTCTCTTACGCCCCCTCCATCGAGTCTTAGTGTCCCTTCGCTCGCGCGCGACCAACTCGCGGCAGCGTCAACCTACAATCTTTCTTAACAGCATGACGCTTCGACCGCAAGGATCCCAGCTAGAGCTCATTGGTCGTGACCCTTCGCAGTCTGACATCTCTCTTGTGCATCTAGGAGACAGCCCGGGCTCACGTTCCGAGTTTACCCTCACGCCTGGCTCGCGCTCTGAATTCTCCTTTGCCTCCCCAGGCTCTCAAGCACAGTTTCCTCTCGTCAAACATGATGCCGAGTTCGCCTCCAGGCGAAAGAGCACCGGCTCACCGCAGGCCTCCCGGAAGGGGAAGGCCTTCTGGATGATACTCTTTGCTTTGGTCATCTCGTTCTTCATGGTCGTGCTTGAAGGCGCAGCTGTGGGAAATGCATCACCCACCATCGCGAGTGACCTTGATATCTCCCAATTTGCATGGATTGGAACAGCGTATGGCCTATCATCCACTGCCCTTCTGCCTTTGAGCGGTGGACTGGCCCAGGTATCCCACCTCTGCATCATATGTAGATCACTTTGCCCACATCATCCTCGACAGATCTTTGGTCGGCGGCCAGTAATGCTCGTCTCCCTCGCTATATTCGCCGTAGGTGGCGCGCTTTCTGGCGCTTCCACAGGTTCAGCAACTCTGTTTACTGGTCGCACCGTCCAAGGGTTGGGTGGCGGAGGCGTACTGACATTGAGCTCAATCATACTGTCGGATATCGTCGCGCTAAACGAGCGTGGGCTGTACAACGGCATTCTTGGTCTGTCCGTGTCGGTTTCTTACGCTCTTATTGTTCCGACTGACATGTACTGCAGGGCCTGGAGTGCGGCATCCGGTGTGGGTCCCGTAATTGGCGGATCGTTTGCACAAAATGGGCACTGGCGCTGGCTTTTCTGTAAGTGCGACACGTAAAGAGTACCAGTGACCTGTATCTCAAGCAAGTGACGCCTCAGACATGAACATACCCTTCGCGGGTCTTGCTGCTGTGCTGGTACTGTTCTTTGTTAAGCTCCCAACTCCGCCGGGAACTCTGAGGTCGAAGCTCGAGCAGATAGACTGGATGTGAGTAATGCGCACTTTCCGCCTTCCCTGCGCTCGCGTTGATTTCTTGGGCAGCGGGAATGCTCTCGTCATGGGGAGCACGACAGCTATTGTGATCGGAATGACTTGGGGCGGCGTTGATTATGCCTGGTCTTCTGCGCAAGTTTTAGTCCCACTCATCGTAGGTGGGGTTGGATTGGTACTATTCTTATTGTATGAGGCCCTGTGGGCAAGAAATCCGCTCGTGAGTGTATCGCAAACGGACACGTAGCCTTGCTGATGAAGTCCAGATTCCCTTGTCTCTTATTCTCAACCGCACTAGTATAAGCGGGTAAGCTCATGCCTCGCATCTAGCCATGTCTAGTCAATGTTGAAGAGTCCTCGCCAGGTTGATCCAGACCGGTCTCCTTTCTGTGCCTCTCACGGGGCTTATGTATTACCTCCCGGTGTACTACCAAGCCTGCATGCTTGCCTCGCCCATCCGCGCTGGCACGCTCGTCTTCGGCGTGGCATTCACCGTCGCGCCTACCACGATCGTCGCCGGAGCCATGATCACCGTCACAAAGCGCTACCGCCCGCCGATCTGGTTCGGCTGGGTTCTGCTCCTCGCCGGCCAAGGCCTCCTCACCACCCTCACCGCGACGAGCTCGAAGGCAATGTCCATCGGGTTCCAGATCCTCACCGGCATCGGCATCGGTGCCGTCTATAGCTCGACGTACTTCCCCGTCCTCGCCCCGCTGCCCGTAGAGCAGAACGCACCCGCGCTCGCCCTCTACGTCTTCCTCCGGAGCTTCGCCCAGATCTGGGGCGTCGCCATCGGCGCGACTGTTCTCCAGAACCAGCTCTCCTCCCGGCTCCCTCAGGCGTTCCTCGCGACGCTGCCTAGCGGCGCGGGCGTTGCCTACTCCGCAATCCCCGCGATCCCTGCCCTCGCGTCGCCGCTGAGGGAGGAAGTGCAGGCTGCGTTTGCTGGGAGCCTGGACGTGCTATGGCGCGTGCAGTGTGCGCTGTCTGCTGTCGGCGTGTTTGCGAGTTTGTGGATGAAGGGCCTCCCGCTTCACACGGAAACGGATAGGAAGTGGGACGTGACGGCGGCGGAGACAGAGAATGAGAAGTAGGTGTAGTGCCTTGCAGCGGGACTGCAGATGCTCGCGTTCGGGTGTATCATATTTGACGTTGCTACCTTCTTATCATCGCGGTCTTTCCTCCTCGAACTTCAGGGCGGCGTGCGCACAAAGCTGGTGTAAGGACGATATCGCATCCACAGCGATGTTATCGAAGTTCGGAGAATCGTCGTCAGCATGCTTCCTGCAAGATGTCCCTCCTATTTGGCCGAGTTATCTTCTCTTGGACAAAAGTATCTCAGCTCTGCCGGCCAATCGTAAGTAGAATAACATCATACTTGGCAGCCTTATTATGGAGGCAGGGCCTAGCGTGGTGGTGCTTGGAGAGGGGGACATCGCTGGCGGTCTCGAAGCTCCGAAGACTCTCGCAGATAATAAAAAAGAGGATGACAGTAGCAATCTCTGGATGCGAGTACACACGACAGGAGGGCGAACCGACTAACTCAGAGTGACAATGTCAACACGGCATACTTATCTGCAACGTGAGTGCAGTATATGGGATTTCTGCTTACGACATACGGACTCCTAGCTGCATCGGCAGCTAATATACCCGCTGTGGCAATATGCATTGTGCACTGGCCGGCTGCAACAACCTCGCAGTCGGCATAGAACATATAACTCGAATCGAAACGCCGGTTTCACGGCATGTTACGAGTGACGCGTGTACTGTATGGCACGCGAGACGTCCGTGCAGTAACGACTTCTGGCTGCGCACTTCAACTAATGCTCACCATATGATCCCCCGTCTGTTGACACCACCATCTTTTTGCGAACAAGCTCGTCCCATGCTGGCCATCTCCCACCCTCTCCAATGATGTGAAGCTTCTTGTCATCTGGGCGTAAATCGAGATGTCGATTGTGAGACAGACGCCACAAGGTGGGAGATTGGCGAACGGACGCCCCGCAAGCACCACATCCATACGAGCGAGGAAATCAAGCCGCCCCATGCTCATATCATCGTCCTGAGCAGAGGCAATGTCGCCCCCACTCTGAAGCAGATATCCACCCTTCGAATCCGCTCCGATTTCACGGTAGCGAGCACCTTGGGAATCCATGAATGGTTTGCACCCAAGAAGCTGTGCGAGTTAAGCGTCAAATCTTCCAACGTGACAACGCGGGAGAGATCGATACTTTGCGCTGTGGGGCGCCCTTCAATCAGCCATTCCTAGTACACGAACGAGAACGGTGCTTACCAATATTGTCGACGTCTTCAGGTCCTAATCCGTACGTATGGATGCCGAAACGCAACGATTTGAGTGAGGAGGCATTCGCACTAAGCAGAGCATGCCTTCGGCTGCAGTTGGACAACGCGTCATATCCGTCTACGCCTATTCCGAGGGTTCGCAAACGAGCCACCCTGCTGGCACGGATGTAAAAATTCAAAATCGCCGGTGCAGTATTCCACCACATATCGATACATTCGAGCCGGTGGGCATTCAGTGGCAGACGTATCGGCGTTTCTAGATGCGTCTGCTTGCATGAAACCCTATTGGTCTTCAGCCTGCGAAGCGCAGGGAGTGCGGATATCAGCTGCACTAGCTGAGAGATCGCAACGAAGTGGACGCCTCGAAGCTCCAACATAGTGATAGAAGGGAATGTGGCCAGATAGCGGATGGTGTCCAGGGGTACAGAACCGACGGGCCACTCTGCGTTTTCCAGCCGCAGAGTGTGCAGATTGGGCAGCTTGCCAGCTAACATGACAGCGAACGTCCCGAGATGTGAGATGGGATGCGGAACGTCTTTCACCGGACAGCCCGAGATAGCGACGATCCTGACAACCCGACTGAGCTGGGGTTTGTCGCGGAGCAGCTTGGACAAAGACATCACCCCTGCCCGATCCCGCAATTTTACGAACTGTCGAAGATAGGGTTGGGAATGATAATGCCAAGCTCTGCACACGAGTGCGCATGACGAGAGCGTATGTCGCCATGGGTCTTGCTCAGGAGACCATGCCACCTCGTCGAGATGCATGGCTACGTGGTTGATGATCTCTTCGCAGATGTCGAAGGGAACGCGAGGAGGACCGGTAATCATGGTGGTTCTCTTGTTAGCGAAGGGGTTCCATCTCGAAGACACCGATGAGCGAGTTGTCGTTTTGAAGTACGAGTTTCTTTCACGTAGGTTCTGTACTTGATACCGATTGATGAGGGGGTCACCAGCTGAGAAGCGAAGATAGCTTGTATCATGATGGCGGTTGACGATACTCTGACAGTGATGTTAGCAAAACCCGCAGCCGAGGAGAACAGGGAAAGACTTGCGTCTCAACGACTACGACTAGCGGTGTACAGATTAGTCCCAATCACAACCTTGCAACGGCACAGATACGACGCAGCGCACCCAGTGTTGACTTATGTATGTAGCTCCGAATGGTTCCAGCGACGTCGGCAGCACTGAAAGCTGACCGTACGAGGCGCCTGAGGCCCGTAGTCGTGTGTCCGACGAGGGGTAGCGTTCGGGCGATGATGGATGAAGCACTTTGAGCCAGAGAACTAGGAAGTTGTTAGTCTGAGGGCGCGAATCGAGCCGCCAGTGCAGCGGTGATGTGGTCAGCGCACACAATTGAGCGAGTTCAAGAAGAGATTACTTGCGCAGCACGGTGTGAGTATCGTATCCATATGTTGCGTAGTCATAGCGACATCATTCCGGGGATATCACGAGTTGAGCAGGTATTGCAGTAAGTATGCGAGACTTCCGGGTGACCTGGTACATACATAGCCTTAGTCAGTGGCATGCAATGGTACGGCGATGATCAGGACACGATGGGTTTATTAGACCCCAATGCTGCCGATACGATTGACGGTCTGTCTTCTTCCCATGGGCGCCGGGGAACTGATTGATCAGTCATGTGCCAAACTGAATTTCCCTGGGACGAAGTCTTTCATCTGCGCACACCAGGATAAGTACCCTCCTCTGACATCGAGATGATGCATCGATTTGGCGTCGATGAGCAGTACTTGAGCGTCATCGAACACAATTGCAAACTGACTTATGATCGGATCCCGGAAGCATGACGTACCTTGACCGCCACGACATACAGCTAGCAATGTAGTAGCATGGCTTGTAGGACACGCCGCTGCCAGTTGATGTATTGTTTCACTGTAATTGCACAGGTGGGGAGGTGATGCAGAGCGCTGTTAGTCTCAAATCTTAGCGATCTATGAGAAAATGTTCCTCACCAAAGTGGGCGACATGAGCGAAATTGCTGACAGATACTAGGCCATAGGGTTGACCGCTGCAGGTGTTGTCGGCCGTGAAGTACATTGCGCACCGCATTGATCGTATCACGGGGTTATCAGTCACCTATGATACACTGGACGGCGTGAGGAACGAACACCATGATGCATACTGGGCAGCGACGATCTGAAGACCGCACATAATGCATGTGGCATGCTCACGGTAATGAGACAAAGAGTGCCGCATTGATACAACATACAACACGGAGGCCAACACAAATACCTAATGCTCGATCACATGTCTGAAAGCGTCCCTGGCGTTCTTGATAAAATGTACACGTCTCTTGTGTCATTCAACTCGTCCAGCAAGATAGGCAGTGTTGGAAGATACGGCGTGGTAGTCGGTACTGGACTATTCGTGAGTACATCGAACCATGCAGACAGACATAATGTTTCACGGACCTTTATACGAGCGACTGGACACGTCGATAACAAAGCTACACTCTTGCTCTCGACTGCTTGGATTCAGGTTGAGGAATCGAACAAGCAACTTATCCTTCTCGATACCCTCAATGATACATTGCAATTTCGCCTCTGACTCCGAGAGCTCTGGAGCTGTCCGAGCCGCATGAGAGCTGAGCAAGCTCTCCTCTCTGTCCCTCTCTGCCACAGTGTCAACGCGCGAGCCGACTGATGCAGTCGCATACAACATACCTCGCTGTAGGTTCGCTGCAATCGCACGTTGCTGTTCAATCTCAGCCTCCACAGAAGAGCACTTCTCGCGGAATACGGCCAATTGTCGCTTGAATGCAGCGACCGATGTTTCCAACTCCTTCTTCTCCTCCTGTTCCCGATCAAGGACTGCGCGACAAGTCTAGCAAAGACCACCATTGACGGAGACAAGACCTGCCTTTGATGAGCTCTATCTCCTTCACTTTGCACTGATTCGTCTCTGCCTCAATCTGCTGTATCCTCTCCGAATACTTCTTTCTGTCTGAGAGGTGCGCATTCTTGCGGTTGGTGATTTCAGTGATAGCCCGTTGTGTGTAGTTTGTGACTGCACGGAGGAAATTCTGCGTGGATGTTTCGTATGATTCAAGTCGAAGGTCTATCTGTGGATTTTGCGATGCCACGACGGCGGAAAGATCGAGCTTGGGGACGCGGAGGCCCTTGGCCATCGCGGCAAGTGAGGGGGCTGGTCCAAGTTCGACTGACAGTGACGCGACAACGCGAGAAAGTGACCTACACGTGATCGTGACGATTGACCGCCCTCGTCTGTCGAATTCATCTCGGTCTCGTACGTTTTGGTATTCTCAACACACTCTGTACTAAGTACGACCGTCAATCGTGTTTAGCTTACGCTTGAACACCGTTCAGGATGACTCTGGGTTGCGGCAAACTCAGACTGACCCTGTGCTTCACTGAAGCACAAGCACAATGTATACTTAGATGCTTGCCATCCTGAAGATTACAGTCTACTTATACCCTAGTAATGAAGTACAATCTGTAGCGGTAAACCACTTGATTACGGTGTATCGTCCGTGTCCTGCATCAACTTACAATATTGTTACATAGCTCTGCACTGCATGCTTTCTCGGTGAACGCGTGGAAATAGATGTGGACCGTTTGAATTTCGAACCCGAATCGTCGCTATGCACCCTCGTTACCTGAACGAACGATCACTCAGCTGCGTGGCAGTTGTTCAACGGTCGACCAATCACTCACCAGACTCCATGGTCCATTGGTCATGTTTCCTGATATCATCCCCCGTTACCGTCGGCCGGACGTTATCCAATGATTTCAAGAAGTCCGCTATTTTGAGTGGTGGCTCTAGCAATTCGTCGCTTTCGATTTCAGACCACGACTTCTCTGTCGCTTCGGGATCGCCCGGAGAGCACGGTGTCCATTTCATGACGTCCGGGTCAGTTGGTGAAGGCACTGTCTTGAAGTGCGTGGCAGAGAGGACTTTGCGGACAGGCTGCATGAGGGCATCGCGTACGACGACGGAGATATCAGAGCCAGAGTATCTGAAGGAGATCGTGATTAGACGGCCAGAGAGCAGACCAGAGACGGAGCCACCCTTCCGTCCTCTCCGCAAGCAACCGATAATCCTTGGCCGCTAGCTCACAAGGGGTATCCCCAACATGTAGTTGGAACATCCGTCTTCTCGCTTCGACACCCGGAAGCGGGATGTAGATGCGCTTCTCAAACCTTCGTGTATAAGGTTAGGTGAGTTTGAACATCGAAGAGGCTTGAACGCACCGTCGCTTGATGGCGTTGTCGAGCTGCCACGGGATATTGGTAGCACCAAGGACCAATACACCGGTATCATCGTGTCCAACGCCGTTCATCTGCACGAGAAACTCCGTCTTGATACGCCGTGAACCTTCGGACTCTTGCTCATTTCGCGAGCCCGCCAGTGAGTCGACCTCGTCTATGAAGATGATCGCAGGCTTGTTCTCTCGTGCCATCTCGAACAGCTGTCGGACCAGTCTAGAGGGATGCTCAGTCCATACTTCAGTGTGCGACTTCGAGCTCGGAGGCCGACTGACCGTTCAGAGTCGCCCTGCCATTTACTGACAAGATCGCTGGAGCTGACACTGAAGAACGTGCCCTTCGCCTCCGTCGCCACAGCCTTCGCCAAGTACGACTTCCCAGTACCCGGCGGCCCGTACAGCAGGATACCCCGCCATGGTGTCCGCTTCCCCGTGAACAGATGCGGAAACTTGATCGGCAGGATGACCGCCTCCTTCAGCGACTCCTTCGCAGCCTCCAGCCCAGCGACGTCGTCCCACTTGACGTTCGGCTTCTCCGTGATGATAGCACCCGCGAGGCCCGCGCGCAGCTTCTTCACCTCCGGGTCGACGTCGTCGTCCTCATCCTTCCTAGAGCGAACGCAGCGTCACGACGGGACCGTCATCCCGAGCACAGGCAGCCACTCACTTCTTCCCCCCGCTCCCCGTGCCTCCGCTCCCGCCATTCACGCCTATCGCCTTCTTCGCCCGCTTCTCTGGCTGCGACTGTGCGAGGTGCTCCTTGAGGACCTCCGCGCGCGCGAGGTACTCGGTGACCTTCGACCGGATGAGCTGCTTCGACTTTTCGTTCTTCTCCCCTGGTGAACCATCAGTCCAATCAAACGCGCACGCGGACAGGGCCGTACATTTCAGCGCGAGCATGAAGTAGTCCAGCGCATTCTGGTATTGCTTGTAGGCCTCCGCGTAGTTCTGTCTGGTATCGTCCTCGATCGCGCGCTGCACGATCTCAATAGCCCGCTGTAGAATCCACGCAATCAGACAACACGCTATTCGGCTTGTTCGCACTGCGACTCACGTCTAAATTCTGGGACATCGTTTTCGAACACGCAGTGTAGCCAGTGGCGGTAAATGAGGTCGTTGTAACCAGACATCACTGTTGTTCACTATTAGGATCAAAGGGCGCAGCATAACAAGCGCAAACAACGTTGAAGTACTATCATTGCACGGAATCAGCGGAAACTATGGCTAGATTACAGTAATACATGGCTGAGGATAAGTTAGACAGTGCTATCGGCTACAGTCCACTGCCAGCATTGCTGGTCAGCATGATAGTGCAGCGAGACAGGTACGTGAATCGCATATGGCATTGCTAAAGGAGAGAGAGCACACCCACGCGTCTCCTGAACGTCGAGGAGCCGCCAACTAAGGGGAATAGTACATCTACACCGGTCGTCAAGGAGAAGGAAAGCGCAGTGCAGTGGAGACGAAGACCGTACCGCCCATCCGAAAACGCAGATGATCAAGAACAGCGAGAGTAATGGTCCCAGGAGAACAGAGAAGTACGAACAGGAGACCGAAATCATCGAACCCTCCGAAACTCCTCCGTCTCGCGCGGCTATGAGACAATTTGTACCTGTGCCTGTGCCATTGCCTGGGCATTCACATGGACGTGAGACGGCTTCGGCGACAGGTGGCACACGTCGATGCTCTGCACCCAGGAGTGACCGACGAGCTCATCGATGAGGGCACGCATCTTGGGATTTGGCTCAAGCATCCTGCGGATCACAGGCCTGCATGCGCGCGGGGACAGGTTGTTGATCGTCGGAGGACACGACGATTGTGTCTGGCAAGCGGAGGCGTACGCCGCAAACAGATGATCCGTAGACTGGGCGACCGTCCAGGGCAATTCTTGGAAGTGAAGACAATAATAGACGACACCGCATGCCCAGATGTCGACGAGGCGAGCGTCATAGGCTAGCCCATCACACAATTAGGTGCGACGCGAAGGCTAAAGTTAAGCTCGTTTGCTTACGTTTGCCCAAAAACTGCTCTGGCGCGATGTACGGCTCACTTCCGCACAGCCCAGTGGACATGTGCACTGTCGTCTCCCAGGGTAAGCGGTAGACGGTAGATGCACCGTAGTCACCGATCTGTGAGTGCGAAAACTCAAGTGATCAGTCGACGTGCTTGTGCTGCTGCCTGCCATTCTACGTACCTTCAAGTGGCCCTTGGTGTCGAAGAACAAGTTCTCCGGCTTGATATCCGATGAGCGACACCTTGATTATGAAGATATTGGACACCGGTCAAGATTTGCTTGAAGCAGCACTCGACCTCGCTGGGTGACATTCCACCTCGCTTGATAGCTGCGTAGAGGTCTCCACCAGGACAAAACTCCATCACCTCGCACCAGTGCTGGGCCTCGTCCTGGACGAGGTCAACGGTCTCGACGATGTTGACGTGATGGAGAGTGGAGGATATGCAAAACTCGGCCGTAAGCTTCTTGACGTACTCCTTTTCGGTCTCGTTTTTTCTGCGTTTTCGGAACTCCTGCAGAAGTGTGAGGGCGGCACTTCGACATACACGCATACAACGCACCTTGACAGCATATAGCTTCTCCTCGCTGCGATCCCATTTGTGGGCAAGACGAACGACAGACGTCGCACCTTTGCCGATGGCCACCTTTTCGCAGACTCCGTACTTCTTCAACAAGCTGATCGTACTCTCCCCAGTCGTCGACTTGCGGTCATGGTCCGAGTCCGACTTCTTGCTGCTCGCTGTCGAGCGGGCAGAGGACTTTCGCACGAGCTTCGGCCCACCCAAGAGCCTGTTCAGGTCTTTAGGGTGAACTTCTGCCCGCCGTCAGACTGCTGCGAGTGGACGGAGGGCGGCCTAGACGGAGGCTTTGATGACGGAGCCGACTTCGACGAGGGCCGCGTTGTACGCGCAGAGTCTGGCTCTGGGTCCTCGCGGAATGGATCTCAGGAGCGCCCGCTGACGAGGCGGGTGATATCCGCAAAGCAGTTGACGGCAGCTGCTCTTTGGTCGGCGAGTGCTCCTTCTGCGAGGGCGTCTTCGTGAGAGGCTGTAATGGGCCCAGCTTACCGCCGGAAACACCGGAGGACATGCTGGGCGCTCTGCTGGGCGGCTGCGTCGAAGGCAGACTCCAGCTCTCACTCTCAGAAGCCGAGAGCGAGTCGCTACTGGATGGCGTCATCGAGCCCGTTGTCGAGGACGAGTCGCGCTTGATGGGGGGAGAGGAGAGGGCGAGCTTCTCGGACTTGTACAAATCCTCGATGTCCTGCCTGGTGCGACCGGGTGCTTTGTGATAGAGGTGCGAGTCCGGAGGTGGGAGCGGGACGTGGTGGCCATTGGTGCCGTTGGGGATGCCACCAGTGGTCAGTGGCACCGCCTTCTTGGGGGACGTACGCTGCTGCTTCGTGCCGTTGAGTCGTGGGGAGGCGGGGGAGGGGGAGATTCGCGTGGTTGCAGACGGGCGGAGGCGCGTATACCGCCATGCGGCGGTTTGTCTGAGCCGTCGGGGCCTTCGCCCTCGGCCTGGGCGGTCTCGGTTGCGTCGACCATGGTCATGAAAGGGTGCTGTGGATGTGACAGGGTCGTGAGGGGGGCAATGTTGGGGATGCGATGGGGGAAGTGCGAGTGATGGGTGCTGGAGCAGCAGGGTGGTGGGCTGGGAGCGGTTTATTGGGTATTCATGGCTAGCGGACACGTTGAAGGCAGGGTTGGTGCTGACTGCGGTGTAGCGAGGAGGCGCGAGCGGGAAGACCCCCTCGCTGGTGCCGCTGGGAGACGGCTGGAAGAGAGACGGAGGGATGCTGGGAGCGGACGGCGACGGTCTGAGCAGAGCTGAGCAGGATTTCAACCGGAGCAAGACGCCACTTTTATTCGCTTAGGTAAGCCGGCGCCGGCCACTCGCCCGGTCGCCAGCTTCATCTTCTGCCCGCTCCCGTTGCACGTTCATCTCCTCGCCCCATCTGGCGCCCGCGCTGGCAGAAAACAGACGAACAGTGTATTTCGGTAGATGAACTTCTCGCGACACCGACACGAGGCAGGGCAGGCCCTGGCCGAGCTGCTCTCTGATAGAAGCACTTCCTCCTCCTCTACGTCTCGTGCACACGGATTCAGCGAAGCTCACCCGCGGCCGCTCCTGTCACTGCGCTCTGCGATAAGCCCGTTCATCCTGCCTCCGACCCTGCATTTGCCACAACGAGACCACACTCTATCGCCTACGCCCGGAGGTTGATGTCATCGCAGGTTACGCGAGATATCCAGGCGACAAGCGCGTCGCGGGCACGCAGGGAGTTGAAATCCATGGCAATGCCGTCAGCGGCCTTGACGTGCTCGAGAACGACCGCGCTGCAGCGAAACAAAAGAAGGGACATCAGCCCCATCTGCCACAAGTCGGCCGCGCCGGAGCAGCAGCCTATGACAAAATAGCGCGTCGGACAATGTCGGACGGATTGTTCGCCTGCAGGCCTGGTGGGCGACTGTGTCTCCAGTCCGCCTGAGAATTCGTTGCGGTGGCGGTGCAGGACCGGAGGCGAGCACGATCAGAGCCTGAACGACACAGGGTGAACTGTGTGCAGGAGAGTTCACATGTAGAGAATGCACGCGACAAGTGATGTTGGAAAGACTTGGTCATTGCATTAGGCCAGGGGATCAGACTAGGCATCGTCTCGACACTTCGGCATGATATGCAGAGCGTTCTAGCAGGGGAGCAGAGCACACATGATTGAGAAGGGCAACAGAGCGATGGGCATTGGGCAGCACATCCGCAAAGAGGCAAGTGCGCAAGAGAACGAGGCGCGCAGCCCCGAGCCGGGGAACCGGGTCCGTGCTAGCACCACGATTAGAGTTTCGGCATGCGCCGGGAGGCTGAGCTCACGTAAGCAGGCCTGGCGGACAGACCACTGCTGAGCAAGCCGTCGCTCTCATCGCCCCTCCTCAAGACCAAGGTCAGTGCTGCCGCCCTTCGCCGCTGCCTCGCGCGTCGAGCTCACCGCCGTCCCCGCCCCAGCCATGGTGAACCTCCGATCTCAAAAGCGCCTCGCCGCCTCCGTCGCGGGATGCGGCAAGCGCAAAATTTGGCTCGACCCCGGCGAGCAGGCAGAGATCGGGAACGCCAACTCCCGCACCCACGTCAAGAAGCTCATTAAGGACGGCCGCATCATCATCAAGCCCACCACCGTCCACTCGCGCGCACGCACCCGCGACCTCCTCGCCGCCAAGCGCAAGGGCCGTCACACCGGCCCCGGTAAGAGGAAGGGTACCGCTGAGGCCCGGATGCCCAGCAAGGTTCAGTGGATGAGGAGACAGCGGGTCCTCCGCCGGCTGCTGCGGAAGTACAGAGAGGCGGGCAAGATCGACAAGCATCTGTGCGTCCCTACTCGATCTCGTGCAGAGCTGATTGACTGAAGATCCATACCCTCTCCAGTTACCACTCTCTCTACCAGAAGTCGAAGGGTAACGTCTTCAAGAACAAGCGTGTCCTCATGGAGTACATCCACAAGGCGAAGGCTGAGAAGACCCGTACGAAGGTCCTCACGGACCAGATGGAGGCTCGCCGTGTCAAGAACAAGGTCCGTACATCTTATGTGTGACCTGCATTTGCTCATTCCACTCACGATCACTTCAGGCGGCCCGCGAGCGTCGCTCACAGCGTGTGGCGGAGAAGAGGCAGGCGATTCTCGCCGTGGAGCACGAGGCACCCGTTCAGGAGTAAACATGACCACTTTGCAACCCATATCACCGTCTACGCCCGTCACGTCGTCGTTTGTATCCTATGCCATGCAGCTCTCTATTGATACGCCAGGTCCATGCTCAACTGTTATCTTTTGTTGCCATGATCCGATGAATCGCCATTGTGGAATGGAGAGCGGAGCCGCAAGCTCCGGGCTGGTATGTATTGTAATATGCTCAGGATCCGAGCCCGGTGTTTCATAGTCCTATATTGTGTCCTGAGGTTGAGAAGACGGATCTAACAGTGTCTGTGAGACACTCTTGTCTATCATGCCACCCAGGCCTACGGTGCGTCGATATGAACTTCGATGTCGATTGACAGCCCAGGACAAAGTTAAGCTCAAATGATAGGCCGCCCAGACTCAGAATTCAACTGAGGTACGGTATAGTAGTACATTGAATACAACCATTGCCAAGCGTGACAATCATGCCTTCCACAGGGTATTGACATACAGCGGTGCCTATAGAAGCACATGAGCTAAGCTCATGCACATCCTCTTCACGTTCCTCTGTTTGGCCACTGTCTCTACCATCTCTCTCGATACTGCGATCATTTCATCCGAAACCTCCGGGTTGTCCATCTTCTGTCGCCGAATCAACAACCCGCACTCATTAAGCGCGAACGCGGCGTCTTCCACACGTAGATTGGTCGCGCGAGCGAGGTCCGCCAAAGTACACCGAATGACGACATGCGCCGTCGCACTTCCGTCCGGGTTCGGCGTCGTCTCGACCGTCCGGAGGGACGTGAACATGGGATCTGCACCCGAGCCAGACGTCAGCGTCGCATGCCGCACGCGCGCGCAGCGGAACCACGCACCGGAGTCGTCGTATGGCTCCACAAGACGGCTGCTCGCCGCGAGGTCCTCCCCGTCCCAGCCCTTCGTGCTCTTCCTGCGTTTCATCTTCGGCGCCGCCCTGTCCTCCGGCTCGGCCGATGGCGACATGAGGTGTGCGTCTGCGAGGTCCGGCACCCCGCCCACGGTGATCATCTTCGACGCGTCTGGCGGAAGGACCGAGAGCAGGCGGCTGCAGGGCAGTTCGTGTCGGATGCGGTCAGCTGCTGGCTACAATGCATACATGTGATGCTTGCACTCACCGGAAGAACCTGATCAGGGTGGACACCCAGTAGGTCAGGTAGCTCCGGAGACCAAGATCAGATAGGGGCCGCTCTGGTGTGCCGACGCGTCCGGAGCGGCGTGACAGCTCGTAGCCTGCGCTCGTCGATGGCGCAAGACGGAAGAATCAAGCAAAGACATGAGTTGGCCGGCTAATAGACCTGTGGGGCACACGCACTGAACTCAATCATCAGCATTCCGTAGCCCTTCTTCTGATAAGGCGGAAGCACGACGATGCATGCTAAGTTGTAATCATCGTAGGAGATTTTCTCCTGTGAGTGTCCGTAGTCAAGACAGCTGGCTTCGCGGGGCGGCCATTAAAGAGCCTTTTACCTTTGAAAAGAACCCGAGGATATGGTCCCTCTGGGAGTCGGCGTCCGTCAATATATAGAAGAGGACTAGACGGAGATGACCGTCACCCTTTACGTCCGCCAAGGAGACGAAAATGCTCACAGTTGTCGCAGTCGAAGAAGAGCGTCTTGATATCGATGAACAGCTTGCCGAAGAGCGAAAGATTCTGGCAGTACAGCTAGGATAGCACGATCAGCGTGTAAACCATACATGAACCAGGACCGGCTCAGACGTACTTTCTCCGTCGCACCATCAACCTCCCATATTATGTGTGCACCGCGTTGGTAGACTTTGCGACCTGGTGGCGACTTCCTCGAGCACTTTCTCTAAGGAGCCTGGCTTTCGTCAGCGCTGTCTCGACAGAGGACCTCATAGGACGCACGACGTGTGATTCATACGAAGGTCCCTCAGGCATGTACTTGAAGCACCTGTCGCAAACCCATAGCATCGCTTTCTCTGGTCCCGCGTGGCTCCGGCCGAGCCCTCCCGCCAATAGATCGGACGTCCTGCCATGCGAACGGATGCTAGAGCGACTGACGCCTGGGATTCGAGGGGTCGAAGATGATCCATGTGAGTGGGGAGTGGCGACCTGGTCGTCCGCCTCAGACTCGGTCAAAGGGTAAGGCGAGAAGTACCTTGCATCTAGACTGAGCTCCGCAGCAAACAGGTCTGCCAATCGAATACACTCACCACGTCTTGATCTCCCATCGCCCAAAGACGACCTTGTCAAAGTTCCTTTTCGCGGTGATCTGCTTGTGGTGCTGGATGTCGTACTCCTCTTCCGTGATAGCCTGGGCTTCAGGGCCCACCGAACCTGCGAGAGCATCCGAGTGGTCGGGCGAGGCCCTGTCATTGGGACTGGCAGACTCCTCCCCACTAACGGACCCCCTCTTTCTCTTGCGAGCATTGCCGTTGCTCGTCATGGTGGCCTCGTGGGATCCTGAAGGTCGCACGGCGCTTTGTGGAAGCCATTCATCAAGTCTCTTGTCTGCATTTAGGTAATGCACGTAAACTTCGTCTGCCCGGCGCTCGAGGATGCGGGCGTGTTCTGTCACTCCGTCAGCGAACACGGAGCGTGAGGCGAAGATAGGACATACGTTCGAGTCCATCTTTAATCACAATGTAGACTTCTGTATCCACCCCCTGCTCGTCGATTGGATAGAACTTTGTGGGCATGAGTTCTCGCTCTTCTGATCTCCGTGCAGGCCGGACGACAATTCAACTCCGGCGTTGGGTAATTGGACAGATGGAGGATGGATGTGGGGGCCAGATGTTCTCAACGCCAAACGCTGGCTAAAGATATGGTAGAAGTACAGTGACGTTGGTGGCGGGGAAAGTGTGAGGAAGCAGACGTTGACAGGACGGGTGATTGCGTTCCGCCAACTTGAGGTGCACTTAGGCAGGGGCCGCTGTGGCCATATCACCCTCACACGCCCAACAACAATACACCGTCTCGACTCCCCTACGACAACAACATAAATTAAATGAATCATAAAGTAGGGTCCAGCTACAACCAATGACATTGTATACACAAAGCGAACAGGATTGAGGGACAAGACAGGGGCCAAATGAACGAAGAGATCGCTATTACGCAAGGTCGATTCAGAAGAACGAACTCTGTAGAGTCAGTGCGACAGCTCGAGGTCGCTGATAGGAGTGTTCTTGACGCCAACGCGTCGCTGTCGATGATGATCGAAAGCGGACTTGAGAGAGCCAGGGCCGAGCCACAGGGGGAGGGAGTACCCAAGCCTAGGGGTTGTGCAAGTCGCGAAGAGAGGGAGACACGAGTCGCAAGGTGCTGTCCGGGCTGAGCGTCGAGAGTTCCGCAGGGAAAGCAGGCAGTTGTTCACGAGTCGAGTCCAGAGCAGTCTCTCCTATGCCCAAGCCTACGGTGGTCCTAACGAGTGCCAAGTACGCTCTCGGGTCCGCCCCACCAGCGTGCGAGACATCGCTCGTCGACGAGCCTAGATTCCACCTAGGTCCATGCACTTCCTCCATGATGGCATCCATTGGGTCTTCGCTTTGGGTGTCCTCGTTCATGGCAGAGACCCCACCCTCCGGCCGCTCGTAGCGCTCGCTGCTCTTCCTCCCGGTCTTCTTGCGTCCGTGCCGAGGTGAGAGGCCGGGAAAGCATTCTCTGGAGAAGATGGCCTGGCAAGATCTCGGAGTGACGGTGGGGAAGGAGAGGCGCGAGTAGACCGGATCTGACCGACGCGTGTAGCCGATGCCATGACCGATTTGCTCGACACCAGGAGGCAAGTCAAGGATGGGGGGCTGTATAGACACGGAAGATGGGGTGGTTTCCGGCCGACTCTTCTTGCGCAACTTGTTACGCATGGTACCAGGCGTGGACGTAAAAGGAGATGTGAACGTAGACGCTGACTTGCGCGGCTGGTACGGAGACGGAGACGTGCCCAAGGGGTTCATGCGGCCAGAAGCAGGGATGTTGTCCAGCGTGTCCAGGTCGAAGTTGAGGCTAGAGAATTGCGGATGGTCCCGTACTTTCTTGCAGACGAGGAAGCAGGACGACAAACCCCGAACTCTGAGGGCATCATGACACCATGAGCGAGATCGTCCGAGCTGCCAGAGTTATAGCCGTGCAGATTATCGGGACAAGTTTCTGTGTAGGCCAGAGCAGAACTACTTGCTTGAGCATCGTGGACAGCGGCAGTGTAGCCAGAGTTTGAACCAGATCGAGGGTAGTCACCAGTCCCAAATTCCCAGGCGAACGAGAAGTCATCCACATCCATGAGATCCTGTGGAGACGACAGCAAAGTTCCTGTTCCGTGAATCCCGTTAGTGTCTTCTGAGGTACGCTTTGTGGTTGAGGTGTACGCGAAGTTCTCAGAGCTGTTCGCAACGCCGTTATAACACGCTGAAGCTGCTTAACGATGTTAGTCAGCGCCGGAGCACGCTTGAGAAATCAAGACCTAGAGGAGTATTCATCGGATCAAGTTCCCAATCTCTGTGAACCATAACAGATCAATCTGAGGACACAAACGTTACGTTGGTTGGATGAACTCACGTGTCGGAGAAAAATGGATGTGCTTTCACGCCTTCGCCGCACAAGCGCAATGCCGGATTGCGTTCGAGACACTAGCACGAGAGGCAATCTCGTCAGTGAGATAGTCGATCACCTGTCAATACACACCGTACCTTGCGAAGCAGGTCACCGAGGGCGCTGTCTTCCCCCTCAACCAGCCACATGGGGAAGTTGCCATGCAGAATCTTATTGATGACAACAGAAATATGCGCCGCTGCTAGGTCGTTCATATCCAGAAATGGATGCTAGTGAGCAAGTCAGACTAGGCCCCCCTGTGCTGGTCGAACGCTAACTTACCTTAGCCGTGAGCATGTAATACAGGACCAGTCCGAAGCCCCACCAATCCGAAGCAACATGAGGAGACCAGTCAAGCAAGAGTTCCGGTGCTTGATACGGTTCCACCTCTCCCTTCCGCTGGCGATGTGGTTTCTTCCGAACGGAGCGAGTCAGGCTGTCCATGCCAATTTGAGCGTACCCGAAGTCGGCGATAACAACACAGCCATTCTCGATGAGGAGGACGCTAGGATTGATGTTGCAATGGACGATACCGACTGCATGTAGGGCCATCAAGCCTTGCACCTGGGAAATGATGAACTCTGATACGAATCAGTGAAGGGCAAATGGGATGCCCACCAGCTGCGAAGCATATATGGTCGCATCTGATAGAGCCAGAACTCCATGACACTCCACAAACGTTTGCAGATCCGAAGCCACGTAGTTCTGACGAGATGAGAAGTCAATCAGCATGAGAGCGAACGACAGGCAGGCTTACCATGATCATATACAACGCTTTCTCATCCTGGAAGCTCCAGTACAATTGCATCGCGAATGGGACCGCACGTTCAGTGACCAAGCGCAATGCAGCTTGTTCCGTTCGCACATAGGCATAGCCTCCCTGATCCGCTCCGAGGGAAGCTTTGCGGAAAACCTTGATAGCGTAGAGTCTCGCCGTGTCTGCCTTGCGCCCGATGACCAACTCGCCTTTCCAAGTAGCCATTGGTCCCCGCTCAACCGACCGAATCACTTCGAAGTCAGATGCGTTGATCCGCCGCGAACCTGCGTGATTCGTGTAGTCCTCCGTGAGCGACATGGTGGATCCACTTTCACACATGCTCCGGTTGTTTCCAACGTCCACAGTCGTAGGGCGCTGCGTGATTACCATCACTTCCTGTAGTACATTGAGTCACGTCAAACCGGCCAGTCATAGAGTGCGTGCCGACGTACATCAATATCGTCATTGCATTCCACTAACAATCTCTTGATGTCGTATGCAGGCTACGAACAGCAGTATATTGAGCGAGCAGTTTCATTCATAGCGATCAATAAAGCCCAAAAACACGACTTACCTCCACGGCAAAGCTCACCGTACTGCCGTTCGCAAGCTGACCACAAGCGGCATCCACCATCGTGATACTCGGAGAACGTAAAACGTATGGTATATCAGCATCGTGGGTAGCTTCTCCCTGTGGACAAGGTATTTATGACATGTCAACTTGTGTCAGAACGAGAACTCATGGCAGGATCACAGACCTCAGCACGGATTGCTTCCAGGAAGTCTGAAACGCAGCCGTCCGGTTCAGCATGGCAAGTTGACGGTGTCAACGGAAACTCAACAGCATTGATTGACAGTCAGGTAATGACGGACCCCGACGTACAGATGGTGCTCACCTCGCTCGCGGAAATGCGTTCCTTGAATTGCGACTGCGCTGCTGCCATCTGGTCCCAGTGTCTTGATATCCGCTTGATTACACTGGCAGGCTGGCACTGAAGGCGAATATCACGAGCTACGGAGAATCTCGGTTCGCTGGGGCGATGACTACAACAATATGCGTGCGGGACCAGTTCGGTAGGGTGTCGCGGGCAGACGTTGGTTCGGACGCGGTTGGACTTGGGTTGGACAGGCTGAACTCGGACATTCAACACGATGATCGCCGATCGGTGCCAGCCAGACACGTGCACTTTCGTGCGACGACCCACATCCGTCCAACGAGTTACACTTGCAGAAGGTCCAGACGTCGCTGCAAGCTGCTCCGTGTCAGCGCGACGTGAAGTAACATACTGGGATCAGTGGCGTTGAGGGTACCGCCAAGATACCGCTACCACCACCGCCAGGGTCCTCCACAGCGGCAGAGAACTCGACCGATTGATTGTCTCGCCGTTGTTCTCCTGTCCATGGCCCTCCTTCGTCTAATCCAAGTTCCCTGGGCACGTACAGGCGCAGGCCGTAGCTAGTCCTGACCTGCGTACACCGCGCCGAACAGGTGGCTGACGTGCTGATACAGGGGACATCCGGAGGAGACGAGCGAGAGGGCATGGCCTTGTGAGACAGCGCCGTTGATATCCTGGATGTAGAGAAGGGGGAAGACCTGCAGAAGACGCCCCAGGCTGAAGACACGATAGTCTCGCGGCGATAGTCGAGGCTGACCCACCTATGATTGATACTGCTCAGTGCCGGGTATTTTGTCTACCTTGAAGTTATATACTCGCATTCGGACCTTTCTGCTTCGTTTCTAAGCCGTGCACATCAAGAGGCGTGAAGTATCAGCAAGGCTTCGGAAACACGAGAAAGCCAAGGATGAACTTGCCTGAATTTGCTGGCACAGGGGACGCGTAAGCGCTAGCCAACGAATCGGCAGCGAGAGGACGGACGTCTACTTGATATAGCACTTCGAACGCTCGACCGACGCCCAATGCGACTGTAGCGCAGAGCCTATGGATTACAGCAATACCGAATAATGATACAGTAAGCACGTAGACTGCTGGTTACGGGTATCCTAAGTATAGCGCTACTAAGTAGTAGTAAGGATCATCGATCAACGTCCTTCGTTCGGTCCGGAGCGCTACTGCAAGCCTGTCAATCGACAGTACACATACCTCGAAGTCGCAGGCGGTTCAGGCTTTAGTAGACCGAACCACTGCAGCAGCCCTCATTGATATTTATCCTTGTAAATCCAAGCGAGCCCGACGTCGCTGACCCCTTGCGCGACCTGTGAGATGCGCTCAGCACAGGGACGCTAAGGTCGCCGGCGTAGTACTTACCGCTGCTCTATACCACTTCGCCGACTCTCGCTTATCCTTCTTGCAGCCCTTGCCATTCGCAAGACAGAACGCCAGGTCTTGCTGGGCGTCCGGGTCCCCGAGCCGTGCTGCAACTCGAAAATAACTCTGCAGTCACACGTCAGCTCCCAGTCGTCACCTATTCCCAGTGAGAGAACACAAACTCACAACTGCCATCTTCTTGTCCTTCTCCACGCCCCATCCACGAAAGAAGCTCTGCCCGACCTCGTATATAGCGAGGACGAGTTCGCTCTTCACCGCCCCGGAGTCCGACCCCGCCCTAGCTCTCTCAAGGTCTTCCACCGCCACCTCCGCAGCGCGCCTCAACCAGCGGAAACCCGCGCTCTCGCTCTGCGGGCAGCCCCATCCGTGGCGCTGCGCGAGTCCCCACATCAGCATGCCCACGCCGCATCCGCCGTCCAGCGTAGCACTCTTCTCGAAGCACGCTGCCGACTCGGTCAACCGGTTCGCCTCGTGGTGGACGATGCCTAGCTGCAGGTAGTCCTGCGCCGTCGTCGGGTTCTCCAGGTTTGGCCGCGGCGCGGAGGATGATGGGGCGGCCGCAGGATCGGGGGCAGGGGTGGGTGGCGATTTACTGGATGACGAAGGGATGTAGTGAGGGCTGAGAAGCGTCGTGGAAGCTGAGTCGCTCGGCACGGTTGGGGTGGTGGGCGACGGAATAGGGCTGTCGAGCGGATAATACGAGTAATGCGAGTACAGGCTGACGGGCGAATCCGATCGTACTGGTCTGGAGGGTGCGTTGTTGGGGGACAGCGATCTTGACGACGAAGAGGCGAGTGGAAGTGAAGGCGTGGATTGGCTACCGGATATCTGCGCCATTTGCATCTGCGTCGAGGCCGACGGGGCGAGCTGAGGTTGTGCTCTCGGTGAGGACGCGCTACCGCTCCCGCCGGAATCCATTCTGGCATGCGAGCTCATGCTTGTCGATGGGCGACTCCCTCCGACCGAGCTATCGTATTGCGAGAGGGGCGAGCGGCCAGCAGTCGCGCCTGCCGTACCAGACCGCTGCTGGTTTCGTTTGTAGACCTCTAGTTTCCGGTTCTCCGTGGCATCGTCCGTTACGAAGGCGACACGGGGGTGCGAGAAGTTGACTGAGGCCGGCACTTGAGAGGGCGTCCTGCCCCCGGGGTGCATCTGCGTGACGGGAGCTGCCGGCCAGTCGTCACGCATCCCGCGAGCATAATCGGGTTCTGTGGAGACGATGACAGACGGTAGGCCAGCAGCGGGTTGGTTGATCGAGGACGAGTCCGGACGTGCCGTCTCGCCCGTCCTCCAAGACTCCCGGTAGGAATCGCGGTACCGCCCGGTGATATCGTCCAAGTCGCGACTCGCCTGAGAGTACATACTCTCGACCATCGTCTCGCGTGCACCGGGCACCCAAGATGTCTGCGGCGCAGAATACTGTGATGCGCCATCCTGCCAGTGCTGCTCTCTTTCCCTGCTCCTGTCGTCCCGTCTTTGCCCAGTAAAGGAGTCGTCTGGTGCGCCCCACGAAGAGGTCGATTGCGCATCGCTGCGATCCCGGTCGTGGCCGCCGAACTCGGTGAGCGCAGTGCCCGTGGAGGTCGTCCGGAAGCGCGTGTGAAGGATCGGTGAGTACTGCGCCTGCATGGAAGGATCGCTGGGCCTCGGGGGTGTCGTGGTCAACATGGGCAGCTCCGCTCGCCGCGTGGACGTCCTGCGCGCAAGCGAGTCGAGGGGCGACGAGTTGTGTAGGGCGGACGGAGGGTGCTGCATCTCCGCGTTGAAGTCTATCTACAGTGTCAATAATACGACCGAGCTTCTAGCTTCGCCAGCGATCGCAGAGATGAGGGGGGTTCGTACGGCTTCCTGCCAGGCTGGTTCAAGTATCCGGAAAAAGGGGGAGGGAATGTATCATCGCACTGGCGTCGCAGATGCCGATGCAGGCTGTGGGCTGGATCATGGCGAACTTGGCACTGGCAGAGACCTGCCGCAGCACTTGCCGCCCGTCGCACTTGTTCGGCCCAGGCACTCCCAAACGCGGTCACCGAAACTTGCTGAAACTCAGGTAGCATCATGTGCGTACTGCTCTCAACACTGCATTACGGCCTCAGATTGCCACTGTCAGAGGAACAGCGTCTCTACGTATAGGACCAGCACAGCAGAGCCAACAATAGCCCAGTATTACTCTATTAGATGTACTTTTTACCGGTCTTGACCTCAACATACGGGTCCATCCTCGCGGGCCTCTTGTACCGGGGCTCATCCGTTTCTGCAAGGAGTGGGTCAGAGGCCTGTCAAGATCATCAACTTGTAAGACTTACTGAGGACATCCCGGTATATCTTAGAGACTGTCTCGTCCCAGACTTCTCTCCACATATGCGCGCCACCACCCTTGCTCCCGTCAAACCCATGCTCTTCCGCGAAGGTACGGAAGTTGAACCCGAGCCGAGCTGCCTCAGAAATCTTGGGCAATTTAAGAGGCTCGGTAGGGGATGCCTGAGGCAGCATCAATACCGCATAGCGATGATATGGCGTGCCCTGTTGCGGGTGCGGCGGAATGTAGTGGGTGTGCGGATGAGGGATCGAGATTGGTGAGGTAGAGAACGCAGAGAGAGGTATGTTTGGTCTGCGAAGGGGATCACATAAAAACCTAAACTTGATGAATGCAGTCGTGCACTAGACCACTTACTGCATCCAGTGCAAATAAGCCTGGAACGACTGGGTCGCCTCATTGGGGACGTCTAATGCGCGATCAGTACCGGCAACAAGCAGAGGAGAGTATGCATACCCAGATCAACCATGAACAACGTATAGAGTCGTGTATCGGTATGCCATACAGTCGTGTACAGCATAGGTGGCCTCCATGTCTGTAACATACGCGGTTTGTATCCATGTGCGCAGCTACAAGCGAGTAACCCATACCTGCTCCGGAAGAAGATATATACCGGGCTCAACCTTCTGGTAACGCCGCTTCACGCGCGTCCGGCGGTACGTGTCCTCTGGCGGCGGCTCCGGGAAGTTGAGACGGAGGTCAATTGTAGGGCGCAGGTCGGCAAGCAAATCAGGAACGACGTTCATTTGGTGGATACGTTCCATCTACCAAGCAGAAATTAGCTCTTCTGCTCACAGCTGCACCCAGGTGCCTGCAGCGGTCACTTGACCTCCCGAAGGTCGCAAATGTTGCAGGCACGAAGGACATGATGGTAGCATATTATGACGATGCTCCTTCCGAAGAGTACTGAATATTGAGAACTTACAAGGAGGTCCAACACTCCGTCTTCCCTCCACCTCTTCTCCGACAAGTGCCTGTAGCTCAGCTGGCTCATGTCCGCTGCAGCAGGATGAGCGCTATTCTTTCAGGAAGATAGGGAGCACTTACCCATCCCATTCATAGTCTTCCAGCGCACGTCGGGCAGGTTGACTTCGCTCTGAATCTCGATGATCCTCGCCTTCTCGGACAACTCCTGCCCGCGCTGGACATCGCCAGCGGTCTCGGCAGCCTGGAGAGCCTTGCGCACTTCCTCGAGCTCCACCTTCAGTGCCTTCGAGTCCTCCTCGATGTACTGCAGCGCGAGGTCATACACTGGAAGCACACCCTTCGCTAGAGGTCGGTTCCACTGCCTTGGATGCTCCAACGAGATGCGCGGCCTGTGCGTTGGCCAATTCCGTCCATTCTGCTTGGTTCCTTCCGCAGCAGTTTCTGTGCCAGTCGCCTCAGAGCCAGCCTTGGAAGGAGAGGGCGCTGGTGCGGATTTCGGCGCCGGGGCAGCTGCTCGAGGTGGTGAAGGCGGCGGTGTTACCGAGTTGGCAGGAGCATCTGTCGGCTGCAGCGACGCGTTTCCTCTTGACCCAGAGAGTCTTGCACACGCGCGAGGGAGTCTGCGGACGGCTAGCATGCTGGCCGATGTAGCACTGGCAGGAGCGCAACCGTGACACGCTCCTGAAGTCACCGCGCAAACTATTTGATTAGATAAGCACCGGCGCTTCCCTCACCTTGCTCTCGAACTCGTGATTCTCATGATCAGGCTCGAACTCTTCTTGCTGATCAGCTCCTCGTCGCGACCCAACTCGGCCTACCGTCTTGCGTTGTGCCCAAAGTCACAAGTAAGTGACCGGCCATCCTTGTTTTCATAACTGCGATTCTTAGACCATACGTGAGTGCAGCCCTACATGCTACTTACATGACAGTCAAACGCTCCGAATCTACATAGTACTTGCGCGAAGGAATGCGTACATGCTCGATTGACTAGACGAGGTCACTGTCTCGAGGTGATAACCACGCGCGAATCAGTCGCGCGAGTTCGTTGGGTTACGAGGGACCGAAGCAATACTATCGATGTTGCATGGTGCTGCGCCAGAATACGTTGGTTACGCGGTACAAAATGATACATATCAGGGTGGGACAGGTACTGTATGTCGAGACCAGGACAGCAGGGATTAGTAAGATACAATGTGGGTATGAGGATCGTGGAATGCGAAGTCCGAGATGACACGCGAAGCACTAATACAGACTGTACCGGCGAAGAGGAGACCCTCAATCGAAATCCTCGAACTCAGAAGCATCCTGACCACCCTCTTCCCCGGACGACAGTATCTCGATATAGCTCTTGGGTGCACCTCTGGCTGCACGCCTGGGGGCCTCGGTACGAGCAGGTGGTTGGACCTCCATAGCGAGCTCGTCCTCGCCGTCACTGTCAACTACCTTCGACGCAGCCTTCTTCTTCGGCACGGCAGTGGGTTTGCTTCCGGAGGCTTTGCGTACCGTCTTAGACGGCAGTGGCGGTGGTGGAATGTCATCGTCCATCGAGATATTGTCATCATCATCGACTTGCTTCGCCCCCTTCTTCGCAGCAGCAGGCTTACTGGAGGAAGGCTTCCGCGTCGCCGTCTTCGGTGCTGACGGCGCAATGGACTCATCGTCCGAAGATTCTTCGTCATCAAGCCCGGCCTTCTTACCAGAAGCAACTCGAGCCTTTGCTGCCTGAATACTCGATGAAGGCTTGCGAGCGGTGGGCTTCTTGGCCGGGGCCTTCTCGAAGAAGTCGGTCAAGCTGACGTCGGCTTTCTTCTTCTTCAGGGGTACAGCTTGCGCATCATCATCAGATACCTCGTCATCAGGGCTGGGATCGATGCATTAGCCGGCGAATGGAAAGTGAGACACAACACTGACCTCTTCCGTTTCGGGTTGGAGGCAACGCGAGCTTTACCCTTGCCTTTATCCTTAGAAGCAGGAGGGACAACCTCAATGTCGGAATCGTCATCTTCATTCTGCTGCGCAGCCTTCTTGGCTGCAGGTCCTCGCTTGTCGACGATCATCTCGAAGTCTGAATCGTCATCCTCCTTGACAGCCTTGCGAGCTGCGGCTTTCTTGAGCGGTGCAGCTTTGCTCTTGCCTACGTCGAAGTCGGATTCTGATTCATCTTTCACAGCCTTCTTGGCCCCCCTCTTCGCTGGAGGAGGCTTCACATCGGCTAGATCGTCGTCCTCGAGCTTCGACCCAGAAGGTCCAGCTTGCGGAGGTTTCTTCGCAACAGGTGGCTTAGATTCCGGCTTCTTGGCCTTTGCAGCAGCTTTCGCGGGCTTGAAATCATCCTCTGAGTCATCCTCAGCATGGGCCTTCTTCGTCAACTGCTTCAAAGTAGCCTGCTTGCGCTTGCCCTTCTTGTTGGCGGAATTCGCTGAGATGATCTTGGCCTCCCAATCTTCGCAAGACCCCTACAATTTCCGGTTGTGTTAGTCTCAATTGTTTGCCACAGAGGACTGCTTTACATACCTTCCATTCGTCCAAGAATCGATCGAGATCCTTCTGCCACAGCGCGATCGGAGTCAGTTCAAGGAACGCTAGTAGTTCCTGCTCCTTCTCCTTAGCTTGCGCAAGGAGCTTCGCAATCTACAACACGTCCGTATTAAATATTAGCTCCCTCAAAAAACGACTTGCACTTGCCTTCTCCTTCGTCAGGCTCCAGATAGCCATACCAAGGAGGTAGTCGAAGTCTGTATCTTTGCCCTCCTCTTCGTCGTCGTCGCCCTCGTCATTGATCTCAACGAGCTCTTCAGTTTCTCCGGCCTTCTTGGCTTTTGAGACCTTGGCAAAAGGCCGGAAATCAAGCTTCCGCAGTTCAGCGACGATGTCTGCCTTCTTGCGATTGTTGACGACAAGCTCTTTGTTCACAATCATCTGCACGAAACGAGCTTGGTTGGTGAGCCTCGAAAACTCCGTCTCCAGTTCGGCGGCGATATAATCCTAGATAGTGGTCAGACAGCTCGCCGCCTGCGCGATAAAATATGACAGTACCTTCCGCATCTGATAGTAAGCAAGACGCTTCGGATAGAACTCCTCGATGATCTCCTCAGGGCTGTTGTATTTCCTGATCTGACCATCGAAGTCGAAACAAATCATGTTGCTGGTATTGATCTTGCCCGTAAGCTTGAAGAACTCGTATAGGCCCTGGGCCTCCGCCTTTTCCATCTGCTTCGGCTCCATGGTGATGACGAAGTGAACGTTCATGTTGTTGTGATACTCCTTGTAATCCTATGACCCAATACTATCTCAGAGCAACGTCCATGCAAGCAAAGCGTAAGAGGCACCTTGATTGGACCATCACCCTTCTCACCACACATAGTCTCCAGCTCGGCCTTATAGTTTTGTGTCCACTTCCCCACGGGAAGCTCAGTGATCTCGATCGTTGTATCGTCAACCTTCTGAACACAGCCTACTACGTCGTACTTGTTGTCAGCGACCTTCTTGATGGTGCCGTTGAATCCGCGCGTCCACGGTAACATGGGTACTTGCTCCTCTCCATCCATGAGGCGACGGATGTTGGCGACGATGTCCTCCGGGTTGTAGGACGGGATAGAAGTACTCCAACCTGCTCGCGTGTCAGAGATCTTCACAAGTACCTCCGATGGGATAACTCACCGGTCCCGATACCCTCCGCTCCATTGACAAGGACCATCGGCAGCACCGGAACGTAGAAGTCCGGCTCGACGAGCTTGCCGTCATCACCCACTTGGAAATTCATCAAGGGATCGTCGTTGGCGTGGAACACCATGCGCGTGATGGGCGAGAGCTCCGTGTAGATGTAACGGGCCGAGGCGTGGTCCTTACCGCCTTGGTCGCGAGTACCGAATTGACCATTCGGCATGAAGAGATTCATGTTATTGCTGCCGACGTAGTCTTGAGCAAGGTTGACGATGGTGGAAACCAAGCTCTGTTCTCCGTGATGGTATTGCGCGTGTTCTGACACATAGCCGACGAGTTGAGCGACCTGAGCCAGGCGATATGTCAATTTGTGTGAGATGAATCACAGCCGAATGCTCGTACCTTGATTTCTCCCTTGAGCTTCCGCTTAAAACAGGACCAGACGACTTTCCTCTGGCCAGGCTTCAGTCCATCAACAACGGACGGAATGGAGCGGACGTTGTCGGCCATCGAGAAGAGGATGAGTTCCCTGTTGATGAAGTCAGAGTACTTGATTTCCTCTTGGTTGTGATCGAGGAAAGTTCCGGGCTGCGAAAAGGGTCAATGATACGAAGCATACAGATTAACAAGCGCGGACTGACCCTGCACTGACGCAGCCACTCCTTCCGCTCGTCTGCCTTCTTCTTGCTGAACGCAAGCTCGATGAGTTCGCGGTCGCCGTTTTCCGTTGTGCCGAAAGGTATCATGTGCTTGCGCATCTGCTTGAAGTAGTCTCTCGCGTCCGCGTCCGTGCTCGTCCCCAGACCCTGCAGCAGTGTGTCAGATCAACATAGAAGTTCTGCGCGCTGGGAATACAAACCTTAAAGTACTTGTGCTTCCACTTGTCTTGGTTCGGAGTGTCTTCCTTCCATTGTTCGTACTCAGGCATGGTGTAGAAGTTGATCTTCTGACCGCCCTTCGTGACCTAGACAGAGCGTCAGTACTTGTGAATGAGCGAGACCGCACGATGGACCATGCTCACCCTAACGATAGGAGTAATGAACTCCACGAGGAACTTCGGCACCTTCAGCAACGAAGGGTAGAAGTGGTCGAAATAATTGATAAGAAGTCCCTTGATATGAGAACCATCGTGATCCTGTAGACGGGGATTAGAATGTATTGCCCTCGGGACAGCGGAAGCGTACCTGATCAGTCATGAGCATAAGGCGGCCGTAGCGCAGGCCATTCGTGTCCTGGTAATCCTTGTTGTGCTGCAGTCCAAGGATCTTCTTGATGTTCTGTATCTCCTCGTTCTTCATGATCTGTTCGTGCCTGGCATCGCGGACATTGAGTGGCTTTCCGCGCAGAGGGAACACGCCGAAGTTGTCGCGACCGACAACGCTCAGACCGGCGACTGCGAGCGACTTGGCGGAGTCACCCTCTGTGAGGATCAGCGTGCATTCGGAGGCCTTCCTGGTGCCTGCGTTGTTGGCGTCGGACAATTTGGGCAGACCAGACAGCCTATATTGTTGGATGAGAAACTGCAAGGTGAGAGTATATGCGCATCAGCTCACCTATTCCGGCGACTACCGTCGGTTTTCTTCATCTGTTGATCGGCCTTGAACCTGGCCCAGTTGAGAACATGGTCGACGATCGAAGACTTCTGAACTAACATCCAAGACATGTCAATGCATATGGGATGATGCGCACGGTCGAGCGATACCTTTCTTCATGAATTCTTCAGACAACGCCGGTTTAGTGCCAAACTTGCTCGCGGGCAAGGTCAGCGTCTCCTTCGTCTGACTGTCAAACGTCGGATTCTCGATGAGCGCATTGACGAAGATCCACATATGGTTCTTGATCTGCGCCGGCTTGACAGCAGCAGCCTTGTTCTTCTTCTGTATAGATGCGAGCAGGTTCTTCGCTATCTGTTCGGCGATGTAATTGACGTGCGTGCCACCCTTGATAGTAGATATCGAATTCGCGAAGGAGACCTGCTGGAAGCTGCCGTCCGAGACTGCGAACGCGACTTCCCAGCGAGAACCGATGGCTTCATAGATCATGGTCGGCTTTGCCTGGGCCGCGCCGCCAGACACCTCAGCGGCTTGTTCCGTCACGGAGTTGAGATAGAGGTCGACGTATTGCTTGAAGCCCTTAACCTTAATCCTCTCGTCGTTCAAGAAGACCTTGACATCCTTCGATGTCCCGGCCAAGTCGTGTACGCGCTTCTTGAGTAGCGCGACTGTGTCGTCGTCGATCAGTTCCATGCCAAACCTCTTGAGGTCCGGTTTGAAGGTGACGCGGGTGTACTCCTCTCCACGTCCATTCTTCGTAATCTTGGCCTTGCCCATCTTGCTCATGTTATCCGTCCACGTTTGGCGGTACTTCTGTGAGGAGTTCTTGTCTGCGGTGTCGACCGTGAACTCGGTCGAGTAGATGTTGGCAAGCTTGGCACCGTAGCCGTTACGACCACCGGTAAGCTTCTTCTCGTCGTCGTCGTAGTTGGATGAGGACAAGAGGTGTCCGAAGATGAGTTCTGGGATATAAATCTTCTCCTTCGAATGCATCTCGATGGGAATGCCTCGCCCGCTATTGTAGACGGAGATCACATTGTTCTCGGGGTCGATGGTGACTTTGATAGTGTCCATGCTAGGGTCATTAATCTATAGTAGCAGCACCATTAAGAGTTTATATGCGTCGTGACGATTCAACGAACTGACCTTGTTGTCGGCAGCATTAACTAGAATCTCATCCACGATCTTGAAGAAGCCAGGAACGTACTTGATCTCCCGGTGAACCATACGTTTGTTGTCCGAGTCCCAAACCCACATGGGCTGCGTGAATGTCTCGACGCTCCCGATATAAGAATCCGGTCTCTTCAAGATATGCTCGAGTTGCGAAAGCTAGCAAATCCTCAGCAACGCGCTCACACGAGCATATACCCATCCCTGACCTTTGTGTACGTCTCAGAGGCCGTCTTCTTCTTCGCAGGCGCAGCCGGAGCACTTGGCCCAGCGTCGGCGTCGTCGTCAAGCATGTCAACGTCAGAATCCGCATTGTCATCCTTGTCGACGAGAACCTTCTTCTTTGCAGCAGAGGCCTTCGGCTTTGCGGGCGCCTTCGCGGGTTTCGACGCGGTTTTGGTCTTAGCAGTGGCCTTGGTTGCTTTCTTGGGCGCAGGCGCGTAGTCGTCCAACTCCGAATCGGAGCCCGAGACGTTGTCGAGGTCGAAGTTCTCCTCCGAGGAGCTCATCGTAGCAAGCAAAAACGCTCGCGGATGAAAGGTGCTGATGGTCAGCCAGAAGGCAGGTAGGAGGAGTTGTTGTTCGTGTCGAAGTTGAGCGCCGCGACGCGGTCCGCGTTCAACGCGTTTTGCACGTGACTGTGGCAGCGCGTTCTTGATGGCGACGCGTGGGCGCGTCGCGAGTCGACTCTTCAATTTGATTCCAATATCTCAGCGCTCAGCTTTCACAGGTTTGTGGACGTGTTCGCGGACAGCCTCGTGAAAAATAGCACGCCTCTCGTGGTATCCTGTATCAGAGCAGGGCGAAATGGCCTTAGTCCTGACTCTTCTCGTCGCAAACCCATCATCCTTCAACGAGTCGCTACCCCTCTCACTATACAGTGTCAAATCTGCTCGACTGAGGCTACACCACCCGGACTCCATCATTCTAGTTGCGAGAGCCGCATCAGAGGGACAAGCGTCGAAATTCACGTATACAGTCATCAATGGCTCCTTGGGACGGTGAAATGCTTGTCGATGTCCCATACTTCCGCTATTCCTTGTGAGGTAGATCGGACTTGATAGAACCTTGCTTCTGCCTTTGAGCTTCATGTATTAAATTCTACAGCCTTATCCATATAGTGGTGACTTCTCATGTTGCAGATCAGTTCCGGTTTTTCTTATCAATGGCTTCACCACTCCTTGGGACACTTGCCTAATTAGGGTACTTTCTCGAAACATGTTCGGAGAAGCACCTGAAAATATGCATGTACTCGTCATCTCAGGTAGTCACTTTGTATCAGAGACCTTTAGGAAGATGTATGCTTGATTTATAGGCCTCATACAGACCATTGTATTACTGTTTTGTTCGAGTTTCGTTGCAAGATGTTGAAGTATGAGGATTATGTAAGCACGATCTTCCAAATGCGGTCACAAAATGTTCGATGTGGCCGTTTTCTAGCTTCCTCGATTTACAGCGCGGTTCCGCAGACACTTACAAGCGAATTAAGGTGCACGTTGGATCCGCAAGACATCCAGCTATTTAACGATGATTTTTTTGCTGCTGACATTCCTTACGGGGAGTGACCCAGAGCCACGTGTCCCAAGGACCGGTGGTGTCCCAAGGAGCCGTTGATGACTGTATGCGATGACATTCTGGTTCATCATGGCACTCGCTGTGTGCTGGCTCTTGCGGACCTTATGGCGCACTGCTCGCAAGTCCCAAACCGGTGCAACACTGACTTTCTTACCTGGTCCGCGCAGTGCTAGTTGGATCTATGGTAATCTTTTGCAAATATACCACGTTGGGAACGCTCGAATGCAAGAAGTATGGGCAGCTCAGTATGGACGCGCCTTCAAATACAATGGTTGGCTGAACGTTGGTTCAATTATTCAATTGCATGGCCCCGCGATTGCTGCTCATTATCTTCACTCGTGATCACAGACAGAATGTCTATGCACTATGGATGTCAAGGCGCTGACCCATATCTTGAGCCACGTCGCTGACTATCATAAACCGGAACTAGCAAGATTTAGAATTTCAGAAGTCATCGGAGAAGGTAATGCTTCATGAACGCCCTGAAGACGTCAACTCACCAAGTCAAACCCTTCAGGATTAATTGTCGCAGAAGGTCTGTGGGTGATATCTTTGCGCAAGGACTCCCCGTACTCACCTCTTGTTCAGGCGAAGCTCACCGCAGACAAGTAAGTACTGCATAAGCTGCCTAACTTAGTCGTAGAGTGATCCACTTTGGCGTTTGAAGCGGCGAGTGTTGGTATGTCGAATCGCAGGCCTCGCCCAGTGTCGTATTGACAGGTCGTGGGCAGAATTCCGCATTCGGCACGCCTCAACTCAGGGGCTTCACACAACTTTTCATAGAGAAATCAGAGCTGGTGAGTGCTTCTTCAGACGTGTAGTACATATCGCTGAAGAGCGTATGCGAAGTTGCGCGATGTATGGGTAGCCGAGATTGCCACTCATGGGGAGTCCGTCCGCATTGACATCTTCGGTGGACTTGCCAAAATGACGCTGGACGTAATGGGATCCGCAGGTATTGCTATAAGCTTGGTCGCTTGTGATCTCAAGATGTATCTTGACAACTTCACGAACTGTAGCGTTCAATCAAGAACTCAACATTTTACGCCCTGGCGAAGAGACGAGCGAGCTCTCCGCTGCATTTCAGGCCATCTTTGGACCTCCAACTGGGAAGCCTCACATCTTCACCTTGCTGAAGTACATGATCCCTCCTCTTCGCTATCTGTGAGTCACGTCAACAATCAGCTTGCCGGTTAACTTACGATACCCCAGCCGACAGAGAGGACGCGGCGTATAGCCCGCGCGAAGGCAACGTTCTACCGCGTTGGCATGCAGCTGATCACGGAGCGTATGGCGAGCATCCATCCGGTCACTCGAGATGGAAAGATCGGTGGAAATCTGGACGCCATCGCAGACCGGGACATACTGACGTTGCTTCTCAAAGCCAATATAGCCGCGGATATCCCTGCGAAACAGAGGCTTTCCAATGATGAAGTCTTGGCGCGTAAGTCAGAGTTTTTCGTTGCACCAATGATGTACTGAATGCAGCTATAGAAATACCAAGGTCAGTCAATTTGCTGACCGTTCCATGTGCTTGACATTATAAGCTCCTGGCTAGCTTCTTAACGGCTGGCTACGAGACCACGAGTAACGCCGCAATGTGGACAATCTACGCACTGACGCAAGCGCCTCGCGTCGAGCAGAAACTCGTCGAGGAGTTACAGGCAGTTCCGCACGATTGGCCCACCATGGATCAGCTTCAAGCCTTGCGATACCTTGACGTTGTTGTCCGGGAGTCGTTGCGGTTGCACGCGCCGGTACCTTCCACTCTACGTGTTGCGACGAAAGATGATGTCATACCTCTCAACGATCCATTCGTCAATACTGAAGGCAAATTGTGTGACCACATACAGTCAGTACGCGGAGCACCGCTTTATGTGCTAGCTTTTTTACTTTTGATCTTGACGTGAATTGCAGCATCCCCAAGGGCACGACTATCGATGTCCCTATTCTTGCCTTAAACAGGGCGAAATTTCTATGGGGTGAGGACGCACTGGAATTCAGGTACGTGAACTTGGCTCGATTCATTCGCCCTGATACCAACGATGATATTCGTGCATTCAGGCCAGAGCGTTGGGATGCATTGCCACCAGCAGTGCAAGGCATTCCCGGTGTCTGGAGCGACATGATGACATTCATCGGCGGGCCGCGGTCATGCATTGGGTATCGCTTCGCCGTCCTGGAGTATGTGTCTTTTCCGTCAGTACATATCGTTCTCATTGCCTCTCGCCTATAGGATCAAGGCGCTCATCTTCATCCTGTTTCGGGCGTTTGACTTCAAGCTCGCCGTGCCCCGAGAGGACCTGATCATCCGATCTACTGTGGTGCAACGTCCTATAGTTCGGAATGAACTTGATAAGGGTGTGCAGATGCCCATGCTGATCACACGTCGACGAACGTAGATCTGTCATTGGGCATAGCGTATATTGACGGGGTGGCCTGAGGCTACGTATTGGAAGTTAATAGGATAGCAGAGACGACAGCTTTGTTTTCTCTGAACCGTACTTTGGTGACATCGAAGGCTGTGGAGTTGTTTGTCGTATGACTTTGGCTGCTCTGACATAATTCAAGACCATCTGCATAAGGGCATTATCTGTCTCTCGATACTAAGTGATGATGGAGGCACAGACGACGTTCAGATGTTCAGTGCCCTTGTGATCGAAGAGTCTGACTAAGTTCCATTCACGGTTCACAATGAAGCTGGCAGGTCTAATTTTTGGTTGTAGTGTTCTACTGGGTACAAGCTTGAGAACATATCGAGCGGACACCAGAGAACAATTACCTCGGCTCCTGAAAATGGAAGTTCTCCAACAGTCAGGAGCTGTGGGGTACTATGTAATGCGTGCCGGCGATAGAGAAGGGACTCGCCTTGTGATTACTTGTAAGGGTTGTAAAATGGCATACGTTGGTTACTACTGACTCTCACCATAGACCCGTTATACATAAGAAGAAATCAGGGACGGCACGGGAGTCGATGGTCACCAAACGAAGTCAAACATCAGACAGGGTATTCGTCACCTCCTTGCTGCTCGACCACTTCGAAATGGGAAACCACAAGCTCGATCGCGGCTAGATCCTCTGATCCGGAGTGAACAGAGGCGGCCTGGTCCCCTGATTCCGTTTTGAACTTCAATAAGTTTGGCGAATTCGCTGCGAACGCCTGCGTCTGCTCCGTCGATACCGCTGTCCAGATACGGATGATGATCATGTCGAAAGAGATACCGGCGACTTCAATGCTCTACAAATTACAAACCAGTGTCAAAAGCTCAGGTACAACCACCTTCAAAAATAGAGTACTCACAAGGTCAATGACACCATAGTACACATTCGTCCTTGCAAGGTCCAAGACGACGCTGAAGACGACGGTCGTGGTGTACAGGAGAGCGGATTCGACCATAATCAAAATGACATCCGCTAAGCTGAGTCGATTTCGAACGCGCCAGCTCTGTGCGAAGAACGCAGAAGTGCGCTTATGAATCTTCCAGAGTCTGATGATGATGAAACCTGCGACCGACAATGCTACAGCGTCAGAGATGCATTTGAGATACGCCAGGGACCTGGAAGACAACGCACCGGTCGTGAGGAGATTCAGTACAACTGTCGTCGCATAGAACGAATATAAATAGGGTTGCAATTGTGGGATCTCGGGTATAGTGGTATGCACATCCACAGTGCCCAGGATGTACACAACCATGACCGCGAAGGCTATGCATGCGAGCCAGAGAACTAGAGGGACTATTCCGACTATCGCCCGATGGCTTGAATTGGCATACACCATCCAGCACCGATAAATCTAGATACACAAGAGTGAATACACGTAGATATATATTCCAAAATCGCCCTCACCAAGGCTGCGTCTGAGAGGGAAGCGTTGATATATTTCCAGACACTCTAGAGTGAACATTGTATCAGTCACATGCAATACATGGACCAAATGCACTACGTACGCGCATCAGGTTGACCCAGTTCGACGTATCATCGAATACAACGTTTGCGCCGGAGGACGCTGTGGCAGGGAGGACGAACGCCATGAGGTTGTGGTACAAGATGAAGGAGACATCGCAAGTGTCAATGATGAAGAAGGCAATGGCGACAGACAACCAGATCCTCGAGGCCGTTGTGCGGGAGCTGCTTGAACGTCGGAACCAAGTATATATGCAAATAGAGAATGTGACCACATGAACGCCGTAGGCCACGCTCTGCATGAAGAGCGCAATCAGCTGTGCTTCTGCTATACTAGGGAGCATCCCCATTGTCTGGCGGTACCAATGGAACCGCGGGACGTGGCATGTATATACATACCGGTATGATGGTGCACCGCTCGAGTGGATTCGGACTGACAAGCTTCTCTGTCCTCGATATTTTGCGTGTCTATGCTGCGTAACGGCGTTGAGCAGAACAACATGAGATGTGTCGAGACCCGATGATCAGTACCTTGGCTCGATCCAGACGTTCAGGAGGTGGCATAGATGTCAGCAGAGATCGAGAAACCCATACCAGAGACACCTCCATTACAGCGGCGGTGGCCCTAACTGACGGCCATCCTGACAGTGAGAGGCCCGTGCACTGCCCGTGCCAAATGTGACGCCCTACGTAAGCGCCCGTGTGTGCCCACCTGTTCGACGGCCGCGACTCATCACAAACTGACACTCAGCCTAAGAGAACACAGGCCCGCTTCACACGACGGAAGGACACGAACGCAGGGATAGGTGGGACTCACCCTTGGCCTTAGTGATATGTATTAGCACGGCATCACCCTTCTCAGTCGCGCCCATCTTGACATTAGAGCATAGCGAGCACGTTCGCCATGCTTACAGTTTGACGACGCAGAAAATGTTGGGGCTCACATTCAGATACTTTATGGCGCTCGCTGAGAGTAGCCTGAGGTCAGGAAGTGCATATCTGATTAGTTCATCCGCTCAAGCTCTGCAAGTGAAATGCAGAGGGCCACATTGTACACTCGCATGCGATACACAGGGGATGTGACATATATGCGCTCAAGGTCGAGCCTTGATATTGCTCACAATGAGGCTCTGCAAAGCATCGTCAATAGGAATGACAGCAGGCAGTCAGGAGAAGCCATACCTTGTACGCTTGTACGTCGCCCTTGAACTTGGTCACCGTAGCATCTGCGCACACCCATAGCTATTTGAAGAATCTCTCCATCAACAACGCTTCCTGTCAGTCATTAAGACCTTACTTACCTCCTTTGCGACTGTCGTGATGAAGCGTTCGTCGTGCGATATCAGGATGACGCCGCCGTTCCACGCTGTCAACGCTTGCATCAAGGCGTCCAAACCCTAGAGGTATATGTTCAGCATGAGAAAGCGAGCATGCATTCATGGAATGATTCGTCACACTGACCTCAATATCCAAGTGGTTAGTAGGCTCATCAAGGAGCAGTACGTGTGGTCGCTGGAGCGACAAGACCGCGAACGCCACTCTGCTTTTTTGACCTCCACTCAGCGTTCCTATCAACTGCAGTCTGTATCATCGCATCAAACTAAGTGTCCACTCCGACGTAGTACTACAAAGAAACACGCACCCAGTCATGCCGCTGATCTGGAAATTGCCCAAATGCGAGCGATACTCTTGTTCCGTTTTGCCCGGAAACTTGGATGCGAGGAACTGCACAGGGTTCATAGTAGCAGTCAGGGTGTCTACGTGGTGCTGCGCGAAGTAGCCTCTGCAAGGGTTGGGGCATCAACAGCGGACATATATCAATTGAGGTGTCTACGCACATCCTCAACCGACCATTCTGGCTGACATGCCCAGATAATGGCTTCAGTTCTCCCGTCAGCAGCTTGATGCTATGTAATCACATCAGTTGCGTCCTCTCACAAACAATTGACAGCATCTCACAGCGTCGACTTTCCAGCACCGTTCGGACCCACGACTGCAATCCGAGAGTCAAGGCCAACATCAATGTTGATGTTCTTCAAGAGGATCTTATCCAACGTGTACCCGAACGAGGCCTCATTCAGCTGGAGCACCGGCGGGGAGATCTTCTCCGCGTCAGGGAACTTGAACGTCTCCGTCTCCTCGACTTCTGGTGGATGTAGTTCAGGCAGCTATGAGTTAACACGAGGTGAGCGCGATTGCACGGTGAGTAAAGTGGCTGAGCGTACCTTCTCGAGGATCTTGATCTTGGACTGCGCCTGTGCTGCTCGGTTTGCGTTGTATCGCCACCGGTCAATGAACGCCTGTAGATGCTTGCGGTAATCCATCTGGGCCTCGTATTCTTTGCGGAGGTTTCGGTCGCGCTCGGACTTGGTGGAGTAGAACTGTGTGAAGTTGCTACGAGCAAGCGAGATGAGCAAACTACGACGGACACGAGGAAACTAGAGCCTACCCTTTGTAATAGTCAAGCCGTCCTGAGTGCATATGGACGATATCAGTAGCGACAGCGTCTCTGAGATGACGTCAGTGAAATACCGTCTATAATGTGACGGTGGACTCACAGGAATGCACGATCGTGAGAGCTGGTGGAAGATCAGTTAGAATGTATCGCTAAGAAGTGCACGAAAGACATACACGACGAGCAAGGTTCCCGGCCATGTTTGAAGATAATCTTCGAGCCATGCAAGGGCATTGAGATCGACTAAGAAAGAAGGATGTCCTGAGGATCTCTTCGGTGCAAACCACAACTCCGGACTTACTATGATTCGACGGCTCATCAAGCAGCAACAAAGCCGGCTTCACGAACAGAGCTCTCGCCAACGCCAACCGCATCCTCCACCCACCACTAAACGCCTTCGTCGGTCTGCTCTGATCCGCCTCACTAAAGCCCAACCCCGCCAGCAGCGCCGCTGCCCTCGCCGGCCCACTCTCCGCCTCCATATCCGCGAGCCGCGCATGCACCTCCGCGAGCCTCGTCTGCGCCTCCTCCCTCGCGTCCTCAAATCGCTTGTCGTCGCCCTCGCCCTCGAGCTCCTGCAGTTTCTGGTTGAGTTCCGTCTCCTCGCGTAGGAGGATGTCCCGCCAGACGTCCGCCTGCAGCACGGAATCAAGCGCGGTCGTATCGTCGCCGACAATCTCTTGCTCGACGAAGAGGATGGTGATGTGTGGTGGAATGGGCACCTCTCGCATGGCGATGTGCCGGAGGAGCGTGGACTTGCCGACACCGTTCCGACCAATGAGACCGTACCGACGGCCGTAGGCAAGCGTAAGAGATGCACCGGAGCTGTGGATATCCTTTTGTTGGTGATTTAGCAGGTGGGCGGCTAGGAGGACTTACAGGATGCGATTTGAGCCGAAGTTGACGTCGATGTTGGGGAGGTGGATGTCCTTGGACTTGTTCTTTGAGTTGACAGCATCGAGAGGATTGATCTTCATGAACATTTCCTCGTACGATTGCTGTGAGGTCACTCAGTGGTCGGTTGCAACGGCGACATAGATACGAAAGACATACCTGCTTCTTGTGCTGGTCCAGCAACTTCGAGCCTTCGTACAACGTCCTCTTGGAGCGCTTCTCTATCTTGGCCTAATCATATATTGACAATCGTTACAGGCTTCGACAGAGGCGACTACACATACCTTCAGCTTCGCTTCCTGCTTCTCCAGTTTCTTCACATCAACGCGCGATGCTCTAGAGATTAATCAGACACAGCCTCCCCAGAATCTGCAAAAGCACTCACTTTCCCTTGTTTATACTCTCCAGATCTACACCCTCCGTGAACTGGATCGTACTGCTCATAACCCCCACTTTGCTCATATCCATCACTTTATCTAGCCTCACAAGACGTGTGCCCTGGCCCACGCTCTTCTTCTCCTCCCTCTTGCTTAGTGGCTCCGCGAGCATCCGCCCGAGCGCAGACATGACCTTCTCCAGCTGCACGTCCTGACCCTTCCGCGAGGACGAGGGCGCGGCGGACTCAAGGATGTTGCGCGTGACTTGCAGGACATCTTCGTCCTCGGCAGCGTCGTCAAGGTCGAGCAGGTAGCCCGAGACATACTGGACGACAATTTCTTCGGTCCCTGGGAGAGCGATGCGGATCTCTTCGGCGATGTCTTCTGGTGAGACGTCCATGACACTAGCCTAATTTCAAGGAGCTGAGAGAGAACTCTGATTGAAAGAACGACAAGAGGCTGCAGCCTGTAGACAGGAAGTTATTCACTAGTTCGTGCTGAGCTCGGAGTACGGGATGGGCTAGTCGGTCAGCAAGCGCCCGGTGTAAGAAAGCGATCGAGGATTGTATGTCCCGATGGATCTGGTGGCTGCATTGCGATGCCTCAGCTCATCCGCCACTTGCCTCAAGCTTCAAAGCTTCATTAATCAAGCTCAAGCTGCAGTAGTCAGCTTGCTCCAGGCTGTTATCTCGAAGCGTGGACTGCGACTTACCCCGAGCATCGATCAGAAGATATCATCTCCTGTACTATGATACTCTTCTCCTACTGTTTCGACTGACTTGACGACCCCTCCATGACGGATTCAAAGGATACCAGCACAGTCGTCGATGTCTACCACGACCGTGCCAGTTTCTCTTGCGCCAAGTGCGCCGCTGTTCTCGTTCGTGATCCACAGTTAGTCAGTATCAACGACGCCAAACTCATAGAAACCATGTAGGCTCTTCAGGACGAGCTGATCAGCAAGTCGTTCTCGGGGAGAGAGGGCAGAGGCTAGTACGTATAGAGATGCACGGACATAGCTGGTTGCTGAAGGCAGTCAGCTTGATTCATTCAGCCGTCAATGTGTCTATGGGGAAGAAAGAAGACCGACCCCTTCTGTGAGCGTACGCGGAACATAGATCGCTCCGAAAGCTGACAGTGTTCTAGGACAGGAGTCCACACCGTTGCAGACGTCTTCTGCGTCGGCTGCAAGGAACGTGTAGGGTGGTACTACTACAAGGCCTCCGACCATTCGCAGAAGTACAAAGAAGGTATTCGCATGTCTGTTTCCTGAATAGAGCAGAACTAACTCAAGTCCACCAGGCAAGTACTTGCTCGAGCGGGAGAGGTTGATCAAGGACAACAAGTGGAAGTTGGACTCATGATCTGGAAGAACAGTAACGACTTCCTTGATGTATACGATACTATTGTCTTGAAATGGAACGTACGGCGACGGGTTGTGAGCGATGTCACTGACTGCACCATTGCACGCCTGTCCAGTATTGACCCGCAAGGAATCATGGCAGCCGATCACGTATGCGCATCAGCCTGATTATCGTCCACATTTGTGATTTTCTCTACGAACTGCACTAGCACCCTTCGCTGACGACCTGCGCGCGTCAAGTACCACAGCCTCCTGCAAGCTCCTGATAAGCCTGTCAATGAAAGCACCATCGATATTGGCATTCACACTTACCGCCGAACGCTGGGATGATTCCAGAACGGAGTAGCCCCATGGAGTCCTGCAGACAGACTCCAACGTAACGAACATACCCGGCCCCGTACGGAGGACACAGGCGGCGAGTGACATATGCGCGTCTGGGTGAATGACACTCCTGCGCTTCGTCGAAGACACTGCTGGGCGATCCGTTGCACGTTTCTTTGCGCGATCAGCGCTGATACGTTCTCGACGTAAAGGTTTTGCGAAGGGTGTCCTGACAGACATCTGCAAGTACTGAGCGTGTCTTGAGAGGCACGATTGAGCAGGATAACGTAGTGGGATGATAGTAAGGCTCACTGACATAGGCAGCGCTGAACGCGAAATGCTTGCATCTCATGCATACAAGTCGTCATCGCTACCCGGAGAGCTCCCAGCGAATACGTCGTTCGTGGGCAATGGCGCGTCGTCTCTTCCCCGGGGAGCCTCGACCTTGCGGACGAGCCTCCAAGGTATCATGACCTGCCCGACGAATCGACCATTCGGATTGCCATCCACAGCATCGGCTCCGATACGGAACTCTTCTGTGCTGACGAGGAGAATGTTGAGTTGCTTGTCCGTCCCCACGAACGTCCCCATGAAGATTCGACCGTCGTCGATGGCCACACGGATTGGGAGACGTAGGAGAGACTTTAGGTGTTGAATTGAAGCGGGCGTGGCGGGTCTCAGTGGTGTAGAGCTTCCCGACGACATGGGGGATGAAGAGTCCGACATTGTGGTTTGCGGAGAGCGTTGAGAGTGATCAAAACAAACGTGTACCATGATCGAGAGGGCTGCGATCTAATCTAATCTACTTGAGTCACTGACCCGGTGTCCTCAAGTTTGCTCAGGCCGCCATGATGTTCTCCTCCAGACTCAACTCGTTCCTTGCTTCAACCGAGCCATCTCGGCCACTCAGCTCGCAGGAGCATATCAACACCGCTCATCTTGCAGAGCGCCCCCCGCGCCCCGGTCTCGGTGGGTTCTCAGGCGCGCATGTCTTCTGCGGCCGTATTCACAGGTCGTCTATCCTTTTCCCAGATCCACCGGAGACCGGAGACACACCAGGCACTCTAGTCAAAGAGAGAGCTGCCGCGGGCCTCACCCCCAATCTATCAGACTCCACCCCGATAGGACACCGAGTAAAATACAAGTACGCCCTCCCTCCCGGGAACTCGCCTGTGAACTCACCTCGCCCCGCCTATACCCGCCCGTACTCGTCGTTTCCCAGCCATAAAAACAGCTCCCATCAGCCCTGCTACGTAGCGTAACACCATGTCGACGTTTGGTACCCTCTTCCGCGTTACGACCTACGGCGAGTCCCACTGTGCGTCCGTCGGTGCAATCATCGACGGCTGCCCGCCCGTACGTTTGCCCATCGTTCAGCTGTCTGCGATGGATACAGACGTGCCGACCATCGCTTGTGACTGCAGGGCTTGCCGCTTGTTGCCCAAGATGTCCAGGTACAGCTGAGCCGGCGAAGGCCTGGCCAGAGCAACCTCACTACTCCTGTGAGTGCGGTGTGTTGCGATGTTCCCGTGGCCAGTTCACACAAGGTTCGTTAGCGTGACGAGAAGGACCAAGTCCACCTCCAGTCTGGTATCGAACATGGCATCACTCTGGGTACGCCCATCGGTCTGCTTGTACGCAACGAAGACCAACGACCGCATGACTACTCGGAGGTAAGCAACAGCGTCGCATATGATCCTTCTGTCTAGTAATATGTAGTGTCCTCCAGACCGACCTCTACCCGCGACCCAGTCACGCCGACTGGACCTACCTCGAGAAATATGGCGTAAAAGCCAGCAGCGGTGGCGGCCGTAGCAGTGCACGCGAGACGATCGGTGCGCATCATCCACCCTGCCCCTCCTTTCCTCTGACACACCTCCGCAGGCCGAGTCGCAGCGGGCGCGATCGCCGAGAAGTACCTGAAGATCGTCTACGGCATCGAGATCGTCGCCTTCGTCTCTTCCGTCGGTAAGGTACACATGCCGTCCTCGGTCGGCCCGCCCTCGCAGGCGTCGAGCGATGACGATGACACCGTCGAGGAGGCGCTCAGCCCCGAGTTCGTCGAGCTCCTCAAGACCGTCTCCCGCGAGCAGGTCGACGGGCACGCGACGCGGTGCCCGCACCCCGAGACCGCCGAACGTATGGTCCAGGTGCGCCCGTTCCCTTCCACTCACGCGTCCCCGCATACTCACACTCACCGCACAGCGCATCCTCCGCGCGAAGGAGGCGAGCGACTCCATCGGCGGGACGGTCACCTGCGTGGTGCGCGGGGTGCCCTCCGGGCTGGGCGAGCCCGTCTTCGATAAGTTCGAGGCGAAGCTCGCGCACGCGATGCTCTCTATCCCCGCGACGAAGGCGTTCGAGATCGGCTCCGGCTTCCGCGGGACCGAGATCCCCGGCAGCAGGCACAACGATGCTTTCGTGGTCAGACCCGATGGGAGCATGGGCACGAGCACGAACTGGAGCGGGGGTATCCAGGGCGGGATCACGAACGGGGAGGACATCTACTTCAGGATTGGCTTCAAGTCGCCCGCGACCATTTCCCAGGCGCAACAGACTGCCCAGTACGATGGTACCCCAGGTACGCTCGCCGCGCGGGGCCGCCACGACCCGTGCGTCGTCCCGCGTGCCGTCCCGATCGTGGAGGCGATGGCGGCCATCGTCATCATGGACCAGCTCCTCATCCAGAACGCGCGTAAGACCGCCGCAGGGCTCCTTCCGTCCATCACGACTCTTCCGCCGACGATGGTCAAGGCCGGTGCACCGGCGGCAAAGGAGGAGGCGCACTAAAGTGTTGGATGGCGCGTTGGCGAGGGAGCTTGGTTTAGAGTAGGGATTCAACAGCCCACGGCGTGATGTACAGCGGCTAGTGTACGTATAGGTAGCGTATAGAAACTGCGTGTCCAAATAGACTATTACACAAGTGTGTGAAGAGAGCGGGATACATACGAGGGTATAGGGTATAAGTCATTCGTCGTAATCGGAGTCTTCGGAACAGTATGTACAACAGACAATGGGCTCGAGGTGCCACCACCACCACTGGGAAGTCAATGAGAAAATCGAAGGGTTATGATGGATGACTAGCACTCACTTGAAGATTGAGTAGCCTTTCTGGCCAAGGGCCGAAGACCAACTCCTTCTGCCGACTGAGCTCAGCGGCCCCCAACTCATCCTCCAGGTCATCCTCGTCGCCTTCGCTCAGATGTGTGTCGTAAGGGTCCACGTACCCTCCATGCCGCGACGACCTCAACAATGCCGTCCTCTCGTTCGGTCTCGCATGCGCCCCGGGGCCATCCCCATTCCCTTCCTCTGCATCCTGCGGTGACGCCTGTACGCTCTTTCTTCGCCCCGCCGCAGCAAACGCACTCAGCCTCCGACCGAGCGGGCCCCACGTTGCGTTCTCGTCCGCCTGGTACCGCAGTGGCGCAGAGATCGACGACGACGGGGACGACCCCGAGGAAGGCGTGCCCGAGGAGAGTCGGCGCTGGCCCTGCGGGGCAGGCGTCCCGCTGTGTCGATGTCGGTGCACGCCAGAGGTGATGCGCACCCTCGAGCGGAAGCGTACGCGCGGCTGTGGCGTGCACCGGGTGGTGGCTCCGATGAACTTCTTTCACCGCTCTCGCCTGCGTCACCCCCGCTGTGGTCGGCGGCTGGACTGCGACTGCCGTCGACGTGGATTTCTGTGCCGTCGGCGATGATGATGACGGACGAAGGTGTCTGAGAGCGAGGCGAAGGGTCGTCGTCGATGAGGTGGAGGGCGTTGCCGGGGACGATGCACGGCTTTGGGGATGGGGAGTGTTCCTCGACGGAAATTTGCGGTCGTAGAGCACCTCGAACGGCTCGTTCGTGGGGAGCTCGATGGTCATTTGGCGGCGCATCTTCGGGCTGGCGCTGCGCTCGGACGGCCGTGCGGTCGGGGCCGGGGGAGGAGTGTGTGCTGCGGGGTGGCCGTCTTGCGCTGGCAGCAGGCTCTCGTTCGACCGCCTGTCAGCATTATGTGGGCGTCCGGGCGTAAGAGCTGCAACGTGGGGAGGCGAAGGTCAGGAACCCGTGCGTCGAGCGGCGTGCGATCACTGCTGAGGACGCTGGGACGGGACATACCCAGCTTGGCTTCTACCCCGCACTGCGTGTCTGAGCAGCTCGTGTTTGCCGTCTCCGTTATGGCCGTCGTCGTTCCTCCATCCATGAGTCGTGAGCGGTCATGAAAAGCCAGGGCAAGCGATGTTACATGCTGGGAGCCGCGACGACCTCCGTGTCACGTAAAGCACCTGCTGCAGCCAGACTTCCGTCAACCCCAGTCCTCTGGTCACCTGTCGCGTGCGCTCTAGATTCCGCATTCACTACCGCCACTTGTCATGGCGAGGCAAAGTCTCTACCGAACGCATCGACACAAGATAAGGATGTCCTTGCCGATGATTCCTATGCTCCGGCTGTGGATGTAAGGCGGCCCAGATGACGTTCACCACGCGTTCATCAACACAGCAGTCTCCGAACTGCCGGTGCATGCATTAATACAGTAATCTCTGGATCCCACTTGCATAACCAACAGAGGCAACTCGACCGAAAGCACGACTACATAACGATACACTAAGAATACAGACAAGGTGTAGAGGAATAAGTGTAATCAACAAACTGCAGAACATCCTGACCGTGACCCTCACTCATCGTCGCTTGGATTGGTGAGGTACTCGTCGTCACTGAGGACCTGCTTCCTCGTGCTCTTCCCCTTAGGTGGTAATCGCTCATCCTCATCCATAGGAGTTAGAGCTGATTCGTACGCACTCGATGATCCATTCGCCGCTGGAGGCGCACCCGGCAGTCCCGAGCCGAGGATGAGCCGGTCGTACTGTGCGTTGAAGACCTTCTCCATTTCTTCCGCGTCGACGTATACCCATGAGCCTTCCTGGTTGTACGTTCGGGCGTTGTTGAACATGAGCTTCCAGTCTTCTCGGAAGTGGGTGACGGTCTTGTAGTAGTTGCTCTGCAACCGTTTACGCAGGGTCGACAGGGCGATCGGCTGCTTGATGAGCTGGTAGTAGTCAGGATATTCCTGAAACAAAACCTCAGTACTCGATTCGTATGCAGACTAGACGAGTTACGAACCCGTCTATCAGGCACTTCTCGGAACAGCTCGCAACGTCTCCGGTGTTCGCTATCCTCGCAGTTGAGCACGGCTTTGTAGATCTCGTTAAATGCCTTCTTCATCTTGTCCCGCACAGCAGGCGGTACATCAGGCACTTTGGTCTTACGACGTTTCTATTGCGAGGATCAGGCTTTGCTGCGTCAAGAAATAATGAACGAGAATACACTCACCGTATCACGCTCCTCCTCTTCATCATCCTGGATAGACGGTGTGACGGACATCGCTTTCGCCCCACGCTTCCGTTTGTTGCTGGCAGGGGTCACGTCACCGTCGGCCTTGCCCTTGCCCTTCCGACCTTTCCGCACGCGCGGCGTGTCGTCCATCGCAGGACTGCCCACATCCAAGTCTCGAATGTTTTTGGTCGCAGCACGACTCGCCTTCCTCTCGCGCGTGCGGTCTGCAAGCTCTTGCAAGTCCTCACCATCCTCCAGAGCCTACATCCCGGGCCGTCAGTACAGCACATAACTGATACACCGTCGAAACTTACCATCGCCCACTGATCATCGCTGAGCCCATCTGTGTAGTTGACGATGTTTCTCCGCCGGTGGCCACGGCCCTCCACCTCGTCGATCTCATCCTTGTTGTCGAATGGCTCGTCCGACTTGTAGCAATCCGGCAGCTCGTCCAGCTGCATCAGCGGCTGTGGTGGTTTGCCCCGCTTGCCCGCGGCCCTCCAGTTCTCCAGCGCCTCGCGGTCGCGCTGAATGTCAATCTCGCGGAAGATGCGATCCTCATCCTCTGAACGAGAGATGATCTCGTTGATCTCATCGTCGTTCATGTCTCCGGCTTCCTCGTTCTCTTCCTCCTGATCGGCTTCTAGAATGGAACGCTGGTGGCAACAGGTCAGCGTGTGTGGGAGCACTCAAAAGACAAATGTAGTACGTACGAGGAACTCCTCTTGCTCCTCCTGAGTGGACTTGTTATCGAAGCGACCGGCTTGAATGACCTTGTCGTCGATGTCGAGCTTGTACCGAGCACGCGCGAACATCGCTTCCTCCACACTCTTCTCAGTAATGAAACGCAGGATCCGGACAACCTTCGTTTGACCTATACGATGTGCACGATCCTGTGCCTGAAGATCGGCATGAGGATTCCAATCACTGTCGAAGCTATTGAAACGGAGCATGTCAGTAGGCAATACCTACAGATGAACACACCGGAAAGCACTTGCATGATAACCGTGTCTGCAGTCTGCAGATTGAGACCAAGACCACCGGCTCGTGTCGACAAGATGAACACCCTGATGTCCGAATTGGGTGCGTTGAATTGTGCGACGTGCCCCGCACGGTCCTCTGTCTTCGTCCCACCATCGAGACGGAGGTACTTCCAACCCATGTACTTGAGGAAGTCCTCCATGATATCCATGACTTTCGTCATCTGGAAGAAGATGAGGACCTAATGCAAGTAACGTTAGCTGGTATAGGAATGATTGTGACAGATGAACCCACTCTGTGGTCGGTAGCGAAGAACTTAGGCAAGATGCGCGAAAGGAGCTCGATCTTGCCGGACGAGCGAATCAGAGTCTCGTTGATAATACCAGAAGGGTTGACCCTGTCCTCGACGCTCTCGAAGAGGAAGGGATGCTGGCAGATCTTTCGCAACTGCATGAGCTCATTGCTGAGACCCTTGACACCCCCGTTTTTGCTACAAGATGATGAGATACAGACTCCTCAATACGAAGCGAAAAGGATACTCACCCCTTCGTATCCTTGCCGTCAGCGATCATCTTGTACTTCTTCATCTGCTTGTACAACTGCGACTGCAGCGCGCTCATGCGGATCTTGATCACTTTCTCGACCTTGTCGGGCAATTCGCTCTCCACGTCCTTCTTGAGACGCCTCAGCAAGAAAGGCCGAAGCACCTTATGCAGTCGCCGAATGATGAGTAGCGCCTCTTCTTCGTTCAGCTCGATCTTGTCACCAGTGCCAGAGTTGGCGAACGGCGTGTTGAACCACTCGTCAAATGACTTGACCGAGTTGAAGATCTTCGGGAGGACGAAGTTAAGCAGAGCCCACAGCTCGGGGAGGTTGTTCTGGAGGGGGGTACCGGTGAGGATGAGCCGGTAGCGGGAGTGGTAGTACTGCGTGAGCGTCTGTGCGAGCTTGCTCTGGGTATTCTTCATACGGTGACCCTCGTCAATGATCATGTGTACCCAACGCATACGGGCTAGGTGCACACGATCCTTGATGATATACTCGTACGTCGTAAGCAGGACTTGGAAGTTACCCGTACGAAGGTCGCCCTGGAGGGCCTTCCGCTGAGTAGGGTTCCCTTTGTACGAAATCATCTTGACGTTGGGCGCCCACTTTGCGAACTCACCGGACCAGTTCGTCATGGTGGATAGGGGCACGATGACCAAGTAAGGGCCCCGCTGCTTCTTGGTTTCAATCAAATAGGTGATGAGTGAGATCGTTTGGATCGTCTTGCCGAGACCCTGCACATATATTAGCGCAAGAAAAGAGGGGAAGTAGGAAGAACGAACCATCTCGTCTGCGAGGATGCCATTGAGCTTGTTGTTGTATAGACTGACCATCCACTGGAGACCCTTCAGCTGATAATCCTTAAGCGTTCCACCGATCAGCATGGCCGGCTGTTTCGTGATCCTCTCCTTGAGTCTATGCGCGACGGCATAGTAATCAAGCTTGCCCTTGTCTTCACCCTCGTTGTCAAACTTCTGCGCACCGAAAGTAGCCTCGCTAGTCGGGTCGTCCTCATACATCGACGAGCCGACATCTGGGAGGGGCACATCCTCCTGCTGCTCCATCACAGCCTGCGTCAGCGAGTCCAGGTAGGTATCCGTTTGCCGCAGAAGGTGCGTGATGCGCGTATCCTTCGCCGTGTCAATAAGCTTCATGTACGCCTCCTCATCGTCGGCCTTCAGCGCCTTAAGACGCTCCTTGCTGATCCGCTCAATGCGCTTCTGCTCCTCCTTCTCGGTGTGTGAGTGCAAAGACAGCACAGCCTTGCCTAGCCGTACGATGCGGTCCTGCGCCGAGCGGCTCGCCGCGACCACTTCCCGCCCGTGTGCGCAGATCACCGACAGCTGTTCGACGTGCTTCTGCTTCGCCCGCCGCTCCCGGTCAACGCGCTGCTTCCGCTCCAGCTGCTCCGTCATGCGTGCATCCCGGATCGTCGGCTTACGCGTCCGCCGGAAGTCTGCCCGGTTCAGCGGCAGCATCGACCCGTGCGTGAGCCGCTCCGCCACCAGTGCCCGCATCTGTCGCTGCTTGTCGAGCACTCGCAGACCCTTTAGCTCGATCAGCGCGCGCAGCTTGCCCTGTGCGTTCGGGCTCGGGTGCGCCAGGTGCGCGAGCTCGTCGCCGCCCGCGCTGTTCTCCTTCTCCTCGCGAATGATATCGTCGGCGACGCTCTCCATCCCACCGTCGCCCATAGTTGCCGGGAGCTCCTCCAGCTCTCGGATCCGCTGCTCGATGCGCGCGTCCACGTACCTGTTGCGCTCAGATATGACTTGGTGCGGGTCGAGCCCTGTCGGCATGAGTGTCGGGATCAGCAGCCGCTGTAGACGGGTCGCCCACTGCGTAAGCGGAGCATCGCTGTCGAGCAAGAGGTGGTCGAAGGGATGTTGATACGCGTTATACGGGTAGATACCCGAGTTCACGTCGTCCTCAAGGAACGGTCCCTTGGGCACGTCGGCTCCGCTAAGGTCCATGTCCTCCGCCTTGATCTCCTCTACAATCGGCTCGGTCAATGTCGCGTCCATCACGCCGGGGGTCGCGCTCTTGTGGACTTTGACGGCGCTGTCGATGACTCGGGCGTCGACACCTCCACTCTGGAGAAGTTTCTGTAGGTCCGGCACGACCTGGTTGGGTAGCCGCATCGCCTGCTGGATCGCCTCGGGGACGGGCTTGTTGCGCATGAGCATCTTGAACGCCTGTATTTGAGCTCGTAGAGCCTCGATTTGCTCCGGCGTGAACGAGACGGGGGTGCTGGGGGCTTGAGGGTAAGGTTGGGCGGACGCTGTGCCATTCGTGAGCGAATTGCCGTTGGGCAAGGCGTTGCCGTTCGTGAGGCCGGATGTCGACGCATGTCCATTGAGTCCGGGTTGATTATGGTCAGGAATGTTCGTGTCTAGGGGGAAAGCGACCGTTGAGTACGCTCGAGAACAGGATAGCAAGAGGTAATGTAGCAGGAAAACAGTAGTACTCACTCTGTGGTTGCGGTTGCTGTATTTGCTGTAGGAAGTGGTAGATCTTCGCGTACTCGGCGGACGTCTCGACTGTGGCGCCCTGTTCTTTCAGAAGATGTGCGCGCTGCGGAGGGAACGGAGGTCAGCCAGCACGCGCTGCTCGGTGAAGGCCACATACGCGGACAAGTCCTTGTATTTGCTCTCGGGTGAACTGGGGACGGGGGGCCTGTCTGTTGCCGTTGAGGTAGGGCTGGCCGTTGGTGAGTTGTGGATTGACGACGTTTGGCGCGGCCATAGCTTCGCGTGTCGTCGCGACTCGGTCGCGTCGTGCAGATCTCGTGAACCTAGCCCGAGTGCTTGAAGCCGGCTCGGCGTCAAGTGAATGGTCGAGGACAAAGGCAAACGCTTACAAAGACACCGCCACGCCTCTCTTTCCCTTTTCGGACACTGCTTCTTTTGGAGCACGTGACTCGACGCGTCCACATTCAGCGCTCAGCGGCGAGCGCGACTCGCGAGTCGACGCGTTCGCTTCCGGAATCCGCGCCACCGCTGCCTGTCTCTCGCCGCGGCGCCCATAGCTTGTCCCCGGTTTGTTCAAGGTACACACAGACAATATGCCTGCAGAGCGTGCTGGTGTATGTGATTGAATACGGCTCGTTGATCTTCTCACTCACCCTCTTCCCTACAGTACACGGTGACGATGTTCCTCATCGACGTCGCGCCAACCATGGGCAGGATGAGACAGGTCGAGGTTGCCGGAACGAAGCCCGGAGAGTCAAAAATTGTAGAGATGACCAATCTGGAGTGGTCTCTGCAGTTCGTTATGCTCAAGATCCAGGAGATGGTACGCCGCACACGGCTATCGTTCGGCCAGGACTTCCTGACTGTAGGATTAGATCTATCATGGCAGGAAGACGGACCAATGTGGAGTGATATTGTTTGGATCTGAAGGTAAGAGTGACACAAGCTTTGCGACGTATGACTTATGGAGTCGGAACCAGAGACAGATAACATCATCAACGAAGAAAGCGGCGGCTATGAGAATGTCAAACAATACATCCCTATCGGAACACCAAGTGCAAGCACGCTTGCCAAACTACAGGCGCTGGAGCCGTCAACTACTCATGGGGACCGTGAGTCTCTCGGACATCGTTAGCCTACTGCATCTCACATTTGATGATCCTTGTTTTGCACGCCATGCATAGCCGTCGACGCTCTCATAGTAGGTGTCGAGACGCAGGACAGACACCTAGAAAAGAAGAAGACATGGACGAGAAAGGTCGTTCTCCTGACGGACGCCGAGAATCCCATCGAGCTTGAGGACTGGGAAGCGACTGTCGAGAAGATGAACACATTGAACGTTGGCCTGACCGTTATGTACGTCAGTCTCACTGGCATCAATGTCTTTGGCTGAGCAGTTTGCAGCGGCATCGACTTCGACGACGAAGAGCTCCCGTTCCACGAGGAGAACAAGACACACATCAAGGCAAGCTCACCTTGTTGTCGCCATTCAAGCTCATTTGTGAACATGCTTTTAGCGGACCAACGAGGAGTTCTACCATAACCTCGTCAGTAGCCTTCATCGCGGTATCGTCGGCAACTGCGACTTTGCCCTGCGCGAAATCAGTCGACCCGACGTGAAGGAGACCCGCTCAGTGATGCAGGGCACGATACTGCGCCTGGGCGACGTCGACGCGCGTCCGGAAGAGGCGGTCGAGATACTCTGCAAGACGAGCAAAGCAACCGCCGTTCAGCGACCCAAGAGCTGGAAGAAGTTTGCGCGACGTGAGAAAAACAAAGACGAGCAGGAGGGCAAAGACGCGATGCAGGTCGACGAAGACAAAACCGTCTTCGCGCAGCTGCGTGTGCGCACGGAGTACTACATCGATAATGACACCGCACGGAAGGCCGATGATGAAGGCTCAGATGCGGGCGCTGACGAGACAGACGGCGAGGACGGTGGAGAGAAGAAGGTGAAGGTGGAGAAGAGGAGCTTGTGCGCGGCTTCAGGTATGGCTCGTCGTATGCCCCGTGTCCCGACGGGCTATTCCCGCGGCTCGCGACGCGCAAAGGTATCGACATCTGCGGCTTCTTTCAGTCGAAGAACTTCCGGAGAGAGTATGCAATGAGCGAGGTCACATATGTCTGGGCGGACCCGGCGCATCCCCTCCAGCAGGTCGCGCTGAGTGCGCTCGTTCAGGCGATGTTTGAGAAGGGATCGATGGCGATCGCGCGGTGGGTCAACAGGGATGGGTCGGAGCCGAAGATGGGTGTGCTACACCCGATCATGTTTGAGCGAGTGGATTGTTTGTTGTTTGTACAGGTATGATCTGCGGCAGTTCAGCTGGAGTCGGTAACAACCTGCCTCTCACAGGTGCCTTTCGCCGACGATGTGCGCAACTTCCCTTTCCCCTCTCTCGAACATCTCGTGTCAAAGAAGGGCGAACCCATTACCACGCACCCATACCTACCGACGGAGGAACAGATGGAAGCAATGGAGCACTTCGTCGATGCGATGGACCTGATGGAAGTTGGCGAGAAGAATGAGGAAGGGTACGATGCGACTATCGAAGTCTTTCAGGCGAAACTGACACGTGGTTTGTGTCCAGTAAACGGATGGCTTGGTTCGACACCCGCCTCTCCTACAACCCTGCCATACATCGTGTGAAGCAAGCACAGTTCCACGCAGCCGTTGTGACCGATCTCAACACCAACCCGTTGCCACCCCCGCATCCGGAACTTACAAAGTATTTCGAACCCCCGAAGCGTGTTCTCAAGCGATCGCTGGATGCCGTTGAGGACTGCAAGGACCGCTTCAAGGTTAGGGAAGGTGAGCGTCCTCTTCAGCCGTTGTCCCCTACGTAAGGTCTCATTGAGGTCATGACAGTGCCGAAGAAGGTCGCTCGAACACGAAAGGACGGTCATGTCCGCGCACGCGACGAAGACGATGACACTCTTCTGCTTGACAAGGCGGCCAGGCGCACCAAGTCTTCGACACAGCTCGGGGCTGCCAGCCAGCACAGTCAAAGCCAGAGTCAAATCCTCCGCGCACAATCTTCTCAACAAGCAAAGAAGGTAGCAGATGACTCAGAAACAGAGAGCGAGACGGAGCCTGAGGAAGATGAGGAACTTCTGCTTGATAAGAAACCGACGAACAGGGGTGCTTTACCCACGCCCGCTCCGGAAGAGCCTGATCGAGGACAAGCACACGGACGAATCGTGGGTTCGACATATCCGTTGGAAGACTTCAAGGCAAACATTGCCAGAGGCGACGTGGTTACGAAAGCCGTGGAAGATCTCGGTGCAGTTATTCGGGAGATCGTCTTGCGTCCTTTCGCGTCAAGACGAGCGGAGGAGATGATTCAGTGCATGCGTGAGCTAAGGCAAGTATGTTTGGAGGAAGATGAGATCGATGCATGGAACGCGTGCGTATTCATGGTCATCTACGTAAGCTTGCGGTGCTCAACCGTCCATAGGTTTCTGCGAGCCCTGCATGAAGCATGCTTAGATGGCAAGCCCGGTAACAACGACTTTTGGTCTCGCGTCAAAGATGAAGGGCGGACACTGAGCCTCATCAGCGACACTGAAGCGAGCGAGCTGGGAGGCAAGTCGGATGTGTCTGAGTCCAAGGCTGCTGAGGTACGTTTTCTCTCACCTGCCATAATGCGCGTGAATGACCGACCGGAGCGCAGTTCATTCAGTAGTGGTTACGCGTATAGCGGTCGATGTTGAACATATCTTGAATATTGCTGTTCTGTTTAACTTTCTGGCCACGAACGCTGTGGTGACTGACAGTAGCTACATATCTAGCTGAGTACTCTATCCTCTATCGAAGTTGAATGCTGTCGCCGTACGTATACACAGTGACGTAGCAAACGTTAGCATGGGCAAGATTGACTGACTTCCTGGCTATGTGCGAGGGCTCCTGGACTATTGTAAGCAATGATTCTGATTCAGACGTTCTGAGCAGATTGTTGTACAATATACTACTCTATACTGCACCGATGTGATTCATATTACTTCCTGCCCCACCAGCCTCCGAGCAAACTAGTCAAACCACTTCCCGACGGAGCGGACGGTTCTGGAGTCGGCGCCCTCTCAATCTCCTCCTTAGCCCGGGCCGTTACCTTCTTCTCGATTACCGGAGCTGCAGCAGCCTGTGGCACTTTCCCGACTACCTTACCCGCACGCTCCTGCAGTCGGTCCATGTCGAGATTGGCGTAGTTCAGTGCAATGTCAAAGAATAACGGCTTCTTGTACGTCTTCCGGGCCTCTTCATCGACGGAACCGCCGTTGTACGCGAACCAATCGCGCTTGTACTCCGTGCTGTCCTCTGCCACTTCCGCGTCGAGTTGATCTACGTCCTCTGCGAGCAGTGGGTAGAACGTAATCGGGTCGCTATCGCTGTCGGCCAGAATCGATAAGGTAGAGTGTGCCGACCGCAGGTGTATGCTCGCATGCTGCGTGAGCGTAAGCGCCTCTGCGTATTTCTTGAGGGGAGCATAAGACCGCGCGAGGTAGCGGCATCTCCGAGCCTTCGAGAATTCTTGTCGTGCCTCCACTGCCGACGCCAAGTCCGGGCTCTCATCCACGATTGTGAGGGTGCGCATCTGCTCGAGACTTTGAATGACAGTGTCGAGAAGCTTGACGACCGCTGGGTAAAGACGTGCGTCGACGTGCTCCTTGCGAGGCTTCGACGTGCTGCTAACTTTCGACGTGTGGGGTGTCTGCGACTGATGGAGGAGCGTAGAGATGAGCAGCAGATCGCGCTGGATGCGGTAGGATAGTAGTTGATACACGATGAACGCGTGCACAAAGGCGATATCGCGCGTGCCAGCAGCGGGAGCGGCTGAGGTCGACCCTGTCAGTTGTTGAGCCTCGACCAGTTTACGCGCTACTTCCTCGGCATCGCTGAGTGCGGAGAGAATGGCATCGTATGCGGCAACGCCACGCTTTGAGCGAGTGCCCTTTCCCGCCCGGCCCCTTTTTTTGCTCCCTTCTACCGCCTCCTGCTCTGTGCGTTGCTGTTCGAGCTTACCCGCCTCCTTCAGCCGTTTCTCCGCCTCCTGTGCGCGCAAAAAGACGCCCACAAGCTCGGGGTTCCTCACCGGCACCGGCTCGTCCTCCCACATCAACGTCTCCAGTTTCTGCCTACCATGTCCTGCGCTCTCCGCCTCCCTGCCCAAGCTGGCCAACAGCTTGTCGCAACCCTCCACGAGCTGGTTCCGATGCTTCGGTGCAACGTCTGCCACAATCGCGTCGACGTCATACGAGTTGGGCCGACGCATCTCGTGTGCACAGTGGCGGATTTCAGGGCCAATCTCGTCTGCGAAGGCTGTTGCGAGCGCCTGGTCGCGGCTCGTAGCCGCCTTGCTTGCTAGCTCGTCCAGGAGGCTACGAGCGACACTCATCTGGACGAGTGCGTCCTCAAATTCGTAGCGGTGTCGTAAAAGCCGTCCGTTAATAATTAGGGTGTACACGGTGGCCTGTGCAAGGTCGTCTGAGGAGAGACGACCTGAAGAGTAGAGCGTCTGGCAATGCGAGAGCAGTTGGGTCGACCAGTGGACAGCGCGCCGTAGACGAGATGTTGCATGTCGGCGCAGAGCAGAAGGGCTATCGTCATGACCCTTGACGGCAGCGCCCTTCGGGTTCGTGGTCGCTTGGTTTGCCTGGAGGTTGAGCTCTTGAGAGTAAGCCCAGGCTCGTTCCGCCTCGAAGAAGAGTAGCTGTAGGCTGTAACAGGTTTGAGCAGCAATACAAAGGTTCTACGATTTGGACTCACTGTCCATCATTGATTGCGTCGAGCTTGAGCGGAGGCAGCTTCTTGAACTCGCGACCTTTGCCATGGGTCATCTTTATGGACGACCGCAAGCGATGGGTCCGGTTCCCGCAATGTTTCCTGGCTTCTCTCAGCACCACAAGGGCACATACAGAGTTGCTCACATACCTGTAGCGTCCATAGTCATTGTACCGCAACCCATACGCATTGCGCTGCTCGTTCGCGAGCAAAAGCGCTGTCTCCTAAGTCAGAACGCAGCTGCCACAGACCGACGGATTCGCCCCGACCTTGGAAGCCGACTTTCGAGTCGGCGGATGTCTGAGCCATGCAGAATATACGAGACCGCGCTAGAAGGTCCTTGATGGCAGTCGAAGGTTCGCGGAGATGGTCGTGGTCGCAAGCCAAAACGCGAGGGCGCGCAACGCGTCTGAGCCTGTCTGAGCCTGTCGATCGCGTACCGCCCGCTCCTTCCTCATAAGACACCTCGTTGACTGTTCCAGCCCACGTATCTTTCTAAACCCGTCCCATTGCAGCTCGGAGCATCTTATTGAAGACAGGGATGGCGACTGATATCCTGGAGCCGACTCTACAAAATGTCTTGGACCAGAGGTCGCTGAAGTGGATCTTCTGCGGCACGTTTACTCTCTAGTGCTGCGATGTATGTATGCTCATTGTGCTCCGCGGCGTTCAGGTGGCAAGGGTGGTGTCGGTAGGTCGTACAGTAGTCGTTTCGCTTGTGGAATCCTCAATGTACGATAGGAAAGACAACGACGTCGTGTTCGCTCGCGATCCAGCTAGCGACATGCCGGGAATCTGTCCTCCTCATCGTACGTTCTCGCGTGGATGTACACGCACACACATCCTTTACCATGCGTCTTATAGTCCACAGATCCTGCGCACAACCTCTCGGATGCTTTTGGCCAGAAGTTCTCGAAGGAGGCGACGAAAGTGAACGGGTTCGACAACCTCTTCGCAATGGAGATCGACCCGACGAGTGCGATCCAGGAGATGGTCGAGCAGTGTGCGTGCCTCTGCAGCGAGTGTGGGTCGCGCACATCCTCACACCGAACCCTACTATTCAGCGGACTCGAACGGGATGATGGGCAGCATGATGCAGGACCTCGCGTTCGCTATCCCGGGTGTGGACGAAGCGATGAGCTTTGCGGAGATCATGAAGTGCGTATACACCAATGCTGCTACGTTGGTCTTCCGCGCAAATACTCAGCTGCACATGCATGTTAGGCACGTCAAGTCGATGGAATACTCCGTCATCGTCTTCGACACTGCCCCGACAGGACACACCCTTCGCTTCCTCTCCTTCCCAACTGTCCTCGAGAAGGCGCTTGGCAAGCTGAGTGCGCTCAGTGGACGCATTGGGCCCATGATCAACCAGGTGCGCGTCCACTGCTTATTTGGTACGGGTGGCGTACTGAAGCAGGTACGTGGTAGATGACGAGCCTGATGGGTGGCCAGGCGGACGCGCCAGAAGACATGTTCGCTAAGCTCGAGAGCATGCGTGCGGTCATCACAGAGGTGAACACGCAGTTCAAGGACCCAGTATGTCGATGACTTTGCCAGATTGTGATGTGATAGACTGATTGTGGTATGTGGACGTAGGAAAAGACAACCTTCGTCTGCGTGTGCATCTCTGAGTTCCTCTCGCTCTACGAGACCGAGCGGCTCGTTCAGGAGCTCACCGCTTATGAAATCGACACGCACAACATCGTTGTTAACCAGCTTCTCTTCCCCAAGCAGAGTGAGTTCTCGCTCTACCTCCCCCACTGTTTACGTATCTGACTCCACTACCCTTCACAGGTTCGAACTGCGAGCATTGCCGCGTACGGCACAACATGCAGCAGAAGTACCTGAACGAGGCACACGAGCTATACGACGAATTCTTCCACATCGTGCAGCTGCCGCTGCTTACGGAAGAGGTACGCGGACCTCAGAAGCTGAAGGACTTTAGCAACATGCTTGTGGAGCCGTACGTACCCCCTGTAGACTAATAAACACCGCTGGTAGTGTGTATGATCATTGATGGTTCTGCTTAATTGATTTTGTCGTGGACAGGGTGTCTGGACAGCCCTAGCGGCGCAGCCTTCTGGCAGGGTGTCATGTCCACTCCATGCCGGATATTACAAGTGTGGTCGCTTGAGAGCGATATACCGACGTCTGTTGCCACTTTCAAATGGACCTTCATTCCGAACGGAGATTATTGTCACACAAAGTCTGTGCCATCCAGTGTCGTGGAAAGCAAACACTGCCAGTCAGCAACAATGGTGCCGTAGGATCCCAGCTAGTTTGAACACAGGAAAGCATGTGCGGTGATGAATTCGAAACAATGCGCAGCTTGCCGCAGCAAACTCGCCCAACAGCGGCATACGATTTACAATATAGAAGCCGCATGTCTTAAGGCGAGTTTCTTAGCTCATTCCTCGCACCTGCGGCGTGTAGGTAGTAGCTATCCTTGTCGGTGGCATTAACTGTGTTCACACCTACGTGGGAGCATTCGGATGCATGTCAACCCATTGGACCAGATCTGGTAAAGCTCCAGAGGATAGCATCCCGTCTCTGCATGCAAGTGTCCAGACAGTACGCCGTAACTCCCCACGAGGACGCCAGGATGTGGATGAGTCTCAGCCAACCAAGGACTGAATACATTGTACCCTGAGAGTGAATACGACCTGAAGCCAATTGACACTGAGCAGAACTCGGAAGCATGGATGGATGGAGGACATGGGAGGTTTGGTCGAAGGGTTGATCCGAGTGAACGACCGTCGCGGGCATTATTTATAATTAATTGGAGGAAATCAGGCTCCGCGGCCCGCCCGAGGACAACGCGCTTCGACGCTCCTTCAAGTTGTCTACGCCTACGACCTCTTGCTGAGCGGCCCTCCGGTCAGGTTATAACTCTGCGCGGTCGATCCTGGGGATCACTATCTACTTCTTCACCAGCTACTGCATCTCTATCTTCACTCTGGCTTCATTAACACGCGGGACTACACAGCCCGAGATGCACATACCGCCTGAGACGGAAGTGATTGACCTTCGAGCTCCTTCGCCCACAGGCTCGTCACACCCCGAGGCTTCTGAGCAGGAGGCCGCAGCAGACAATCTCGATGGCACCAGAGATGAAGGCACGCCGACGCCGCTGGGCGAGGGCACAGACTATCCCGCACCAGCGAGTTCCAGTCTCTCGCTGACACTGACAGTGACAGGGCTCGACTCGGACGCCATCCCCAGCCTGAGTACGCACGAGGCCCCCTCCTCCTCGCCCACTCCCCCTCCTGTCCCCGAGAAGGACCCCGCCCTCATCTCGCGCCTCACCATTACCCCCGCCAACTCCGACTTCGCGCTCAAGATGGCGATGATGGGCCTCCGCCCCGCCCCGCCCCTCCCGCCCTCGCCTCCGCTCACCCCGCTCACCCCCGGCGCAGCCAATACCAGTAGTGCAGCCCGCCACGTGAACGTGCGTCGGTCATGGGCCGAAGATGACCTCGAGACGGCCTCAGCTTCCTCGCAGGATGACGGCTCAACAAGCCCGAGCACGAAGGAGGCGGCGGTACCTGCGGCGGACGACGCGGTGCATGCGGTGTTTGGGAACGGGATAGGTAATGTTGACCCAGACCATCCGCTCAGCCCGAGTAAGGGTGCAAGTGGGCAACAATCGAGTCCGCCCCTTTGGGAGCGCGTCAACCCGCCTCCAGGCAACGGCACAAATCCGTATGGCTCGAGTCACACTCGCATACACGACTTCTCGAGCACGAAGCCTCTGTGAGTTCTTTGCCTTGTTCGGCCTCGGTACGAGAGGCTGATTTCCGGGGTGCAGACGGTCAAGACCGCTAGTGCCTTACTCGTCTTACTACTTCGGTCCACCTCCGCCAGATGCTGCCTACGGTACCGAGCCAATAGGTCAGATCGGCCTACACCACCCGCGTGAAATCGTCAGGATAGAGCGCGACTACTCTGCAGGCGAGCTCCCGCAGTTCTCGCCAGTATACCCTTTGGAGTTTGAGGGCCGGGTATGTATTTCATGTCTCTTCTACTCACAGCAGAGCTGACGCGTCGATGTGCGCCAGTTAACACCCACACAGTTCCTCGAGACCATCAACGCCATTAACGAGATCCTGATATCCGCACATAGCTTGAAGCACTCGTTTGTGGATAACGCACTGTCGTTCTTCACGTTGCAGACCTCGAGGCTGGTGTTGGCATCGCATTACGACAAGGTGGGCTTTTTGTCGATTTCTCTTTGGTCCCATGCAGTTTAAGAAACGTCCATGTGAGCTGTGTGGACGACGAAGATGGAGCTGTACGTTCCGTGACAGCTTCTCAGATGTCAGCTGCGAAATCTGTACCATGTCTTGGGCGCAGATGCATCCTCATTGACGAAACTCAGTGAACAGAACGCGTGTCGCACATAACCTCTCTTAGCTCACTGTGCGAAGCACATATTATGTACGGCGTCACATTGAAGCCGTCGGGGACCATGGCGCTCGAAACTTCTACCTTATCACACACGCAATACCACCATTTGACCGTACACTGACGAATGCATAGGAAATGAGTCGGCTACAACAGCTCATCGAGGACGTCAACATGCGCTCTTACAACCCCCGAGGTCTGAACATTCTCTGGCCACGCAAGGTCGCATTTCTCTTTGTACGTAGCTTGTCTCCTTCATTGTTATTCTGCGCTCACGTGTAGGGGGGCCTTGCCTTTGCAGCTCGAGATTGAGTACTACGTGAGTCTCGCCTCGCTGGATTGTGTCCTGACTTGACGCCCTCAACATGCATCTTCCTCAGTGAGTCATCTGTACATGTGTATCACCCCGCCACTTGACGGCGCAACGCCCGCCAGCATGACGCTGCCACTTCCGCTCGTTCCTACCCACACCCACCGTTGATTCGTGTTCGCGCTGTTTCGCCTCGCGATACACTTTGCATACCAAGCTCACGCTGCATATACGATATCCCGGACCTGCTACCGCTGCATACAGCTCGTCTAATTCGCCCGCTGACGTTGATGTTGAACATTGGTGTCGTATATAGCTGCTCGCCCCGTTTTTGGGGCTTTCGCGTGTAATTTATCAGGGCCAAGGTCCGCGCTCAGCCGAATCAGGCTCACTGCATTCGAGACTGGTTCTCTGCACGCATTTCTCGTGCACTCTCCACTTACTGTGCGTGTGTACTGCGAATACCACCTTGTACAAGATTATGGTCATGAATGACTATTCTGGTATTCAATTGCGAAAAGCACTGACTTCACAGCATCCACTGACAGCAAAGAACCGCTTGCAACATAGTGTGTCTGTGTTCGACGCTTCTATACACGCCGGTGAGCGCTACAACAGGACGCTGGACAGGAGAAGCGGAACAAGTACGGTGAGTTTAGGAGCGCAGTCAGTTACGATGCTTTCTAACTCGTCGTTGTGCTGATCGCGTGTCATTCTCCCCTGCAGATGGACACCTCCGCCGCTGTCGGTATTCTTCCGCGCAAGTGGCAACCACCGCATCGCCGGCGCAGTTGTCTGAGAATTCGGTACGTTCGGCGGCCGTTTGTGTGCGGAATGCACTATGATGACCTGGATGCGTGCACTAGAGACGATATCTAGTTGAGAGCTGCGGCGGACGCTGGTACGATCAGGCATGAGGCGACCCAACGAATAGTCTCGTTGGAGGGGGCGAAGTGAGCTCTCTGAGCCTCATGACTGCTTCAGGGAGGCGTTAAAGGTCGTCGCACCCAAGTCGCACCTAGTGAGGTGACCAGATTACCGGTCATTGCGCATGCACATGGCTGGCAGTTGATCGACACGTATTGGGCTGTGTGAGTGCTTCCATACAATCCCAGTTAGTTGATGCGACTCGTTGCTGATTTACATAAGTATGTCAGACGACGACAACTACGCCCAAGCGATGTAAGACTCAAGCTACCTCGCGCCGCTGCCCCGACTCGCGAGTCCTCACTGATCTTCTACCTCGAAGTAGATATCAGGCTGCCATTGGGGGCCGGTGGGCATGGTGGACTCTTTTCGCCAGTGATGGAGTGACATGCGTCTTGTAGACAGATGCGAAGTTACAAGAAGGAAAAGTTTCCGCAGTGAGCAGCTGCAAGCCGCCAGTGGAAGTGATGCGACTGCTAACTTATCCGTGCATTGACAGCTTCGGAGCTTCTTCATGAAAAGATAAAGTTGGGCTGATGGTACGTGCTGCTAGTACGATATTGTTGCGTTCTGTCCTTCCATTCACGCCAGTGATCCGCGAGACGGATCGCAGTACCTCACAGTTCGAGGCCGTGCAGGGCAAGCGTCGTGGTCGAGATGGGCACTGAGAAAGACCTAGGCGAGGGTGAGCTCATTCATCCGACCTAGGCTGAGGGTAAGTTTGAAGATGGATTCCGTCTTCTGCGTCCTTTATCATTATTCGTCTTTGCGAAACGTGGATGTCGACTAATAGTGAGATGTCCTGTCAGGTTGGCGAATGCTGTAGTTCCGAGCACGCGGACGTTGGTGGCGCATAGGACGTATTCTTTTCACTCTATTCTCATCCCGCAAAGTCCAGGTCCTGCGGCGTACTAGTCGGGCATGGATTCTCACAGACGTGGGCCCAGTATGCTGAACCGCACTGACAATCCGACGATATCAAGCAGAGAGGTCCAATGTATCCTCGAAGTCCGTGTACCTGACCAAGTTTGACTCGGTGGAGCTGATGGGTTTCTAGATTTGTCTGTCTCCCGATCTCCTCCTCCTTATCCCCTTCTTCTTGCTGATCGGAATAATTACATCCCGCTCACAGATGAATCAAACTCTACTATTAGTGTTAGTCGCTGGAGACCATGATGTCTCTGTTAACGCTCTTCAAGCCGGTCGGCATTGCACAGATCCCCAACTCACAATGCTGACATTGAACCTAGTCAGACATCTGGAACAATGGACCCGGATGCATTGAATGAGGCGGTTGGATTGCAGAGTTAGGTACGAGGCTCTTCACATGCCGCGACCAGTTCCTCCGTATTTGTGTATTCTGTTCTTCCTTTCTTTTCCAAAGCGTACCTCCCGCTCCCACAGCGGTATGGTCCGAGGGCCGTGTTTCCAAACACAGAAAATCCTCGAGGCCGAATTGCGGTCCACCGGTCGTCCACAGAATGTGGCTCTTGGTCGCATTACAATACGCTGACCTCTATAACATTTGCGTTGTCTCATCTGCTTGGACCGAGAGGCTTGAATACACCGTGGCGCGTATTATCACGACAACACGCACGTCCCGAAAAGCGATCGTGTGCTCATTACCTTTCCGCGCGATAATTTCCGAGTGTTCTTTGTCGTCTACTAAGACATGGATTTGTATGTCAGCTTTTGGTCAGAAGCTGATAGGGTTTGTATGAATTCTGTTCGTCAGATGCTGTGTTCCACTGAATGTTGTTTGCCAGTGCAGGCACATCACACTCCACAACTTCGCCTCACAGGCCAGCTGCGCATGTAGAACCCTGATAGTTCCTCGCGCTGCGATAGGCGATAGCACGGATAGTGATTCATGTCATAGATGTTTGGTCCAATACTGATCTCTTTGTGTTCCAGAGGTATATAGGTGCGCGTTCTCCCCCGAACAACGCTAGTAGCTCACAGTCATGTCGGCGGCTGAAGTTGCTCAGACCATCAAGCTCCTCGATGCAGCGTAGGTCGCACAGTCATGCCTCCGAGCGACTACTGAGAGCACGGGCGACAGATTCGCAGGCGATTGCTGTCAGATTGCAGCTACCGGTGAGTGCAACTTCGCTGTGACCCCGTATTTTTCCCCTTGACGTCCATGCACAGTGATTTATGCCTACGATCGCTTTCTCACCTTTCGCTGGGATGTGGATCTGATATGGCAGCGCCGGAACATGTCTGTAGCAACTGGCTTATACGTGCTGATACACATATCAGTGGCGGTGTACCTGTTTGGACAGGTGATCATCCTGATCCTTACAGGCTGTGAAGTAAGTTTAAGCTTTGTCTGTACTAGTAGTGCAGATGCTGATTCTGATCTAGAGGTAGCAATCTTTCTTCACCTACCTGAACCTACCTACAGTACATTGGCAGCGGCTATATCATGACAGTCGTACAATTGTGCGCTGGCGCGCTATTTCATACCAGCTTTGGTGGTGCGCGCGGAAATGTTCTCCTGTACAGCCTATCAATGCCTGACTGCGATTTTTCACAGCTTTCACGGCATTGCGTGCCTACGCCATCAGCAATCGCTCTATCTCGCTCACGTGTGCGATCTTCTCAGCCTCGTTGGTGCTCTTCGTAGGGGATATAGTGCGTTGATTATCATTGCCTGTTCGCGATTTTCTACGTCCTAATGTGGTTGTCAGTATGAGATCTCCACAATTGTCCTGGTCGTTGCACCAGAGCCGGTTGGATGTGTGCTCTCTTCGGATGGTACAAGCTATAGGTATTTTTCATATGCTGACATCTTGGAATGATCCTCACAGGACCATGTATGGTGCCATACACAGACCACGTCAGAGATACACTTACGATTTCGGCCTTCGTGGCCATAGTGATCATCGCCGGAGAAGCAGCTAATATAGTTGCCGAGTTTTTGTTGGTAGCGGCGACTTGGCGTCATGCACACATGATCAAATTCGCCAAAGATGCGCACGTTGAGGCCCCAATCACAACGATTTTGCTCCGAGATGGTCAGTAACATGCCTACGGAGTCGATCTTACATCTGACTCAGTGGTTTCTTTGCACCTCCCCAGGTACTGTCTATTTTGTGTGAGTCCGCCGTGTATCATACAAACACAAACACATCAGTATAATCTCGCTTGGTACAGGACTATTCTTGCACTTCTCATCATCACTATGACACTGGCTGCAACAAATAGTGTTTGTACCGTCCCCCAACAATGCTGTATGATGCTGACATTCACACCAGGTCGCGAACGGATTTGTTTCGCCCCTAACCGACGCGTGCGTGGTCTTCCATTCATGACACAATCACATCTGAGCATGTACCGCAGCCTCCAAGTGATCTTAATTTCACACTTCTACCTCAACTTACGCGAAGCCAATTCAATGGACATGGATTCCGGGGCATCTCAGATATCCGACGTCCGTTTCACGCGTGTGGTCGGGAGCCTCGCCGGCTCGCTCCCTTATGGTATGCACAGTTCTCCAGGAGGCGTGGACGCAGGGCCCGACTCCGTTGGCTCAGACGAGGAGTTTGTGGATGGTGGAGAGATGGATGGCTTAGACCAGGAGTCGGTCTGCGCAAGGCCTGAGGGCAGCATTGGGGGCTCGGAGCCTTGCGCCTCCAATGGCATGCCTAGTCCAGGACTTCTGTACGTGGAAGAGGTCCCGAGAACCGAGGCTATTGTCGCATAACATTCCTCGATGTATCCTCACTTCACCACGATCATCTCGCGGTCGATATTCAGATCCCTCAAATGCAATTTACGTTGGTGAATTCAACAGATTCGTGTATTGCCAACGTGACAATGTAAGATCTGATTTGCCAGCTGCGAAACCAGTGTTGTAAGTTCTGCCGCCTATACGACATTCAGTGACACCACCAGGATATCTCGACGACTGTTGTACAGGAAACAGACCAAGTTTGTAGTCGACGGAGACCCACATGTGAGGTGCTCTCAGGCATGGCTTCCGGAGCCTTACTCGAGCTCGCTCTTCAGAGTCTTCTGGGCGTCTGAATTATCCTTGTCCAGCTCACAGCCACCACCACGACGTCGACGTCGAGTCTCGAATTTGGTCTTCTGTCTTGTCTCCTCAATGTTTCTAACATTATGATCCACGGCTGCTCACCCGATGTACACGTCTGCATGCCGACCAATGTGATCATCGACTGCATCTCAGCCCGTGTTGACCTGGTGTGCGTACGCCTCCCCATGTAAGCTCTACGAGCGCACCAAGTGCGCTTTACCTATTCAGTATACTCTGACATTTTCAGCTACCACATATGTAGAGCCTTCAACGGATTCCCAACGATAAAGAGTACGCGGACCCAAGCCACGACCTACCTGCGGCCCTCCGGCGGACCGGATTCCAGCACGATCCTCTACCGGAGAAGAGTGGTTTTGACGAGCCTATGGATGAAGCGAGATCGGCAGAGCATGAAGTCGTAAGTTTGGCTAGTAACGGGCACCATACGCTGGAACATACACGCATAGAGCGGTAACATCGTTGACAGGGCGGTTCAGGTGAGCGCGCTTCTCGACGAGGTGGTGACTGATCAAGCCGAACTCACAAGGTGCGATTGCATAAAACATAAAACAGGCTTACCGTACCGTGACCATGTCGTACGCGCTACGATCCGGATCTCGACCAAATTTCAGCAGGCGCGTCGGAGGACTGTCAAAACTTGGACGGAGCATCTGCCACTGACTGCCGCGTCGGTGTCGCAGTTGTCTGACTTGAGGTAACACAGCCGTCAAGCTTTCAAGCTTTCAAGTTTGCAAGTTTCAAGGATATCTGCAAGGATCTTGACAGTCGCACCGCATCGCGGCGCAAGAACCAACTCATCTTAGTCCATCATTGCTCCAAGCTTGTCCCGTCCTGGCCGTCATCCGCAACGTCCTACGTAAGATCTGGATCTTCGGCGCTGGCTACATGTCCCTCGAACTTCCGAGTCGTACTACCGTCAAACAGTCCAGTAAATGCTCGAGCTCGAGCCCATACATATCGCCCGGAATCTCGTTTACAAAGCGGATTTTTCGAGGTCGTGTTCCCTGCTACAAACACGGATGGCGGATTGAGGTTGGAGTTAATCCACGAGATTTGGCACGCATATAGAGCTATGGTGGTGACGCGGACGAGTCACCCCTGTATGTTACAATGCACATCCACATGCGTGCACAACAGCTATGCAGTCGGAAGCCCGGAACCCAAGCCGAGCCCATGACGGCGCATCCATAGACCATGGCATGTCCCAGCCCTCTCCTCCACATGCACGGAGACAAAACAGGCTAGCCGCACACACCATCTGTCGGGGTGGAGCCCGTGTGGCCATCTTCCGACTTCCGAATCCAAGCCTAGAGGAGACACGTTCGCGAGATAACGATCCTACCTTCCATGCATCCCGGCCCGGCCCTCCAGCGTTGATCGCCTGGAGGTCATCACCGACGCCGTCGAGCCACCTTCAAAGAAAGGTACGTGGGCGGTGTGTACGCAACTCACCGCAATCGGTGCTCCGATTCAGTCGCACAGAGGCTGACTCCTTCGATCTTCGTTGGGGAATGGCAGATATACCTCGCCGAGTCGGAACGCCTGCCACAAACGTTCTGCCCCCCTCTCCATACGAGTGGCCCCGCAAACCTACGACCCACCATCATCGTACAGCGGACGCTCGGCCGCACCCCGATGCGTCTCGGACACCGTACGGGGGATAAGGTTGTGGAGAGCTTGATTGGGCCAGGGACGCGTTGCGCCAGCCTCTAGGCTCTAGGGAATGGTACGGAAGGCTGAGACCGCTCCTATCTAGCCCCGCCTGGTGGTTGGGAGACCTGCGGCTGAGAAGGAGACCTGGACCGAGAGTTGGACCCAAGTGTGCGTGGCGCCAAATGCAGAGGTAGGAGCCGACGTGGTCCGCAGCCATCCCCAGGAGTCGAGCGTCCTCAGGTCAGAGGCGTTCACTTCCAGTCCAGGGCGCCCCCAGAGTCCCAAGACATGCATTCGGCCGACATACAGTATGGTTCAAGTTGGGGCGGCGCGGCAGCACGAATGTTACGACGGTGTGGTCTCGTACCCATCCGTGTGGACGCACCCCACCACCGCTCCGACATGGGGTGCGTCCACACGGATGGGTATGAGACCACGACTGATTGCATTCGCTGAGATATCGCTCGATCTCCGCGGGGGTCGGACGATCGTTAGCGCAGGGATCGCCTGCCGAGGGGTACGCGGCCCTGCCACCTATGCAACCAGCGGTTGCATCTTGATGTCGTGATGAACTGTCGTATATACCTTAACGCTCGGGGACAACGGGGGTCAGTGCGGGTCGGTTGGAGATGGCGCCTCACCGAGTCACAAGAGGTCGAAAACGCCGCTGTCGACTGAGACATTGACCTCACAGACGCCCTGTGAAGGATGGGAAGTGTGGTATGAGTTCCACGACAAGCCGCCGATGGATCAGTGGGGGTTGCACGTTGCAGGGCACCTGGAGAGGGGGATCGTCCTGAGGGAAGTTCTGGCCAGGGCGGTCGACGAACGAGAAAGAAGGTTGATCAGAAGACTGGTGGTGCTCCACAGAGCTGGCCGAGAAGTCGAGCACGGAGCGCGCTGCGGCCTCTGCTACCTTATGTAGAGATCAGGGGGCGCAGATCCCAAGTTACGTACTGTTGCTGTAGCGGGCCCGCTTGCGCCTGGTACAGAGACGAGCAAGGTGGTTGAGCAGACGGACTGCATGTCGACGTCGAGGAACAGGCGCGTCGGGGATCCGGGGAATTGACGGAAGGCCGTTGACGAGAGGAGGGCGTGTGAGGATCGCAGATGTGATCCTAAGTGCACGGTCACGGTCGACCCTCCGACGAGAACAGGAAGCGCAAGTGCTGGACGCCGAGCGCCGCGAAGAGACATGGACAGCATTGCGGGCAGATCATGCGGACGCGCGCGGGGGAAGAGCGTTCGGACGTGTTCGGCGAGACGGCGTGGGCGTGCGCTGGATATGGCAGTTCTGGACGGTCGTTCGCAGCAGAGCCGGAAGAATTCCCCAGCTGGGATGGAACCACGGGGACCGCGTGCGCAGTGTGAATGGGCTGCCCTGGGACTGTCTGGGTTGTGCGGGCGTGCGGCGGCTGGAGGACGGTGGCGGGGCGGGAGCAGGAGTGGTGCGGCGGGGCGGGCGCGAGTCGAGTCATAGGAACGTCAGACGGCGGGGGCGGTGGGCTGGCGGCAGGTGGCGGAAGCGACGACGAGGGCTTGGTCAGCAGGTGCGGCGTGGCGGGAGAGGCGCCGATTGGACTCCGACGCTCGGGCGCTGGCTGGCCGCCGGGCGCGGCCTCGCATCCGCGTCGCCGGCAAGTTCCCGCCCCTCTCACCCTCCTCTCTCTCTCCGCCCTCTCACATCCCCTCCCCCGCCTCCTCCCCCCGTCTCCTCGTCCTCCTCGCCGTCGCCCTCCCCGCCGCAGCACTCAGCACGCGTGCGCACGCTCGCCGGCTCAGCCTAGATCCGCGCAGCTGACAAAGATCTCCTCGCTCGCCTCGCGATCCCAAACTCTGACGCAACCACCCACGAGTGTATCTGTACCAGCAATGGATCCCTTTGGCGGCGTGCAGTCCTTCTGGGACCTCTCCCAGCAGCCCAACACCTTCTCCGCCCTCCCCGACGACGACTTCCTTGCCTTCCTCGAGAAGCAGTTTCCCACCTCCGTAGGCAACAACGGCCTCACCACCTTCGACAGCGCCAATGCCCCAGAGGTCATCGACCCCCAGAGCCTCTCCCGCTACCCCCTTCCCAGCACCAGCCCGCCCTCCAGCGATAGCAGTCCCAGCCCGCCCAGTGTCAACACCGAGCACAGCCCGTCTCGGCGCCAGTCGGGATCCTTCAACACCCCCGCCTCCTCCGCTCCTACAGACCAGGACGAGCAGGGTCTCAAGCGCAAGGCGAGCGATGACAGCATATCCGGTGAGCCCACACACAAGAGCCAGCATACATCCAACAGTACGTCATACCATCGCCCGGTGAACGGTTCACCCGATACTGATGCGGCCACAGCCTCGAACAACAAGAAGTCCTCCTCTTCACGGCGTAAGTCAACCGGCAATCCTTCTCAGGTCTGTGGCCCCGTTCCTCCGCCACTCAGTCCGTATCCTGATCGTGCTGATAGGATGAGACTCGGTTACTCAAGCGTAAGGAGCAAAACAGAGCAGCGCAAAGAGCATTCCGGGAGCGCAAGGAAAAGCATGTCAAGGATGTACGTGGAGTTGTCGTCGCATCCCGTCATCATCGTAACCCCTTTCTAGCTCGAAGACAAGGTTGCCGCACTGGAGGCCAAAAACCAAATGTCCGAATCCGAGAACGAGAACCTTCGCGACCTTCTCTCGCGACTGCAGAATGAGAACATGATGCTCAAGCAGGCCGCTTTCACTTTCTCTGTGCCACGGGAGAATGCACCGAACATGGCCAATGGCAACCCAGCCTCGGGGTCAGTGTCGCAGCCATTCAGTTTTGCATCACCTGGGGCAGGCCCGAGCCGCGCACCACAGTCGGCGCCGGCTCTCAACTTCAACTCACTCATCTCTTTCGACCCCAACGCGATGAACGATGAACCGACAGCGACAGACAGCGCGATGAACATGGACTTCGGTTTCGGCCAGCCACACTGTTCGTACAAGACGATCGCTGCCAACCCAATGTACATGTCCTTCGCGGAGCCATCACCGTATGATTCGTCACCGTCGTCGAACGGCGGGCAGAACGGAAACGGGTCGTTCGCGAGCAGTTTCAGTAGTCCGTTCGATCAGTGGTCACCACCTGGGGGCGATACGAACGGGCTAGACCAGCTGTTCGGTGGGAACTATCTCGGGACGACGAGCGGCGTCGACTTCAACGCCCTCCTGAAGAGCCCGCCGTCATCGATCAGCCCCGTCTCCCACTTCCGCTCGCCATCCTCGTCATCACCGTCCTCGTCGTCCGACGCAAGCCCAGGGTCGAGTGCGTCCAAGGGGGACCAGTGCCCGAAGACGAAGGAGGACATGGCGAAGCACATCGTGGACCAGGGCAATTCGGCGTTCGCGCAGTGCGAGGTGCCGATAGCGCCGTTCCTCCGGAAGTCGGTCGGGGACGAGTCGGGCGGGCCGATGATCATGTGCAAGGGGAGCTCGTTCCCGCCGACGGAGAAGAGCGACAAGAATGTGGAGGTGCTCACGGCGTGGCGGAGCATCACGAGCAATCCACAGTTCAAGGTCAGTAAAGTTCGTGCGTTTTACTCCGTTCGGCGGGCTAGGCTGACACGGCGGGGTCTCCAGGACCTGGACATCAACGAGCTCTGTTCGGAGTTCACGAGCAAGGCGCGGTGCGACGGGACGAAGGTCGTGCTCGAGCCGCAGGGCGTGCATCATATCATCGAGACGCTCGCGGCGAAGCGGCAAGCGAAGCAGTAGACGTGAGGGCGTGCGCCCGCCGAGCATGCGCCAGCCAGGGCACGCCGCGCCGTCTGCCGCTCGTGTCCGCCTCCCCGCGGTCTCTGTCGAAGTGTTGTCTTTCGGGTCGGGTTGCTGGGCCGCGGGCGGGGTCGGGTCAGGCTGGCGTTGTAGAAAGTGCTCGACGCGCTGGCGGGGTGCCCGGTTGGCTGGGCTGCGCCGTCCGCGTCGGTGTTGAGCCTCGTTGTCGTTGTCGTCGTTGTTGCATTGTGGTGCGCCGTCGGACGTCTCCCCGCCGACCCGCACCAGGTCATGTCGTGTATAGTATCGATTCATCTCGTCTCTCCCATCGTCCCGCCGTCTCATCCATCATCACCACCACCACTCCTCAGCCCGTCCGTCCATCGCATCACGCTGGCACACCTTCCACGGCGATCACAGTGGTGTCCGTCTGTCCGTCCGTCCGTCCGCTCGTCTGGTTCTCGGTCTTCCGCCTGCGGACGATTCGTGCGTGTGGTTGTTCCCCTCCCCTGTATCCCCACCAGATCCATCGGTTCCGGGTCTCTTTCTTTTACTGTTTTGTTCGTGCGCGCTGTTCGTGAATTATTCGTACGTAGTAATGAGTCATGACCGTCGTCTTATGTCGGATGTGAGTGTTGAGTTGATGACTGTGATGTTAGTGCTCGAACGTGTTTTCTGCGCGAAGGTGGCAGAGAAGGTTCAAAGAACATTGATTTTAAGATTGTACAGATGAGTGATGCATTGAGGTCGATTCCTTCCGTCCTTCCGTCCTTCCGTGTCGGCTCAGTGATGGGGATCCTTGTCTAGGCTTGTGTCGGTCCACTGGTATCGGTACAATCCAGATCACCTCGACACACCGTAGACGAGTCAAGGGAACTGGTGATGCTTCAATCGAACTCCGCATCCCTGCGGTTGCGATACATGAGCTTTTGAGGCGGGGAGGTCTTGCTGATCTCCTGGCGCCAGTTTCGGTTGTACTGCGTCTGTTGAAGCTGATCGCTCTCCACGAGACCTGCGAGGAGCGGATGAACACGCGATGAGCCATAGACTGAAAGGGAAGAGATTGAAAGGGGGTGCAGACCAGTGCCGACCGTCATGTCGACGCCTTCGCAGACTCGCAGGATGAGGAATGGAATTAGGGGGTTTCCCGGTTCCGACTGACGCTGGCCCCGCAGCGCTCTCTCGCACAACTGCGCGCCCTCGCCGGGGCTGAGCTTCAGACTGAGCTCGATATCGCTCACTATGTCGGAGACGCGGAACACGGCGCATCCGACGATCGTGAACTTGTCCTTGGCCAGCGGCCCCGCGTCGGGAGTGTACACGGACTGTTCGATGATGAGGTGCGTTTGCCCGCGGCTAGGGTTCTCGTGCAGCCGCAATGCACTGACGTAAGGCCAGGAGTCTTCGGCAGAGTGGTGACGCGCTACCCAGTCTCTCTGCCTCTGCGTGACGACCGGCGGGTTGGCCGGGTCCGGGGAGAGCTGTTCACTCGCTGCTTGATTGTTCACAGCTGCGAGGCCTCTGAATCAAGTCGAGTCAGTATTAGTAAGGCTTGAGGGCCGGCTAGGGTGCTCACTTGCAGGCATGCCTGTTGGCGAAGTGGATTTGAGCCAATGCTACGAGCATGTATCTAGCTGAGCACTTACTTGTGCAGCGGCCAGTCCTTTTTCTGACACTCGCGGGAACTGACCCAACGCATTGAGTCGCCTACCATTGATGGGATTAGCAGGGTGACGTACCAGTAATTCGCCGTCTTGCACTGTGAGCACAAGAACAACTTCACTATTGGTTCTTGGCGTAAACATTGCCGGCATCGTTTGACGAGACGGCGGTCTGTCTTGTCGGTGTGTTCACGTCCTTCTAGCCAGGATATCCCACCCAGTGCTTCCAGTATCGGACTGGTTGTTTCGCCAGTGGGTATGAGGAGTTGCCGCAGAATTGTGTCGGACAATCCGTGTGGATTTTTGCGGAACCACTTGACAAGCCACTTCTCCCTGTCATGGCCATCAGGCTCACACTTGTATCAACCAAGTTTAAATAGCTCACTGCCTCTTCGCGGCCCCTACGTTGCCGCGACGCCGCAGTATCCGCGACAAGTACACTTTGGTGACGACTAAGTCTTCTAGTCCATGGGCATCAGAGGCAGGAGAGTCGGTGAGCTCTGTAAGTAGAGTCTCTGCTTTTGCATCATCCTCGCCACTCCGTACAAGAGCTTCCGCGAAGATCATGACTAAATTACTTCCAGCATCATGTTAGCTTGTCCGAGCAGACTCCACATGGCGCAGAACTGACTGTTGCTGCCTCAATTGCCCTATTGGAGTACGTGAAACGAAGTATTCCATAAGTTCTCTGAGGGATATCACGGCATCTCCGGGTCGATTGATCTCGGGTCGCCTGCCACCCAAATGAGCCAAAATCAAACGACGTGCCCACGAAAGGTCATACAAGAGAAAAATTGCAAGCTTCGCCTTTGCTTGTAGGCGCTGTATGATGATGCAGACTCGGATCAGCTACTAGTATGCTGGCACACGCATAAGGCAGTGACACTCTGTAAACATACCATGAACAGTCTACCACTGTTTATCACTAATGCACCAGCTTGCCCGACACGATTAGCGGCTGCGGCATCCTCGGGACTCAAGACATGCCCAAATGCGAGCAATTGCGCATCCGTTGCTTCAGTGAGAACGTCAACAAACATTTGTAATGCCCAGACCACTGGTTTGAGAATGTCCGCAGGAACTGTTGGTGCGTATATTTCTTAGCACGATGCCATGGCGTGTAGAGAGGTAGGATCATTACCATCATCAACGTGAATGAGAAAGCTGTAATTGAACAGTTGGCTAAGCTGTGAATTAAAAATCAAGGAGCGCGGTGCGGGGTCGCCCAGCGGCCCACCGGGGCGTGGATTGTGCAGCAGAATCGTCGGTGTCTGTTCAACGAGCATCTGTATGCTGTCCACTTTGATTGTAAAAGACCGAGATGGGGGTGAGTTTTCAACGCAGTCTTTCAATACTACGTGCTTACTGAGTGCAATATCCTGCCTGACCGACTCGAGGTCTGGTAAATGATGGCTCGCGAGCGCATCTTGCTGGCCCGTGAATTTCAAGACAGATTGAATGCGTTGTCGGGAAGGAGTAGGTACAGAGCCCATATCTCTTCTGACACTGAGTACGGTCAGAGTGATCGTTAACGTTGCTCGAAATCGATAGAGCGCTCGGAAGCAGTATCTATTTCATTGCGTTATTATTTATAAGTGTTACGTAAGTCCACAATAGCAAATAATAGTCCTGCCCTCGTTCTAGAATAGATGGCACACGTTGAACGTTCATGAACGTTGATCGTTTGAGCGTGGAATATGAAAGCTGAACACATAGCAAGCGAGCAGGAACTAGCCAGGACGAGAGAGGCCGTGACGGAGGACACGGTGCGTTCAGACGACAGTAATCTGAACAGTCCGAACTTCCACCGCTTCCCCCACAGAAAGAAATTGACCGGATGTGGTACAGGTCTCGCGACCTTCAATGCTTACGATCGTAGTTCCTGGCTGCTCCAACCGCTACGTCGCTTCCACCTCCGCCGGTTCTTCATCCGAATCAAGGTCGCTCGCCTGCGCATCAACATCTTCCAATGAACTGTGCGTACTGTAGGGAAGCGAGCCCGCGAGGCTTCCTAACACACGCGTAAACCGGATGTCGGACATCTGTGATGCATTGGAAGGTAGGTCGACTGAATTTGCTTGGTGTAAGTTGAGGTAGAAGTGCGAGAGTAAGACGACTTGGAGCCTGTTGGATTTAGCTGTGATCAGGCTTCATCGTATGTCGTGTGGCAAGCAACGCACACGTAGGTAATGGGCGAGATGAATCCATCTTCAGTCTGAAACGTCGGTGTCAGCGAACCGGGAGAGATGCATGAGTATGATACCAACTCCCATAATCACGGTCAACGTGGTATCGAGGATCAGGGCAGCGAGAATAGCGCTGAGCCAAGACAACGTTCATGTCGTCACATTTGATCCTAGCAGTGTCAACTCACATGAAGTAGAGAGTACCTGATAGGAAGTAAGTAGGCAGATCCGCGCGGTCAGATGCGAAGTTATCTCGATCCGAGCTTGCGACTCACCATCTCTGAGGAGTACAGATGTGATTGGGGTGTCGATGCGTGCATCGTTGGCGGATTTGGCCGTGTATATATGACGCCAAGTCGCTATCACTAGCAATGCTTCGGCGACAACAGTACATGCTTGACCGGCGACAAGCACTGTGGCAACGAGCGAAGCGCGATGTCAATTGTCACACCAGCTCTACAGTGAATCAAACGTCGCACATGGTCTGTGACAAGCATTGCTTGTTGAGGGCTAACCAAGTCAAAAAAGAAATATGTAAAACGCACTTCCAGATTGTGCTGTCCGAGGAGAGCACGCAGCCAATGGGATCGGGGACAGTAGCTCCGACTATTGTAGGGATCTCATGCTGATCATTAAGTTGTCAGAGGGGTTGCATGTACAAATGACAACTTCGAAAGGACTTACTATCTCGGCGGTAACAAGCACCAAAGAGAGTAAGAATCCAGCAGACGCAACCAGCACAGAGTGATTGCTGATGGCATAGGCACGCAGCGCCGTGAAAGCTATGGGGCATGAGGATGAGATACTTATGGTGATAAGATAGTAGTTCTCTTACATACCACCATTAGTGAGATGGAATAGTGCGCTGGCGCAAGATATAACCACGTCGGCGGTGTAATCGCTGTGAAGGTTCATCTGGGTGAGTGCGTCTTGAAGCCAGGCAAGATGGTTCTACCTCTGAGACAGAGTCAGCATCTATACCATACACGACAAGCACTTGGATTTACTCGACAGCCTGTGAGAATTTGTAACACCACAGATCCAAATAGGTACACCACCACAGATATATGCAGTAGCATGTATAGGCCAGTCGCGGCCGACATGCTCCGACGCCGCCAAATCAAGTCCACCTCCCACCAAATGGTGAGAAAGCGGTCATAGGCGTACATCGCTTTGTATGAAGGTCAGGAAAAATGCGTGCGTAGATGGTGGTACTAACTCACTGCATGCTGCTATCTGGCAACAGTCGAGTACAAATCTACCATGTGGGCTCTGATCAGTCACTGAAGAGAGAATTATTTTCAATGCAACTCACGCTACGTTGAGTATTGCGATCGTCTGAGCGAGTTCACCCTTCGACACGTGTGTTACCTAGCGCAGAGGGGCGGAGGTGGATAGTGTGCTTGTATCTACATAGATAAGCCCAAGCTGGCTACTTGAGGCCGCGCATTGGCGCGACGCCGTCCTTGACTAGGTTTACGGCGATCAGATGCAGACTCATAGAGGCATGGTCCTGCTGCATGGACTGCCTCCTATATCCCACAGCTGCGTTAATTATGACACGACACGTACCTACTCCCGCTATGCGTGACACATTGAGGTCTTGCATAAGCTCCCCGATGGCGTCGTGTTAGGAAGGAGTGGTTACAATACCGGTACAAAGCATGTTTGTCGTACGTCACACTCGTCACGAGCCCCCATGTGTTTACCTACTCACCGTCATAATGTGACCTGAACTGTTCAGTCCTCCTACATAGTCGTAAAACGAATGCCTGCTTTCGATGACACGGCATGCACGCACCCTGATTTTATCTAACCTGTGTACCGGCTTCAGCTTTGATGTCCACTTTGACGTCGGACCGTCAACTTACGACGTTCAGTCGCGGTCCAGATCGATGCACCCTAGGCCTGTCATCAGTCTCACCAGTAACACTGAAGATCGGCTTGAGTTGGTTGAATCACCGCGGCCTTGCCCGAGACACTCCGCGTAGTCGACTAGACTGAAGCCTTGCGTCTCACGATACGACAGGCGATGCCGATTCCACCGCAACAAGTTGGCATGCGGACAGCTCATAGCGGGCCCCGACGATGATCGAGGAGTACACCCTCATCGGTCTGTAAGTGGGACGTAATCACCGACTGAGCGGAAAGTGGGAAAGCGAAGGACATACCTTTCGTTGCTGACATCGAACGGACCAGAAAGACAGTCGTTCCCTATCGGTCACTGCGGCCATAGAGGCAAGGAGACACGACACTTACATCTACATGGACGCCGTTGGACTCCGCCACCGTTGCATGTCTCGCACAGTCAAGTGGGCGGCGTAATGATACGTCCAGAAAGGCATCTCTATACATGGCAGATGTTTGAGATGTATCAGAGTTGAGTCAGTCATCTGTCACAGTGAGGCGGATGTCCCGCTAACGCCGCGGGACTGCAGTCTGTAAGTAGCATCGTGAGCAAGACGTGAAAGGAACAGAATGGTACGTCCAAGGCCATCGGATAACGCGAACTCGGCTCTTGAGACCCCTTCCTCAGCCGCTCAACCTCCCTTGCATTGTCAAGCCCACAGTGGACTCGCTGTCGCATCGACATCCTCCGCTGCGTCGGGGCTACATAGGCAGCTTCCTGGTCAACACACGCATACGACAGAGAGTGCACGCCCCGTCTTGATGCTACATACGATATACTTTGAGGAAGTGAGAGAAGCGCGCTCACCTGAACCGCCCTGACAACGACGTTACCGCCCTATGTGCGTATATTCCAGCACATGCAAGCGCATGGTGCCCGCTACTAGCCAAACGCATGGCTTCTTGCACTGCCGATCTCGCTTGAAACACCTTCAATGGCTTATGTTTGCGACTGACGGACGATGTGAAGTAGACGGAGCCTACAACAGTCTGCGTGCACGCATGCATGATGGATGTTACAACCGTCAGGCTCCTTGTAATCGTCTGTAATAGAGGTCGTCGTAAACAAGGGAGCGAACATGTGCAAAACCACCGCATCTGACCATATTCCTAGGCTCGTCAAAACCACTCTTCTCCGGCCGAGGATCGTGGTGGAACCCGGAGGGCCGCAGGTAGGTCGTGGCTTATAATCTCTACCGTTGGGACCATAGACTGGCTCCTTGTGGGAAGCGGCCCCGCCGCGTATGGCTCCGGCGGTGACGGGTGTACTCCGACGGGTATGCGGACAAGGTGGGGACATGGATCAATGGTCCAATGGGCGCGCGAGGATTCAAGAAGCTTGTGCGTATTGTTGAAGGCGCGACATACGTGGTAGCTTAGGATGCCCGAGTATATTGGATGGCTGCCTTCGTAGAGCTTGCCAATGGGAGGCGTACGCACATCAGGTCAACACGGGCTGAGATGTGGTTGTGTCAATAATCAGGTTGGTCGACATGCGGACGTGTACATCGGGTGGGCAGCCGTCGTAGAGCATAAGAGCCATAGATAATGCTAGAAATATTGAGAAGACAAGACAGAAGGTAAGTAACAGAGTCGATGCTCGATGTCGTGGTGGCTGTGAGCTGGACGAGGATATTCATTCAGACGCCCAGGCGTCATCGGCGCGGAGGACTGCGTCTGGGATTGCTGACTCAGCGTCGGTGGTCCGCCACCAAGTTCCGAGTCGACTGCTCGCGGTTGCCCAACGCACTCACAGTGCATACGTGTCGACTCCGGATAAACGCAAGCAACCCTTGACACTCGTGCGATGGAGAAGCGACTGTCTTCTGCCCTCCTTACCTCTTCCCGCCATTTCAAACGAACAAGAGATTTCGACTAACTTAGGTGACACGATACCTCGCCGCAAGAGCCAAATGAAATCACAGTATTTGCCCTCTTGCCCGCGTCGACGGCCCTCATGTCGCGTCTCGCGCAGCCAGACCCCGTCTGTCCAACCCTCTCTAGCTCGGACCCAACGGAGCGAGACCCAGACGATCCCAGCATGTCGAAAAAGCTCCACGCGTTTGGACTTGTCAGGCATTACCGGAACGGTGGATGAGAGGTCCGAATCGAGGTGGGTGTGCTGTTGCGACTTCGCCTCAACTTAGGGTAGGGGTTAATTGACCAGGATTACAGTCTGCTTCAGGCCAGCCGTTGTGGGCGCGTACGCGAAACCCACAAGACGTGTTGCCTGTGGCCGAAGCTCTGCGCTATTATCTAGCTATCGAGCATCGCGAAGCTTCGGCTTCATAAGTCACTTCAGGACATAGCTCTATTCGCTTCACCGGATGTGCGTTCTGTCCCAACCGTCGTCGGGAAGGGGCCTGACAATCCTCCAATATAGACTACCGAAACCGCGCAGAAACCAGGTTCTACACTCGACGTTAACGTACACGGGCTCAGCCCATTCGCAGTTCATCCACGGTCTCGCTCCTCAAGCTCATGGGAAAGATCGGCCGCGCGCGGAGAAACGTGCAGACCGTCCATCGAGAGACCGAGGTAGAAGCAATCTGTATCGCAATTGCCTTCGCATACCATAGGGGAGTCGAGTCGTCTCGTACATGTACCTTGTGAGTTCGGGTCGAACTCTTGACTGCCACATGCAGCTGACTAGATAACACGACAAATTCTCTTCCCTACTCACCGCCAGCTTTGAGCCTGTTGACGCTCATCTGGCGTTAACTTATGTTCGTACCTTCGTCAAGACGGTCGCACGGATTGTGTTGAAGTACTTCTACTACGTCAGTATCAGCGCAGACCAGGACCGCAACGTGGGAAGCAGCAGCTGGAGGCTGCATGGGAGCTCTTCCTCTACATCTCGTCCTCGCGAACACCGGATCCGTTCGTCGGGGATTACTTCTTGACGAGACGCATTTCGTACGTTTCCCCCACACCCCCTTTCGTCGCACTAACGCTGTCACTGTCACCTTCACCCAGAGCGTGATCATCGAGCAGGGCGCGTCCCTCAACAGCGAACAGACTCGTGCGCGCCGCGACGCAGTTGAAGGAAACCGACCGCGTGCCGGAGGCGATCATGCTGTACAACCTCGCGGGCGACTGCGCGACCATTAGCGCGTGCTTCATGCAGGCACCCAGCGCGCCTTCCAGTAGCCTGTACGCTACCGTAGACCATGTCGCGGTCTCATGGTCTTGGACCGTGGCCGATTCGGTAATCTCAAGTTTACTGTGGCAGTTTACCGAGCGTGACGGTCAGTGAGTAATGTCAACTCGAAGAGCGAGGCTTCGGTCGATGACTGGTAATCAATTTTAAGGTCCAGATACCGCTGTGAACTTTGATATCTTCCTCGGCCTTGGACCGCTCGGGCAGTCGCCGTACCCATACCAGGAGGTAAACCATACGATAGACAGCCGCCACACGAGGTGCTTTCAAGGCATATTGTTGACAGTGTTATGTGTACAGCGTGTCCGTGCGGTGTGTTTCAGCTGGGGACTGCAGCGAAGTTGCGCAAGCGGCGAGGGCGGGTCCAGGATCGCTGACTCTGGTGACGGATGCGCGTACAAGTACTTAGTACCAACGCACTCCGAGTTCGTTATTTCTTCCGCGATAGCATACTGTCTCAGCAGTTTATCAAGCTCAGTGATTGCCATACTAGAAATGCAGGTAATGGAAATGGAATGACTCGGAGTACGTTGGCAGAGGCGCATGAAGGTTGGAACAAAATGAAGAGCAATGTGATTGCAAATGAACCAGAGGGATGCCAAGGGAAGCCTCCTAATATCCGGGGTGATCTGGCAAACATACAGTAGAAGATTATGACACTCCTGGTGCCTTCCACGGAGAGGTCCTCTGTGGCTCATCATATTGATGGTTCCCAGTCCCCGACGATGCCTCTCGCGACTGCCGGCTGCTCAACATCTATCCGTTGCGCATACACTGGCTCCTCCTACGAATCGATATCGCTCCCTGGATCCGCATCCGCATCATCGTCGGGAAAGCTGTGTGCGCTGTAGGGGAAGCAACCCGCGAGGTTTGGCACCAAACGCGCGAAACGAAGGTCGGATATCTGTGATGCATTAGTAGGTAGTTCGAATGAACTCGCTTCGTGTAAGTTGAGGTAGAAGTGCGAGAGTAGGGCTGCTTGCAGCCTGAGGAGCGTGTATACGGTTAGCGCCATCGTTTTTGGATAGTATGAAACGCACGCAGAGAGGATAGATGAGACAAATCCATTGCTAATCTGAAGTGACAATATCAGTATGGCGCAATGACGCAGTAGGCAGGGGTAATACCGACAATCGTCTCGCTCAGTGTCATGTTGACGATTAGGAGAGCGAGTATCGTGCTGAGCGGAGCCAGTGGTGATTATAGACACGTTTGCAGGGTTATATGCGAACTCACATAAAGTAAATGATGCCTAGGTCGAGAACCCTGAGTCAGACGTACACATAGCCTGACGAATCTTTCACTTACCATGCCTGAGCAATACGCCCGTAATCGGCATATTGGTATGCGTCTCGACGAGGTGAGCCATGCATCCATAGCGCCACGTTACCGCTACAAGCAAAGCCTCGGCGATAATGACGGATGCTTGCCCAGCCACATATACTACGCCCGAAAGCAAAGCATATGTACCGTCAGCTCAGCTCTATTGGAACCGAATGAGATGTCATCATACATGGTCTGTGACATATACTAATTCAGGCGAGCTGAAAAAGTCACATCGACCAGTGTGTGAGACATACCTGTAACTTGCGCCACCCACAGTGAGTAGGCAGCCAACCGGGTCTGGCACAACAACGGCTACTATTGTACAGACCTCATACTAACGGTCAAGGCATCAGAGTGACGGAATGATGACGGAAGAGCGAAGAGACTTACTATGTCTACAGCGGCGAGCACAACCGAGAACAAGAAGATCGCGGACGCAAGCGGCGTTGAGCGACTACTGATGGCATAAGCACGCAATGCCGTGAAAGCTATGAAGCGGGAAAGTTAATCAGTTTGTAGGAAGGACAAGACAGTGCTTTCCCACGTACCGCCAATGGCAATATGGAACAGAGCAGCGGCGGATAATTGCACCACGTCCATGATATAACCACTGCATGATGTGCTCTCGGCAAGTGTCGCTCAAATTCAGTGAGATCATTGTACTACCTCTATGTCGACGCGTCGAAGTTAGCATACGTACTATGTGCGAAGGAATTTGAGCCTTACTCTACAACTTTTGAGCATCTGGGCCATGACCTGACCATACAGATACACCGCTGCAGACGTATGCATTAGCATATAGGAAGCAGTCGCCACCGACATTTTCCGTCGCTGCCATATCAAGTCTACCTCCCACCAAAGGGTGAGGGTGCGGTCGTAGGTATAGATTGCTGTGCTGCCAATCAGCGATACAGGCAACTCAAAATGAAGATGAACTCACCACAAGCAGCTACTTCGCAGCAATTGAGTACAAATCTGTCGTCTGTATTCTCATCGGCTACCAAAAATGTTCATGTAGCTACTCACGTTATGTCGAGAACATCGATAGTCTTCGCAACTGTGTCCGCTGACATGGCTGCGATCTATGAGATTAGTAGATCGACAGACAAACTACTTTTATACCTTCAAGCCATCGCACTCCTTATGCCAAGACTTCAACGTTTCAACTGGCGCCAGGGGAGATGGATGTCCACCTGCAGTATGACCGAGGCTCTGCAGTACCAATCACCAATGTGGACCGCGGCTGTGCCAGTTACACCGTGTCCTAACTACAATGAACCCTACTTCGGGCTTGCTGCTCCCACGGAGAGAAGTCCGGAATCGCGTTCTGTTCACACAGACGTGAAGTTACGCACCGCCCCGTTGTAGAACCGTGCCTGCTGGCCGCTCAACGTTACTTCGAGCGGCCGCAAGTGGCTGCCGGCCTCGACTGTGGGCCAGTATCCATGTCGATGGCTACAACTGCATCATAGCTGACTTAGCGTGCGGCACGAACCGATCTATGCCAATCAACATTTAAATTAGGCGACAAAGGATGCACAAGAACAGACACGAACGGAAAACACCCTTGAGTCCACCCTTAGCCTTGGTCGGATGAACTAGTTCGCTGTTGTCCAGATCCTTCTGAATTGCACACATCTTGACAGCAACACTCGCCCTGCATGATTTCGTCACTGCACATGCCTGCACTCTGAAGGATTGCATTCTGTCTCACGACTCATCGTCGCGATTGTATAAATGGAACAAAACAGTATGTCAGACATTGGACGAACAGTACACATATCAAACTCAACTTTTGAACTCAACTACTGCATTTCGACGCGCTCCGAAGCTACTGAAGTACAGATGTCAGATACACGTTACTCCCACTCACGGCCACCGGCTGTTCAGCGCTGCTGCGATTCTCCGAGCAACTCCGTACCTATCTCAAAGATCGAACCCTACACCAATACCCTCTGCATTGTCGGCGAACAAGGCCTTGCGGAGATCCGGACTGCCACCACCACGCGATGGGATCCGAGGTGGAAGCTACCGCATTACTCCCAGGCCACCGCTCACCGTGGTATCTTCCCGCACCCATGTCCCTCGCTGCGTCGCCAGCGAGAAGAGCCTATATATGAGAACAGCAACCATCGGCGGCCGGATATCTGCTTCGAGGTTGAAGCTGTGCGGACCCGAGATGCGCAGTTCCGTACCACGCGACGTTCTGGCAGCGGCGTGCAATAGCGAGCTCGACATGAACGTTCCCATGCTCCAGCGCCATCATCTGGAAGAATCAAGAACAGTGTACATGTCAGCAACAGATCGCAACGCCCATCCGCAAGGGACCGTATGCGAAACAACTCACAAGTACCATGTTCACAACTCGTGAGCTATGCGCGATGACCGTCAACCGCTAATCCGACCATCTCATAGCACCAGGTGCGACGAGCTCTCACGCTCCGCGGAAGTAGTCGTGATCCCCAGAAGGAGCAGCTCACCCGAATCCCTCCAACAAGTACACACCTGCGCCCGCTCTAACGCCTGCAAACCAGACATGCCATTTTCTATTGTATGTATGCAAGCTGTCATGGCTGCAGAGTACGAGTCCGTCCGTCAGTCACCAATATACAGATGTGCTGCGAGGAATACATACACAGTAGATCAAGCGAGACAGAGATGCGAGGATGACCGCCGAAACCACAGTGGGCTAGTGGCAATGCGAAGGGCGAGGGCATCTCACTGCCGATCGCAGCACCCGCGCCGAAGCCGACACTGCCAGCGGCGGAGGTAGTCATTTGCAGAGAAGAAGCAAGCGCAAGGATTTGTAGGTTGACGAGGTACCGTAGCATCGCGACCGAGCTTTCCATGCTTACTCTTCTTCTGTCCAGCGTCTTGCTGCAGATCGAGTTGACCGGGGCTGCCTGCGGTAGGGGCGGGGGTTAGTCCAATTCCGCGGCACGCACTAGTTGGTGCGGCGGGGGCGGGGCACGCGGGCTGGGACACCGACTAGACGGTAGGCAGGGGCAGCGCCGTCGAGTTTCTCGTCGTGGTCGGAGTGGAAGACGCCTTGACGGCCGCGGCACCGGCCGGTCCAACAGTCGGCGTTCGTCCCGTCGATCCTGTCATCGAAGGACAAGGGATAGTCGAGTTTTTGAGGCAGTGTCGGTAGTGCAGAGGATGAAGGTGCGTTGTGTCATAGGAGATATGGCGAGTAACGTACCGAGCCGTCCTCATTGAGCCTGAGCGAGGCGGGGGAGGAGGGACTGCGCAGCGACCAGGTGCGCCAACAGAGGCTGTCTATCTCCCCGATTGGAGATGCGCTTGCCTTGGTCGCAGAGGGAAGCCGGTTGCGCATGAGGTCCACATCAGCTAGTGAGACGAGGTTGTGCGTTACGAGGTCGTGCTGGTCTGCGAGAGGACAGGCAGAGAGAGGATACTGCGAGAGGTCGCAGACACAATGTTGTACTGGAGTTACTCGAGGCCCTGGGACGACGGGCCAAAAAGCTGGAAAGGACGAGCGGAGACCAAGTAGACGAGTGCAAGGTCGAGACAAGGGCTACCTGCGCAGTGTTTGTGATCGCCCTTCGGGACCGCCTATGTAGTATTACTTGCGACATCATGGAGTGTCTGCGTCGTAGCACGCTCAGGGTGTGTCATGCGCGGTGTTGTAGAAACTGCTGGAGTGGCGAGACGAGACATGGCGACGCGTTCATTGTAGTCTCCCGTAGGCAGACCCTAAACACGACTTGTTGGGTGGGAAAGGGCGGTCGTGTATGTACATAGTATGGCGTTGATGCACGATCTGGGAATGCTGACTCAGCGGCACTCACAAAAGGCACGTGCCATACGCGTCGAACGTCGGACGCGAGCGACTGTCCTTGTATGTTCGCTCGCAATAATTCTGGACCAAGCAATTCCGTCTGCACCCTCTACCCCTTCCTGTCATACCATTCTCACCTAAGACAGACCTGGCTTATCTGGTAAACTAAGACTAAACATTGTCTCAAGAGTTGAACGGATTCACGATGGCGGCCGACTTGTCTGCCCTCTTGACCGCGTCGAAGGCTCTCACGTCGCATCTCGCGCGGCCAGACCTCCCGTCTGTCCACCTCTCTCTGGATCAGATTGAAGCCCAATCACGACGTCTTGTCTCTCGCCAACCAGGAACGTCGACAGACAATGATCGCGCGTAAGCACCGGATATCCTTCCAAGCGCTGCCCAGTACGCTGACGGGTTCCTGTAGAAATTACCTCCTTGCCCAGGCACGCGTCGATGCACCAGGTCTCGCGAGCTCTATAGCGCACCTCAACACTACGACGACCTTCACCCCACTCCAGGCGCTCCAGGACACGGATGTGGCGGGCTACCTCCGACATGCTCATGAGCAGAACCTCATCTCCACGATTGAGGAAGGGAGAAAGGAGACGCAGGAGGAGTTTTACCGCGTGCTGGAGGATAGGCAGCAGCGCGACTGGGAAGCAAGGAAGAAGCGGGTATTCGAGCAGCTCGGTGGCCGGGTGGGCGGGGAGAACTTGGCAGTGGCGGAGCTGAAGAAGAGTATGCACGGGAAGAGCTTGTTGTCGGTGAGTAAACATGCGTCGATTTTGTGCCTTGGCTGACTTACGTCTAGACGAGTGTTGGCCCCGCTCCGAGCTTGCAGATGCAGGGCAAGATGATGGCATACGCTCGTGCTGTATCCGAGCTCAACACTGCAAGGCTACGTGGGACATCCTATCCCATCATTCACGCCCTCTTCTCCTCTTCTGTTACCGTGAACAACGATGTATGTCTCTTGCACCCTGGTTCCTCGCGTTCACATCTCACTCGCCTTTCAGCCCCGCTCCTTCCAGCTCTCCCAAAACTTCCACGTCCTATCCAAAATCACCGCCGAGCCACCCGCGCTACCGCCACTTGAACACGCCGGCGCGCATATACTCAATGCACCGCTTTTCGAACGCAAGTACGCGCGGGTATATCTTGGTGACCCCGAATCGCGCGAAGCTGTCGAGCTGCGCAAGCAGATCGCGCGCGGTGCTAGAGAGGCGTTGGAGGAGCAATATTGGGACGTCCTGGACAGGACATTGCAGGCTCGTCCCATCGAAGCGAGGCTGGGTGGCGATCCGAGCATATCGAACAAGGTTCGCGCGTTCGTGCTCGTCAGGCATTACCGGAATGGCGAATGGGAGGACCGGATTGAGGTAAGCATGCCAATGGCCCGCTTAATATACGTGGCCTGATTGTGCCGTGTGCAGTTGATTGCGGGTCAACCGGTCTGGGCGAAGCTGTTCTACCTTGTGCGTACAGGGAACCCACAAGACGCGTTGGCCGAAGCTCTGCGCTACCAACAGGCTATTGAGCACCGTGAAGCAGGCTTCATAAGCCACTTCCGGGCATGGCTCGACTCGCTGGACCGAAAGTGCGTTCGCTCAGTCGGTCTCACCTCATTCCATCTCATGTACTCTCATTATGTAGACTGCCGAAACCACATCGAGACCAAGTACACGCGGCGTTCAACGCGCACATGCTGCACTCATCCACTGCGGACCCGTTCAAGCTCGCGCTCTACAAGTTGATGGGCAAGATCGACCCGGCACGGAGAAGCGTGCAGAACGTCACTGTCACGACGGAGGACTGGCTCTGGTTCCAGCTGTCCATGGTTCGCATACCTTTTCTGAACTGCAGTACTGCTGGATTACTGATTGGATGCGCGCATATATGCATGTAGGTTGACGAAGAGGAGCACGGTGGTTTGCGCGGGCTCTCGGAGGTGCTCCTGAGCTACGGGGAGCGCCATTTTGATGGCGTACCTGGACAGAACGGTGCTAGGCGAGGTGTATGGGCTGGCGTGTTGCTGATGTGCGGTCAATTTGAGAGGGTCAGTCCTCGACCTGCTTGTCCCCGAACAACGAGCTGACGTTTTTGTAGGCCGTCGCTGCATTGTGGGATCATCAAGAGACAGAGGTAGAAGCTGTTCATCTTGCCATTGCTCTGGCATACCATGGGCTTCTACGTGTCCCCTCGCGAGCCGAAACGTCTGACATGACTCCCTGTAAATTTGTACTTCACTCTCGGTGCCTACATGACACTGACCGTAGGGCATAACAGTGTCCCTTTCCCCGACGTCACCACCAGCCTTAAGCCTTTCGACGCTGATTTGGCGGTATGTGCGCACTTTCGTGAAGATGGACGCACGGGAAGCATTGCAATACGTCTACTGTGTCAGCCTCAGCGCAGACCAGAGCGGCGGTGTTGGCAAGGAACAGCTGGAAGCTGCGTGGGAGCTCGTTCGCCGCATCATCGTCCTCGCAAACACCGGTGCTGCATGGGAAGAGCTCGTCGGCGGGTTCCGTCCCGACGGCACACGTTTCGTATGTCTTCTTCACATCTTCCACTTATCGTCCCGCTCACGCCGTAACCTCCCCAGAGCGGGCTTATCGAGCAGGGCGCACCCCTTCTCAAGCTCGAGAGCAGCCAAGAGTATAACGAGCAGGTCCTCGTGCGCGCGGCGAAGCACTCGGAGGAGAACGACCGCGTGCCGGAGGCGATCAAGCTGTACAACCTCGCTGGCGACTACACGATCGTCATCGCGTGCCTCGCGCAGGCACTGGGCAACACCATCGGCCAGCCGAGCGGCGATGAGAAGGCGCGCGCAATCGAGCGGACGGCGGCGGATATCCTGAGGCATTACGAGCGTACGAACAGGGCGGTTGGGAAGGAGAGGGATGCGGTGATCAGGCTGCTGAGGGTAAGGGAAGCGATGGAGGCGAAGGAGAATGGGAGGGTCGAATTCGCTCTGGAGGTAGGTTCCTGTTCATGCCGAAGCCGTATTGCTAGTAACGAGTGCTTGCAGGTCATGGAGTCGATAGACCTCATACCTATGGACGGGGACGTCGCCAAAATCCAGCGACGTGCGGAAGAGTTCCGCGACCTCCCAGAGGCACTCCAAAGGAATCTGCAAACCTTCCTCACTCTCACCATGGACACACTGGCCAGCGTCCACCAAAAGGTCAAGGCCTCGCTCATGGCCGAGGCGAGTCGCCAAGTGGTGAATATCGTTGGTTCCTCGCAGTTCAAACCTGTTTCGCTGACCTGTTATGTAGACCCTCGCTGCTCTGCGGAAGAAGTCGCGATCACTCATGATCTTTGCGGGCACGCTGAAATATCGGCTGTCCCCCGACGTGTATTCGTATCTGGCGCGGTTGGACGTCGAGATTGCTCTCTAGCGTGTTTCTGTAAATTTTTCTTGTTTTCTGCAATTGTATCTTCTACATAGGCTAGATATGTTGTGTCTGTCACATGAAGGAAGCGGAGAGACAGATTATAAGGTAATGGACACGGTCCAATTGCGCCGGGATGCACACGTTCAGTCGCGAAGTGACGTCTCTACTATGATGCGATGCATGGCAAAACGAACACAATCCGCGTCGAAGAGAGGGGTGTCGGACTTATCGTCCAGCGTACCCTTCACCCGGATGCACTGCACGCCCAGAGCCTGGTTGCGAGCCGTCTCGAGTCAGTACTCTGGTTACACAATGAGTAGGCCATCACGTACGGTGATTTGTGCCTCGTCCACCTCGACGGTGGTACCCTGGAGGTAGACGATGTGCGTGATAAACGCAGAGACGGGGTAAGTAGTGTCGGCCCTGCCCAGGCCGCCATAGGAGGGAGAGTGATGAGATTCGTTCAGCGTACGCGCGATCGTCCTGGAGAAGCGAGGGTCAGACAAGGCGGTTCCATATTTGCGAGTGGCAAGGTGTACTTGACGTAATCCACGGCTGTGTAGCCGTCCGTCTCTCGGTCGTTCTTCGAGTTTACTGAAGGATGCGCGTTAGAAAGGGGGTGATACAGATGTCCGGCAAATGGAGCTTACGCAGGAGGACCTTGGCACGGAGAGACCGTGAGCGCGCGATGGCGCTCGCTACGCCTCTCAAGGCAAGGCAAGGGATGATACTGAGTATCGGGCGGCGTGTGTCAGTGCAAATCACCGAGTTGGCACCAGCGGGTGAAACGCACCTCGTCCACAACGACCCGCAAGAGTACACCAAAACATCATTCAGCGACATGTTTGTGATGTAGTCAGGGTTGGGCGACGGGTGTATCTCGCTCCCATACGCGTTGATGTAGTACAGCCCTATCACCCGTCTGGCCGTTTCTCCTCGCCGGTGGGAGATGCAAACACTCACTTGATATCCTTGCGCCAAGCGGCTGGTAGTCCGACTTATCGTGTGCCTGGAACATCACGTTCCCCTTCGGCGAGACCACACCATCCAGGCCGTCTACCGGGGACAACGGGTCCGCATCGTGCTCTTCCGCGCCGAGGACGCTGATGCTCGGTGGACGTGCCACTGGGTGGGATATCTCGCACTGTCCGACGAGCCTGCCGCCGTCCTCCTTGAGAAGGGGAGGGAGAACGACGAGTATGTCATGTCAGTGAGGCGTGCACCGCAGAGGACGGAGGTCTGACTAGTTCTGCGGCGATCGTCACTGTGTGGTTCGTGACGATGACGGGAATGATGTTCGCCTGGGATGTAATGAGAATTGAGTGAGATGCGCGAGGCTCAGTGGACTCACCTGGCTGTTTGTGATGGAGGAGAATAGAAATATGGCCGAGGGAAGAGAGCGGAAGAAGATTTGGGCGGCAGAGAGGAAGTAATTACCGATGCTGTGTGCTTGTTGGATCAGACCTTCTCGTATAGTGGAGATTGGCGTACCTCCCATTCACGAACGAGAAGTTCTTATGTGCTCGCTTCAGTACCTCACCTTCAAAGTGCACCAGGAAGCCTAGCAGGCATGCGATTCATGTGCTTGGACGACTTGATAGCAGTACCTACCTCGGATCGTCTCCTTCCTGTCATTGGGTATCCCGGACCACAACGGGCTCCTACCCTCGACGATGTCCCTCCATTCCTCGCGAGCTTCGCGCTCAGAACGTTCCGCGGACAATCTGTATGCAAGGAGGTTACGGATACGGTCCAGGGACGATGTTCTAGGGGCGGGCGGTATCAAGCGTACAAGACGCGACCGTATATCACCTTCGTGCACTCAGTCCTTAGTCCTCCCTGCAGCGTACGATATACGACAATGCATACCGATAGACGGTCCGCCCAAGACGCGTATAATCTCACTGGAAGAGCCTCCGTCGTCCGAGACAGGAAGCACATAGCACGCGTTCCCAAAGGCCGAACATATCGAGTTGCACCCTGTTCCACCAGAGATCACCAGAAACGAGGGTGTCGCTTCCCTCTGGCTGGTATTATCGCAGAAGCAGTCACCGGACGCGATTGCACCTCCTTGCGGTGTCGGCGTAGGCCGCTCATTACGTCCAGTCTGTGTGGGTAGGTCGAAGATAGACGACCCTGGGCTGTCTGCGCCGGTGGGGTCAGGGCCCGGCGAGAGGGTGAAGCAGGACATCTTCAAGTCGGTCGCTCGATGCGAGTCTGACTGCGAAGGTCATCATGGCGCTTGCTCTGCGACACGATCTTCTCATGCTCACTCGGGCGGACGTTCACACACTCCCTTGCAACTGGCTTGCTGCTGCGTCTCCAGGCGACTGACCAGGCTTGAGGACGACTATCCCGACGTGTAGGCTGCGAAACGCAAGACACTATCCTGCTACGCGAAGCGACTGTCCTACAGACACTATGTCCGACTTCCCTGCCTTGCCGGGCTTCTACAAGCTCATGTATCTCTACATCGAACCTGGTACATGGAATACAGGTTCTGTACTACTATAGATGACGAGACTCATCGCAGATATCCTGCAGCGTCGACAATCCTACCGTCTGTGCTTGCTTGGTTCTTCCCAGGCGCAGAGTGGTTCCACCACGGCCTCATACCCTCAGCGGCACCCTCACCTCCTGCAGGGTTCCTAGATGGACGAACAAGGATGGCCATTTGGCAGCTAGGGAACTGTGAATATTCTTTTAACCTACCATTCAATGCTGAATGCTGACATCGTGTGGGACGACCAGGCTACCTCTTGCTTGGCCTGATTTCTAGTTTTGTGTTTAGAGCAGTCCGAGACGCGCTGCCTGACAACCCGACCGCTCAGGAGCGTATTTTGGGCGCGAGTTTCACTGCGTTGGCCCTTGCGGATGTGAGTGTCGCTGTACTATCCCGGTCGAGCTGACCAGTAACGCATTTGCAGGTCACCCAGTGAGGCATAGTGTCGTTGTACCCGTTGCGATGCTGAAGCATCCTGTTTGTAACAGTATGATCTGGTCTTGGGTTGGTCTGCCTGGCGACCTGAAGTACAATCCGCTGGCTTGGAATTCGATGACGCATGGGAACATCTCGTTCGTGATCGTACTCCTTGGGGAAGGTAAGGCCTTTGGTATCTGTAGCGAAGTTCATCGCTAATGCAACGTTGACAGACTCGCTTGGTTTATGGGAATCGGGAGAATTCGGTATTACTACGGTCAGGGACCGAAGGGTAAAGCCGCATGATCAACGCGTTCAACTTTGTAGAACCAGACATTCAAAATGCGAGGCTTAAATTGGACTCAATGCCCCAATAGTTCGTTGCCCGGAGATTGGTTGTACAGTACATATATTACTTCGTGATGCGTGATTGTTCTCCAGATGACCATGCACTATCCAAAAGACGAGATCGTCTGCGTCTCCTTAAGGCACTGCCTGTCGAGTATGCTATACCATCTCAGCCTGCAGGTTTCGTCGAGGCGTGAACCTAGTACTAGTGTGTCGAGGTGGACCATACATCCTATGCATCAGCATCAAGCTTTAAGTCATGAGTCCTTTGCCAAAGACACATTCGTACATTGAGTAGCGTCATATGTTATGTAGAACTTGCTGACAGTGGCGGTCAAACGACCTATAGTTTCGGACTCGGAGACGTTGAAGAGTGAGCTGTGCCTGCCAAGGGCTCAATATTCAATTTTCGAGTATGAAAGAACGTTCGAAGGCATACGCATCATGCCCAGTTGTTCGGGATAGCCTAATGAATAGCTATAGCCTGTCATAAGCCGGCCAAATGAAGAGCTGTCATTGAGGGTCATCGGTTCAATAGCTCCTTTCCGAAGGCGTACTGCGGTCTGAAGCATTTGCATTTGGGTTGAAAAGCACTAGGTCATACCATTCTAAGATTTGCAACCGACTGGGACGTGCATCGAGCACGTATCATCATGTCAGTGGCCCTGACATGGCTATCCAGCGTCGTTTCAGCGGCGGTCAGGAGATCTCAATCTCAGCTGTTGGCTCAGTTGTCGTCATCTAAACGCTAGTTGTACGGACAGAGTAACTGCGAGGCGTCCTGGCAGGTCACGACAGCAGGCGCATGATGTACTTACAAGATGCTGCGCAGGAATCCAAGGGACACATCGGGCCGCTGTCTGCTCGGTCACCTTGACAGGACGGTCGAGCGCGAATCTATACTTGAGTGTCATCGCACGATGTAGCGAGCTCCCAGCGATCAACCATGCCAAACCTGTGCGCGCCGCCGAGAACTTGAAGAGCCTCGGAGCAAAGTCAACAGAACGGCAGGATCGCGATGTGATGTGGATCACAAAAGTCATTCCTGGCAGCGACACCTGTCCGCGGAGCTCCTCCTGGAGATGGACGTGCGCAATCTGAACAACGTTCGCGCCAATCATGCATCAATAGACTGAACTCATCTCGGATGACAATTGAATACTGAACGCTCTCCCCGCGGCCCCAGACGGTGGACACAATATCGAGATGAGGGGGAGTCGGTGCCAGTCAGTGTAGACCGCCGGCAGCCACCATCATGCCGGACTGCATTTGACGAAGTTGACATATGGTACAAAACTAGCCAGCCCTATCCCGGGCTCCCCGCGGGCCTTGAACCAGACATACCGATCTGGTCGCGATGTTATGGAGACCGTTCTACGGGGCACATCAAACGACGCTGACATGGGTCGGAGCGCTCTGTCAAATGGAGGTAGGGAAGAGTCAAACTTGCAACGTTTTGAACACTCACTGGAAGGAGCAGCAGCATCACAGAACATCATTGTTGTACGCGCATAGGCAGTTCGACGCTGTAATGGCAAGGCCCGGAAAGAGTACATCAAAGTCTGCAGCAACTCGGTACTGAAATTCCAACTGACTGCTTCTGCACGAGGACATTGAGCGTGCGAAGGCGAGCGTTCGCGGCCACAAAGTCCGGAAGCCTGTGCCGCGTGGCCCGCGTCACTACCCCTGCGTACGACGCATAGACGGCAAGGCACAAACCGCGCCACGACGACTTGACAGCAACCTCCATTGGCATTGGTCAGCTTGCCGAGCATTCTATGGTCTCGTTCGGTGCTCCTGAACTCTGGAGTTGCCAGATAACCTATGGCGATAAGTGAACGGCATCCTACGGACTGCGGTGTCTCTGATGTTCGAGAGGCGCTATAGGACGATAGGCTCAACATCGTAGATTTAGAGGGGAAACGTAGGAACGGACCTTCTATATCAGAAGGTAGACAACAGCGATTCGAACGCTGACCGAGCAGTCATTTCGGTCTCATTCGGCCAACATTAATTGTCTCCACCACTAGATAGTCAGGTTGTACGAATATCACCTTCGACGCCTAGGGAAGAGCAGTTGAAGCAATTGTAGAATTTGCGGGTACTGTAGAAAACCCCAAGCACCGCTGTGACTCCTCGCGAACGAATGAGCATTGGGTCGACAACGATATGTGACTTAGCATAGACACAGCAGTAGCAAGCTGGTGATAACATCATATTCCAGTGTTTGCACGGGCCTTGTACATGTAGCCTGGACGCATAAGCCGCAAGGACCAAAGTCAGTTGTCACGTCGGGAAATGCAACATCCTGACGGCTGCCGAGGAAGTGGGCTTCGCTGGGCGTTCCGGAACCGGACGGTGACTTCGCCAGGGTGCCATTGCATGAGCTTCGTGAAGAACGATGTAGAGCAAAAGTCTCACCCGGTCTCTTTACCAACGGGCTTCCGTGACGGACAGGCGGAGAGAGATTGGTAGTTCTAGCAACCTGACCAGAAGGTTCTGAAAACGGCGTCCCCGGGTTTCCCCAAGTGGTCTGATGGTCATCGAAGTGCGGCACAACGACGTGTGAAAGACAGCAGCAATGCGGAATGGGACACACTACGTACGGCTATCAACCATCGTTCGGATGCTGTGAGCGCCATTCCTACGTGAGATCCTGAAAGCCGTCTTAACGCCTGTGTTGTGAAATGCATGCCATGCACGCAGCATGCCTGTGTCACCTTACGGAAAGAGGCGAGACCATGCTGACCGTGTCGTCCACCAGGAAACGGGTTTCTTCAGCGCATCTCTGGGCATTGACAACAAGGACTTGACGGCGATGGGCAAGTTCGTCAGCATCGAACTTGTGCATGAGCTTCTGGGCGACTCGCCCCAGGCCTGCCACGTCGACAGTGTATCAGAATCTGTGTTCTTTACTCTGATCGAGATCCAGCACTGTGGAGACGTTGCGCGCAGTCAGTATATGCGGAAGCTTCGGAGGACCAACTTCGGCATAATCGTGCTCACCCAGTGATGCACTTGCATTGCCTTGAACTGCAGACACTCAATTGTACGAAAGTTCAACTCCGAGCCCAAGTATAATATGCTGTAGCCAATGCCATCTGGGAGAAGACTGATACCTACGCATTGTAACACGGCGAGCGAGTAGCACGCCGTTGGAATGTATTGCCTGACGAGCAGATCTCACGCGAACCCTGGTTCCTGGGCTGCGTACGCATCCTGGGAGTAGCCATTGCCATTGCCTGCATTAGCAAAGTCCTCAGCGAACCACTGGCGCATGACGCAGTTCTCGACCCGTCCCTCGGGATAGAAACAAAACACTTCACTGGTATGCAGTTACGCGAAGTGAGTATGAGACTCCACTTGTAGCTCTGTGAAATTGAATAAGCATCCCAGGCTGTCAAGGGCGTGGCTTGGTGGGCCCATTGATGCATCACTGACCGAGCCACCCTTGTAGCTATAAGTCGCTTTGAACATGTCGTCATCACATCTGCGCAGTAGAACCTCCTTCAGCTGAGGATAGGAACACACTTGCCACAGAACACCTGAGTTATCATCGCGGAAGCCATCGCGGGACAAACCTCGCACGAATCCAGTACTCCCGTAGATGTATATACGCATATACATGGCTATAGAAACCTGTGAGACAGACGTGTCACCACGCTGCCAGGAACGGGCTGACGAAGAACTCACATGGCTGTGATAGTATATGCCTGATCCATAAGTGAGATTGTTAATGCAAATAGGAACCAAGACAGTGTCATCGGGAGATACCACATGAAGCCCCTTCCACGTCTACATAGAATGCCAGAGCGCCGTTATGTCAAGGCGTTTCTAACTGATCTTTTTGGCCATGCCACCTTCCAGGCGACGTCTCCTACTCGGCGTCTGAGGGACGTCGTCCTGAGCGGCTGACCACGACTTGCTCCATTCCGGCGGAGGCGACAAATAGTGGTGTGGTTGCGGATACGCGACAGGAGGTGCAACGGGGAAGGCCGGCATCGGTGGATGTGCGGGGGAATGATGTGTTGCAGGGTTGATACGCGCACGGTACAGAGACAGAAGCGCGTTGATGAACACGGTGAGGAAGGCGAGTGAGGTGAGGGTGAATATCTGGCAACATCGCCGCATATACATTTCGTCAGCCACTCTCAACAGAGGCACACGAAACACGCACGAGGGTCTTCCAACTTATGGGTTCAACGAATCCATTCACGACTTCGGCTATGAGCTCCGCGCCAACGCGCGCCCGACCGACCTTCGATGGGTCGCGGTTCATGCATGTCTCCCAGGCCGAGCATTGATGCGCCATCGCAGGGATCGGACTTGTGGCGCAGAGATTCGACTTGTGCTGCAGGGCGCACTGTGCAATCTCCTGTACGATCTCTGCAGGTGCCTCAGTACAAGCCCAGGCTGCATACACTCGTTGACGCACCCATTGAATACTCTGAAATTCGCTGCTCAACATCCCGTTGCACCGTGAGGATGAACTGGACGAGAAGATAGAGGAAGACCAGGATAAGTGATAGGTTGAAGAAGAACTGCAAGTAGCCGAGCAGCACGTAGGGCAGGTCGGATTGTGGTGCGGAAGGCCCAGGCAGATTAAGTGTGTAGTGGTTAGAAGTGTTCTGCGTTACTACCCCCGCTGGTCTTCATCGTCGCTCTCATCCGACACGTCGCTTTCATCCTGCTCCAAGCCTCGGCTCTTACCCCGTGGTGCTCTACTGCGTGCCCTCGCCCTCTGTCGTGACCTGTACACGCGCCGTACGGCGCCCAGAGCCATAGCTCGCTCTCCCTCCCCTTCATTGTCGTCTCCTTTATGAGGCGATTGCTCCCCTGGCCTAGACGGGCTTGAGTCGGCCATGTCCACATCGTGGATCTCGGGCTGAGGGAAGGCTTTGGTAGGCGAGAAGTTCGGGGGTGGTGTCCATGCGGGCGTGTGTGGTGTTTGTGGGATGGGCTCGTTGAACAAGAATGGTACGTGGCTATTCTGCCCGAAGGTCGGGAAAGAACCTGCGTGCGAGGGTGTGGGGAAGGCTGGAGGAGGCGGGTTCGCGTCTGTAAAAGGTCCTGTATCAATTTCATCATGAGCCCTGGATGCCAAAAGACCAAAGAGTAGGCTGTATTGCGCGAGATGTCTCTGAGAGTACAGCGTAGTGCTGCTCGGTAGGTCGAAGCTGCTTACACTACGCTCCGGGGTCCTTGAGCCACCAAGGTGATAAAACTCACTCACGTTTTCGTGGGGTGCTCGGATCATCATCGCCCGACGCCCATGCAGGCTTCGCGACGCTGCTTGGTCGAGAGGTGAACTCGAAGTCCATCGGCGTCTCCGTCGACCTGGCTGTGGTTCGGAAGCGCGACGCCATCTCGAGATGTACACGATAGATTACAGTTCGTACGTGCCGTTTCCGTGTCCTTCAGCGGGACTATCGTGACGGTATGTCGTGTCGCAGGGCGTCGCTGTCGTCAGTGGACTGGGCGGACGAGATGAACTGCCCAGAAAGACGGTGACGGGCCCGACGAAACGCGTGAGTCACGTGGACGCGGACGTGGCCGCCACTGCGCGCGCGTGCGCCGGCAGCGAGCGCTCAGCGATCGTAGCGGCGCAAGCGCCGATCCCCGACTCCTGCATGGCACACAGCTACTCAGCCTGCCACAGCAGCACCATAGTATATTATGTGTGTATTGTAATATTGTACCATCGGAATGGTATGGAGACTCAATTGGAAGCCCTCACGCCCGCGGCGGCTTCGCCGCCCGGGCGTCTCGGGCTTCCACGAGTCTGAGCTAAGTACACGGTGAACTTACTTACCATAATACATAAGCACTACAGTGCATGCGAGGGCTCCCAACGTAATAGAGGCCCTCTTGCCTTTGGGAGGAGTTATTTGGTGGTCAAAGATCCAGACGTCCAGACGCAGCCAGATGCGCGGTCGGATCCAACTGCCTCGAGCTGCCTCGTAAGACACTCGAGCATTGCTGCGATACCGCTTATGGGAATTGTAAGTCACGTGTTTCCCACGGAGGGAGCGGCATCGCCGGCTGCGAACGACTTATGGTCGACAAAGCCCTCCTCTCCCTCCGGTCGGAGTCGGGGACCTCTGTAGACTCTTCGACGACAAGGCCCTGCTTGCCTTGCTGCATTGCCAGTGCCACATCTTGCTTGCACTAGCGGGCAGAAAAATGGCGACAACGCGGGTTTTGAACAGAGCATCGTCGTTGCTCGGCGCCATACGCGCCAGCCCGCGGTTGGACGTACCAAAGCGACACATCCACAGACCTCTCATTGCGGACTGGTCCTCGCCGCCTGCCATATCTTCCAATCTGGTTCCGATAGTCATCGAGCAAACAGTGAGCACTGCAAGGCATTCAATGGGCGAAGCATGATGTCTGAGAACGTCTTTCAAGGGAAGAGGAGAGCGTAGTTATGACATTTTCTCAAGACTACTGCGAGAGCGCGTCATCATGCTGTACGGTTCAGTGAGCCGATATGCCTTCTCAACCAACACCGCTCTGAATGTTATGAATAGATACGGGATACCGACTCTGCGCTGACCGTCGCGCAATTGCTCTTCCTTGAAGCGGAAGAGACATCAAAACCGATTCACTTGTACATTAACTCTCCAGGCGGTAGTGTCACCGCAGGACTGGCCATCTACGACACAGTAAGCATAGTGCATTCCTCCCTTTGTACGCTTCGCTAATCTATGCAGATATAGATGCAGGTGCGGTGAACTTCTTTATAACAGCGCAGGAATCTTAGATTCACACCGCATGTGGCTACAGTACGTCTCATCGCCCATACACACGTACTGTGTCGGCCAGGCATGTTCCATGGGTTCCCTCCTTCTGGCGGCCGGGGAGAGGGGCAAGCGACATGCTCTGCCGAACTCTACCATCATGATCCACCGTACGTATTCACTATGGCGTAACGGTCACTGGACGCGTTCTCTGACACAATACGTTCACAGAACCTTCGGGCGGTGCTTCTGGTCAGGCGTCCGACATCGCCATCCACGCGAAAGAGATTCTTCGCGTGCGAGAGCAGCTCACGCGCATCTATCAGCGGCACTGCAACAAGGAGGGCGAGAGCGTCGACGACGGCGTACGGCGTTTCGGTATGTACTATCCACCGCCTCTTCACGGTGAAGAGCGTAGGCTTACACGATGGCTCGACCAACCTCAGAGCAGGCATTGGAGAGGGATTACTTCATGACGGGTGAGCGAGTCGATGTCACGTATCTGAGATCCGTTGTGCTGACCCTCGAGCGCAGCGCAAGAAGCGTTCGAGTTCGGGATAGTGGACAGCGTGCTCGAGAAGCGGCCGCAACTAGACACCGCGATATAGATTCGCCGGATCCTGTACCCGTACTGACTTCTCACCGTGGATATGACGATGAGGTGAACGTTCCCGTGCCCACGCTCCATCACGCTCGAGAACCCTCGAGTTGCTTCACTTCTCGCGGGTGATCTGTGAGGTAGGGCCAGTCACTTCCCTCGCTATATTTTGCGGAGACTTCTGTGAATCTTCCTCACCTTCCAGTTTATGGTGAGGATCTGCCGCTCAATCTCCCTTACATTGTATCGAAGAGCTGACATGTGTTCATCCGCATATGAGCGTGGAGCCTCGTGTTGGTACTCAGCCAGGGGACGTGTACACGGGCCCCGGGTGCAGTGCTATCGCTCGCACTTTGTGCTCGTCGTCGAATTGTTGGTCAGCCGCGGCATGGTTCATAGTTGCCATCTTGCGATGAACCTGGACAAAGTTAGCGTGATAGGGCAAATCAGGCTCAGCGAAATGCGAGACTATCATGATCATAATTCGTCGAAGACGGTCTGAGGTACGTAGTCGCCTTCCATGCGCGCACCCTTGTCGGGGCCGGCTGCGCATCGAAGTGGTCTGTGCATCCTGGATGCAGAAGGGCGGACGAGTCACGGCCATGCATTGTGATGCACCACCATGGTTCAGACCAGCATCTTGGCGGGACCAGGGCCGCGTCCGTCTGCAGTCCGCATATATGTAGGGCCCCTCCCTCCGACCCCCGAGTCCAACTCCGAACCCGAAATGAAAAGCATCCGCGATGGCGAGGTTCCGGACTGAAGCGTGCGGGGCTCTGGGCTCTGATATCGACTTCGTTGGCTTACTCACATTGCATCGGACCGCATCGATCTCCACTCGACAGACTTAGCGTGTGTGAGTGCCCGGCCCCTCAAGGCTTCAAACGCGCAGCTTCGCATGTGAATGGACGCGGAAGTGAGTGATGGCGGACTCGTCGCGGTGCGTGGATCTCCCGGGTCGTCCTGTCTATATGCGTCCACTCACACATTCTCTGAATCCTAAGTATGTCTTATCTCTGCAGCCCCCGCGATCAAGCTCTGTTCGACGAGCACTCCATACCGGATGCAGCCTGCCAGTGGCATGTGGCGATGATGGACTTTGCTCAGACTGGGATGGTCCCCACGCGTTGGTCCACCCGCCCATCCATTCAAATCTGAACACATGCATTTCACAGAGTCCGTTCGAGAGACGAGAAGCCGGATCCCCGTCGCGTCGAAACCGTCCCACGCCGCGCGTCCGTCCGTCCCGCTTCTCTGCTCTGCCCCTTACTTACTCACCGTGCACCTCGCACTCTGTTCAGACGCGTGCGCCATCCCCATCGGCATCCCGGATCTCCCACTGCCCGTGCCACTGACGCACCGCCGCGTCTCGCCCTGCTTCCATTCCGTCAGGGGCGCACGTCCACCCCGCAGCACGCATATGCACATCTACGATGCACGTTACGTAAGAGACGTGTACGGTCTGGGACGCAGGCGCGCGGGTGCATCGTGGTGGACGATTGCGCGCGGATCAGTCGACGTTCTGGAGTGCCCTACCCGCCGCATTTGGTCTAGCCATGGGGACCTTACCACCATGCGTGTCGCTTGGGCGTTGGCGCACATATCAGTAAGTCTTTCATTGACACTAGTTCGACGGCGGAACGGGATGTGCGAGGGCTGACGGGCCCACTGAGGATGCGCACGTACGAGCTATGTAATACTAGCTCGCGCATCCGACAAGTCCGTCCCCGCGAAGTGGTACTTCAACGGGCCCCTTTCTGGGAAGATGCGGCGAGTGCATGATCACGATGATGGTCCTGCAAGGATCGGAAAGCGCGAACGCATGGACGCGTGATACGGTTCATCGTTAGCTCGATCGAGTCACATAGCCGCAAGGCCGACTGAATGGGAGTTGGTCAACGCATCTACATACATCAGTGGGAACCCGGCTTACCTGATTGTCTGTCCACCCAGATTCGACGTTACGCTACCGGACAACTCCCGAGGTCGCCTCCAATGCCGGCACAATCACGTCTATCAGATAACTTAACCTCGCCTCCAGTCGATGCTCCGCCGAAGGGAGCTGGCCCTGCGGCCGAGCGCACGACGCCTCGGAGCAGCCAGGGGTTGTCGATGACCCGTAGCACAGATCGCGCTCCCACCGATGCGGCCGTGATCTCCCCGCATCCGCGCGCTGGTTCGGGGAGTTGCCTCCTATGGCGCGGGCAGCTCGCAGCAGCGTCTGCGGCGCGGATGTGGGGAGAGCTTGACCACACCTGCGGGGCTTCTGCGCACGAGGATCGCGCACTAGGAAGCTCATTCAGTGCCCTCGCGGTGACATCAATCAATGGCGAGCTGCTGTGCTCTGGCCCTGGATGGGCCGTCGCATCGCTTCGTCAGTACCAGGATAAGAAGGGAATGGCCTGCCCTTGTAGCGGCTGATGGACAATGGCGCAAGTCTAAGGCGCTCGGGTTGAGCGCCCCCCTTGGACCATCCTTATGAAACGAAGGGCAGCACAGGGCCCGTCATGCAGCGTCTGCCACGATAGTGCGGGGACAACGTAGCCGCTAGGAATAGCACCCGGTGTGGGACCCGCGCGACTGGGGATGGACGTCGGACGCTCGGGCTCGGGTCAGGGTGGACGCAGTTTTCGCGATATCGGCATGGGCAGCACGGAGCGTTGGTGCAGGGGCGCCAGGCAGGCAACGAGCCTACCGAACTCGACTGACCGCATCCGGCGCGGCCGGGGCACGGTTTGACGAGCGGGGGAGCAGGATGGCGACGTCCGCGTTCTATAGCCGTCGCGTAGTGGCCTGCGTCTGGTGGTCATTGTACGGCTGGCAGCGGCGTGGCGCGTCTCGCTGCTAACGTAGCCGTTTTCTGGTGTGGAGGATGGATCGGGACATCGATGTGATCAGCAGCCCAAAATGCCGGTGACGCCCACGCGCACCTTCGCTGAGTTAGCCTCCTGTCGCGCTAACGCATATGTGATCCAGGGGGGTGCGATTCCCATGGCGGACATTGGTCAGCCGGACGCAGTTGTTGGACGTATGAACGAGGAAGATCGGCAGCCGCTGGACGCGTCCGCCCGATCACCGAAGCCACAGCCTATTGGGCACGGAGCTGATACAGTAAGTAGCCCCAGTCGTCACTCCCCCTTCCGAAATGAAATACGCGCAGGCCGCCCGTTCGGAGCCCAGTTCCATTTCCATTCCACCGGCACGCCCAGGTCGAGCTGATACGGTTCGCGCAATCTCGATGCCTGCGTCCGCGGCTCCCTCCTGCGGCTCTCAGGCTCAAATTTGGCGGCTGTGTCTGTCATCCACCCCAGGACAGGAGCCGCGCAATCGGGTTGAAGTTCCCCTGGACGGGTGTCCTCGTGACGTGGCGGAAATGTGCAGTCAAATTCATCGGTACGTCCACACAATTGTATTGCGATGCCAAAGTTAACTGGGCCCGCGTATACAGTCGGGGTCTTGCTGGAGTAGGCGGGCCACGATGCTGTGCCTATTGTGTCCGGGCTTCCACCAGGACAATGCTCGGCTGCCATGGGTGGTCCCTGAGCCCGAGGTATGTGATTTGCTGCAGAGCGTCTTTGTGGCGTCGCGCAACCCGTCCTGACGCCATCCGATGCGCAGCGTTGCATTTGCACAGCGGATTCCAGGCGTGCTTACCACGAAGCGAGGGAAGACTGCGATCCGCCAAAGTAGCTCTCCGGCCGCGTCCGGACATATCGGCTTCGAGGGCCCATCACATTCGACTCTGCACGGACATATCACATCCTGCTCGCCCGTCAGCTCGGTTCCTTCGCCAGCCTGGCACGCGGGCTGTCATATGGATGCTCCAGCTGCCAGTGTATGTAGTCTGACAGCCGCCACGTCGTGATCCGGATGCCACCACCGCGTCAGGCCGTGTCATGATCAGGACGGAGTGGACAGGCACTCGGACAGCTGTGCGATCTGGAAGGCCGGGATTGATACGTCGTCGGGCACTTGCTGCGGTCGGATCCTGCCTGCCGTATTCGCGCGCATTCAGTCGCTCGCAGCATCGCTGATCCACTTCGCGCGGAGACAGTTCAGAACCTGCCACTCCCTGGACCTTCGCGGGACACGTGTCCGCGTTTGCTCGTCGACGCGTCCTATGCGCGCAACTCAGTTCCTCCAACGCCCATATCGGGAAAGGCCGTTTCAAATGCGTGCGCCTCCCGCACCACGCACGCACAACGCGCCATCGCCGGGCTGGCCCACGATCGCCCGCAATCGCAAGCTAGTTTCAGCGGATCGTCCTTCCGCCGCTGCCCCCGCTTCGGAGCGTCCGAGGACATCCCGGCAGCGGCTTGCATAGGACATGGCACACAGGCTTCCTCCATAGGGCACCCCCGATCGCAGCTCGGAGCATGCACACAGACGCCTTCCGCCCTTCTTTCTTTTCTCTGCCGCGTGCCCATCCTTCTCTCGCCGGCCTGCGAACGAGCAGACTAGCTTCCGCGCTCGGTCCTCCCTGGCACGCACTGCCTGCGGTAGGCCGCATTAAGTCCGGCGGGCCCAGCACGCGGAGGCCGTCCTTAGCGCGGTGAGCTCAGCGAAGCGCACCTGCTGACCGGGGCCTCTTCTCCATTTCCGCGCAGGGTGCGCTGGGCAACCACCATGGGCGGCTTCCATCCCATCTCCGTCTTCGCGTCTTGTTCGCGAGTCTGCGCGCCTTACGCAATGCGAAGTCTATCCCAATTGCGTCCGTGGCTGTTATGGTGGCCGATGGGAAGTGCGTGATGGCGGGAGTGTGCTAGAGGGCTGATGATCTTCCCAGTACGTTATAATTGCCCCTGGACGCAAAGTGGGATACGATCACTGCTGTAACGTTACCGAGTGACGACACGCAGATGGTGGCACATAACGAGTGTCCGTCTGTGGAAAGAACACGTCCTTGTTCTCGTCAAGCCATCACCATCCCCGTCCTATTCGATCTGGGATCGTGCTGTGCACGTCAAGCAGCAGGCGAATTCGGGGCCCAGCCCAAGTGCGCCTGAATCGCCGGCGGAGGTACCGCCCAGTGCGTAACTGCGTTACGTGCGCGCTGCCAACCCTGTTCCCGCGTCCGTCGCCCACCAATCAGACGTCAGACCCTCTAGCGATCATCGCAGTCACGCCCGCTCGTCGACGCACACACCGTGTGTATGAATGCGTCGCCGGATCAGTGTGTCAGGATGACGCCGACGCAGGCATCGGATGCGCGTTACGGCGTGATTCACCGCGAGAGCCCCGGTGACACCCGACGCTGTTGCGGCGCGCGCACGGCTGTGGCAGCTTCAGTCACGTAAGTTTGAGTTACGGAAGAACGTCCGCTGGACGCTGGTTATTGGACCGGGGCCGAGTAACTCGCTGTGCGCTCTACGCGCCGCAAGTTGTGCGTCCCGAGCTACCGCCGGCCCACTTATAGGACTGGTGTGCAGGTTGGCAGAGCCTGTTCTTCGCTCGTTTGGTAGCGCGCGGCGGACGTGATACATGTCAGGACCTGCTGCAGACGCGTTCAGGGTTCCATCCGGGGCGATCGGACACCTACAAATGAACGAATGTACGCATAAATATCACCACGACAACTAGAGCGGGGATTGGCAGGTGGATCCGAGAACTCGGGTGTACAATGAATAGTATAAATACGACGAACCACGCATACACAACAGGCACACAACGTATTCAGAGTAGCAAAACAGCAACGTAGCTCGTACCGCATGCGCGGCGAGGCGTCCACGTCCTTCAGGTCCATTTGTCCTCGGCTCTCTATTGTCTTCCCTTCATTCCTCTCTAGCACCTAACACTGCCAATCCGACAGCGTCAGCTTCGGCCTGGAAGAGGGGCACCGCCCACGCGCAGACACGCAGGCGGAAATGCTATTTGGTCCCCCCTCCCCCTCCTCCTTGGGCGGCTTTCTGCTCTTCCTTGAGCTGGAAGGGACTGCATCAACTTCCGACCCGCAGAGGATCTAACTGCGCGTGCTCACCTTCTGCTTCTGTTTGAGAGCCTCCGCGTCTCTGCGGAAAAGTTTAGTGAGCGGTCACGGCAGCGTACAGGGGACACGCACCGCTCTTTCCGGGCCTGCAGCGACGTCCCGCTCTCCTTCGGCTTGGATTCGGCTGCTTCTTCGCCGCCTTCTCGCGTGCGAGCTCGCGCTGGTTGCCTCCTACATCGTCGTGCGCGTACGGGCCGTTCGCGGGCGGTTCACGCGTGATTGGATGTTGGCAGAGATGTGTGCGGACGCGTTACGGGGACACCGATCGGAGAGGGATCTTCTCAGTGAATCGAGGTGTGTCAGGGCGCAGGGAGTGCGTGCCACTCACGAGTCATAGCGTCGGCGGTGCAGTTGAGCTCGGATGAATGAAGGGGTTCGAAAGTTGCGTGGACGGAGGTGGGAAGGTGGGAAGCGATGGCGCGGACGTGGACAGCACTGATCTCGACGAGCGCGTTGAAGAAAGGGACGACCGCGCGGGACCGATCAAGCTCAGCTGGATAATGCGCGGGTCGACGTGGCAGAGGGCTGTGGCGGTGCGCGGCGGAATCAAACAGAATGTAAAAGAGGGAGCGCCGGGCGAAGCGGTCCGAAGGTCATGGAAAGCTGCCTTATCAGGCAACAGCGCGCGAACAGAGGCTCAGCGCCAACATCCTGCACCCGCAAATGTGATCTTGAAAATCACATCGGGCGGCGGGTCCGTGGGCCGCCGTCCTCAAACGGATCCTCCTGATTTATGGGGATGATCTCCGTCCGCGTCGGGTCGTGCGTCGCCGTCACGGTGTCTACTGTACATAGTACGCTGCACGCCGGTTTTCTGCTTTTCTGCTTTGCTCGTTGCAAATTGTGGGTGTCTCGGACATTTCGGAACAGCGGCGCAGGAGGCTGCAGCGCTAGCCTCAAGCCTTAGCCTGGGACGGTGCGCTCGGAAGGGTCATCATAATATGTATCCGGGGCGTACGATCATTTGCAATAATGGCCGCCACAGCATGCGGCGGGCTGTCGACGATGCGGCCGAATGCGGCTTCACGCGATCTTGATTGACCAACGTTCGAAAGGCCGGTTGCTCCAGGCGGTTAGGCCGGAAGGTGCGCGAGGCCTGGCAACCGTCCCCACAGGCTGATGTGACAGATCATGATCTGCAGTTTGTCCGCAGGCGGAGTGATCGCCTGGTGCGGTTCTTTTCATAGGTGGCGGATTCATATTCACCACCACCTTAGCGTCATCTCGGCACTCCTTCCATTCACCGTGCGCGGGCGAGCCCTAAAGAACGAGAAGCTTACGGCCCTGGCGTGCGATACGAACCCGACCTGGTCTTCGAGGGTGCGAGCTATTCCTGCCAAGGGTTTAATATGCCTTGCCCCTGGGAAGGGGTTACGAAAGGGGACGCAATGAACCTTGATATGCCCCGCCGTTGATAGGCTCCCAACAGGCTCTCCTGACGCCCCGTCGCGCGTCTCAGGTAACTCACTTAGGGTCTGGATGAGTTCGAGTAGGTAAGTCAAAGGCTATTTCATGAACTGAGTCGCTACCTTCTCGCTTTCGTTCGTCACAGCGTCTGTGGCGACCTCCCGGGCTATACCCATCGACGTCGTTCGCTATCTGCGCCGTACGATCGGGGAACTGCCAGCCAGACAGCTTCCAGGTCGTACCTTATAGCATCTAGCCCGAAGCCCGCACTACCATCTCCGAAATGGGATCACCAGAGGCGATCGCGCGGCGGCCCAGTCCACATATCGTTCAGCGTGAACATCCGGTACCTCGAGACATCGAATCAGGAGAGGGGCCTTATCTCGCAGCCGCATCTTCCTTCCCGTCTTCGGTTTCTCGACGCTACCGTTCACCCACGGCCACGTTCATGCTCACGTTCGTTCGGTGACGAGGGTCTGATCATCGCCCGTCCAGGTCAGGTGGGCCTGTTTGCTCTTCTGCTCCCGCCGCGCTAAACCTCCACGGCCCGAGTGCTCCCGTTACATCCGTGCAAAGTCCTTCCGCCAGCGGGCGTGGATGCGGAGCTACGTCTGCGTCTCCCGCGCTTCGTCTCCGCCAGAGCTGCTTCCCGCAGGCGTGCGAGGTGGGTTCCGGAACGCGAGCTAGAACCCAGGTGTACCGCAACTGCCTCCGTCATGGCATACGGCCTGTAGCATCCCTGATCGCCGCGGCCTGCATGGAGCTTCGTAAGTGGTTCTGGTGGTTGAATGAAGCAGGGAATGCGAAGGTCTCATATCGGGTTTCCACCGAGCGTCTAGTATGTCCCGGTATGATAGCGGTGCAATGGATACTGCAGGCTCAGGCGCCGTGCCCTGACGGAAGCATCCTATAACTCACTTAGTACTCCGACTTGAGCGCGAACTGGCATGGGTGCAATTGCCCTGCGGTGCATGTCTTGGAGATGTCATGCATACAATGTTGAGTTAACCCCAGGTCTGATAGCTGGTTTGGCAATTCGTCGAGCCGCCATGCGGGCGACCTAAGTTAGCGGGTGTGCCTCGCAGGCTCGCACTGGCGGGATGTCAAATTGGCAGTGTGCTGGTGTCATCTGCTTGACGCGGATGGGAGACCTGCGCGGGCTGACTAAGCGAGCGCAGTGCACTGCACCGTCCGCCACCGTCCCCCAAGTCCCAAGGGCGGCTTCCGATCAGGGGATCTGAGATCCGGATAGTCAAGTAACGCACACACGGCTGGGCTCCCACTCGCCGTGAAAGACGGGAAAGGGCACTGCCTGGAGACGCGCAGACGCGGCGGCATGCCATAAGCACGTCCTCCTTTTCTTGACGACGCCAACACGGCAAAACCGAGGGAGAACCCTCATGCTGTTCGCAGACCTCTCCTGTTCGACGCAGACGGACACGCGTATCCGTCGCTCGGTCCTCACGCACCGCAGCGCTCCCCTCCCACGCCCGGCACCCGCTCTTGCTCGTGTATCTCACTGCGGCAGCGGGCTCGTCAGCGCCGTTGCGCACGTTCCGAGGAGGCTGAGGACGATCATCAGGCACCGCATAATGCATCGAGCGGGTTCTCAGTTGACTCCGTCTCATTTTGCGCGACCCGCCTGCGGGTCCGGCGCGTCGCCGCCCGGGTCACCCAGTCGCTCTCCGGCCGGCGGGTCGGCTCTGTCGGCCTGGGCTGGACAGGACGCTGATGGCCCAGATGACCTCAGCGTTTCCAGGGTCGAATCATTTACCCCGTCAGCCATATGGGTCCGATCGAAGATTGGATCGTGCGCGGCAACTGCGACTCGCACAAGCAGGGCGTCCTGGTGTGGCGGCCCGCGGTGACCGAATCCAGCATGGGGACGAAGCTCTGATCCTAACTCTGATCTGTATCAAACATAAATCAAACACGATGAGAACTCCGGGAGGTGGAACAGCGCGAGCGGCGTTCCCCGCGGGCATGCGGCAACGAAGCGTCCGCCGCTGTCAGTGAGTCAAGAGCAGGGCAGCGTACAAGCGGCTGTTGTGTGGTACAATTAGGTGTATGTGCGCGCCCCGGGGCCACCGCAGCAAGCACGACACCTGCTGTATGTGTGCTGTCATGTGTCGAGCTAACTTGAAAACAAGAGTGTGTCCACGGAGAGAGATCCGAAGGAGACGATCGCTGGCAGGTATGTCCACCTGCGAAGTGAAGGGCGGGCGTCTGTGCGGCGGCTGTCGGCTCATGTCGGCTGGGAGGAGTGCAGGGAAGGTGGAACATCGATGGCTCGCGGCGGCTGTGGGCGACCGAATTAGGCTGGAAGGGTGGCACGGGCGTGGCGGGACGGGGAGCGTAATTGAGGAAGATCTGGATCTCGATATGCCCTTGCGAAAGTCGCCGAGCGGGGCCTAGCGCGTCGGATGCGCGTCTGTCCGGAAGCGGCAATGCAGGCACGAGGCGCGCTGGAAACGCGGGCAAGCGTCGACCCATCCTCAGATCCATCGCAGGCGCGTAGTCTTCGATCTCTGATCGCCTTCTTATTGGCCCTGATCTGGTCTCTCCTGCCCACTTATATACCACCCCTCCCCGCGCCCGCCGCGCTCCTGTCGCCTCACCGTCCTCGCCCGCCCATTCGTCCCGTCCTCGCCCAGCCCGCCCCTATCCTACCCACGCAGCAGCACCCGCTGCCTGCCCCCGACCCGCCATGTCGCTCAGACACACCCCCCGGCAGGCCGAGCGTGACGTCCGTCTACACGACCCGCACGCCCATCACGCCCATTCGCTGCCTCCTCCGCCCCCGCACGCACAACTCGGCCATGGGCCGCATATGAACGGAAACGGCATCCCCTCCACCTCGGGCCCAATGACGGGCCCCTCGAGCCACCCGCCGCCGCAGCTGGTCTCGCCACCGGTCATGTCGAGCGCGGTGCCCAACGGCGTCGCGCCGACCTCGAGCATCCAGAAGCTGGCGCAGGCGAATGAGCAGACGTGGTTATTGATAGGTAAGATTACCTTTACCCGCGCCTGCGGCGGGGGCCAATCACGCTGACGGACGTTTAACCGTTCGGATCAATGGTGCAGGTCGAGTCGCCGAGCAGATGGGCAACCTGGAACACGCCCTGTCGGCATACGAGAACGCGCTCCGCCACAACCCCATCTCCCTTTCCGGCCTAACCCAGGTCGCGGGCATCGCTCGGATCAAGGAGAATTATCCGAAGGTGCGTCCCAGATCCCATCGCCGCTCCACGCGTGTTTCCCCGCGGTCCTCGGCACGCTTCCCTGAGATAAGCTCCGAGATCGTGCCCAATTATGGCGCGCCCTCGCCGCGTCATCGCTTCGCTCATGCAGATCTATGACTAATATCCGCTTTTGGTGCGTCTCGTTCTAGGCCGTCGATTACTTCCAGCGGGTGATCGCCATGCAGCAAGACAACGGCGAGGTGTGGAGCGCCCTAGGTACGCGCTCTCTGGCCACCGTCCTACCGGTGCCCGCTCACACGTGATGCAGGGCACTGCTACCTCATGCAGGATGACCTCCAGAAGGCGTACGCTGCCTACCAGCAGGCGCTCTATCTCCTGCCGAATCCCAAGGTAACCGTCGTCTCCAACTCGTCACAGGACTTGTCTCATATCGCGCTCGGCACTTAGGAGGATCCGAAGCTTTGGTACGGCATCGGTATCCTATATGACCGGTATGGTTCCTTGGACCACGCCGAAGAGGCGTTTGCATCAGTCCTCAAAATGGACAAAGGTGTGCCGCTTCGAAGTTCCCCTTTCATGTTCTTGCTCATTTTCAGCTTTAGACTTCGACAAGGCGAACGAGATACTATTTCGTCTCGGAATCATATACAAGCAGCAGGGCAAGTACGCTGATTCGCTTGACTGTTTCGATCGTATCCTCCGCAACCCGCCCAACCCCCTCGCCCATGCCGACATCTGGTTTCAGATCGGACATGTATTTGAGCAACAGCGTGACGTGAGTGCATCACATCGTACGGTGCGCCCTGAACATCACAGATTGATCATGGCTTGACAGCATATGCGCGCGCGCGACGCCTACGAACGTGTCGTCAGGGACAATCCTGGCCATGCGAAAGTTCTCCAACAGTTGGGATGGCTGTACCACCAAGACGGGTCTTCCTTCCAAAACCAAGAACTTGCCATTCAGTATCTCACCAAGAGTCTGGAAGCCGGTAAGTTCACCGGACGCAGCTCGCTTCCCACGGGAATACCTCAGCTGACATGCGAGCCTAGACCCCACTGACGCACAAAGTTGGTACCTCCTCGGACGTGCGTACATGGCAGGCCAGAAGTACAACAAAGCGTACGAGGCTTACCAGCAAGCCGTTTACCGTGACGGACGGAACCCGACATTCTGGTGTTCGATTGGTGTCCTTTACTTCCAAATCAACCAATACCGCGACGCGCTTGACGCATACTCCCGCGCTATCCGCATTAACCCCTACATCTCCGAGGTATGGTTTGATCTTGGAAGTCTTTACGAGAGCTGCAACAACCAGATCTCGGACGCCATCGACGCGTACGCCCGTGCGGCGGAACTCGATCCGAGCAACACTGCGATCACGCAGCGTTTGGGTCTATTGAAGCAGGCGCAGGCGACTGGCAGCGCGTTGCCCGCGGCTCCTGGCCCGCAGGATGTCCACCCGACCGCGTACGCGAACCCAATGATGCCGCCGCCTGGCTTGTCGGGACCGCCTATGCTTCTCCAGCCCGGCGTCAACTCGCGTCCCACGCCAATCTTCCGCACGGACTCGAGAGGACCTGGCGACTTGGCGCTGCCCATGCCTCCTCAGGCTCTCGGCAGTGGTCGTTCGTCACCTGGACCGTATAGAGGTGGGCCACCGCCTCCAGTGGTACTTGACGATCGGCATATGCCCTCTCATACTCCGCTAGCGCCGATGGACATTGACCGTCCGCCCATCCACCCGCGAGAGTCGACTGGTCCTTACCCGCCTCGTGAGAACGGGCGTGGTCCGGCGGGCCAGGGGCTCCTCCTCCATCACCCTGTGCCTCAGCAACAAGGACCCCCGGACGCCCTGCGCGGACCTCCTGGACACCCGCATGAGCCTGCTCCGGGCCAGTACCGCATCTCTCCGTCGACGTCTCCTTCGCCTCATTCCATGCGCCCTCACTCCTCGATTGCCAATGGACGCCCTTCGTACGACGGACGCCCCCCGATCGGCCCCGGTCAGACCCCGATCTCTGCGCGACGCTCTCCGCCTCCACCACACGCGTATGCACGCGAGCCTCCCATGCCCGAGCGCGAGCCCGGCTGGGATCGCCGCATGCCCCCCGAGCACGTCGAGTGGGAGCGCGAGCAAAGGCGCGGTCGTCCCGGCTCGGAGTATCTTTCGCATCAGCAGCAAATGTACTCCCGCGCGCACTCGCCGCCGATGTCCCAGCTCGCACCAAGTCCCCGCGGGCCGCCCCGCTCTCCGCCGATGTCGCCTGCTGGGTACCCGCGCCAGTACTGGGACTCGCGCCCCGGCATGCCTCCTGGCCCTGCTGTCATGGGAGGCGGCCCTGGTCAATCACCCCCGATGCCACACCGCGACGAGCCTGTCAGGAGGTACGACCCTCGGTTCGACGCACGCGAGGGCCCGCCGAGAGAGTACGAGCGCGCACGGGAACCTGAGCGCGAGATGGTAGAACCGCGAGACATGCGTCCGGACAGCCGGTTCCCGTCTCCCGAGTCGGTGCGTGTCGTCCGTGGGATGCCCCCGTCGTCCGTGTCGGCTGGTTATGGACGGACGTCGGAGAGCCCGCGCATACCACAGCAGCCTATGCCTGGGATGCCCGAGCCAAAGGACCGCCGTCGCCGGAACACGAAGGACAAGGACTCGGAGAGCTCGAACGGGAGCGTCGCCGCCGCGAGCGAGGCACCGAAGAAGGAGCGCAAGCGACGCGCACCTGCGAAGCGCGTGAAGGAGGAGCCGACTAGGCAGGAGACACCGGGGTACGGCGCTGACTACAACAGGCAGCTGAAGGGCAGCCCGCACCCTAGCTCGACAGGCTCGGGGAGCGCGAGTCGTTCGGTGCAGCCATCGCCGACGGGCAGCGCGCCGCCACCGCCCCCAAGGGTCGTCGACGAGGACTACGACGAGCCAGGCGTCGCGGAGCTTCTCATGGGTCTCGCTGCGTCGGGTTCGAGCGCGCCGAACCGGCCACCAGCTGACTCGCGCAACTTCGGTCCTCCTGGCGGGCCGATTGGACCAGGCGGTTCACGTCCTGGGCCAGGTCACTCACCCACGATGATGTACCACGATCGCCGGCCGTCAATGTCGTCTCGCGCGTCGCCTCCGACCTCGGGTACGAAACGCCCGCTCAGCCCCGGTCCCGACGATCGCAACATCGACATGAAGCGCAGTCGTGTCGGGAGCATCAGCAGCGCGCCTGGAAACGGAAACGGCAGGCGCGTCTCGCCGCAGTCCGGCTCTGGTGGACGTCCCTCTCCAGTTCCCTCTCGTCTCTCGCCTATCCCCTTCCGCCGGCAGCCCACGTCGCATTCGCCCGAGGCACGTCAGACCGAGGCGCGGAGCTACCCGCCGTCACCCGCACCTGCGCTCCCGACGATGCTCCCGCCGCATCCACGACCGATCGGCGCAGGACATGCAGGTATGAGTCTCCCGCCGATCAACCACGGCCATGCGAGCCCGGGCGGGTCAGGTCCGTCGTCGGGACCGATGGACGAGGACCGGCCGCCGCACCACGCGAGGAGCGCGAGTCCTGTCCGGCAGAAGCGCGAGATCGTGCTGCACCAGGCGGGTGGGACTCCCCCGGGCGTTGGGCCTGCTGTGAAGGGCACGCCGTCGCCGAGCTCGAGCAATGGTCGGTCGGGTCCGCGGTCAGCGTGAAAAGCTGTCCAGCGTCGTCGTCGTCGTCGTCGTCGTGTTGCCCTGTCGAGATACCCCTGCGCCTCATCTGCTCCCGTCCGTCGTTCGTCTCCGTCTGCCGCATACAATGTCTACTCCCCACGCAAGCTTCGTTTCAGTCCGTAGAACATTACTAGCGCATCGTCCGTCCATTCTCGCTCGCTCCTGTCGCCTTGCCTCGTCGTGAACCCTTAACGCTGGTTTGGTTAGGTAGCACTGACTGCTGTATGATGATATGATGACATGCCATGACCCCTCTTTTTCCGTCTCGCATCTTCCGTCTACACATCTGTGTCCGTGTCTCTATCGCTGTGTAGCATTGCCGCTTTCGCTGTACGTACTGTTCGTATATTCGTCTAGTGTACAGTATGTGCCGCATATAGTGAAATGAGAATATGCTCTATGCAAGACCGCGATTGATCAGCCAGTGTGATCCTCGTCCCAGGGAGGTGTTGACGTCTGCGAGGGTCACTATAGGTAAGTATGCGCTTCATAGGCTGTACTAATAATGGTCTTGAAATCCTGTTGAGAGGCCTATCACGACGGCCTCGTGCTTCCAGTGCGCCGCCGTGAAGGACTGCTATAATCGGTGATCTAACGAATGCGTAGCATTCAGCAACACGAGTATAACTGGCAGTTTGCTTTCCGCAATGCGCGGCGGTGTGCTATATGCTATGCTCGGCCTGCGCGGAATGCGCTCGGTCCAGTTCAGACTACATGCGCGTATACAGTTGTATACGGATGCCGCGTGCCAGCATACCACTGAATGCACGGTGCACCGCTCCGTAGCGTAACAGGGCAGTGACAGGGTGTCTATAGGATGATATATAAACGACAGCAATGCCCCACTGGCAGGCCACTTGGACTTCCAAGCTACATTGATTCCCACTACCGAGTACGCCGTGAGAGACTTGTCGCTTGAAGCTCGCAGTCGCAGTTTCGGAGTGGCATATTCGACTATCGGACAACGTATAGCCACGTATTCTGGAGGCGGAGATAGATGACACGGTGAAAATCAACCATGGTACGTATGCAATCGAGAAAGATCTACGTGTTCACGAGTGGGGCCACTTGGTTGTCAGTGTGGACGCGGAAGTGGCATGCGTCCAGTGCCACAATGAGATCCTGTGCAGCACACGCTGCTTCCAAACGCCTCACACAGCCCCATGTGCATGCCAATATTCCCATTCCAAGGAAGTAGGTGTGGGATGGAAGGCTGCTCCTCACAATGGTTGCCACTGTTTGTTCGAGTCGGGGTACTCCTAATATCGGGGTGGACTACTGAAGCACCCCGAGACTGTGAACGACAACGAGGTGGGTATTATTGACAATATTACTGCAGACAACCGCCTTTCCCATTGTCGTCAAGTTACGGTTGTGGTCCTTGCAAGAGATTTGAGTTGCGTACGGTCATAATTGCGCCTCGCAACGGAGCCACAATACGCGAGCCGGATATGGTAGTCCGACCACCAAATAAAGCGTCTGTGGCTGCACGACAGATGCACGAGGCTACCGACGGCCACACTGCTCCTCACTGCCCATTGTCCAAGACGCTATGGCCGCTTGTTGTTGCTCGATCTCCAAGCAAACGCGCTGGGAATCGCGCGTGGTCGAGGAGTGACACGGACCGGATTCCATAGTCACGCATGGCCGGCCAAATAATACCGCACAAAGCAAGCAGGCCCGTTATGGCCGCATTACGTCTTTCGTCGCCTGGCCATATCGACCGGACATTCTGGTGGACGAATGGGTGCACAAAAGAGGGTATAGAGTTGGATCTGCGAGCCATCTGGGCGAGGCTTTGAGGCCGATCTGGTCTTTGTATCTGGCCGCTCGGCTAGTGACCATGCGCACGTGTGGCCTTGGCCGTCCCAAGTTCTAATATAAGCCCGCCCCTGCCAGCCCTCCTCATACCATCTGACCGCCGCCACCCTCGCCATCCGCCCGACCCAAACTGCGCCCAGCCGCCCCTGTCTCGTCGTACCACTTCGCGTCGCGCGCAAGCCTACCGCTTACATTGATTTCGAACCACCACCATCATGCCACCCTCGCCCATCTCGTCCAAGTCCAAACGAAACGCACGGCACGCCCAGCGCGCGCCCCCAACCACGCGGACGAGCAGCGAGGGCACCTCGAGCAGCGCCGACTCCTCTGAGTTCGCAGCACACAGCAGCGACGAGGAGTTCGAGCGCGCGTCCCCATCGACATCGATCGAGTACCAGCCGGAGGAGCTCGACGAGCCAATATCATGGCAGTTCAAGGTGCGCTACGCGCTTCTGCGCGTCCCCCTCCTCTCTATGTACGCGGTCGCTGAGGTATGACGCGCATGTACGCGATGCAGAACGGAGATCCAGTGTGGATCAAGACGGAGGACGGGGAGTGGTTGCAGGGGACAATATCAGGCTCAAATACACGGAAGGGGGCCACTCGGCAGGTAGGTCATCCCTCGTCCCGCTCACGTCCCTCGCTGCTGCTCATGTGCAACTCGCCCGTCTCGTCGCGACGCGAACCCCAGAAGGAGGGCCTGTTCTTCCCCGTCGCGTACCGACATAACTCGAGGAAGTACTTCGCGCCTCTGAACGGCGACCTCAAGCCTGATAACGCAGAGGTACGAAACTCTTGTCCGAAGGTGGCTGGATGTGAGGGCAGACGCGCCGTCAGCTCTGCCCGTCACCCTTTCTCGTTTCGCCTCTCTTTTTGTATGATACGTTATACCCGATGTGGCCGGGATGAGGCTGTCCACGGATGAGCGTCGAACCCGTGTACGATACGAATAACACGGACGTACTGTGAATGAATTGGTTGACTTTCCCTTCAGGCCTTCACGCGCGGCGAACATAACCAACAAGGCAAGGTCCGCCCTAGTAGCGATGCAGCCATGGAAGTACCGGTACGAGATGTTCCATACTGTGAGCATGTATGAAGACGCCGTGTGTCCGCGCGCGCGCCACCTGCTGATTGACCTAGAAGCACCTGTCGAACTAGTCAGAGAAGGCCAGATGCAAGTGAGCGCGGAGTCCAGGTTCTGCGTCCCAGACACGACCGCTGACCCAGCAGTGACTCGAGAGGACGGGCGTCGACAGCATTGCTCCCGGTGTTTTGAGAAGGGCTTGCACATGAGTCGTCTGAGCACCGTGTGCGGCGTTTGTCCAGCGCTGAGCAGTTCCACTGTCAGACTGCACTGGAACTGCCAGATGCCGGAGGGCGGGCCGAGGATCTACGGGCCTCCAAAGGCAAGCAGGCATGAGCGAAGGAGATACGATGATGCATGGAAGGACGCGACGATCCGGGCGGAAGCGCGTTGAAATACATAGCGAGTGGATCCGAGCGACGTGCATTTGAACTTAGACCTGGGACGCCGTGCAAGGAACACGAGGGCTGGCTGTGCCGCTACTTGTAGAAGCCAACAGCGGTTTGGTGGCCCATCGCTGCCGTCAAGTAAGGTTGGTGATCCACATGGGATGACGAACGAGAAGACGGGCGGGCGTACTAGCGTATGTTCAAGTTTCGCCGCGAGCCCGTTATAGGTATGGGAAGGCGGTTGAAGAACGAAGGTTGGCTGTGCTGGTGGTGGGTCATTGTTGCGGTCAGACAAGGTTGGTGACACAGATGGATAGCAGGGCGAGAAGGTGGACGGGCGTGCGATGGTATGTTGTAGGTTCGCCACGAGCGAGGTACATGAAGTCGAGGGCTGGCGGTCAAATAAGAACGGTGAGTTGGAAATGAGTAGCATATCAGGACGGGAGCTTACTACGTTCTAGTTTCGCTATGCTATGGGTGGTTAGCAGGAGCGCTCGATGTAGAGCTAGGACTCGAGGGAGGTCTGGGACGTGTCAAACACTACTGTGCATGTATGTTGAGCCTGTGTGACCGTGCGGTTCGAGCAAGCAGCCCGCGGACCAGGCGAAGTTGTGGAGTGCTCGGAACAGGTGGTAGGTACACCGAGATGAATAGTTTCAGAGTCCAGACAATGAGGGCGTGGGACGATGGCGCAGATCCAGGGACGGCATGCATGATCATAGCATTGTCAGTTCATGTCAACAACGCGCATGATGAGAACATCATTCGAGACGATGTCCCGAGATTGTCGAGCGCCCTCCTATGTAGCCTCTTGCTGGAAGTATCTCTGTCGCGTCAGCACCTCTACGACGATGGCCGTACTTCACTAAAGACGAGGACACAGATCGCCTACTCCTCCGCACAACCCCTCATCTACCAACTGAGTGGTCGCGACGCATTGATGAGTTTAGGGCTCACTCCCGTAGTTGCGGCGAAATGCTGTGCTCCGTAATCAATACACTCGCTAGCTGAAGGGTACAGTGGGCGAGGCGCCCGGGTTTCTTTGAAGGGGTAAGGGCGTTGCGGTCGTCGCACAGATCCGAATGTTGTTGCTCATGGCTCTAGACTTCCGGCCTAGGGGCGTTGAGTATCGTGGAGTGATTTTGCTGACATCGCAAGTCGACCTCCACTCGGAACTGATGACCTGGGAGATGAGATGAGAGAAAGACCAAGACAACAGAGAACGGGTACCGCACAGCACGAATCGGGGCCAAGAAGGGTTGCCGTGATGAAACACAGGATGATGACCACACACGTATCTCTCCCAGTGTGAACCGCGAGCACCCCTCGGGGCTTGGTGCGACAGTGGTGCAGCCGCAGGCAGCCACCACCACCAGCTCATTTAGCAGAGACACAGCTCCAGCATCGGCGATTAGGCACCCGATTGCGGCCTTGTCTGTGGCTCCTGTCTCACTTGTCAGCTAGAGTTCCGAGGCAAAGACAGCACCCCTCTTCGTCCTGCAGCGTGTCGACGGTAGAGGTCGTGTACTCGAAGTGGTGTGTGTAGACACCTGCATACGCGTTCTGAACAAGATGGTACGGGCGGAGGGGAGGAAACGCGATCACGGGCAGGGATGCTGTGTCGCCAAATCACGGCGATTGATCGTCCCTCGCGCACGCGTCCCGGAGGCGCCTGCGGTCGCGCGCACTAAGACAGAAGCATGTAAGGCGAGTGAAACAGGAGGGAGTAGGCTGTTCGCTCCTCTCTGCTCGTCCACCTTGGTCGTCGGCGAGAGAGCCTTCTTCGACGTCTTCTTGCACGACTTCTCTCCTTATTTCTCCCTTCGCCCAATCTTACTTTGCGGCTAGAGTATTTTGTCTTGGTGCGTGGCAACGGGTACTGAGACGATCGGGAGAGCTGAATGACGCGTCGTGCAGCGTAATTTTTGTCGCGTTACTATTGCATAGGATGTCTATCATGTCGTCCTCGAAGAAAGCCGCGTGCATCGCGTTCTGCCTCGCCCACCTTGCTTACGCTCTCCCTGGTCTGGGCATCACCAAACGCGCGACGTCCCAGGCAGCGGCCCCCACCACCATTGACATCCCTCTCCACTTCGATTCGAACGGTAGATATGTGATTCCAGTCGTCATGGTACGCAATAACAACTCAGGATGAGGCGTCGAGGCTCACGCAGACGATGAACAGTCTCCTGGCGCGAACCAGCAGAACTTCAACTTTACGCTTGCGACCAGCACAGGTCTCACCTCTGTTGCGGGTACGGGATGCAGCTCTTGCAGCGATATTAGCTTGTGCGTTCCTTCCCTTCTCTCTGAATGTACACTCGCTTAGTCGTGAATCCATGGCAGGTACAACCAGAGCGCGTCGAGCACGGCGAAGTCTCTGAACGGGAACGACAGCGTATCCTTGACTGGCGGATCCTACAGCGGGTCAGTTATCAAGGAGGACTGCACCATGACTACTACAGGCTCTCCATGGACTTACAAGAACCAGACGAGTAAGTGACCGCCTATGGAAGTCGCACACGCCAGTGCTGAGCCCACTGTAGTCGTCGTCGCACAGAACCAGCAGAACGGCACCGTATTCGGGAGCGGAGCCTCCGGCCTGCTCGGGCTCGGCACGAACCGCTTCTCCTCCGCGCAATCCAGCAGCTCCTCTTCGTCCTCAGGCTACACCGCCGGCTTCGGCGACACCATCTTCAGCCAATGGCTGCAGAACAACGCCAACCAGGACAGCTTCCAGTTCGGCATGGACATCCTCCCGCCGGTCGCGACGCCCACGAGCACGTCCGGTTCCGCGGCCGCCTCGCCGACCTCGACCGGCGCGGGCACGCTTCACTGGCTCGCGCCCGACTCGTCGAAGTACAACCAAGGCGGCCTGACGTACAAGAACGTGCAGAGCAACTCGTCCACGGTGTACTCGGCGGGGAGTCAGCCGGATTGGTCGGTGCCGCTCGACGGGTGGAAGGTGAGCAGCGGAGGGGACAGCTTCGATAGTGGGGACCAGATGATGGTCAGCGTGGACCCGTACTACACCGACATCTACTTCCCTGCCAAGGAGGCGCAGCTCTTCAGTAAGTCGTTCCTCGGTTGGCGCTGACCGAGGTTATTGACGGATCGGCGTAGATGCGGTGATCTCTGGTTCGTCCGTGCAGTCTGGCTTTTCGACGCTCGGCTCGCAGTCACAAGCGTGGGAGGTACCCTGCGGCTCCAAGGTCTCGCTGACCATCAACATCAACGACCAGACGTTCACGTTCGACGAGTCCGTGCTCGTGCGGCGGGCAAGCAATGGTGCCTGTTTCAGCGGTGTGGAAGGCTGGACGGACTCCTCCGTCGAGGAGTACATCTTTGGCGCGCTCTTTGTCAGCCAGGTGTACCTGTAAGTCGCGCCCGCTACATTTCTGTGCACGTGTAGCTCACCCTCGCTCGCCGTAGCGTCTTCAACGTCGGGCGCAACGGGACCGACGCCGTCGGCTTCGCACCCAAGGCCGCGGCCAAGAAGTCCACAAACGTCGGCGCGATCGCCGGGGGCACCGTCGGCGGCGTCGTCGGCGTGCTCCTCATCGGCATCGCCGCGTTCTTCTACATCCGCAGCCGCCAGGACCGCGCGATCCTAAAGGACACCGTCGCGATGGTCGAGGAGCACAAGGCCGCGAACACGATCCAGCCGTACACCCTCGGCGCCTCGCAGCAAGGCCGGACGGGCTCGCCCGGCGTGGACGCGCCTTTGCTGTACGGCGGTGCGACGGCCCATGAGGACGATGTTGCGCCGCCGTCGTACGAGGCGAGCGAGGCGGGTGGCTCGGCGGTCGTTTCGGGCGGGCCGGTGAGGACGTCGAAGGGCGAGTATGTGCGCCCGGTGTCGACGCAGACGATCGGTGCTGGTGAGGGTCCGTCAGGGCCGAGCCAGCCTCCGCGCATCGAGCCGAACCGGATGTATAACATCGAGGAGTGAGAGGGAGTGAACTGTCGTATTTATCGTAGGCTTCGTTTAGTCGTATGCATTGTATCCGTCGCCTTTTGTGAATTAAGTGGAATGACCTGCATGATGTGAAGAATAACAACAGCGTGGTGGTTGATCGGAACAATCAATGTTTGTGGATTCTAGCTGGTTTGTGGGTGCGGTATGCACGACGTTCAGCATGCCTGTGGTTGAAATGACAGTGGTTAAGCAGGCTCGCCCCAGCGCGTGCCATCCAGAATGGTCTAAGTGGGTTTGCCATTCTCGGCTGTAAGTAGCAGTAGTGTGTAAGTCAGTGCTCAGCGCTCAACGCTGATCCATGTACATATATACTACTTGCCATAGGTGCTACTGCCAGGCAGCCAAAGTATATGTGGACTCGTTCCAGCACGCACTGGATACTTGCCAGTGGCTGGCTTGTCGAGAACATCGCCGCGGCACTCCTTGAGCTTTTCCACAAATTTCCTGTGTTCCCGTACGCTTTTTCGAGTGGCAACGTTTGCCACCCGAGAATGCATACAGGATCACAGGAAATTGGTGGACTGCCACTCAAAATACTTATATGGAGCTTCTCGCAGTGCACACTTCGTCGACACGGCGCTTCAACAAGAACAGCCATCCGACAGCTGTAAGTCCGACGATGAGGTGAAAACTGAAGGTGCGTCACCCGGGAATTGGCTGCTATTACTTGTGCATCGAGGACACGTTCGACACGACGCTCGCGCGAGCGGTGGGACGCGAGCTGGGGCAGGTGGGTCGGGGAGCCGCCCACGTACACCAGCTCCAACAAGATGTCGCCCGAGATGCACATCGAGGACAAATGGGGTGCGTACATCCTGAGCAGCGAGGCGGAGGACCGCTGATATACAGTTTGTCGATGGCCGAAGGTCCTGGCGGTTCGGACGGTTGGGTCGAGTACGAGGCGCTCGGGGAGACGCTGCGGTTCCGCGTCGCGTGCCAGGAGGTCGGCTCGAACATCGTCGAGGCGTCTTTGAGCGCAGGAAGAACTCGAGATTTGTGCTTGACATGCCTGCTGAGATACAGGTAGGGATCCTTTGGATGATGGTGGTACGTTCTCTTGCGAGTTCCGGTTCTTGACAGGGTGCTGAGGACGCGTTAGTCGGTAGTCATCTTCGCTGTGAAGAACAAGTCCGTGTAGAGGTCTGTTGACGAATGCGAGCCGTTAGTAATACGCACACTCAGCCGTGTGGACGAGAGAGCTCGCTCGCCGATGTAGCTACGAACTATCTGCGTAGAACTGGTAGCTGAGGAGCGGGTTTGTGTTTTCGTCTGTTCCGGATCTTCACCAATCAATGAAAAGGTATTCAAACGAACAAGTCAGATCGAGGGTATGACAATGGACGCCAGTGCGATCCTGCGTGCTCTTGGGCAGCTGGTCTCGGCTCCGTCAGTCGCAGTTCAGCCAGCCTGATTCTCTGGCTATTCGAGAGTAAAATGTCGTGATTTTGAACTTAGACTGCATAATACATGAGAGCAACACAATATTCGGTACACAGCTACTTTTGGACGCACTGGGGGTCGTTTCGGTCTCGTATGCCGAGTACACTGGCAGCGGGCAGCGTAACGCGTGGTTCCCGTCAGAACGACGCCATGCATCAAGGCGCGTTTTCCGCCGTAGGTTCGCTGCCCCCGGATGCACCGCCCGCATTTTGCTCGTCCTCGCCTTCATCGGCACCCTTCTCAGCCCCCTCTCCTTGCGCCCCGCCCTCAGGCTCCCTCTTCTTCTCCCACGGATCGTATATGATCGACTCCAGATGCTCGAGCGCCGCCTATCATTTCCCATCCACATCGGAGGGGACATCAAGCGCAACGATAGAAGGCGAAAAAGGGAGAAAGGATGTCTAGTACGGTGCATAACGGTTGTTATTGATGAAATCACTGCGCACCCGGCCAACCTCGCTAAGCTCCTCGTTCTCGTCGCCGTTGAACGTCTCGAATGCGCCGGCGTCGATGAAGGCGTCGTCGCCGTCTTCATCCATGTCGTTGGCGGAGGCAGGGTCGGGATGAAGGGATGCGCAGAGGGAGAGGGCTTCGAAGATCGGCTCAACTGCACAAAGAGCAAGAATTTGAATGAACTTAGGTCAGCGACAGCAGCCCGGGAGATGGATGTGCTCACGCGATGTAGCGTCTCTTGGTACGATGATGAGCTCCTTCATCTCAGTATCAGCGTCCTCGTCGATCGGCGCTTCACTGTCTGCGAGAGCAGCAGCTTCGTCCAACTGGCAGTATATTGACGGGCCCGATTCTGCGCGCGAGATGGCGTGCAGAGTGATTGAGGGATACTCGACCGACCACCCGCGTCCGTTCGCAGACAGGAAGACCAACGCGCTAGATCGAACCTACTTCAGCATTGCAGCGTTTGCACACTTTCTTCTAATGATATGGAACCTTACCTTTCGATCACGTAGAGTGTTCCATTTGCGAGGTCTTCCAAGGGAAAGCCTTCGAGTGGAGGATCGATCGTAACGGATACATTCTCCTCCTTATGGCGCAAGACTGGCGGTATAGAGGCGAACGACGCGGGCGTGGATGCTACGATGATTTTGTGTTCCTCTGGGCTGATATGATTGGGAAGAGCGGTGACGAGAGTGAACGGTGCCATTGCGAATTGAACTTTTTGTGGAGAGCAGAGGCGGGCAGAGGAAAGACGCGTTGGTGGCTGGAGAGGCTCGGGCAGTGACCGAAGGTGACCATCAATCCGTCACGTCCACCCATGCCGGACAGGAGCGGTGCTCGCCGACGAGCCCGCTTGGGTGGACGCCTGAACTCGTCGTTCCTCCTCGTCCACATAACCACCTCCATCCCACTTTCTCTACTCATATATTATTTACTCTTTCACGCTCTATCACTCGTCTGTGATTCTCTGGTGCTATCATGGCTCCCGACCAAGCATATCTCGCGCACATCCTCTCGCAGACCCGCGCGAACATCGACTTTCTCGTAGCGCACAACCACATCTCCCCGGCTGATGCTGAGCTTATGCGCAACCGGCTTCCGTCTGCGAACGCAGCCAGCGCTCCTCCCATCGAGGAAATGAGCAGCCTCTCTGTCAGCGCACCCGGTCGCCGCGCAGTCCCTCTTCCCCCGCCTCGCTCAGCCCCGACCCACCGTGCTCGTGCGGTCTGGGCGTACAACGAGGATGGCTCGGTAAGCTACCCCCGTATGCCCATAACACAATGGGCCTCCGTTTTCAGAACATCGCTGACACCGCCTCAGGAACCCAACGATCTCTCTTTCTCCTCTGGCGAGATCGTCGAAGTTATCGACGAGACGAACGCCGACTGGTGGACCGGCCGGTGCCGCGGCCGCCAGGGCCTCTTCCCCTCGAATCACGTCGAGAAGCTCGACGGTGCTGCTCCTGCGCACGCTCCGCCCATGCCTTCCGCCTCGCCCGCGTACCAGCCCGCGTACGCCCCGCCCCCGCAGCAGTACATGCCGCCGCAGCCGTATGCTGCGGGTCCGCCGCCTGCGGAGAAGCCTGCCTATCGTCCGTTCGGCGCGGTGTACGCGGGCCGTGACCAGCCCCCGCCGCAGCCGCAGCCACAAGGGGTCCCGACCAACTCGTTGGGGCTGCAGCAGGACGCTGGACAGGAGAAGAAGAAGAGCAAGTATGGCAGGCTCGGGGACACGGTCAGTCGTTATGTTTCTGCCGCTCGTCAACCTGCTAATCATTGCAATTGTTTCTTCTCTGCAGATGGCTACCTCCGCCGCTGGCGGTGTCGGCTTCGGCGCGGGTGCTGCGATCGGCAGTGGTATCGTCGGCGCTATTTTCTGAGATGTCCTCGCCCTTCGCATTGCCACTGGCCCACTGTGGTCGCGGCGGTCATCCTCGCATCTTTGTCTCGCTTAATCTACTGTGTCTTCTTCACAACACATCTGTATATTGGTGACTGACGGACGGACTCGCAATCTGCAGCCATGACGGCTTGCCTACATACAATAGAAAATGGTATGTCTGGTTTGCAGGCGTTAGAGCGGGCGCAGGTGTGTACTTGTTGGAGGCATTCGGATGAGCTGCTTTCCCTATCACGACTATTTCCGCGCGGCGTAAGAGCTCGTCGCAACTGGTGCTGTGAGATGTTCAAATTATAGCGGTCGACCGGTCATCGCGCAAAGCTCACGAATTGTGAATACATCGTACTTGTGAGTTGTTTAACATACGGGTCCCTGCGGATGGGCGTTGCGATCTGTTGCTGATATATATGCTGTTCTTCACTGTGCCAGACGATGGCGCTGAAGCATGGGAACATTCATGTCGAGCTCGCTATTGCATGCTACTACCAGAACATCGCGTGGTACGGAAGAGCGCATCTCGGTCCCGCACGGCTTCAACCTCGAAGCAATATCCGGCTGCCGATGGATGCTGTTCTCATCATATGTTGGCACTTCTCGCCGGCGATGCAGCGAGATGTATGGGTGCAGAAAGGGATCGCGGTGAACGGTGGCCTGGGAGTTATGCGGTAGCTGACATCTGTGCTTCAACAGCTTCGCGGCTTCTTGAAGTACAATGGAGGTAATTTTGATGTTGAGCGCTGTTGGTGCGAGGCCTGACATAGCGTTCTGTTCTGTTCTTGAATTCGCAACGGTGAGCCGTGAGACCGATTGCAGTCCTTCACAACACAGGCATGAGCGGCAACGAGGCCGTGCAGGGTACGCGTCATGGTCGAGACGGACACAAGTGAGGAGGATCAGGCACCGGATCGACAGCTTGAGGGTATATAAGCACGTCCTCACCGCTGCACCACATGCTAATAGTACTCACAGCTATGTCCGCAGACGAACTTGCTCTGATGATCGCGACCCTCGATGTAGGGTGAGTTGCGCGATGATACTTTCGAGCGACTAGTGAACTCTTGTGGCATTGTGTGTATTGTTCTTGACCTACATATACAGCGATATATACATATGACCGCTTTCTCACCTTCGGGTGGGAGGTGGACCTCATGTGGCGGCGCCGGAGCCTGTCAGTAGCGACTGGCTCTTACATGTTGATGCATATATCAGCAACAGTGTACCTGTATGCATTTGTGGTACTTCAAGTTGTCACAGGCTGTAGAGTGAGTCTAAGCTCATGTTGTGTATGACATACTGATTCCAGTTCAGAGGTAGAATGATCTTGTCTGATGTGAGACTGGACTGAGCTACAGTTCATCATGCAGTGACTACATCTTGAATGTAGTGGGATTGTGTGCCAGTGCACTTTTCCATATTGCCAATGGTGGTATGTGTGATACTGTCCATTATGTCCCATAATACCTCACCTTTGCACCTGGCAGTCTTCACAGCATTGCATGCCTATGCCATCAGTATTCATTTGTTGTTGCTTGCATCTGCCATTCTTGCATTGTCTGTGGTGCTTGTTGCAGTGGAAATAGTGAGTACTTTCATTGCTGCATGCTCATGCAGTCCCTAAATCATGATCAATACCAGTATGAGGCCTGTACACTGACAGCAATCACTGTGCCTGATCCTGTTGGTTGTGTTACCTACTCATTGGACAAAATAGTTCTTCTGCAAGTTTCACATACTCCCATGTGATTTGATTGGCACTCATGTGTTAATGTACTCCACAGACAATGTGCAGTGCATCTTCATTTGGTTGGCAACAGAGCTAGACTGACAATTGCAGCATTGTGTCTGTGGCTGCAGTTGGTATAGCCAGGCAAGTATGCAGCATTGTTGCTGAGGTACTACTGGTGGTGGCGACATGGCAACATGTAAACATAATCAAGCTTGGCAATGAACCACAGGTTGATACCTCAATTACAACTGTATTGCTCAGAGATGGTCAGTACAAAGTCAGTCAGTATATAGGCTTTGAAACTGACCTATTCCCTTCTGCATATTGTCAGGTACTGTCTATTTTATGTGAGCTTATACCATGGAATGCATGAGCACTCAGTATCAACACTCACCTGGCTCAGTGCTATCCTCAGTCTTCTGATCTTGGAGACAATACTGATTGGGATCAATGTGAGTGTCAAGTTAGCATGCCCACTACAACATGCTGAGACTAACATTCAAAATTTAGACTGATGATGGATTTGTGGTACCCATAATCTATGCATGTGTTGATTCTCAATCAAGGGAAGGTTATACATTGAACTAGACATATTCCACAGGCTTCAACCAGTCCTACTCACACACTTCTATCTCAACTTGCATGAAGCAAATTCTGTTGACATACCTTCCAATGAATCCCAGATATCTGATCTCCATTTCACACATGTGATGGGACACATTGCAGGTGTCGGAGAGAAGGTGTGCGTGCGACGACAAACCCACACCACACGCGTACTCGTCCTAGATGCAGGGAGGTCGGATGGTCGAGATGGACGAGGGCTCGGTGGAGGACAACGGTGGATGTCTATAGCACGTAGTTAGGCCGCCGAGACTCAATGAAACACTTACAAATGTCGAATGCAACTTGACGTGATTCTACTCGACTTGCGACTCGACTTGCTTTGCACCCGCGACCGCAGTTGTCGTGTCTAAGTGCCGAGGTCGGGACAGCGAGGCGAGAGAGAGAGCGAGAAGTGGGGATCTGATTCGATGGAGAGACGGGCAGCTCAGCCCAGTACTTAATACACACGAGAGGAGTTCTAGAACCTTGGAAGCGCGAGAGGGATAAAAAAGTAGAAGAGAGGGAGAGAGACGTCGGCGAGCGAGAGATGGTTCGAAAGAAGCGCGAAGCGTGAGTGTTTGACGTATCGGGAAGGAATGATACCTAATAAGGAAAGTATTGTACAGCAGGCATATGGGCACCCTCCTGGGCGACGGACGTCCCTTGAGTCCCCTTCCAGCGTTGACTGACGAACCCTTGTCTCGGTACGTGATTGGCAGCTCGCACGCGGTGCTATTTACTAATCGCGACCTGGTCCCCCAGCAGGTGCGGCACTCGGCGTCGCGGCGCTCGTCTCGTCCTACTAGTGGGTCCGCGTCGCGGCCTTCCGGTTCGTCGCAGGCGCGCCGGTAGAGTCGAGAGTAACGTAGGGAATTGTAACAAAAAAGAAAAAGAAAAAGAAAGACGTGGGATGGGTTTCCCTTCCACACAGGCTCACTTCCCTATGGTACAAGCAGCTATCCAGAGGAAGACATTGATGTATCAGCAAGTGACCTTGATCTGGATGGAGAGCTAACAGAAGAGCAAGAGATGGATAGCTATGAGCAACTGCCAGAAGCCACAGGGGCTGCCAGGCCCAAAGCCTGTACCAACTCACCTGATGGAGGACTACATAGGGCGGCCCACACTAGATCCGACAATTGTATTTCAATGTCTGTGCCTCCGTGTCAGTTGCTTGCTTCAGCCTTGAAGGTAGTTCATAGCGGAGCTGAGTTCAGAACAATGACTGCCATCGATATCGGAGACCTATTGTGTACAGACAGTGCGAGGCGAGACAACTTTCAATTCAAGGCCAAGGAGGATACACAGAGATGCCAAAGTTCAAAAAAATACCTGGACCTACAATTACGAGTCACCGACCGAAGCCTTGCTCTCCGAGTTGACACTACTCACTGACCGTCATGCTCGAGAAACTGCCACAGTAAATTGAGGCTACCGAATTGACCATGGTCCAAGTCCGTGAGTCCGTGACATGGTCTGCGGTAGCGTGCAGGCTACTGAAAGGCGCACTAGGTGCCTACAAGAGGCACGCGATGACGGTTGCGTAGTCACCCGCGAGGCTGTACAGCTTGACCGCCTCCGGCTCGGGGTCGATTTCCTCCAAGCGCGTCGCAGCGCGCACAAGGATCCGTTCGTTGTTGAGGGATGTGTCCTGCTCGACGAGTACGCTCTGAGCGAAGGCGACAGTGACAGTGATAATAGGGCGAAAGGGGGCGCGGGGGAGTATGAGACACATCTCGTCAAGAAGAACCCCCGACGAGCTCTTCGTATGCGGCTCCGGTGTCCGAGGATGCAGCGGACGAGGTCCCATCTACTTCTCACCACCGCCGTCTTATTCTGCGCTGAGGCTGACACAGAAGATGTACTGCAACACCGCCGACGCGACCGTCTTGACGAAGGCGCGAACACGACGCGAGATAAGCGTTGACGCGTTCAAATCTGGTGGTCACGTCGGGGAGAGAAAGACTGTCGCGCTATCCAGTCAGTTTCAGGTTGGGGCCAAAAGTTCGACTCGAACTCACAAGGTGTCGTGTCAGACATCTCGGGATCGCGAGGTAATACGCAGCAACCCATGTGCAAAGCAATTGCGAGATGGACTGCTTGCATATCTGTCTCTCGATGGCCCCACAGCGCAGCAACGACCTACCCATTCGTCAATCGGCTGTCCACGACAGAGAAGAGAGAACACAGGTGAGTTACTCTTGAACTGACTGCATCAAGCAGCACGCTGGTTCACACACATTGCCTTGCCCCAACCATTCTGTCCGCGTGTACCATTGGAATGACACCCGCCATGGATCAGGAGCACCTGCAAGAGCCTATGCAGACCTCTGTCCTCGGCCTCGCCAACCTACGTGCGTATGCAGCCCGTAAGCCGGCGGTCCTTTACTTCGAGAGTGCATAAGCAAATCACAGACAATCAAAGCCAGTAGTTCGTCGTGACGGTGGCTTTCGCATGCCTCTCCACCCGAGGTTGATTTTCCAATTAGCTTGAGGTGCGAAAGCTCGAATGAAGTGTTCTGTACGGGTAGAGCTTCTGTACGTTGAACTCTGCGTGTAGTATTTGTGATCTGCAGTTTCGTTAGCCTACGGTGAACAACGTGTCAGGCCCCTTCACGACAACAATCAGAAGATAGCGCACGTTCGGTCTGAAGTTCCTGTAGCCCGCTTCACGGTAAGTTATGCGATAGCTTGTTGATAGTGTAGGAATTCTGCCAACGCGTCTCGTGGGTTGCGCGTACGCACGCGGTAGAGTTTTGCCCACAACGGCTGGTCTGCAAACTCTATCCCCGCTCGATCGACCCCTATCTGAGAGGCGAAGTCGCGACAGCACACTCACCTCGATTTGGACCTCCCATTCGCCGTTCCGGTAATGGAAGTACAAACGCGTGGAGTTTGTTCGGCATGCTCGTATTGTCTGAATCTCGCTACGTTGGATCCGGCCTAGAGAGGAATGGACAGACGGTCTCTGGCCGCCCGAGACGCGACAGGAGGGTTGCCGGCGCAGTCAAGAGGGCAGAAACTAAGTTAGGCTCTGGCGAAACTAGTCGAGCTCTTCTCCTCGTTTACAGTGGCGTGAAGGAGAGCAGAAGGCAGTCGCTCGGCCCAGAGATGTGAATGCACAGGTACAAGGGTTTCTCGCGTTTATCCCGAGCTTCCCGAATCGACGCGTATTGTCGAGCAGTCGTTCGAGTTGCGTTCAACGTTCAGAACGTTCAACAGCGATCGAACTAGGTGGCGGACCACCAACGCTGAGTCAGCAATCCCAGATCTCCCGACGCTTCCCCTTCGCGCACAAGCTCCCAGGCCGTCCCAACCTGCTTGGCAGACGCACAGCGAACACGTCGGCCATGTCCCGCCTCAAGCCTCATAGGCCTCACTAGCACTGCCCAAACATCTCTACAGTAGTGCCACGCATGACGTGCCCTGAGCACAGGCGCGGCGGACACTCCATCGCGAGTGCACAGAATCCCCGAACAGTGAGCACAGACACCACGCAGGTACTAGTCCTCGCCTCGAGTCGGAACATCCTCGCGCAGACCTGCAGTGTCTGCACGACCATCGACTTTCTCGTTACGCGCAACCATATTCCCCAAGCCGATGTTGACCTCTCACGTACGACTGGCTCCCTGCGATCGCAACCAGCGCATCTCCCATTGAGGAGATGAACAACCTCTCCGTCGGTGCACCTGGTCGCCGCGCAATCCCTCCCTCCCTGTCTCGCGCAGCCCCTACCCAGCGTGGCCGTGCGCTCTGTGCGCACAACGAGAACGAAAGTGTAAGCCATGCACCATACTAAATGACAAAACGCGTCTCCACCTCCACATGCTGCTGACATGCCCACTGCTTCGACCGCGTACAATCTCGCGAACGCTCCGTCTACGCAGCAGTAGTAAGTGCCGCCGCAACCGTATGCTGCGGGCCCGTCGCCTGAGAAGAAGTCTGTATATTCTCCGCTCGGCGTGGTGTATGCGGGCCACGACCAGCCCACCAGCATGCGTGCACGCTGTCACGGTGGGCTTGAATGCAGGATCGCGGGGTATGTGCTCCTTGATAACCACCACTAGACAGGACACTCATCCTGGCCCGAAGAAGCCATGCTACTGTCTGCAAGCCCCAGGCCCTTCAAGTACAGTCGCGCGGGCACGTTGATCTGCGCCTAGTAGCCTACGCGCCGGCGGGGCCATGGACATGGACAGATAGTGTGCGCGGAAGCAGCGCCATCGAGTCCTGTGTATGGTCGTATAGTGAACTGGCTGCGGCACCGAGGATCCACCAACCGGGGGTTTTTGTTTTTATCTGGGAGGATACAGAGGTCGTGGTGTGCGGTCAGCGGTGCGCCCTCCTCTCCGTTACAGAGGTCTTCTTTAGAATCTGCTAGGGGAGACTGGCGGTGCACGGGGAATGGACATCTGCCTCTGAGTCGGCTGGGCTCCCACAGTATCATGGGCAGGAGCGACAGGCTCGGGTACACGGTTAGTTGGTCTGAGCCTGTCTCAGTGTCTGCTCTAGTACCCACATTACAGTCTGCTCATAGAGCCGATTTCGCTACTCGTCGGCTCGGATATTACAATCGACGGTGGCGTCGTCAGCAGCACCGTCTTCAACTTCCCCCAGCTTTCCAGTACTCGCCGTGACCATCTTGCCTAGTATCGCTTGATCCGCTCTGGCTGTTCGCGATCGATACACATGTCTGTGCTGGTGACTGGCGGCCGATATTTCAACCACATCGAGGTACGTTCGTCCAACTTGAAACTGCAGGAAGACTACCCACGTAAATCACAGCAGTGTCGTACTCCGTTGGCATGCGGACACAGAACAGATGAGAATTGGAGGTGCTGGACTGGGCGCAGCTGCGGTATTGGCGCACGACGTCATTGTCGACCACTCATCTATCATGCGTAGAACCGCATTGACGCATTGCCGATACCAAGTACGCGGTTCACAGTGTATCCTTGTGCGTCACAGTTGCAAGGTGCGCTAATTTGACCGAGCCGTCACACACAGCTGGGTATGACTGTATTACAACGCGTCCGTCTTCTCTTCTCTCCCTTCATTCGGTTCGAAGTTGATATGTTTTCATCCCGTGCATAGATGAACCATGCTTGGCGCGCAGTGCGGGAGCTGTCAGCATGCAATTATCATGATGCTAAGTCTCCAGAGAGCCAGGAGAACATCCACATTATCGGCCTAGGCATGCAGGACTTCGTTGCCGTTGTCAAGTTGAGCACGGCCAGACTGTTTTGAGCACCTCTGCGGTCATTCATTGGACTCAGACTGTATGTAATTCATGTATCTGCGTCTGCGCTCCTGGTCTACTCTTACGTGCTGTGTGGAGTTGAGACCAGAAAGCGCCCTCGCCGTCAAGAACGGCGGCTCACGGCGGGAGAACTTCACAGACAGTCGGTGTCGCGTTGTTTCGGAACGGGCTTCTCACGCTAAGACTATCCACAGGACAGTAGCACTCGAAAACATCGCATGGAGCTGTATACGTGGTTGATATGACTTGGAAGACTGATCATTACAGTGTGTCCCTAGCAGAGGATGTGTTATGCATCGCGAAACCAGGTACCTGCCGTATTATGAATATCAGTGGCACGGCGTCAAAAGACACGAATTGATCCATGCCACAAACCGTCTGGGAACCACCCATATTCTGGTTACAGCACGTATACGGTTCCGCGCATCTGCGTCGTATAACAGCTCGGTCTAGCGAACGTCCGTCATTGCTGCGACGCACTAAGAGCTCACAGCTATGTCGACGGATAGACTCGTACGGACGACCGAGATTCTCGATGTAGGGTGAGTTGGCCAATATGGACTGTCAGTGCGAACGACTCAAAAGTGGCGTGAGCGGCAGATTTGTACACAACTGCTGCCAAATAGTAGCGTGCGGTGAGCGCAACTTGCTGAATGGAGCTTGCGTGCACTTTTTGTGACCTCCATGCACAGCGATTTACACCTATGACCGCCTCCTTACCTTATGGTGGGAGGTGGACATGATCTGGCGGCGCCGGAGCTTGTCGGCAGCGACTGGTCTATACCTCTTTCTGCACATATCTACAGCAGTGCTCCTGTATGCACAGATAGCCATCCAGATCGTCTCAGGATGTGAGGTAAACCTACGCTCTTGCCGTGCACGATACTATGTGGACACTGATTTGTTTCAGAGGTAGATTGATCCTCAGGTCTGGTTGAAGACGCACGGTCACTTACTAGAGGGATGTTGTACAGCGCTCACATCTTCTTGATCGCACAGATATGTGCTGCGGCACTGTTCCATTTCGCCATTGGTGGTGCGTATTGTAATACATTATTGCGTGTTCGCCACCATGATCTCACACGCCCCACAGGTATCACGGCTCTACGTGCGTACGCTATCAGCGACCGCTCTGTGCCGCTAGCATCTGCCATTTTCATGTTCTATCTGACATTTGTCGCGATAAACATAGTACGTGTATTTGTTGTTACCTGTTCAAACGATCTCTCATGTAGCGCAATCATCAGTATGCGATTGCGACAATAGTGGTAGTTACTGTACCCGATCCTGTTGGCTGTGTAATCTTCGCGGATGGCAAAGGTTTGAGGTATGTTACCATGCTGTTGTTATTCCTCGTCATATTTTCATGAAATGCACGATGCAGACCATGTGCGACATCACCTTAACTTCCTTTTGGTAGAGCTCGGCTAACAACAACAACTTTTTGCCCGTGGCCCCAGTGTGTCTTGCGGGGCAAGCATCCACCATCATTGCTGAGGTATTGCTGGTGGCGTCGACCTGGGGCCATCTGTACAAGGACGGGCTCGCTCACCAAGCAAGAGTTGACACCCCGATTACAACGGTATTGCTCAGAGACGGTGAGGAAAGCTGGATGAAGTCGGCTTTGCATCTAACTTCTTTCCTGCGTGTTCCAGGCACTGTGTACTTCATGTAAGTTCACGTCATGCCTGGATCAGATAATCAAATTCAACGTTCACTTGGCTTAGAGCCATCCTCGCTCTTCTCATTCCCACTACGGTGCTGAATGCAATGTCTAGTGTGGGTACCACAGTCCTCCGCGATAGATCACTGCCGTCTGCTGACAAAATCACCTCCATTAGAGCTTAGCTTGTGTTCTCTCACCAATCATCTACGCGTGCGTGTACCGTCGAAGGCACGATCATCCCTAAACACAGACATGTCACACAGGCTCCAAACAGTCCTCATAACGCATTCTACCTCAATCTGCATGAAGCGGTTTCGGTCGACATACCTTCTGGCACATCACAGATATCCGATCTCCACTTCACGCGTGTGGTAGGGAGCCTTGCGGGCTCGCTTCCCTACGGTACACGCAGTTCTCTGGAGTTTGGCGGTGTGGATACGGAAAGCGACATCGATCTGGATGAGGAGCGAATGTACGAGGAAGAAATGGGTATCAAGCACTCGGCGCCGGCCGCAAGGGACGGTAGTGGAGAGCCCGAGAGCAGTGCCTGTGCACCTTATGCGGACCCTTTCTTTGCGGAGGAGGATCTGAAAGTCGGGTTTGTCTTGGTGTGACTTCCGTACTCAGCCTACAGCTGCTTCCTCCCGATTGGCTAGGCTTCATCACGTCGCTCCGCTATCCTAGTGCTCGGATCTTAGCGTGGATATAGTATGGACTATGGACCTATTGTACATTATTCCGTGTAGTCTCGTCGATCTGCTAGATGTACGAACCTCTGCGTCTCGAAGTCAATACCATTCAATTGCTGCACAAGGCCTTCTAGACCGTGGTGTAACCAGTGCGCCAATCCTGGGCCTGAGGATTACACAGCTCAGCTTAGGTCACAGACGTCGATCTCAAGTAAGCCTCGCAACACTGGAGTGTTCATGCAAAACATTCCAAGCAATGATACTCGCAACAACTGTTATACGTTCAGATGGTATGCCGATTCCGAGGAGCCTCCGCGAACGGGAGGCGAGGCTTTCTAAGTACATTACACTACACTACTTAGAGCACCGACTAGATTACGCAACATTAACGACAATAAAGATAACAATACAACACTGCGAGCGCGAGCAGAAAGCAATTCGATGCTAGGTCATTGAGTTGGGTTGAGAGCAGAAAACAAAACAGGAGCAGTGTAGCGAGCAACGAGTAACTTGAACGAGCATGCGAGTGGGAGGCATCCGGCGTCCGGAATCCAGAATCCATGTGAGATGGAAGACCCAAGTCCAGTGACAGACGAGTCCAGTGATGCGAGACAAGAGTCCAGCCCAGGATCGTCATCGTCGCAGACGAGAGCTCCGTACGGGCTTAGTCCGAGTGCTCGCGGTATTCTCAAATTGCTGCTTGATGCTGGCGTAACACTCGCGATCTACGCGGTGCAGGTAATAGTCCCCGCCGAGGCCGTGCCAGGAGACGTGGCCGGGGTGGTAATTTTTCTTCGTTACTTGGAAAATCGCGCTGATGTCGTCCAACTGGAATCGCGTGAGACGCTGCGACGGTGATGGACGATAAACACTCACATTGCGCTCTGTGACACCTGAGAGGGGAGCGAACTCTCGCAGCGAGACAACAATAGCACCTTCCTTCAAATCTAAAAACTTCGGGCGGATCGCCTCGTTGACTGCCGCCAAATGGATAAGTAGTCGTAGCAAACCAAAACAACCATGCACTCACGCAAAGGCTCAAACACCCTATTATTCACCAGGACGACGTCTGCCTTGGGTATCAGCTCATCCACGCGTCTGCTCTTCAACATATCCCCCTCCTCCAGCTCCACCTCGCCCATCCTGAATCCCCACATCCTGCACCGCACCTGGAACTGCTCCAGCTGGCTCCGCGCCAGCTTCGCCGGCTGCTCCATGAGCTCGATCCCGTAGCTCGTGCACCCCGTCTGCAGGCTCGCCTGGAGCACGACGTTGCCGACGCCCGAACCGAGGTCGAGGAAAAGCGAGCCCTCGTGCAAGGCGGTGTCCCGGATGATCCGCGAGACGAGCGTCGGCATGAGCTCGCCGTAGGCCGAGGAAGAGAAGGCTTGGTAGTGCTTCAGTTGAGCGACGTTCGGCCCGACCGCGCGCTGGTAGACTTCCTCGACGACGCGTTCGATGACGCCTTGAGGTATGAATCCCCATGCTCGCACGGCCTCCTGGAAAGCATTTGGGGGCAGAGGATCGAAAGGGTCTGCCGGAACTGGCGGATACTTCAGCAACCGGAGGAGCGCGTTGATCGCGTTCATGACCTTGAGGAACAGAGGCCCGTCATGCTTGTTGATCGCCCGCTGCAGGAGGCGCAAGTAGTCCACCGAGGGTGGCCCTAATGCACACGGCGTTGCGTGGTTGGACAGGTCGGTGAAGGAAGACATTGATGATATAGATGAAAACGAGGAGACGGATGAGACGGATGAGACAGAGGAAAATATTGAGGACGAGGACGTCGCGGACGAGGATGCTTCTGATACAGAGGGAGCAGGCGATGATGCAGAGGACAGTGGCGGGGGAGAGGGCGAGGATAGTTCTGATTCGACTATAATTGGAGGCGGCACGGAGGGAATGGGTATAGGCATCTCGACGTCTGCGAAACATGCATCTGGCAGAGTCCCGAACATCGCGCGCTGAGGTGGAGTCAGGTAGTCTAATGAAGGGTGAGTCGTGAGTTGGCTAATTAAGAGACGACTCACCCTTCAGTATGATATGTAGCGTACTTTCCAAGCACATTATAGGATTGTAGTGGTCGGGATCCTTGGGTGCCAATAAAATAAACCTGAAAGGACGTGAGACCCAACGTCGCATGGCAGCATATACGAGCATTACTTTTCAGATGCCCCAGTGTTTGGGTATTCGAGCTCAACCACAGGATAATTTTCTGAGTGTGGCTCAAAAGAGTTATCGCAGGGGTCGTTCGGATTCTGGAAGTCTGTACGGGCTCAGCTGACGAAATACAACGCGCGAGAGGATCACCAACATGGGATGTACGTTTTCATGAGGTCTCGCACGACAGCCTCCGAGGTCAAGCAGGAGGGACCCGGCGTTCCGTCTTCGTCGGTCCAGCATTCCCGCGGTAGCGGCGTGCCCGTGCGAAGTACGGAAGGAGAGCGCGACCTCGAGGTAGCCCTAGAAGGAGGCATTGGCGAGCGCGAGGCAGAGGGCTAGGTGCGAGGATGGCGCCGTGCTAGACGAACGCGACGGCCCGGGCGCCAGATTTTGCGCCGCGTCTGCGGGGGCAGGTGAAGCGGCACGCTGTTTCTTCGCTGCGTGAAGAGGCATCTCGCACTCGGCACTCTTTCGTTTGCCTTTGGGATCAGCAGATGGTGATTGTGAGGAGGAAGAGGAGGACGTCGCGGATCGCGCCTTGACCTGAAGGGCGCCTGCATCGGCATTACGCACCAGGGCCTTCTGCACGACGACCACGCGCGTCCCTGAGCTCGACGACGCGTTCGACGCGCCTGTTCTCGCGTGTATGGGCTTGGAGAAGAAGGAGTGGTCGGACGAGGAGGGACGGGGCGCAGCCATGGCGGGCGGAGACAGGAGGCGGCCAAAGACTGGGCAGCGCAGACGTCGAGCGGAATGGCTGTGGCACCCGCGTCACTCTGCAACTTTCCCGCGTCAACGCCGCGTGCAGGCCTACTTGGGCCCATCACGTGCATAGCGTATGTCAAAAATTGAAGTCAAGCAACACAGGTAACTTCTCCGGCACCCACTGCATCATGACGGTCGGAATAATCTCCAGCCAATCTGCAGAAGGAAGCTCGTCCACGAAGACCAAGAAATCCAAGAAGTCTCGCCGGGAAGACGAGCAGGACAAGCCAGAAAGTCATATAACGGAAGTAGCGGGTGGTGTGTATGTTCTGCTGCCCGATGCATAGTGCGATCGTTCGAAAGGCTTACCTTCATGTTCAGATGACAATGAAAAGGCTGAGAGGAAGAGGCGAAAGAAAGAGAAGAAGATGAAGGCAGCTGAGGGTGTCGGGGAGGAAGACCACTCCATGGCCGTGGACAATATCAGTGAGTCGTTTCGCATCACGTCCATGCAATTGAAGTCGAGAATAACCCGCAGACGATGGTGAATCCGCGCAGCCAGAGAAGAAAAAGAAGAAGCGCAAGCGGGAAGAAGATGAGGCACCCACGGACGCGACCTCCTCCAAGAGGGAGAAGAAGAAACGACAAAAAGACGGAGATCTCGCAGAGCCTGCGCAGTCGCCCGAGTCAGGTGGCGTAACTGATGTCCAGCGGACTGAAGCCAGCCCTTCCAAGAAAGATAAGAAGCGGAAACGAAAACACGACGCTGATGCTGCAGCACAATCCGAGGCCGCCTCAGAGCCAAGCAGCTCGAAGAAAGACAAGAAGCGGCATAAGGACACCAGCCTGCGTCCCAGCGAATCAAATTCGCCATCGAAGCCCAGTACAAGCACAACTAATGTACCATCCTCCACTGACGTCGATGCCTTTTTGTCAAAACATGCTGTGACCATCCATGTCCCCGAAGGCTCGGATCCAGTTACCCCCGTGCTCTTCTTCGACCAGCTTGATGTGCCCTCAGAGCTCCACTCCGCCCTCAAAGGCTTCAAAGAGCCGACGCCCATCCAAGCGTGCTCGTGGCCTCCTGCCCTTCAGGGCAAGGACGTCGTCGGTATCGCAGAGACCGGAAGGTAAGCGATTTCACATCGCCCCTTGCAGGAGGGGCCCCATACTGAAGTGCATTTCCAGTGGAAAGACCCTCGCCTTCGGCCTTCCCGCCCTCGCTCGCCTCATTTCATCTCCCTCATCCACAAAGAACAAAGGCACGACTGTGTCCGTCCTCGTCGTCGCACCCACTCGCGAGCTTGCCATCCAGACGCATGACACCCTCGCAGCGCTGGGCGAGCCTTTCGGTATCGCCAGCGTCGCAGTCTTCGGCGGCGTGGACAAGGCCCCGCAAGTGAGATCACTCAAGAACGCGAACAAGGACGGAAAGACTACGCGGATCATCGTGGGTACGCCTGGTCGGATACTGGACCTGGTCAACGATGGTGCCTGCGACCTGAGTCGGTATGTCTCTGTCTTCAGATCACAGAAAGGATGTAAAGTATTGACTGGTTTGCAGTGTAACATATCTGGTCCTCGACGAGGCAGATCGGATGTTGGACAAGGGGTTCGAGAACGATATCCGTGCCATCATTAGTCACACGAAGCAAGGCGCCGAACGCCAGACCCTCATGTGTGAGTTACATTGCACTTATTTCCCTCCAAAACGCTCACATATCGGTACACAGTCAGTGCAACGTGGCCTGAAGCCGTGCGGAGACTAGCAGGATCGTTCCAACGCGATCCCGTGCGAGTCACCGTCGGCAGCGACGACCTCACAGCGAACAGCCGCGTAGAGCAGACCGTCGAAGTCTTCGACGACTCCCGGTCCAAAGAGTGCGTTCCCCATGCTCCAAGTACACACCCCAGACTAACCCTCCCTACAGCCAACGTCTCCTCAAGCACCTCCGCAGCCTCTCGCACAAAAAATCCGGCTCGCCCGAAGACGCGCGCATCCTCGTCTTCGCGCTCTACAAAAAAGAAGCCACGCGCGTCGAGTACATGCTCCGGGACCAGGGCTACTCCGTCGCAGGCCTGCACGGCGACCTCTCCCAATCCGCGCGCATGGAGGCCCTCGACAACTTCAAGGCCGGCCGGACGGGCCTCCTCGTCGCGACGGACGTCGCCGCGCGGGGGCTCGACATCCCCAACGTCGCCGCGGTCGTCAACTACACGTTCCCGCTCACGATCGAGGACTACATTCACCGGATCGGGCGGACGGGCCGGGGCGGGAAGTCGGGCAAGTCGATCACGTTCTTTACGGGCGATGGCCATGAGAGGGCGTTGGCCGGGGAGCTGGCGAGGGTGCTTAGGGAGAGTGGGTTTGAGTGTGAGGGGCTGAGGAAGTTTCCAATGACGATCAAGAAGAAGACGCACAGCGTGTACGGCGCGTTCTTCAAGGACGACATCCCCATGGACACTAAACCCACCAAGATCACCTTCGACTAAATAGTAGACGTTCAAATTGTTGTTGTTCATGTAGTGTTCATGTAGAGCTATGTGGACATTTGCATCACCGGTCACCTCATGCGTTGTGCCATAGCCTATTAGCCTGTACCTGTTCCTCACTTCAGTGAGGGGTCCAGAAACTCGGATCGTTCGGGCGGAGGTATGCGTGAGACGGTGATAACTTTAGTCAAGATAGCGATACAAAGCAGTGATGAACATGCATATATGGCACAGGGTAGTAATACGTCAACAACTTCACTTGTCGTCCTCGTCGCTGTCCTCAGCCTCCTCGAGCCACTGTAGACAATACTGTCAGTGAGCAGGTACTGCTACGATACCTCGGACTACATACCTTGAGGAACGGCTCGCTCGCTTTGCGGACCCTTTTGCTCGTGTCCTTGTCGACGTACTTCTTGCTGACGTGCGTCCCCCACTGCGTGACAACTTCCTCATCGATAATGTCAGTTTGGTAGAACGCCATGAGAATCTTCGGCACAGTCGGAACGAGGTCGGGGTGCACAACGCCCACGAAACGCTCGATACCTCCCAACAAGGACTTCTGGTGCTTTTCGGAAGTAACCATCTATAACGCAGTCAGCTCATACCCAGGGAGAGTACGGACACATAAAACGCACCTTCGCAAACAGCGGTGCATACTTCGGGATCTCCGCCACAACCTCGGCGGTGAACAGCGTCTGCGCAAGGACCTGCACGGCCTTGTGCTTCTTCGCAATGCCCAAATCCTCCGCCTTCTTGTACACCTCCACCGGGCCGGATTCGCGGTTCTCTTGGGCCCAACGGCCGAGCTGGGAATACGGGCTATCCTCGTCCTCGTCGCTCTCATCGTCCCCGCCCAGAGCGATAGCCCCCATAGAAGCCTCCACAGCCTTCACGCGGGCCTTCACAGCCTCCTCAGAGGTGTCCACGGACCAGTCCTCCTTCGTAATGGCGCTGGCCTCAGGGCTGAGCACAGCAGCGTCTGCCTTGATGCGCTTCGTCAGCTCGTCGTCGCTGTCGCCACCTGCATCATCACCCGCATGACCATTCTCGTGGCCGTTGGCGGGGCTCGGGCTGCCATCGGCAGAGGTTTTCTTCTTAGACTTCTTCGGGTTCTTCGGCGGGTTCTTCAGGATGTAGGTCGTGAGTTTGTGGCGCATGTCAACACCGGTGCGCTCGCCGCAGGCCTTGCAGTCGCGGATGATCACATCACCCTTGGTGATGACGAGGTCCGTCTCAGGATTCTTGCACGATTTGCAGAGGACAAACTTGTCGATGAAGCCGTCGAGCAACTCGCGCAGCTTCGTCGCGTCGTGGGCACCGTTGACGATGTAGCGGTCGTTCTTCTCGTCGCCGGTGACCTGGGCGCCGAGCTCGCAGCCGAAGAACTTGGTGGGGTACATGGGCGGCCGGCTGAGCGCCCGGGCGACGTCGGACATGTTCGGGACGACAGTCTTGATACCGTTACCCTTTCCTTCGATTTTGGTCAGCAGGAGGGGCATGCTATAGCCAGGAATGTGAGTCAGTCCACTTGAGGGCACTCAGAGAGGAGTACGCACCGGTAGCGGTAGAATTTGTCGTCGACATCACGACGTATGTTCACAACACCAGCAGCCATATTGGATGAGTCTAGCGCTGCACATAGAGGGGTTAGTCACTACTGTCTCAGGTCGAGTCGGCGTCGAGGGGGACACTCACCGAACTACGCGAATTGGGATATAACAGTCGTTTGTATCTGGTAGCGAGTGGAGGTCGAAGCATGTATCCCCTGCTAGGACAGAGAATATCGACAGTTGGGCGGGTGTTGGACAGAATTGTGGGCTACGGGGGCGAGCAGCAAGCACACAAATTTCTCGAGCGAGGTGGACGAGAGCAAGCCGGTCCCCGCCCGTCTCACAGGTCATTCGCCCCCGGCGTCTGCCGGCACAGCTCGGCATCGGCCGCACTGCCTGCTGACTGAGCCCGCGTCACATCGTCGCTCCGTCTCCGACTGTTCCGAAACATAACACTTCGTTACTGACCAATCTTAACCAACACATTTCTCACTACCAGAGTTGTCCCAATGGTAGTGGTGAGTTATACAGTTCTGTACTCTAGCTGTACTTACCCCGCACGTCGCAGCGTAAATGTCGCAGTGAGACGTGGGGGAACAGTCATTTATATGTCGCGTACCGCAAACCTTCCGCCTCGAGAAATGCGTGGTGAGCTGCGTCACCGCACTTTGCACTGACTTTGCGGCCAATTCTTCGACTGCTTAGGCACCGTAACAACAGCGGGGGCACTTCTAAAACTGGCTCTACATAGGTAACAATGGCAGGCAATGTTACTGAAACATATAATCTATGAGCTCCTTCACTACTCCTACATTGACGCTATTGCCGATGAGACGGTATTGTACTTTCATCGACAGATCCTCCGGCCAGTGGAAGTCACGATGTCCATTGCCTACGGCGTTCGTAGCTGGGAGAAACCCAAAGATGTGCAAGAGCTCCGTGGGAGAGAAGTAGCGCAACCGCAGAGGGTCCAGAATCCTAACCGCGTCCTCCTGCCCCGAAGCCTGCGCCGCAAGGAAGCGGTCGAAGACGCTCGTCGTCTGCACACATATCCGCGCTTCGTGAGTGGCGTTCGGGCATGAGTAATGAAGCATTGACATACATCAAGTTCTTCATTCAACTGCAAAACAGAACCGGAGCGCTCAGCCATCTTTGAATAGCCTGTGTGAGGTTACTTTCTCATGAGACTCGCCAGGTGGCCTTGGAGGGTAACTCTAATGCTCACCGCGAGTGAAACAGCAGCTTCTCCGTGCGGACGGGAGGATGATATCGAAGAGACGACCCCACTTCTCCAATACACGGTCAGGCACAGCGCACGGATGTGATCGTCCGTCTTCAATCGGAGGGTCTAGGTACTGTCGTATCTCTGCAATCGAGTGGGCCACCTGATCATCCACAACTTCTTCGCGAGAGCCAGTGCACAGTCGACTATCGACCCAGTCAGCACCCTGTCCGGGAATGTGCCGCCACACGGCGTGCGTAGCGTCTTGCACATTGGCGAATTTCAACGGCTTGGCCTTCGCCAGTAGATAATACCGCAAGCGAGAATTCGGGATGCCGAACTGAAGCGGCGTGAGGAGCAGCTCTACCACGTTGTAGCCCAGACAAGACAGCGTAGACAGAAGCCTCTGCCGCGTGCTAGATGTCTTGCTGACGGTCACTTTAGGATCAGCCACAAGTCGGACAGAGTTGGCGAAGCACCTCGAAACCAGCGACGTTCTCGATCAACATGCGGCGTGGATGTGTGTTATCGGCGACCATTTGCGGGAGGACGTTCTCAATGATGTGAATGAACGACTTGGCTCGGGGATCTTCCGCTCCTTTCGCAAGCGGGTTGAGAACGGTATACGGTTGGCACGAGGGGGACATGAGCCACAAGTCAGCGTGATAGGCAGTGAGGGCCTGCGCATCCAGGGCAGAGATATCGACCTATCCCAGTAGTGTCATGGACCAATAATGATGCAACAGAAATATTGACCTTCTGGACGATGTCCTTGCCGTAATTGTGGTGTATACTCTCAGGCAGACTGATCCCAGTCGAAGGCTCGTACGACTTGGCCGCCCACATGACTCTCCGCCAGTGCGCGATGGAGTCCCCCTATTAGCACAGGAGAACTTTTAATACCCTTCCATACTCTCCGACGCATCTGCGGCAACGTTGAGGACATACCGATGCCTGAATAGAACTCTAGAGCGCGCACAGGCATCCACTTGATTGGGCAGCGCCTTCGAGGCCGCTAAACAATGTATAATACTGGTTGGAGATGGTCACCGCAATTTGACACTGAGCGATAGAGCTGTAGTCGCAGTGAGCCAACTCAGAGAAGCGAGAGTACAGACATCAATGACTGAATCTGAGCAAAATCTGGGCGATCTTGTCAGCAAAATCGGGAAAAACAAAATTCAGAGCCCGCGGCGCCCCGACGGTTGAACGCACACATGACCAGTCCTCACTCTGTTTCAACCTCTCCCCTCACCGCGACACCTTGTGGCCCCTGCCTCTACTTCACGAATCCCGCCCATATCTCTGCATCTACTCTTTAATCACGCGCGGCTCTGGCCATAACTTCTGCTCGATCACTCCCACACTCACTCGCCGCGAGACTGGCGTTTAGGCGCAATCGACAACCCTTTGCTTTACATCAGACATGTCTTCTCTACATGACGGATCAAACGTACCCAATGCTGCACCACCATGTCGGCTCTGGCTCCTCCGCAATTCACTCCCGCTGTGCTCCCTGGCGCGTTGCCGATGGTCGATGGGATGATGCCGATGCAGGTGGACGGAGGCTGGATAGACAATGCTAGTGGACTGGGGGTGGGAGAGCATGTTACGCCGGGAAGGAGGTGCGTTCATCCATCTAGCTTCCTTGTGCCTTCCGAGTCCGACATGCGGGCGACTTCAGTGGCGCTCCTGGACTGCTCCAGCCTTTGGCATGCGCCCGGCAGCACATTTGCCTACACCACAAAGGCAAGTCTTTGTCCTGTCGTGGAAAAGCTGCTTCCGTAACCGGTCGATAGTAGTCCCGGCAACCCTGCTTTCTTCGCTCCCGCAATGACTTTCCGTCAGGATCGCCTATGCCACAGCGGTATGTCCAGGCTTCATCGATTCATCGTCGGTCTGTTTTGCATCTACTCATCAATCCACAAGGACGATGCTGCAGCCACAGCAGCAGCAGTTTCCTGTCATCGCAGATCCTGCCACGTTACAAAACCGCATTCCGTTAGTCTTATCTCGTTTAGGAGTGTAGCGCATTCTCACGTTTGGACCAGATTACAAAGCGGCATGACAGAGCCACAGGCGTTCATGACACCAGAATCGAGGTATGCACGCGTCTGGAAAGTAGAGACATTACCTTGACGCAGCTCGTCCAGCCCCGTCTATTCTCGGAGACCAGTTCGATCGCAAAACGAGTCTCCGCATCTTGGGTACGTGCCTCGCTCCAGTCTAGTCGGTTACACTCACCTTGCCGTGCAGTAGCAACGCCGCATCGCTTCTTTCCTCTCCGTTTACTCCCCGTCCGATCAGCCAAGCGGGAGAATCTCAAACGCATCCCAGCCAGCCCAGACCAGCAGGCATGAGCGCTCCCAGCGAACCACGCACCCTCTCGTCGCCCCTATCGCGCGGTATGACACCGTCCTCAAACCTCGGCTCCCCCTTTGGTGGGCATCGTCTCTCAGTCGCCGATCGGTCAAAATCGAAGGCGCGGACACCAGCACGTTCGCATGCGCCCACGCCCACGCCCATCACTGCGCACCACGCACCTGCACAGCCAAGCGAAGCCGCGACGGAGGTTACACCTACCCAGACGCCACCACCGCTCTCTGCCCCTGTCCCTCAACGCCCTCTGGGAGGCGAAATAGAGCGCATTAAGGCGCAGTTGATCGTCGACCACGCAACGCTGCTGAGCGAGACGGAGGCTCGCCGACCTGACTACCTCGTCAGGGCGCAACGCCCCAGCTCCGGGCAGATCATCGAGCCGCTCGACTTGGAGGAGCCCGAGGGGCATCCTGGACTCGGTGTCACAGTCACCCCCATGAGAGGCCGCCGCATCCAGCTGTTCCAGGAAACATCCGAGGAGAGCTTTGAGCAGAGCTGCTGGCGGCGGGTATCCTGGATACGGCTCCTCTATGGTTGCCGACCCTCAGACGCCCGTTGCCAACAAAGCGAACAACGGCCTCTCCCAGCGTGCACTTCACTGGCTCCAGCAGGCAACGCCTGGTCAGCCGGGTCCGTCAAACATGCCCGTGGAGCCTGAGGCGGACTGGATACCTAGCGAGAAGGAGATCCTCAAGCGCAAGCGACTCGCCGCCTTCGAGGAAGACAGGGACCCGAACGACCACACCTGCAAACTGCATCCCGTGAGGTTGAGGGCAAAGGGCGCGTGCTCGTTAATGTCGCGTCTGATGAACTACCTCCAGAACTGCAAGCCCAACTGCAGTCACCGGTAAAGAAGCGTCCGAACCCGCGCCGCAGGAGGCGGGGCCACAGACGAGGGCGTGGTGGGTCTCCCGGTGATGATGACGAGCTGGACGGTCCGAACTGGATCGACGGGAACTTCCCCTGGTGCACGCGACTGCAGGACGCAAAGAGATCCTCCGCATGGCTAAAGAAGAGCGGCTCAAGTGGATCGAGAACTACCTTGATCGTGACAGCGACAGCACGAGCGAGGACGAGGGCGGTCACACCGACCAGGCTTTGCAGCCCGCAGTGGACTCTCATGACGATGATGAGGTCTACCCGATCAGACGGGGTCGAGGCAAGATGGTCCCGCTCAAGGCCAACCCGGAAGCACGTGTCCTGGATACTCGTTCGCACAAGAACGTCCTCATACCGAGGATCCTGCCGATGCCAGGGCGGCGCTTCTGTCCAAACGATCAGTGCGTGCGCTGGCTGAGCGCAGGCGGAAGAGAGATGAGGACGAGGAAAGCTCCGATGAAGTTAACTGTCCGTGTGGTCGAGGCGAAAATGGAAAACCCTGTGTACAGTGCGATGATTGCAAGTGTTGGTTTCATTTGAGATGCATGGGTATCAGGTCCGAGGCTGAGCTCGGGGGCGACGATGATCCATGGTACTGTCCAGATTGCCTCGGGGTCTATCCGTCGGACCCATCCTCGGAACCCACCTTCGTACCTACCGACAGCGAGCTACCTAGAGATGGCATCCGGGACCCGCTCTTGTACCAGGGCTCACCGAGGACACCGTACACTGTTCGCCGCAATCCCCGGACCCAACGCAGACACGCGAGCGTGGCGAGGTATACGAGTCACGGTCATCGTGGAACTCCAGTGGCGCAGGTCCAGTAACACCGCTCTCCACCGAGCGCGATATTGGCGTGTACAAGACCCCCGCTTTTGACTCCCCGTTCAACCCGGCAGATACGCCTTCGCGTGGTGGCAAGTTGAGTGGACCGTTCAACACACCGTGGATGGAATCGGGGTGGCACTTCAGCCCGCGGCAACGCTCTATATTCAAAACGGGAGGCATCCATGAGATAGTTGGAGATGCGCAGCGTGAAGTCACCCTTACAGCGTACAACGCGGGTCGGAGCATCGCGCCTCTCGACGACACGCCCGTCCTGCGTAATATGTCGAGGGAGGATATATCTTTTATGGGCCGGAGATTGTGGCCTTCGCCATCTTCTGGGTCCCCAAGGGGCTCCCTTCGCCGTACATCACTGCAGGATGGCTCTGCTGCCGCTCTTCGGGAGGCTAAAAGTGAGTTATATATGCTTGCCCTGCTTACGATGGTTGACGCCTCCGCCATTCAGCCTCTTGAATCTTAGCTCAGACGTCTAGCGCGTTTCTCGCTGCATACACCACGTAGTCTATGTCCGACTTTGTAACATGTTGAGTTGATGTTGTCTGAAATATGCTTAGTGTAGACCTTGTCATGACACCAGAAATACGATACGTACGCATAGTATGCCTTCGTTATCCCGCACCCGGACTACTGTATGCGCCTTGCTACAATGAATATGTTGATTAGTTGAATGAATCCAATTGACTCCCTTTAGAGCGGGCCCGAGCGAGTGTGGAATGAACGGAGTGACAGGAATTTGAGGCGCGTCGAGCTATCCGGCGCGCCAGCGTGACGACGACATCCTTGGCGATGATGCCGCGAAAGAGGTCTGGTATATGCGTCATTATTGATGCCTGTTGTGTCAGACCTCCACAAAAGTTGAGAAGAGGTGGGGTTTGTTGCCAACGCACCGTCGCGTAGACCGACACTGTCTGCCTCCTGCATCTACATCCACACAACGCGTCCCTGTCCGTTGATCCACCTCGGCTCAGAAATATCGATCCCCCATGGAACTTGATACGGCTGAGAAATCCGCCAGTACATGACCATTGATTTGTGGTGGTCGTCCAGAAGGGGGAAGCGGGACGCGTCGACTCAGTGAGGGAAGAAGAGAAGAGATCGCGTGTAAGCGCTGGCAGACAGGCGGGTCTTCGTGGGCAATTTGAAAGTGCGCTCTCGCGACCGCGTTGATGTGCCTGTATCATACTACGACCACACATCCTTTAATGTGCTTTGATTTATAGATCCTCATCCCCTCTTTTGAATCAACCTGACTACATCCTCGCGTGACCCACACTGCGCAACGTGCAGTGCTGGGAATCTCCTCGAAACCCAACAGCGAAGGAAGTCGTTGTCACGCGTCCAGACGCACGTCGTAGAGCTGCACTTTCCCGAGTTCGAGTTCCAAGGTCGCGCTCGGAGACAACGACCATTTATCCCCGTGTCGAGGCGGACGCGACCGACGCGTTCTGCGCGAAGGCATGGTGTGACGGGCTGTGACAGAACGCGTTTTTGGTAAGTATGTACAGAGGCGCCCGCATGAAGCTCCTCCGTACTTTATGTACTGCGTGCACGGCAGTACATCGCCAGCAGCAACGCGCATATTGTCTTCGACCATAGCCCCTCTGAGTATAGTATTGCCCGCTATGTCTTCCAACCGACAGCCTGGTCTCGAGGCCCCTGCTCAGAGCTTCGTATCGCAATTGTACGCGTGCATTCTCAGGCTTCAGCTTTCCGAGTTGTCGTGCTTACTACACTGTCAATCACACAGGTGCTTGCTGCTCTGCGGCATAAGCCTAAAAATCAATCGTACGAAGGTAGAGTCATACATGGCGCCTGCTGCATATTGACTTCAAAACAAAACTATCGCTGTGGCAGCATACGTGCTTGATTTACAGAACAAGTTTCAGTTGCCCAAAGCTCCGCCACGAGAAGGAGAAGCCTGGCGAGAGCGCGCTGTGGCACTCGAGAAACAGCTAGAGGAACTACAGGTGAAGTACGACAGCGAGCACATAGGCAAGTCTTGCCTTGGCGGAGATTTCCTCGCAACTGACGGTGTAAATTCGCGCTAGAACTCAAGGCCCTCCGACATGCCGCTGAAAATCCTGCATCTGATGCGCCCGCTGAGAAAGAGACAGACGGAAAGAAGAAGAACCGAAGAAGAAAGGGGCCCGCCCCGTCGAGTCTGCAGCCGCCCCGCAGGCCATTGCTCACCCGAAAGTCGTCTTGCGGAGCATCCTGGACCCCTCACAGATCGGTAGGTCTCATTGGCATCCCGAGGGTATATGCACATTCATGGGCTCTCATTGGTGCGCAACTGCATGAACAACCATCTTACTTCCAAATTCTCTATGACAAACCGCATTATCACATCTACTACATACGATCATTGGCCGCGAACGCTGACTAATGCGCCAAACCCTGTTACAGACATAGTCCTCCCTGCCCTGCCCTCCACGACGCACGTCCTGCGCGCCTTCGAGACCCTCGATAGGCTTCTCTTCCTCCAGTCAAGCAACAGCTCCTCGGGCAATGACCTTCCTAACCTGCTTCTCGCGACGACCAAGCGCGCCATAGACGCACTGGGCGACAACCTCGCGCGGCTGCTCCCGCCAAATGCCGTATCGCCCTCTGCTGCCGACGCCTTGGATGCCCTGGGGACGCTCGCGGAACGCCTGATTATCACCGTGCTGCCGCTGTTCAAAGTTGGACCTGACCGCAAGCAGAAGAGGAAGGCGGGTGCTCTTGCTCCTGAATGGAACTACGCTGCGCTGGATGAAATTCTCGGGCGGATAGCAACCGTGCTCCTCCTGCCTCTCGTTCGATCATTCGCGCCGCTGTCGACCAGTTTTCTGTCGGCCCTGCTGCTAGCTCCGAATAGCAAGAAAAGGGGGAGAAAAAGTGCGGCAGAGACTCGTGCCAGTGGGGTCTCGGGACAGAGCGACGTTCGTCCAGACGTATTTGCCATGCTTGACAGAATCGTAACAACACTGGAATCCCTATCCGCCTCCGCGCTCGTCGGGGCTGCGCCCATCGTACGAAGGATCAAGCATGTTGTGGTCTTCGAGGCCGCCCGGGAACTCCTCGACCTATACACGGACAGCCGCCCGGCCGGCGCGGACACGAGCACCCACGCCGCCAACCGCTCCCAGTACAACAACTCTGCAAGCTCCGGGTCCAGGGAGACGCGCGCCGCGAAGGAGAAGGCGACCGCGACCGCGAAGACGCATCGGGCGGGCCGCGTGGGCAGGCTCGCGAGGAAGGACGCGCTGTGGTACCTGTGCAACGCCCTGCAGCGCGTGCTGCCCCTGGGCGTACAACCGAGGATGAGTACGTATGCCAGTCCGACGGCCGGGGGCGAGCAAGAGCAGGCCGAGCTCCTCGAGGAGACCCTCTACGGGATGCTGGCACGCCTCCTGCGGACGCCACCGCCCTCGCACGCGCAGCCACGACCACGAGCTCGCATCCCCATTCACGCGGGCGCGCACTGTCCCGCGCCACCCGGCGAGGAAGAGGGTGCAAAGGAGCCGGACGCGGAAGCAAGTGCAGAAGCATTGGCGGGGACGCCCGGCCGTCACGGTGAACATGAACCATCTCCCGGGCGCCCGCGTTACGAGAGGGCGACGGCATTGGGCGAGGTCGAGCGCGGGATGGTGCTCGCGGTGGTCGAGCGCGCCTGGCTGGGGCTCGGAGGGTGAAGAGGGCCGTCCGAGGTGTGCCCATCCGGTAAGGTGCGGGGACGCGTCGTGGCGACTACGGGTGCCCCCATTGGCAGGGATTCTCCCCGGTCGGTGCCCCTGACCCTCCCTGGCCGCTGCTCTCGGAGGACGTCGTCCAATAGGGGGCGCGGGATGTCCTGGGTCGTGCGCTCAACGCTGGCAATTGGCTGGCGCTGTGATGTGCCGTACATACATCCGGGCTGCTGTCACGGTTGGCCAATGGGTCGTGGCATCACGGCATCCTTCGACAGGCCAATGAGAAGAGGGGGATCTTTCTTACTGCTTCGGGCTAGCGCATGATTGACTTGAATTGATGCCCGTACGCGTCTGCGGCTCGTCTCGTAACCTCTGCAACGTGAACTTTGATGAACCGTTGATCAATGAGCGCGACGGCGTCGGCGCGCTGTCGGCCGCTGCCGCTCTGAGATGGTTCCTCAATTCTTGGCGACATCATCGTGGCGCGCGATGAAATACGCAACTCCTCCATGGACGCTCGGAGCAACAAAGTCGCATTTTGACTTCAGAACATACAGCGGAACACAGGTGGCGCATTTTTGCTCGAGAACCGAAAACCCCGACGCAGCATGCATGGAAGCAAGCCAAACGCGGGTGACGTTGGCGCGCCTGGAGGGAGTGGCGGCCCGCCTCGAACGCCGGGATCGTAGATGCGTGTGTACCTGTCGCGTTTGACACAGTTGGTGCGTTGGCGATGGCGATCGACGAAAGAGGAATGGCCTCTCGCGGAGCCGAGTGTCAAGTGTCGCGGTACGGGTGTTCGCGGACGTGTAATTGCCGGGTTTGCATCACGGTGGGACCTGCGGCCCTGTCGCGGTCGCGTTCCTTGCTCAGACTCGTTGAGCTTGCTTGCTGCGTAAAGAGCCTGGAAAGCAGGCGAGGTGGTTGAGGACACCTGACCGGCTTTGCACGTCTTGCAGCGTCAAGTTCGCGTCAACGAGTCCGGTTGCGTACGTATACAGGAGGGCCGTGTGGCGATCGGGATGCGTAAGGAGGTCAGGGATGATGTGTATTCTCTCGTAACCGAAGCCGTGGCGTTGCCTAGAAATCTAATCCGACAGACCTACCGAATATGGTGGCGCCGCCTCCGCCTCAGTCAGGCAACGTGGCTCCGCTGCGCCATGGCGCTCCGCGCCCGTCGTCGCGCATTCGCGAGGGAATTCCAAGCTCCATGTCTGCGGCGCCGCGGTGGTGAGATATGGCAAGGGGCGCGCTGGAGTTGTGGGCGTACCTGGCTTCTCTGGAGCTCACGCGACGTGCGGTCCGCTGGGCGAGCAGCGACACGATCGTGCCGTGTAGGATTGCGTGTCTGCGGGCGGCTGGTGCATTCGGGAGGCAGCGTGCACATGCACGCGCGACGGGTCTGGGGCGGAGGGAGCTTTATATGGGCTAGGCATGATGGTCACAACGCGACGACGGGCGTCACCGGTGTTACCTCACTGCTCGGTGACGTGGACGCGACAGGGTGGCACCCGGCGAACTCCAGGCTGCCTCGGAGATTTGAAACGGGATTATGACACACAAGCAGCGGCAGAAAGGTATCCGAATCAGACCCTGGTAATTGTAACTTCCGGCTATGGAAAATGTGATATTGTGGACGCTTAGCCGACGGGCGGGCTGTCCTCGCCCATGTGGCTCCGGTGGTGCGCACGGGGCCGGTGGCCCCGCCGCGGTCGCCTGAGGGGTTGGGTGGTGAATGGTAGAGCCAGGTGGGCTGCGAGCGGGAGCCTATAGGGAGCGAGGGCGATGCGGATATAGCGGTTACGGCAGTGGCGGAAGTTATTGGCGTGTGGGATAAAGTGGGTCAGCGACGGTAAGGGGGCGGCGCGGGAGGATCTCGGCAAAGGGCGCGAGGCAGGAAAGCTTATTTTGATCAAATCAGAGGGCGGCCACACGCGCGTTGCCTCCGGACGGAGGCAGTCTTATAAGACCCCGCCAGCCAACCCCGTCCCCGCTTGGCCTCGCCGCCTCCCTCCGATCCCTCCTCCCCCTGCCGCCCCTCTGAGGATGAACTACGCCACCGCACTCGCGTCCCGCCTCGCCTCCCGCTCCCCGTCTGTCCACACCCTCGACAAGGACGACCGGGCCAGCATCGCGTCCTCACAGGGTGCGCCACACGTCACGCGTCGCGCGCCGCTCTACTGACGCCTCCGTTCGCTTTCAGGGACGAGCCCCTCCGCGTCCGAGAGCTCTTCACTGAGTAGTCTCGAGACCCCTTCTTCCTCCTTCTCGGACCCGCTCAGCGGCCCGTCCGTCACACGACGGTACGAGCACCTCGCGGTCCTCCTTCCCAAGCGCCTGTGGAAGGTTAGTGTCTGCTTGCCATATCTGCACACCTCCTTGCATCCACTGCAGCTCCGACATGTGATTGACCCATCTGTTGCACAGCCCGACCAACAGGCGGCTCGCTGCAGCGTCTTCCTCTGCCGCAAGCAGTTCTCCATCTTCGAGCGCAAACATGTGAGTCCATCACCATCACCCCATGCTCCGGCCCCATCGCTCATCTCATCTGCCCAATACCACAGCATTGCAGGAAGTGCGGTGATGTCGTTTGCGGTACCTGTTCAACTCGCTCGACACTGCTCCTGGATACATCAAACCTAGACTTCTTCTACCCTCCGCGCGACACCCCCATCTCCGTCTATGCTTCTCCCATCTCTCCGGTGTCGCAAGAACGCGTCTGCGATCACTGCTGGGACCAGGTTCACGGCGTCGTGACGCCACGCTCACCCCTGTCCTATAGCGCCTCGCCGGTGGCTCTACATGATTCGCCCAGAGACACGCACTCTCCGGCGTCCTCTGTCTCCTCGTCCAGTGGCGTACATACTCCTCCCGATATTCTCTCTCCGATTGCACGCCCTGCTCTTCGCCGCTCCGTCACTGCCTCGCCTGCAAGCGCTGGCACTAGTTCGCCACGCCCTCCGTCATCGCCCCTCCGGTCGCCTGTGCAATCATCGCAGGCACTGTCCGCTATGGCTAGCGTACACGTTGCAGATCACGAGCTTGCTGCAGTGGATAAACCCGCCGAGGCCGACTTGGGCGAGCTCGAGTCCTACCCGCTCCGGCGCGCTAGCCAGATATGCAAGGCTACGGGCGGCGGGCGCTGGGCTCCGAAGCAGTACATTAACCTGATTGGGGACCACCTCCCCGGGCAGAAGCCGCAGTACCTCATCGAGCTCGAGTGGGAGGAGGCAGAGCGCAGGCGGCGGAAGGCCAACCCGGTTTACGAGAGCGGAGGTGAGTCTTGTTCCGTTCAGTGGCTGACAGCGTGGACGGAAAGCTTATAATATCGTGTTATCTCCGTTAGACTTCAAGCTCCGGGTCCCGCGCGAGGTTGGGCCCCGATCACCTGGCGGCCCCGTCAACTTCTCGACGTTCTGAAGCGGCTCTGCGTCCGCTTGCCCTCTGCTCTGCTCCCGTTTCCCCATTCCTCGCGTCGTCACTGCATGGCCCGGCCACTCCCAGCCGGCGCCCTCCTACGCCTACGTTATATGTTAATATCCGCCTAACCTATCGACGCACCGCGTCCCCACCCCCTCGTCTCGCCTCCGCCTGTGCCTGTCTGTCCCTCACTCTGGAGTGACTTTATGCTTGCTTGTCGATACCTTCTTCCTCGTTACCCGCGCCGTCCGCTCGCTGGGTACGCGCTGCTCCCGCCTTCACCTTCACGCTGTTTATAGGTCTTTATTGCGCCTCGGCTTCTTGTTGTACATATGTAATGAGGCTCGCTGCTCCGCCTCCTCGCCTCCCTGCCTCCTGCTCTGGTCGGGCGTCCTCCTATGCAGGGCCTCTCCTCGCCGTCTCGTCTCGCCATCGCCCAGTCGACGTTAGTGTACGCGCCCTCACTTGGGTGTCTCTACGTTAGTGTTAATAGTCCGCTCGTCGTGTACCGTCGTCCTCGCTCGTTTCACCACTCCGCCCCGGGTTCTGGGGGGAGTTGTACGTATTATTTTTAGATGTGGTTGTTGTGGGATGTCGTGTGTCCTCCTCGGTAGTTGGTGGTCGAGGGATCGTAATAGACTTCGTGTGCCTGCCTGCGGGTGGTGCTGGATTCATTTTGATGTGTGTGCTGGTGTGTTACGGCGTGTGTCGGTTTCATCGCGACTCGGAGCAAGTGGTGGAGGTTGTAGACGTGCGCGTGAAGACCGGGAAGGTCTGTTCCGATTCGTGGATTGGTCGTGTCACTGAGGTACTACCTGGAAATGCGGCATTGGGGTGTCCATGGTGGTAGCGATTCGTGGATAGTACTCAGTCTAGTGATCAAACTAAAGTTGCTGTGACACGTCTCGGGATGTTTGGTGGGTGAACGTTTCGAACGTTCTGAGACGCAGAAGCGTTGTAACTTATCGTATTGTCCACTGTGACGGTCTGAGACTACAGGTTTCGCCATGTTTCACGAACAGGTTACATATATATACCGTACATGTAGGGTAACACCAATATCGGACGATGCGGCGACTCGTGTGTGCACTACCATCGATACGTATGTACATAGCCTCCGGTCCGCTTGCGATGCGTGGATGATCCGTACTTACACGTCTACAGTTTATGGTGGTTGGTATCGTTCGGTGCTTTCTGCAATCAGACTACTGAGTGAGCCCTGAGATCTGAGAGGCCGAGGGGCTGAGACCGACATTGATTATCTGAGAGCCAGGCATGCGTAGGCTGAACCCACGCCTCTGGATCCACGCCCCGAAATGAGACTCGGGCTAGTCTTCGAGCTTCAGGAACTCGAGTTCGACGCGAGCCACCATCGTCGCTCCCATCCAAGCGGCGATCGCAAACCGATATACATGTCCAGTGTGCGATTAAAGAGCGGTGGATGCTTGCACGACGACGATGACCTCCGATAGGCAACTGGTAGCCGGCTGTTTTGAGCAACCTATTGTGCACGTACTTACTCGGAGCCTGTCTGTCTCAGACATCGAATCTAGTAACCTACGAACTTCTGAGATCTGCGGGCGTCGAGTTCAGGGCTATGTAGAAGATCGAGATGTTAGAACGCACTCATAACAGGCTTCGGAGTGGTGCGTTTAGGCCCGCCAGAGACAGCATATGAGGGACTTACGAACGTCCTCCGGAACGGTGACGATCGTGGCAAAGGCAAGATCAAGTCGCCTGCACTCCGGACAGATGAACAATGGAGACTCGGGGGCCGTAGAACCCATCTCACCAGGCGGGCACGTTACGGAGTACTGTGCGTATTCCCACCCGGTCTCAGTCCGTCTGTAAGATGAGGAACGACTACGCGTCTTTACAGAGGGTACTCACCCATCTCCGAAATGAGACATCCTTGTATTGAACCCGAAACCAGTGTTGCACGTCGCGTTAGTCGCTGCGACGAGAAGATGAAGCATCGGTACTGACTTGGGAATTACAGCAGTACAACTAGCCGATCTGCCCGATCCGGCGTGTTATGCGACGCGGGAGTCCGGCCTGAGCACGCAAGTCAATTCAATGTGCGCAAGTACAAGATATCACTGAAGCAATTGGGAAGACATCGAGAATTGGAGCCACCCATGTTACCGTTGGGCCGGTAGCAGTTCGTCCTCCTGTTCTCCATCACTGCGTCCTCACCTTCACCGACCTCTTCCTCGGCATTGCCCCTTTTTCCACCTGCACGATGATACTATGCTGCTGTCAGCAACCAAGTTTCCGATAACATTGTACGATGCTCACATGGTATGCGGCGGTCCAGTACCCGCTCCAGTACGACGCATTGAGCGCACGCGAAAACGCCTCGTCCTGGCTGACCATAGCGCCAGGCTCAGATAGTGCATACGCCGCATCGTCAGACCTAGGTACGACGTTTGCGCCTGAGAACGAGGGATCGTGCACTGGAACATTGGCCTCTAGATCGTGTGTTGCAGAGTCATCTTCGACCTCTTGGTACGCGTAAGTGACGCCGTTTGGAAGTACAGGTCTGGTGATAGAAGTGCCGGCGGATGCTTTCTCCTTTCCTTTTGACTTTTCGTCCGGTTTTGCGGGTGGTATATTGTACCATCTGGAAGGATATCGTAAATGAACCGCGAAACAGAGAATGAGGATGACCACTCACAGTGGCGACTTCTTTACGGGTTCCTCTTTCCACTTACCCTTGCCGTGATAAGCCTCGCAGAAAATCAGTATGTATCGCACCGAAAGACATTTGAGGTATAGCACACCTCGTACTCTGCCATCGCAGAGTTCCACGCGTCTACCAAAGCTGAGTCGTCCCAAACTTCTTCTCGCGTGAGCTCCCTGCTCTCCTCTTCTTGGCCCTCCTCTTCTTGGCCTCTTCTTCTGCATTGTCCATGTCTGCATCGGTCATGCCCTCACCTCCGCCGTCGTCGTAAGTCATCTGTGACGCGCTCTCTTCCGGCTCATCCCAATGCTGTGGATATTGGCCGTTTCGGGTGGATATGGTCCTTCGACCACCGTGAATCTTGCGCTTTTTCGGAGGTGGTCCTTGCGCGGTAGACTGCTGAGGGTTGGTTTGAGTAGTCGAAGAGGGTCCTGGAGCCGTAATGTCATCGTAGGAAATCACCGGTCTCATAGCCATGGATTCGCAAAAGTGACGCCCCCCGGGATGAATTCAATGCAGAACAAATTCCAAGGCAGACTTTTGGCTTGAATCCGCCAATAGCAAGGTTGAGAGCTTTGAGCACTGGTGAAAGGCGAGGGCGGGTCAAGGGCGGGTGATACAGTGACCATGCCGAGACCACGTGGTTGGGACTCGCCACGAAATATTGGACGACCTCTTCCGAGCCTCCTCCTCCTCGCCGTGGCTAGCGACCAGCTATACCTCCCACCCCTCCATATACCCGGCGTTGCTTTCGCAGGCTCCTGTGAAGGCAGCTCACAGAGTGTAGAATTGGTGTTGCGTCCGGTTCGCGCATCATGGCAGGCCACCCTCGCCAGCAGCAGCTCTCCAGGCTGCACATTCCGCCCAATCTCAACGCCCAGCAGCCCGTTAGCTTCGACAACCACGGGCACCTCTTCTCACCTGGCCTGCCGACGTCTATTCAGCAAGGAATGCATCCACCGCCCTTCATGAACGGGGTGAACCCGTTGCAAACACCGATGCAGGTCAACTTCTTCCCCAGCCCCCGCCTGCACCTGGTCGACCATCCATGCACCGAAGCTCACCGAGCGTTGTACATCTCGCCGCGGCAGGTATATATCCCCCAAACATGCCCATGACGCCGCTAGGCCAGCCGGGCTTCCCCACACCACTTCTCGGAGTGCCATCGTTTCCGCAGCCTTTTGTTCCTCGCAGCAAACGCGCCCCAAGCATAAGTGCAGGCGGACCACCAAAAGCCGTGCTCGGGGGTCCCCAGCGCAAGGTGAGCCCGAACCCGCGCGCCCCCAGCATACCCCAGCCTGCACCGGCGACCAAAGTGAAGAAGCATATCGTGAACCTCCCCAAGGAGACCGTCCCGGGCGAGGGTGACGCGCCATCAACGCGTCAGTCATGGGCCAGGAAACCTCTCCCGCTGTCAGACGTCCCCGAACAAGTCGAGGTGGCATACCCTGATCTGAGGACCGTGGAGCCGTACCCGCCAGATAACTGGAGACATCATCTACCAAGCACGGTTGATGTCTTCCTTCCTGGAAAGGTTCGTGCTATCCGACATCCAGAAACGAACATGCACTGACTATTGCTACGTTATCTGCTCATAGGGTGCCTGGGCAGAGATCAAGCAGAAGATCATCGAGGAGAAACTGGAGAAACTCGGCGTCGAGCGAGGCGGGGTGGCTCCGTGCCTCAGATTCATGCCCCGCATGCTCGGGCTGCATCGGTGCGTAACTCGTGTTCTCCACGTTGTTTCCTGCGATTAACATGCACCTGTAGATCTCCTCGCCCGCCGATCCTGCGCTGCTCATGTTTAAATTAAACAAGCTTCAGCAGTCGCAGAATGCGTCTGCGTCGACTTCGTTGGCGACTTCCCCACAGCCTCCAGTACCTCTGGCGTCGACGTCTCCCGGTCAGCTGCCGCCCCGCTTCCAAGGGAGGCATGGACACAGTATGTCGCTCGCGCAGCCGCCTTCTTTCCAGTCCCATTCGCCTGTATACAATCCCGCGTCAGCATTCAATCCTTTCGGACCTGGTGCGATTCTAGGTTCCGATCAGATTCAGCGCGTATCACCGGGACCTGCGAAGTTGGACATCCAGGCACCACAGGGACGTGTTCCAGCGAATTTCGCCACCCTTGCGCCTCCGCCGGCGCTCTCCAGGCCAGAGAGTGCGCCTGACTTCATGCGTGGATTCGGCGTAAACATCCCGGAAGAAGAGGAGCCAGAAGAGGAACGACCAGCACTCATAGAGATTCGCGAGGACGGCGTCGAGACAGAGGTGGAAGATGCCGGCAACGAGGAGGAAGATCAGGACGGTGTGAGTACCGTGGCGCAGAGTCGTATTCATTCTCGGCATGTGTCCAAATTATCTGCGGCGCTCTCGTTGCGCTCGGTGGGCGGCATTATCGATGATGGGTCGTCCACGTTCGTGGACACCCAGCGCGACCCGATACCTGCCCGCAGCCCGGATGGCAGCCCGGTGGTGGAGGACATAGATGAATATGCGGAACATGACCAAGACGCAGTCGGTGAATGGACGGGGTCGGAAGATTTACGCACCGGCGCAGAGACTTCAGAGGACGAGGTTAGTAGCTCCTTGACCATACCGCATTCACTTTATGAACTGATATGTTCTCAGAGCATCGGGGAATGGTCGAATCCGTCTGATGAAGAGCGGGCACGCCAACACCGCGTGCAGCGTCGCATGCTTCGCCGCCAGAGACGGCACTCGCAACACGAAATCGAGACGCATACACCGAGGAGGTTACCCAACTTCCCAAGACCACCCGAAATCGCACCTACCTTCGTTGACCAGGACGATATTGTGTCAAATCCGAGCGAAGAAGAGAGTGGGCGTGGCTCATTCGGTTATGTGAACCGTGGTCATTTCCCTAGACCATCGTCTGGCGGCCATGGACGACCTCTGCCTCCTCTCCCGGAAGTGCGTCCCGGATCGGCACCCTACTCATATCATGATCCTGCATTGGCACATTCGAGGGGAGCGTCTGAGCAATACGCACAGCCCGGAGGCTTGCACCCCCCTCCCGCGCCGTCGGCCCTCGCACCTGCACCTCGTTCCGAATCGTTGAATCCCTTGGCGAAGCCCTTCGTCTTCGGTGCCAACCGTCAGTCAGGCTCTTGGTCCTCGACTGCGTTCCAGCCACCCGTTGTCACTACGCCGAAGTTGGGCCATGCCCGTGCGCCGTCATTTGGCAAGCCCCTCAGCGCCGCTGCCCCAGAGTTCAAACCGACCTTCACTTTCAGGCCACCGCCTGGTGTGCCACAATTGACGTTCTCGTCTCCTCAGCCTCCTCGGCCGTTGCCCACACCCCCGCTGTAGGCACTGCGACTCCGAGCAAAGCCGCTCCTCGGGAGTTCCAGGGCAGGGAGAAGAGACAGCGCCGAGGCTCGAGTGCTACGCTTGACGGAGAGGACGAGGACGGCGTCAACAATATGTCGTCGTTTAGATTCCCTCCTGACATCACCAAGGCAGTCTCTGCGCCCACTAGCCCGCCTGCTAGCTCTCTGAGTCTCAAGGAGAGCGCCCTTAATGCTACCGCGAAGCCCTTCACGGTCTCCGGTTACTCGGGCACCCTTGAGCTGTCGCACCAGCCGAGGGCGCTCACTGAGGGAGACGAGAACGTACCTCCTTCGGCTGGTCCGAGCAGCGAACCAGAGGCTGCGCACGAGCTGCCGTTCCCGCCAACAATGAAGCCCAAGCGTGCGCCGATCCCACTCGACTTCAAGCACCCCGTCTCAACGAACACAGTTCCTGCAGGTTTGTTCAAAGCACTCGTCAATACGGAGGGAGATGACCGAACCCGCCGCACAGTCCGCTCAAGACTCAGCTCGAGAGACATCTTCGAGTACGAGCACAGCCCACGAACCTCCCTGGACGACCTCAACGTACCTCCGATTTCCCATAGAATTTCCCGCGGCAACCGATTATTCACGGACCCCGGCTTGCGCGAGTCAACGCCTCCGCACGATATCTTCACCCCGAGAGGATCGTGCGCCGTTCGTCTGCCCCTACAAGACATCACCATGGCAGCGATGAGTCCGACTCTGGATCGGACATCTCCCTGCCTCCCGTCAACCTCTCGCGCCGCATCGAGATGCAGCAATACGAGCAGCGCCTCGAGTACCTGCTGGAGGAGAAATTCGACATTATTAAGCGCACGCTGTCGGGGTTCAAGGAGGCTGGTGGTCAGACGTTGAGTCCGTCGACGGAAGCAATGATCTCGGAGGTGGTGTCATTGTTCCGCGCGCAGCTGCAGGCATCCGCGGAGAGGGGTCTTGAGGACAGTCAGATGGATGCCCGGGGAGAGCTTGATTTCGAGATGATGAAGGGCATTATTGACCAGAAACATACCGAGGCGCGTGCCCTAATCCAGCAGGATCTTGCGCAGCTGTTCGCTTCCCGGGGTCGGGATCCCGCGTTCATGCAATTTGCGGAGGAGTTGAGCAACAGGACTATGAACGCCGTTGCAGGAGCCACCTCGCAGCTGAGCATGCAACTGCAGGCGATGGAGGCTAATAGACCACCTTCCGACAGCCAGACGATCGCACATGAACTCATGCGCGTGTTGATGCCGCAGGTCGCCTCGCTCCGCCCCGAACCGATCGACTATGAAGGCCTCACGGCACAACTCACGCAGGCCGTCAAGCCTCACATCTCACAACTCATCGACCTCGCCTCGGACAAGCGCGAAACGGCCGTTCTTATCGTGGACATGCTCAGACCACTCTTGCCTTCTCTTGCATCTCCTGCGCCCTCGATCGATGAGGAGTCTATTGTAGGACGACTTACCACAGAAGTGCGCAAGATCGTCGCTCCCCTCGATGCACACGAGATTAAGGAACAAGTTTCCGACCTGGTCGTGGAGCGCCTTGACTCGAGGCTTGCTGTTCGGGACCGCGCATTTAATGTTGATACGCTGACAGACAGAGTTACGCAAAGCATTGCCGAGGTCATGGCGCCTATCCGTGAGCTCCAGGCAGTGGTCCATTCCCTGGGACGGAAGACGCCTCAGATCCATGCCATTCCGCAGGTGGATTTGTCGTCCGTGCGTCGAGACATACTAGGTGTCCTCTCCGATCTTCCTCAGCGCCTTTTGGCCGCAACGGAGGCGCTTGGTAGTGCACAAGCAGAGTTTGCGACTCGGGCGGAAGCAGAGAAGGATGCACCATACGTCAAGAACCTGTCGCACATCGAGTCGTCTGTGCGCGATATCGCCCGCGAGCAGCAGCGACTGATCTCTCAGACACAAGAATATACCGACTTCTGCCAGGATTTGGTCAAGCACATCGACAACCTGCCGGAGGCCATGCTCGAGGCTACGAGAATTCTACAGAATGCTCACGCCGACTTCACCGCTCGCGATACATCACAGAAGGACGCCGAGGAGATTCGCCGACTCATGTCTACGAGCGGTGAATTGCAAGTGCAGCTTGCTAAAGCTCGTGGGGCGCATGGGCAGGTTCGCGTGGAGAAAGACATGCTTGCCGAGCGTCTCAAGGACACCGAGGCGAATCGTGACCATCTATCTGCAAGGATAGAGACCCTACAGGAGCATGTCACAAGCAAGTCATCCGAGCTTACCGCCGCAGAAGCCAAGAACGTCGAGCTTGAGGAGGCTCTGTCTCGTGCGCTTGAGCGACTGAAGGCCGCAGACGTGCAGGCACAGACGCATTCCCAACGTATCGCGCAGCTGGAGGCGTCGAATAAGGAATTCAGTACCGAGAGGCAGAAACTCGCTGCACAGGTATGTTTCATTGAGTCTTAATCGAGGCCGTGATTCACCCTATCTGCAGGTCGACTCTCTTGATTTGCGTGTCACCTTCGTCACGCGTGAGAAAGAGCTGGTTGTCGATGAGCTGGCCATGCAGCGCAAGCAATATGATGATCTCATTGCTCAGCAGAGTAATTGGGACGATCTCCGTGCGGCAGCAGAGCAGATCCAAGCGCTCACCAACCTTGTGGGCCAGGCGGATACAGAGGAACTGAAGGAATTGCGGCGCGCTCGAGATCGTACCAGGACCCTTGAGAACGAGCATACGGCCCTTCAGCGTCGTGTCAAAGAGTATGAAACCAGGCTGTCTACAAGCGAGAAGGTCGCTCAAGCCTCGAAGCAAAGTCTTGTGCAGGCACAACAACGTGCTGTCGAATGGGAGAGGCGCGCTAAGGAGGCCTCCAGTGAGCTGGAATCAACGCAGCAGAAACTCGACAGCGCAGAAGAGGCTCGTGCGCAGCTTGATGCCGACTACTCGCTTGCGAAGTTGCAATTGGAGGAGCGTGACGCTGAGGAGCGGCTGGACAAGGTGAGGCCTCCGGATGTGAGGAATGTTTTCTTCATATGCTCACATTCCCGCAGGATCGCCAGAACAAGCTGCGCGACCAAATCGCTGCCCTTGAAGCACAGGTTGCGCGTCTCCAGGCCGAGACGGATCAGGCGAACAAAGCTGCTGCAGCTGCTAAAGTCGTCCAACCCAAAGCTCGCTACCAGAATGGCAATGGCAACGGCACCGCTCGCCCTCCAGCACGTTCAGACTCGCGCGCTAGCACTGTCTACAATGACGAGGATCGGTCGGTTACGCCGACCGGGCAGTACATGATCAAGAGCGAGCCTATGCGCGCGCGCCCTGTCACGCCTCAACAGTCGGTGTGGGATTCCATACATGCGCCTCGACGCGGTATGCCAACTACGGCACCCGCCACACCGCAGGCGAAGAAGGCCCGTGGATACTACCGTCCTCAGATCCCGTCGCCCACCCCGAGCAACGTGTCGGCCGCGCCGACGCTAGGGGACGACGGCTGGTGGTCATAGAGCGGTGAGAAGATACACGTTTATGGATTGTTTAGTAGGAGGGTACAACGTTGGATGGGATTGCTGTCATTTATCTATTAACCTGCTTTCGTCTCGGGCTCATCTCTTCTGATTTCTGTCTTCTCGCTCCATCTAGCCACGTCTCGCGCATCTCGTTCGTCGTCTCGTCTCATCACATATGCATTATGGTACCCACGCACACTTGTCACTACCTACCCTCGGGCAGCTGCCCATAAATACCACATCCCTTGTCCTCTCAGCTCACCGCAGTCGGCCCCCGTCCGCACCACACACTTGCAGTCACCACGATACCAGACCCACGCCTGTTGTACACATCTGCTGTTAAGTTACTTTCATTGAATAGACTGGCATTACAGTAGATTGCTATTGGCGCATGCGTAGAACGTTCAGGGATGGGAGGAAACCCTGAAAAAGAGGTGAGAGGGAAAAGAACATCGAGGGCTGCGGTGCCTACGTTTCGTGTGCAGTAAGACGTGTCTATATGTTTAGCGTTGGCCAGGAGGCGCGGCCCAGATCCACGCCTTGACCGCTTCTACAGCTTCTTGCGGGTCCTCAGGCAAACTGACGGCAGGAGCGTATCGTCAGCACTACAAGGACAGACATGCAGAACATCAACGCACTTGATCTTGGGCACCCACCGCCCGTCCTTGTCTTGCGAGAAGAACCGCGGGACGAACTGCTGGCCGCTCTCGTCTCGTCTCCGGCGCAGCTCCCGCTGGGACTCCTCCACTGCCGTCTTGGCCTCCGTCGCCGCGTTCATGTCCTTCGCTAGGATTGCCTCGGTCAGGTTCTGCCATAGGCTGTCGGCGGGGATGCACGTCAGCTACCGCACGGGCGAGTTGTTGGTTTGGGAGTGACGCACCGTCGGGATTCGTTAGGCTCCTGATCATCCTCCGGGGCAACCCACTTCGGTGCGACCTTGTCGCCGTCCTTCTGCGCATCAAACAGGATGCGTTTCTGGCCCGTCTATCCATTCGTCAGCACACCGGCGTACACTGCAATCAACCACACGACACTGATCACGCCGACACGCACCTTCCTACTCTGGTATTCCATCGTCTCGCTCCACTTCCCCGTCACCTCGCCCGCCTCCTGCGCGCCCGCGCGGATCTTGCCCTGGATCGCGTTGTACGTGCCCGAGAAGTAGCCCTTCGTCTTGAACTGGATCTCGGCCGTGTACCCGTTCCGGTCATTGCGCGCCGTGCACGTGTCCCCCAGCTCGAGCACCATCTTGCCCCACAGGATCCCCCGCGCGTACATATTCGGCATCGAGATCACGTACGCTGCGTTCCCGGGACCAAAGCGAGACGGGACGGGCGCGGGTTAGGGTTAGTAGAGGGTGAGGAGGGGAGGGTAGGGCACTCACGCCCGTCGGTCGGCCGGTCCATGAGGTAGACGCGGTTCTCGCCGTCCATCTGCGTGGAGACGCTGTTCCCGAGGAACTTGCTCTTGGGCCGTAGCTCGCCGACGATACACACCTTGTTTGCGGGCGTGACATAGAAGAATGCGGACACAGGCGGGTGGTGCGAGACTGCCCGTATGCATGATGTAACAAGCGAAGGGGGGAGGCTCGCAATCAGTACGATGGACAGCGGAGGTGAGCGGGAATAGGGTGGGTGGGAGTCCGGCGCACCTTGTTCGGCGATGTAGAACCCCTGCGAGCCGTCAGGGTAGTCGTACCGACAGCGGAAGAACTCGCCCAAGACAGGGTTATACCTAGTTGGGGCCGACGATCATGATCATTGCGGCCGTGCAGGACGGAGATGACGGTGTTACGCACGGTTTCTTTACACCTTTCGGCTTTATGTGCCATCCGGCAAGGTAGTATTGCAGGACGCGGATGAACCGCTCCTCGGGGTCGTCTTCTTGCTCAGCGCTGTGGCCGTTTCGCAGGGGTGGGGTAGTCGGATTCACAGGCGTGTACAAAGAAGCGGAGTGATGAATAGAATGACGAACGTGAACGTATGACCCAGGAATACATGGCTATCATCAGTGCTTATATGCGTGTGAATGGAAAGGGAAGCGCACCCAAAGACAAGATCTGGATGGGACATAAAGTCTGTGATGCGCTCAAGCATGCTCCGGGGCTCGAGGACGAACGTTGGGAAGGTGACTTTCGACAGGTCCATTCCGACTCTGTACCGCGACAATTAGCATTGCGGGGAACAGTGCTGCACCGTGGTGGGTCGTTCATGTCGAAATCTGCGCATACTGGGTGGTCTCTGAGGTCTGAAGTGGTATGGAGATCATACGGTACACTTTCAAGGCATTGTGATGCACTGATCAAAGACTGTTCATCCAGGACGGTTGAACCGAAGGGCTCATGATGGTCGGCGCCCACTACAAGCACGGCGACAGTACGTGGCGAGTATTCTGCCAGTTTGGAAAGATATCCTCTGCCTGAAATAGTGTATGCGCGACGACATCGCAACCTTCACAGCGTACAGCACGTTGTTCAAGACTGTACGCACCTCAGCTGTGAAATCATGCTCTTGATGATCGAACCCTCCTCCTCATCCCTAGAGCAGGCATCGTCGTCAGCATCGGCAGGTTTGGAGTAGTAGAACATGGACGGCAAAGTGGGAGGAAGAGACGGACAGGATAGAGACATCATCTGAATCAGTAGCTTCGGCTTCAGGACTACCCTTGTCGTCGGAGGACCCGCGTGGCCTGTGCACCTTCTGCGTGGCTTGGTTGAATAGTCCCATCATGGTTGAGGCGAGGCAGGCGTGTGGCGATCAGCAGGGTGGATTATTTAAGTACAGGCGGTGTGAGGCAGGGTTCAGGTAATGGCGTCGCGTGCGGGCGTAATGTCGGGTGCTGGGGCGCGCGCTCGAGGCGATACGGATCACAGCACGATCAGCGAGTCAGACGACAGCCGCGGCACTGCAGGCACAGTGAGCTCGACGTGCACGACGGCGAGCAAGCGGAGAGAGATGTTGGCGAAAGGGCAAGAGGGGCAGCGGGTAGCACCAAACCCTATTACAGCCACGCCGCCCCCGCGGCACCGTGACGCGTTTCTACTCAGCCGTGCAGCCACTGCAGCGCCTTCGCCCTCGCGCCCATCCGGCCCATCCCCTCCCCAGCTCCCGCAGTCTCCGCGGCCAGGCGCGGTTAACATCGCCGCAACCATCCTTTCTGCACCGTACTCGGGTCAGTATCGGACACGCAGCCACGCAGCAATACGCGGGTAGTAGCTTCTATCAATTCGCCGGGACAGTTAGAAACTGTGCACCGCAGTGCTTTAAGGGCGACATGACTTTGTGTAAGCAAACACATAAAATTGTCCGCTGGTCTGACAGTACCGCTTTGATAGGTTCTGCGCCTCCCGTTAGGTCGGAGCGTCAGTCCAACGGAGAGGCTCCGGAGAGGTGCGTCTGATCCGAGAGTGCTATGTACCCAGGCTGCAGCAGCTAGGAGCCCTTTTTCTCCCACCTCTCGCAGTCCCCTCTCAGGCGCAGACAACTAGGCCACCCAGGCCGAGAGAAGGTATCGGATCGATTGAAGAGCGGGACTAGTCTCCAGGCAGACCCTCCAGGCGGCCGCTAACTTACCTCCCGCCAGGTTCGCTCGGATCTAAGTACAAGGTGCTGCGCCACAAATGCCTACTGACAGGTATGCCGTTGCATGCGCCCCCACGGACGACAGCCTCGGGGCCTTGCCTGCGAGCATTGTGGCAAACGCCCCCAGGTGCCGAATCGGTTGACGTTTGTCAGGATTACCACCCCCTTGTCTCGTACCCATCCGTGCAGATACGGTCGCACCCCACCACCGCACCGTCTACAAGTGTCCACTGCACACTGGTACGGGCAGTGCCCGAATATAATTGCATATATCCGGTCTCGACGGATTTCGAAACTCGTTCTATAACAATCAAATGTCTGTCTCCAGCACACAACATCCGTACCGCTATCTGTACAATTCTTCATTCTAATAAATGACCATGCAGTGTATTACATTCGAGCATAAGTGGGCGCGAATGCCTTCCCCGACACCAGCAGTATATCGACCCGCGTTGTGGCCGCGGGGCCATTCTGTACGTTCAGACCGCGCAATAAATTAGCAGAGCGGCCTAAGGATGATGGTTTCATACTCACGAACTCCATGCGACGAACAGAGCCAGGTTGCAGGGTTGCAACTTGAAGGATGTCAATCCGTGCTGCCTCGAGGCTCCTCAGCCCCGGGGCAACCAGCGGCCTGTTTCCTTTCTGTAATCACGTATATTGTGCACGTCCTCCCTCCAACTGACGAGTTCTTGGAAGTTATGTGCAATGCTCCCAGGGACACTCAGCTTTCCTTCGCAATACCAAGTCCATAGTACTACGTACCTCAATATACCCCGTGCATGCGAGTGTGGCATCTTCCGTTTGACGAGCTCGTCCAAACGATCGCACTGCTCCCGTAGTGCTGAACCCATCCCAACAAGTCCATGGCCAGACAACCAGTGAATGCCTAGACAGACGCTGCGCGACACAACAGTACTGGAGAAGCGCTTCTGCTGCAGTATATTGTCCAACTGCGTCAGGACATCATCCTGCTCCACTGTCGTCAGCATTCTGTCCAGGTCTTCGGCCATGTGGTCCTTCTGGAGCCATAACGTGATAGACAGAGCGTGGAAGTGTTTCGAGACGATGCGAGACACGACATGTGGGATCCAGGGCCACCCTGCAAAGGGGTGATGTAGTATGACCTCCAACTGCCACAGGTTGTCGTGGCGTGAAAGGTTACAGTGTCGCTCTGGAATAGGCATGTGACAATCAGCCAGGTAGCGAGAAGAGAACTGAGAAGACTTTCCGAGCGTGGTACCATCACGAACAGGATAACCGGGATCAATTGAAATATGGAGCCAAACGATTTCTGCAGATGTGGAACTGGCATCCAGCAAAGTCTGGCTTCTGCTGGCTGCCGAGGATGGAGCCAATTCGCCTGTAACCCCGAGAATGAGACGGCGTACTCGGGAAGCCCGGCTGATCTGCACGAGGAGGTTTTCGACTGCCGGTGCAACCCATCGCACGACGAGATACTCCACATTTGCACAGTTCAGTGGGAGGGAGGCTGGGGAGACTTGCAAGCAGTCAACTTTGTCGCACCATAATCACCTCAGCCGCGGGAGTGCTGAAACAAGGTGTGACAGCTGGGCGACATTCGACAAGGTGACATTGGATAGGTGTAGAGTGTCAATGGAGTTGAACGCAGCTAGGTAGCCGATGTCCTCCAATCGCACCGAGCCGACGGTCCACTCAGCATCTGCAATGACGATCCTTGACAACCACGGGACCTTGCCAGCGAGCATAGCGGCAAACGTCCCCAGGTGCCGGATCGGTTGGCACTCCCCGGGAGAAGCACCCGATATGACGACCTGCTGAATGACCTCACGGAGGCGAGGTCTTGCGCGGAGTGTCCTGGAGAGCGAGAGGACATCCTTCCGGTCTCGCAGATACATGCGCTGATGCAGATGGTACCACGTCAAGTAGTACCAGTCTTGGCATACGAGCGCGCAGGATGCGAGAGTGGACAGATGCTGGCTCTTTGCACGAGTGTCTTTGATATCCCATCCCGTAGCTAGGTGATCGATGATCCGTTCACAGACCTCTACAGGAAGCCGCGGGATAAACGGACCATGAGGGGAGCCCTCGGATGTTGTCACTGTACTATATTCCACATTTGTTAATTATGGTACCCGCGTCTGGACAGTGACACTTACATCGACTCGACTCTGTCCATTTCGTTGACGTGGGATGTATTATACGGCGATGAGACCGCGATGTCCCACCGATGAAAGTCCTCTGCAGGTGTGTGTCGACAGCTGGCACGCAGACCCTCGACGATGGAAACACGTTACTGATAGCATTGTCTCAGACCGCGGCTCTCCAAGAACAAGCATACTTAATGTGATAACACACTACCTGATATCCGGTATTGCTACCCGACAAGCTCAAATGGACCGTCTTGGTCGTCGATTCGCGCGGTGCTAGCGACCGATGGTGGTCGCGTCGCTAAGTGGCAACCACGATGTCAGTAAAGATATTTGTTGGCGAAAGCGGAGTCGTACCTCGTGAGGACTTTCAATGGCTCTCGGTGTGCGCTGTAAGAACTCGAAGCTGGACTTGAGGAGGAGAGCGCAGGGACAGTGAACGCAATGATAAGTAAGTTATGTATATATGCATCGATGCAGCGTAGCGCTCGCTCGCTGGCGCGTATAGAAGCGTCGAACACATCTACATAGGCACACGATGTCGTCAGCGGTTCTTTTTTTCTGGTGGACGCCGTGAGACCCAGGCTGTTGCAGGCGATGCGAGGATAGCCCTCTACGGCGTGAAGCATCTGCAAAGCGTTGTACAGGTGCAGACACCCATCGAAGTGATATACCCGTATCGCATTACTGTTGGCAGCGTAAACATAACCCCGACGCAATTGCAAGCACACCAATGTGCACAATCAGTCCTGGTATCCCCAGCCAAGCATCTCGTTCGATCTGCCATCTGATTCGTTCACAAGCATGTGTGCGGCCTCAGCACCTGCGACGGGCAGCCTGAGCCTGCGCGGGCCCATCGGGGTGAACACGGTCACAATATCCGGAAGAAGGTCGGTCTGCTTGAGCACGGTGCCCTGGTCCCACCAGATATGCTCTGCGACGATCTCAGTCAGAGCAGGGAAGATGACTCAGACCAAAGGCTTCGGACGGACCATGATACAGGCGGTCGCCGCGAACGTTGATAACGCCCAGCATGGGGATCTCTAACTTCTTGCCCGTGGGCGGGACACCGGGAAGCAGCCAGTCGATCGCAGTCGTGTGCGTGACGTGGAAGACGAATTCTTCTGCGTGGAGGTTAGCAGGGATCCAGGAGCACGGGATGGCGCGGCGCACCGACGATGCGGTCGGCACCCACTGTGCGGGAGACAGTTCTTAAGGCTGTATCTGGAGGATTACTGTGGAAAATGTTAGACTCCAGGTGAATAGAAAACAAGCTGCTCTGACACCTGAAAATGAAGTGGTCACGGTAGAAAGCAGTGAGGTTCTTGCGTCCGATGCCACCGGTCATCGTCGTAACATGGTTCACGTACGGCTCTTGCTGGGGCATCGTCAGCGGCACGTTCCAGGCCCCATATCTATGCACGCACGACCATGGTGCCCATCGTCTTCGCGACCGAACGGACCTCGAACTCGAAGTATGTGTGCTCCTCCCAGATCGCCTCGATGTCGAAGTGCGGTCCGCCGATATGCCTGCGCAGAAATACGAGCGACTTGCTGTGCGCGGCTGTCGCTGCGCTCGGCTCGTACGCGCCACCCTGGGGTAAGACGAAGTACGGCGACCGCGCATGTTCGTGTGCGACCACCTCCACGGCACCCGTTCCCCCGGGTTCAATCTTTCCAGGCAGGTGGTATAGCGTCGATCTTGGCGGGTTCGTAGTCGTCACCGTATCCGAAAATGCGACCACCGCGACGACCTCTGGGTGTTGAGTCACTGCGTCGTGCACTGCGTCAATCAGCTCCGCGTCATAGACTGCGTGCATAACCAGTCATTCAGCTTATCACGCCTGAGATTCATGCACGCAAAAGTACACACCGATCACACCGAACTTGTCGTGAGTATCAAGCTCGGGGAGTGCCTTGAGTGCCTTAAGGCCCTCTGCGAGCGCGGCGTTGACGCCCCAGCCCACGTCTGATGCCCCCGCGTCCTCGACACCGACGACCGCATATCCCTCCTCAGCCCATTTCTGCACGGGCTCCGGGTCCAGCGACTTCTGCACTGCCTGCTCGCCCTCGAGGGTTGTGCTGCCCGCGTACTTTGCGCGCGCAGGGAGAAACTGGATGAGGCCGGGACCGGTACCGCGGCGCGTGAGCGGTGGCTGGAGCGTCGCGTTTGTAGCGAGCGTGGCGCACGGCGCGGAAGGAAGCTTGACCTCCTGCTCGAGTGGCGAGTCAGGGTCGTAGCGTTCGGCGCGTTGGAGAGTCATGCGAGAGATGTCTGTGGGGACTAGTGATGCAGGCGCATGGACGGAAAGATGTATATGTAAGTTGTGATGATAAGATCTGTGTAGAATCGGTATAGAACCCACTTGCTCAGTGCATGGATGTTCAAGTAGGTTGATGCCCTCATTGCTCAGTGCTCAGTGCTCAGGCCTCATGCAAGAGTGCAGAAAGGATATCGGGCTCGTTTTCTAGCCAAGGACGGTACATCAATCGTTGCGCGTTGTTAACGAACGTTACGAATCTGACTCTCGCAAATGAGCAGTTACTTCACCTATAAAAATCCTCCACGGACGTCCACATGTGCAGCATGTACTGAGCCCGCGTCAAGCACATAGCTTATAGGGCATGCGGAAGGATGTGCTGAGACTGTAACGTGAGGCTGCGACCAATTATGGAAGCAGCGTCTTGTACGACCACGTCGGAGGCATGTCCGGTATGCTCACGAAGAATTTGAACTGGTCCTCCTTATGTTGATGCCGTTCCGTGCCAAGTGACGAGGATTGATTAAGAGTACAGTGGCATGTCGAGCGCGCGCGATGATGATCGTCTCAGGGCGACCGTCGACATTGTCGACGACAACAGCGCCGACAGCGTCCTGAGTTCGGTCGGAAGCACGTGGGGGAGGCACAACGCTGAGAAAGGCAATTGACGCAGAACAGAGCTTGACAGGACGCTCAGACTCGAATATGGCGCTGCCTTCTTTTGCATCCAGAACCACGCCCGTCCTATCCTGCGCCGTTGGATTTGCCGTGTTTCCCAGTGCTCGCTGTATCTGGAGCGCATCGCCATGGCGGACACGCTGAACATCACGCCATTACCACCATTCACCATCCCCAGTCTCTCGCCACCAGCATCCTACGATGAACACAGAGGAAAGCAAACACCCCTCGTAATCGACAACGGATCGACGACGCTGAAGTTTGGTTTCTGCACGTCCTCCACCCCGCGATGCCAGCCCAACGCCGTGGCAAAGTACAAGGAGCGCAAGACGAACAAGCCGCTATTGTTATTCGGAGACGGGATAGACACGGAGAGCGGAGCAAAGTCCCAGGCGAAGACGCCATGGGAGGGCGATGTGCTATTGAACTTCGACGCGCTCGTGAGTTCTTCTACGCGTCCCGTCGTGCCCGAACTGACCTTGGCTACTCGGGAGACGTAGGAGAACGCGTTGGACTATGCTTTCATCCATCTGGGCATCGACGCGTCGACGGTTGAGCACCCCGTCCTCATGAGCGAGCGACTGTGCTCGCCGCTGCACTCGCGAGCCTTGACGTCCGAACTCATGTTCGAGCAGTATTCCGTTCCCTCTCTCGCCTACTGCGTCGACTCCATGATGTCGTTTTACCACAACAATCTGCCGTCCCCGCCCGTCCCCTTCACCTCCGACGGACTCGTCGTCTCCTTCAACTCCGCCTCGACATCGGTCACTCCGGTAATGAACGGAACAGGATTGATGAGCCACGCTAAACGGATACCATGGGGCGCGAACCAGGCGACCGACTACCTCCATAAACTCGCTCAACTCAAGTACCCCACATTCCCCACTCGCGTCACGCCTGTGCAGACCAATGTGAGTGATCATCTGCTCGAGATTCCGCTAGCCGCTTAGTACGATATGACCCAGTGGATGCTGCGCAACTTCTGCGGGTTCGCGACCGACTATCCTGCGCTGCTGCGCCAGCTCAAGGATCCCCTCAACCTGCGGGCATCAGATCGCATCATCCAGTATCCGTTCGCTCTGCCCGTGGTGGAAGAGAAGACGGAAGAGGAGCTCGCAGAGATTGCTGAGCGTAAGAGGGAGCAAGGGCGACGGTTGCAGATGATCGCGGCGAAGGCACGCTTAGAGAAGGTGCGCTGACCCCAGCGTCGGATCGTGCGAGGCTAAGTCCACGCGTTATGCATAGCTGGGACAGAAGGAGGACGATCTACAGCGCATGCTAAGCCTAAGAGAGAGGCGCGCGGAGGAGAGCAAGGAGGATTGGGCCGTGAGTGATGCAAACACGCGTCAGGAGCATTTCTAACGTCTGTATAGAACATCTTGGAGGAGGAAGGGTTCGACGATGACCAGGCGCTCGACAAAGCCATCAAGAAGCTCGATACTGAGTTGCGCAAAGCCAGGAAGGAGGCGGACGGAGAAGAGTTGGAGGCAAGCCGCCGTCCTTCTCACCTACTTCCAAGAGGTTGACCCTCCCGATCATCAGAACCCACCGCAGTTCGATCTGCTCGACACTCCGGATGACGAGGTTCGCTGATCCTGCTTTCTCTACACTCACTTGACTGAATGACTTCATACTAGCTTGATGAGGATGGCCTGAAACAGAAGCGCCAGCAGCGGCTCTTGAAGGCAGGATTCGAAGCGCGCGAGCGGACGAAGAAGGAGAAGGAGCGAGAGCGGGAAGAAAAGCTAGCTGAAGAACGGCGAGAACAGGAAGAGCGCGAGCGCGACTTGACTGGTTGGTCGAGCAAGCTGCGGAAGGAGCAGGAGGTCCGTCGCAGGCTTGTCGCGTCTGTCCGTCGCATCTCACTCGATTCACTCCATCCAGACGATCATGAACAAGATCAAGGAGCGGAATCGGAGGAAGCTCGCGTTGACCGACCGGAAGAGTGCTGCGTCGCAAGCGCGCATGAAGAGCATCGCCAATCTGGCTGCAGATGACCGCGTCCCGAAGAAGCGAAGGAAGACCGGTGGTGGTCAGGGCAGGTTCCTCAACTACGCAGCGCACTTTATCTCACGTTTCTGCAGAGGATTTGTTCGGCGCGGATGACGCCGACTGGGCAATATACCGCAAGATCGTAGGACTTCCCCGTCGCCTCGCCTCGCCACCGCTGACCGTTGCTACAGAACGCGAACGCCGCCTCATCTGACGAAGAGGAAGACATGGCGAACCTGGCCACCGTGGAGCAGAAGCTGCTGCAGCACGACCCGTCCTTCACGCACGAGCACACCCACGCGTCCCTATCCGCGCAGCGGTCAGCGCTGCTCGCCGCGTTCAAGCCACAGTATGACGACGGTGACGTCGAGGGTATGTGGAAGTAGCCCTCTATCTTCTGGCGCGGTTTTAATGAGGCTGAGTAGGAAAGGCGCGCATTCATTTGAATGTTGAGCGGTGGCGCGTGTGCGAGGCGTGGTTCTCGCCGAGCATGGCGGGCGTGGACTCAGCAGGCCTCGGCGAGGTCCTGCAGAGCGTCCTATCACGTTTCCCCGATAGCGAGAAGAGCCTTCTTGCGAAGGTACGAATATCCTCGTGCACCGATGGCGTCCTCGAGTGACCTAACCTGACCCGCAGAACGTCTTTGTCACTGGAGGGGCATCTCAGCTGCCCGGACTGACTGAGCGGCTGCAAGCAGCGCTGCGACCCATACTGCCGCCCGAAATGCCGCTGGGCATCGTGCGCGCTGCAGATCCGATACTAGATGCATGGAAGGGCATGGCCGACTTTGCGAAGACAGACGACCTGCAGAAGGTCAGTGTAACTAAGGAGCTGTACGAAGAATGGGGCGGCGAGCGCATCAAGCGGTGGTGGGGCGGCAACTGGAATTATGCCACGCCCATCTCAGAGTAAAGGTAGCGCGCACGCGTCGGACGTGCATGTATAAGACGGATTGCTGTTAGCAATGGTAGAAGACAGGTCAGGAGCGCGACCACATTACACGGATATAAATACGACGAGGGACCATCTGAGGAACATCCATAACAACACAGGCGAGACGTACAGGTATGCAACATCTAATCACACTGGAGATGCTTAGCAGCAGCCTCCGGCAGTCTGGTTTGCGGGCTGGTTGACTTTGACTGCGCCATCCGAACCAGGGGCACCACTTGCAGCGCCCGCAGCTTCCGGTTGTGAGTCGATGAGCCGTGCCTTGATGTCTCTGCAGTACAATGTTAGCCGCAATCGGGCACAACGTCAGAGGCAGTGCCCCAGCGACCGTAGCAAATGAAGGCTCTGCGTACCTTGCCAGAGTGAAGAATGCCTCCTCGACACCGTCGTTGACCTTCGCGGAGGTCTCCATGAACTTGATGCCAAGCTCGTCTGCGAGCTCGCGGCCCTGCTCCTCTGTGACGGCACGCTTATCCGTCCAGTCCGACTTGTTCCCGATGAGGATCTTGTTCACTCCCTCGGAGGCGTGCTGCTCGATGTTGGCGTGCCATGTTCGGATGTCTGGGGGTGCACAGAAGTCAGTATGCAACCTCATCCGAGCGAGACTATCCACGCACTGTTGAACGATCGCTCGTCCGTTACATCATAGACCAGGAGGATGCCCATTGCGCCGCGATAGTACGCGGTGGTGATGGTCCGGAATCGCTCCTGACCAGCCGTATCCCACTGCAGAACGTTGTGAGCCCCCGAATGCCATTCGCAGACCAATGGAGATAATCACAATCTGGAGCTTGATGCGCTTGCCGTCGAGTTCGATTGTGCGAATCTTGAAGTCAATACCAATGGTCGTGATGAACGAGGGCGTCCATGCGTCGTCACAGAATCGTAGCAAGAGACATGACTTCCCGACACCTATTCCGGGTGAGACGTAAGGATAAGACTGGCAAGATCGCAGTGAGTGTACCTGAATCGCCGATGAGTAGCAACTGGATGAGACGGCGTGAGTGCGAATCCGAATGGATGTCTCTGTGTACTAACCTTGATTAGAAAGTCATAGTGAGGAGGCGGCATGGTCTAGGTGTTTGGGCGGTCAAGATACAGGGAGTGTAGCGCTAGAGAAGAGGACTTTGTGCTCACCGGAGAGTTGGGGAAGACAGGGCAGGCTTAGGCGGCGTGGACGACGCTCAGCTATGGCACGGTGGAGATGCCCACACGTGCCGAGGCACCGCGACGTCCGTCACACCCCGTCACACTCACGGCCGCGCTAACGTGCTACAGCCTGCGAAGTGCAGACGGCGATCGACTCGGTGTATACTTAGGGGCGACAAAACCTCTCTTGACCGCTCACTCGTTGCGTTCGACTGCAGGTAGTCTTTCACGCTGCACGCGTCGACGACAGCACCAGGTGAACAAACCAACATCAATCAATATTTGCACAGTTCATCTCTGCTCTTTCTATAGCCGTATATTGCCGAAACATACCGTTGAGAACGGATTCCCTGCAGTCCGCTCTTCACCACGCGAGGGAAAGGTTGCGCAAGCCATCTTAGTACCCGCGATTCCTAGCGTGTCACCGCATCCTGTGATTGTAGCCAATCCAGCGCACTTGCTTTGACAAGTGCCCTGAACCCACTGTTGCTACTATATCGGGCCATGATCTGGGCCACCTAAGCAGTGCACAAGTTCCCCCGAGTCCAAACATCTCATTTATGTTGCGTTGAGCATATCAGTCGATGCTAGGACATCCCAGGTATGTATTCCAAAGCACGAAATATTTTTAGGTAAGGACAGCGAGACATGGTGAATATTTTCATGAGACGAGTACAGGGAGACAGTCAGACGCCGAAGTGGGCCACACGGTACAACATAAGCGCTGAGGTAAGCGCCGACAGAGAGCGAAGGGTATGTAAGGCATAGCGAGTGCAGGACGACGAGCACGAATAAAATAGTACATGGAGGGTATCAAATGGTCCTCACTGACCCTTGCGACGGGCACTGCGACGTAGTGGGCGCGAAACAGCTGCGACTGCGAGCTCTGCAGGGTTGACACTGGCCGCAGTCTGCTCGACGGTCGCACTGTCGACCTGCATCGCATTTTCATCGGCCTCCCCGGTGACTGCGGCAACGGGTTCCATCTCAGCGCGGTGCTGAGAGGACGTAGAAGAAGAAGGGCCAGCAACCGCAGTGCTAGAAGCGACAGCACTGGCAGCAGTTGTGCCAGTGGGAGGGGCTGCGACAGCCTCGCCAGTGGTTGCACCTGGGCGACGCAGAGGGCGGGGACGAACACCATGTGGTGGAGGGTGCGTAGGAGCAGGAATTGGAGAGCCGGGCTCTGAGACGGACTCGCTCTCCGAGCTGGAGACGCTGCCTCCTCCATTGTGACCGCGCCGAGAGTCTTTGATCAGGCTCGACGCCTTCAGGACCTTCTTCGCTCCAGCAGCGATGGCCTCCTCTTTCTTCTTCAATCCCCTCACAGACTGCGCCTTCTTGGCCACCTTCGTCGTCTTCTTTGGCGTACCAGCTGCCAGAACGTGTCGTTTCTGCGCAGCCAACTCCTTCGCTTCACGCGCAGCGACGGCGGCAGCCTCGCGCTCCTGCGCCTTCGCCGCACGCTCCTGCTCCTTCGCTGCGCGTGCAGCCTCGCGCTCCTGCGCCTTCACTGCGCGTGCAGCCTCGCGCTCCTGCGCCTTCGCCATGCGCTCCTGTTCCTTTGCGGCACGGGCAGCAGCGCGCTCTTGCTCCTTCATCGCGCGAGCAGCAGCACGCTCCTGCTCCTTCGCCGCCTTCTTCGCTGCGGCCGTCTCCTTCTTCTTTGCACTCTTCTCGGCGGCCTCCTTCTTCTTCCGCTGAAGCGCCACCTCCCGTTCCTCCTGGGTGATCGCCTGGCGGCGCTCCTTGAACTCTACGCGTGCCTCCTTGAAGAGGTCCTGCATCTTGCCCTCGGCATCCTGTCGTGCGAGCTGGTTCAGGTTCTCCTCGCCTGTCATATGCCGAGGATGACCCGTCTTGCCTGCGCGGCGGCGGCGGCCCTTGGTCCTCTTCTTCCCCTTTCCTGCCTGTAGGGCCCTCGAGTGCAGCTGCTCTCGCAGGGTCCTGTTCTCGCGATCCTTCAGCTTCAGCAATGCATGGTCACGCTGCACCTGCTCGATGCAGGCAGCTGCAACCACATGGAGCTCGTCGTTTTGCGTCAGAAGCGCCGTACGAGAGGCCGTGGGGGGGAGCCGGCGAGGGATGCCAGTGAAGATGAAACTGACGGGATGCGCAGGTCCGGGGACATTCATCGTTGTGCCCTGCGTGCGGTGGACAGGGCGAGGGAGAAAGAGATGAGGCAGGGATATCAGATTGTCAACGATGGGGTCACTTTGTTTGCTCGTGTTTAGTGCAGGTGCATACGCATCCTCCGGAATCGCACGAGAATCCATGGGCCAGATCCCTGTTTTCCTGAAGGAAGATATGATCGTCGACGACTTAAATGCAGCTTCACGAGCTGCACCATAGTGCTGCAGGAAATTTGTTTTCGTGATAGCTATCCCCTGGCGGTGAGCACGTGTGACTTCCTTCCTCCATAAGTTCGCCAATGGCCCGAAGACCCCTACATCGCACGGCTGCAGTGCGTGTGTAGTGTGCGGTGGAAGGCAAATAATCTCGATATTATGGTTGGCCGCGAATTGGCAAAAACGGTAGGTGCAGTGAGAATTATGTCCATCGAGAATTAGAAGACGTGGGGCCCCGGAAACATTGCGCTGCGCCGTCATTGGCTCGAAGTCATTCTTGAGCCACTGAAGGCCGAGATCTTGGTCCGTCCACCCATTAGGCGACATCGCAATGCTGAAAGACCAGTGAGAAAAGCACATGAGGAAATTGAGGAAATCAAACTCACCTCGCATTCGCTGGATTGACCTTTCCCCATTCCAGATTGCGGCGCATTCCCTTAAAGATCACGCACGGGCGGATCATCGTTCCGTCAGCACATACAGTTTCTATGATGGTTATGAGGTCGCGATTACCAGGTTCAACGTTGTACACCGTCTTCTGGTCGCGATCAACGAGAACCTTGGCGCGCTTTCCGATACCTAGCTGCACCCCCTTCTCGTCGGCGTTGTAGATGTTCTCGGGTGGGATGTGCCGCGTCTCAACGATCTCCTTGAGTAGCTCATAAAACTTCGTGACGTTCGGTTTGTTCAGGGCGCGCGCGCGGCATTCTTCAAGCTTTGTTGTCCAGCGAACCGAGAGATCAGGGTGGCGGCGCCGAAAGCGCTTGTACCAAGTCGCGCCGAGAGGGGTCTCTGCGATGTCGGATGCGTAGTCGAGAACAGCCTGCTGGGACATGGGAACACCGCGCCGCCCAAGTTCTTTGATCCATGCGACGAGGACCTCTTCCTGCGCAGCCGAAATCTTGCGCTCGTTTGCATGCGCATCCTGACGTGACTGGGTCTCCCCCTTGTATCGAGCTGCGAGCGTCTGGCGGGCGATGCTGTAGTCTCTCGCAGCCGCGCGGACAGCATAGACAGGCTGCCCATTTGCCTTCAAGCCGCGCGACTTAACAGCAGCAACTGCCGCCTGAAGTCGCTCCTCGTGATTCTCGAACTCATAGTTGGGTGGCTTGACAATGCCTGGTTGTATAACATAGTATTAGTATCCTTGTCAACCCGGAAGACGATCCAATTAAATACTTACCTGCATCTGCAGCGAGCTCAGGCTCACTGGCAGCTTCAAAGGCCGATGAGTTCATTGCCTCCGTAATGTCACTGTATGATCATGTCAATTGTCCGGTTCGATTGTGTAAAGGTGAGTACTAGTACTCACTTGATCTGCGCATCGGCATGCACATCGGCACCACTACCGTTACTGCGATCTTTATCATCTTCATCTACTGTGCAAAATCGTATGTCAGCATGGCAGTGTCTCTACTCCGAGACGCGGCCACTCACCAGCATCGCCGTCATTGCTCATCTCGTCCTCCGAACTATCTATGTCGGTCCAGATCTCGCCATCGGAGTCATCGTCGTCTTCAATACTCTCTTGATCATCGAGGTCATGGTCTTCGTCGTCAAAGTCGCGCTCGCTATCGGTGTCAGTAACTGACTGCAGCTCGGGTGCTTCGTCACTGTCCACGTCAGAGTCTTCGGGCCACAGCTGAGAGGGCATGATGTTTGCGAGGTGAGGCGGCAGCAGAGAGATCTGATTGCGAGCTGGGGAGTGTCCGAGTCTGAAGAGCACTCACTGCGAACTTCTGCCTTATATACTGCAGACCCCATGTCGTCATTCCCACCCATCCACCCTCATAACTAGTGAGCACGAGATTGGTAAGTTTGCGCTGGCTTGAGGGGATGGACCCGAGCTTGGGGATGGCGAGGAAGTGGCATGCATGTTGTCGAGTCCTGGATGGCGAAGATCGAGGCGAATATGTATGATCTGCTTGAGAAACAATGGACATACCTATTTATGGTGTTGAACCTCGCGTTGGCCCTGCCGTATTCATGTAGTTCGCCGTGGTCGTCGTCTCGATCAGCGGTTGAGCGGTCCTATTGCGAGTGTGATTCTGGGTGAAATAAAATACCTAAAAATAAGTGAACCTTCAGATATGAAAGACCGAAGCTCTGACTATGCAAACATACCAGTTTGGATTGCACGTCTCGAAGCTTAGCAATGTAGTTGCACATAGTCGGCGGAACCCTGATCAGCATACCCCAAACCTCGATATGGCCTCATACGTTGTCAGGCATCGTTGGTGGGCCTGAGAGTGCGTGCAGGGATGGGCGTAGGTATGCTTATGGCAGTAGAGTTGTCGCGCGGTAGAGGGCTGAGAGTAAGATGAAAGAAGGCGTCCGTAGGTCGGGGCTTCTCAGCTGACACTTACCAAATCGGGGTACCCTCCCTCATAATCGCCGCCCTGCTCCAAACCTTTGCTGTATGGGCGTGTGAGTGAGCATAGTGCATGGTGGGACATATAGCAAGCTGTAGATATCGAAAGTGTGGCGATAGAAGGAGTAGAACGCGCTGTAGGCCACGATGGCCCATTACCTAGGGTGGCTCAGATCGTGGCCCGATATAGTACCTCGTTGTCCGAATAGGGGCACGGGAAGCTTATCCCACGAGGTGTATCACAACCTTGTTTCAAAAACAGGTATCTCGTGTAGAACACTCTGCATCTACCACACTCCTGCACTCTGACCTCCGTGTTGCAATGGCGGAGCGTAACGAGAACCTCGACCAGGCTCAGACTCGTGTCAGACACGACACGAGTCTCTACAACGCAGCCGCGCTGAAGGACGAGGTCGTCCTTCAGGACGCGATTCGCGACCTCGAGCACGATCTCGAGTATTCAGCCGTTAGCGTTGAGGATGTTGTCAAGGGGCTGTCTCAGTATCAACATCTCTTGGAGTTCGTTCTTTCCGGTAAGTTTTCCCCTAGTAAGTGCACAATTCGATTCTCTCGCCGCTCACCAAGACTTATAGCTGTGAACGAGGCGGCCGCGAAGAGAATAGGCGACTGGATTGTGTCAAGCGTACCTGACAATGCCCTCGCCTACGTCTCATCAACTGCTCGACAACTTTTGGGATGCTTCTCGCTCAGTCTTCACTTTCTGATACTGCCTACGTCTTCACCGATCGACAAGGCCGTCTTACGAGACAATCATCAGGACATCCAACGTGTCACCGCGGCACTAGAATCTCTCGCTCTCCATTCGTTTGACCGTAACGAAACGACTGAGGACACATTGGACCTCGATGAGGAGGTAGTCATCAAGATCGTGAGCTCAAAGCAGAAGAAGAAGAGACGATCTAGACAACCGCAACTCAAGACAGTCACAGACACCAAGCCATTCGATGAGTTGGGGATTGAAACCCCCGAAAGTCAAGATGAAGCCGCAGTTGTAGCAGCCAGTCTCATCGACGAGCTGAAAAAGGTTTTGGAGGTATGAAATCACATTCGTCGTCGCAATATGGGTGTATGATGTGGACCTGCTGTAGTACTACCTCGGGGTATTCAGACTCCCCGGTCTTCAAGAAACCTTCAAGCGAGCGTACATACCTCTCGAGGAAACCGAGCAGGGCGGCCCGGAGTCGCTGGAAGTTTCAGTGGAAGCTTCCGTACCAGACATCCCTGCTACCGATGAAATCCCCGTCGCATACCCCATGGTTCAGCCGATGAAGGCGGCCCTCTATTTTGACAACGCCGACGGCTTCGGAGAATGGCGCATCCTCATTTCGACTCGCGCCGACACGGACCTACGATATATGCGCAAGAAGAACACCGCGCTTTTCGACATCACTCTGAACAAGATCAAGTCTGTTTGTTCCTCTCGGTGATTAGGCCACCTTCGCTGACACACGAGCTAAGGGCACTCTCGAATGGACACTTCTCGCAGGACAATCAGAAACAGCTGACGGACGCGGCGCAGGTTCCTATCTACGAGGCGAAGATGACTGGGGACTCTCGTCTAGTTGTATGTACCCAATGTCCAATATGCACGTCGGGCACAGTGATTAACCTCCTCGCATGCAGTACCAAGTCGATTGCGTGTCCGAGTACGAGAGCGATGTAAGTGTTCCACTTGTCAGACGAGAGTCGGTCGTTGATAGCCTGCAGGTCCAACGTCAAGGTTTGACCAACGTGAAGACGACCATGACCCTCTTCTAATCAGGCTTTGTCATCAGTGATCAAGGTCTTCGGTATATATACGCACGCGCAGATCAACCGCCGGTTTTGGGATGGCGTCGGTCACCAGCTATCTCGCAAAGGCAAGCAGTACAGGGACAGGTAAATGAATACTCTCTGAGAAGATGTATTGCACTGACGTTCTTCGTTAGATGCAAATACCGCAACCGACCGACCAAAGTGGGCGAGCACGCGCACGTCATTCTTCCCGCGACGTTTCCAGCACCTCTCGAAGCTCCGACGCTGTCGCCTTCATCTGGGCTTCCTGATTTGCATAAGGACGACCTGCAGAAGGTATGTTATCTTTGATCTCGATTCTCCGTTATTTACTTGATTTGCAGATGCACGAGATGTTGATGTACGCGCTGCTGTTTCTGATATGCTCACACGTTGCTCAATTTTATTCCTACTCCAGCCTCGAGAAATACGTGACGCTCTCGCAGGTGCGTTCGTGAATAGTCAGCGGGTTAGCATAACGCTCATGCTTTATACTGTGCTCAGGCGTTCCTCAACAGTATGTCACCGTGTCCTTGATCCTGCGGATTGCTTTTGCTTATCAGTCACGACAGGCATCTTAGCTGACCAAGACGTGGTGCACGTCTTTGATGTTTCGTGCGTATCCTATCTGGTCCGCGCGCAAACGATTCGTTGCTCATTAGCTCATTGACTTCAAGACCGCAAGAGAAGCAGATCATAGAACATCCCGGCTCCTGCTACGTTTTAGGGAGAAGTGGGACTGGGTACGATTTTCCCAGAGCCCTCATGTTAATCTAACGATCAGTACAGGAAGACGACGACGATGCTATTCAAAATCCTTGGAATAGAGCGTTCTTGGAATGCACAGAAGGACACGTCTGCCAAGCCTCGTCAAATGTTCGTGACGCAGTCACGAGTCCTCGCAGACAAAGTCCAGGATTACTACAGCAAGCTGCACGACTCCCTGTCCTCTGCAGACAAGCAACCCGAAGAGCTCAGGGAACTAGCTCTTACCAGAGCAGCACGACAAGATCAAGGACTGGTCGACCGCGATGAGGAGATCGAGCGGCGTGCAGATCTTCCGAAGCGCTATAGCGAGCTTGGGGACGAGCACTTCCCCATGTTCATCACGTTCGACCAGGTGAGTCAGTCGGGTGCGAGGCGAACCTCTGTGACTGACTAGTCTTGTAGTTATGCCGCCTGCTCGAAACTGAGTACGCGGACTTCATGAAGGACTCGCAACAGCCACTACTGCAAACCATTGCGAGCATGTCTGGGGCTGCCGATGGGGAGAGTTCGTCGAACGAACCTGTGCGGCAGCATCGCGCGGCCTTCGTATCGTATAAGGTTTTCATGAATTCTTACTGGCGTCACTTCCCGCAGCCACTGACCAAAGGACTGGGTATGTCGCCGAACCTTTTCAGTTGTGATCTCTGAGCTTATGTTATGTCATAGACCCTGCACTTGTATTTGGAGAGATCATAGGTGCGTGTGCATCGCGTAAGCTGTGATGTTGTTTGCTGACGGATTCCGGGATTCTGATCAGGTATCATCAAGGGCTCCGAGCAAGCTCTGAGCAGCACAAAGGGTTTCCTGATGAAAGACGCGTACTTCAATCTGAGTCATCGCACACAAGGAACATTCGCTAATCATCGAGAGACCATATATAAGCTATTCGCTGCATACATGAAGCGCAAGCGAGAGCGTCGAGAATACGATGCTGCGGACCGGTACGACGCTCTCGAGGTGCCCTTATAGTCGTTGGTCCTATACTTATCGACCAACACAGGACACACGTCATACTCAACGCCTTACGGGAGTATGGCCTACCCGGCAAGCAGATGGACTTTCTGTTTGTGTCTTGGCTTCTCGGTCGCAACGGAGTTCTGACGTCCCCGATCTAGCTATATCGACGAAGCACAAGACAATCTTCTCATCGATGCTTTGGGTAATGACGGCGCCTGTATCAGATTTAACATATGTACTGATTGGCATCTCCGACGTAGTCATTCGCTCACTGTGCAGCAACCCCGATTCTGGTCTTTTTTGGGCTGGCGATACAGCGCAGACAATTGCGGTTGGTAGCGCGTTCCGGTTCGACGACCTCAAGTCTTTCCTCTACCGCATAGAGGTATTAGACCAAATGAATGTCCATCTCGCCCAAACTGACCTCGATGCTCTGGCTTACAGACTTCGGGATCCCAGTCTCCAGGTCCACGTCCGCAGCCTCAGGCATTCCAGCTCGCTTTCAACTACCGGTCCCATGCAGGCATCGTCAACTGCGCCCGCTCGGTGGTGGAGCTGCTTACTAAGTTTTGGCCCCACGCCATTGATAATCTTGGAGAAGAGCGCGGTATCATCGATGGCCTAAAGCCCGTGTTCTTCACCGGCTGGGATGACGACAATGTTCGCTACGAGCAATTCTTGTTCGGAGACTCGTAAGCACGTTTACTTCCCGTCACGGTATATGTCGCTGTCGCTCACAAATTGTCACAGTGGTTCACAGATAGAATTCGGTGCTCAGCAATGTTTGTCATAATGTCTGGTCTTTCAGAGATCTGGCTTGCTCATAGTTCACTTGCTTTTAAAGGTATCATGGTTCGTGATGATGCTGCCAAGGAGAAACTTCAGGCGCAGATAGGCAACATCGGACTTATCATGTTGGCTAGCTTTATTGCTTCGCAGCCAAAAGGAGAACTGATCGTCGTTGCGTTTTCCAGGACACCGTATGAGAGCAAAGGCTTGGAGTTCAACGACGTAAGTGTCGCCATACATCTGTTGGAAACATCATCTTGAACTGTGCTGTAGGTACTCTTGTACAATTTCTTTGCTGACTCCACAGTCGACTTGTCGCAATGGCGTGTTGTTCTGAATGCCTTGCCTCAAGGATCCGGGGAAGCTTTGAGGGCCCCACGGTTTGACGACAGTCGTCACAATGGGGTCTGCCGTGAGGTTAGTAGTACAAGACATCCGCCATATTCAGACGTTTTCACTGATGCGTATGCATAGCTCAAAATCTTGTACGTCGCTATCACACGCGCTCGCCAAAATCTCTGGATAGCGGATAATTCAGACAAGAGCGAACCTATGAGAGTAAGGGCACACCGAGATGACCATGACCATGTCTAACATTCTTGCAGATTTTGTGGGGCGCAAAAGGTCAGATTCAGAACTGTACGCCAGGCTCCGACGTGCCACGGCTGGCCATGTCTTCGACCCCAGAGGAATGGGCTCGGACAGCTCGGACGTTGTTCGACAACAGACGCTATACGCAGGCGATGCATTGCTACGAGCGTGCCCTGCTTCCAAGAGAGCGAGCGGTGGCCGAAGCGTACTACCTGAGAGAGAAAGCCCGTGGTACTCCCGTGGACGCACGCGGCGATGACTTCGATCGCATCCTTGCCTTCAGGAAAGCAGCGGAGGCATTCTGGAGATCAGCGGACGCTGCAGCCAAGGAGAAGACTACTTATTTCCGCATATCCGCGGAATGCTATCTGGAGAGCCGTGATGAAGTCAACGCTGCCCATGGGTACCGTCATGCCGCTGAATACACTTTATCCGCGCAGTGTTATCGCCGAGCCGGCATGTTCGACGACGCAGTCGCCATCGTCAAAGGTCATAACGTGGTTGCGGGCGTTGCAGAAAGCATTATCAACGTCTCGCGTCTCGAGTATGCAAGAGGGGGGAAACTGAAGTGAGTCCCATACTGGATTAGCTTACGTCGTTTATTGAGGCTTGTCGTTCATCCAGACAGGCGAGGGAACTCTTCGAGTCTGATGAAGAAATACTGGAGTTCCTCGACGACCGTGGTCTGTACGTTTCCCAGGTGGATCTCCTCGATGAGCTTGGTCAGTTCGGACAGGTAGCAGAGTTACATCTTACGCAGGGCCACGTGCTGGAGGCAATTGCCGCGTTTCTCAAGGACCACAGCAATCCCGACTCTGCGAAGCGTGCATCTCAGTGTGTGCTTGACGGAATTTGGCAAGGACTATCCCTAGGCGTGGATACAAGCTCAGAGCTGGTCAAAGCAAATGTCACTCTGCAAGAACTGCTCCAAAGACTTCAGCATCTCGATATTAGCCACCTTGAGGATGGCACGCGAGACGAGGTGCGCTGCTCGAAGTGATGTCTGATTCACACACTAACTGCGTATAGGTTCTGATGTTTCGGGCTATCGCCACCAACAATCGGCAACAACTCCTTATCCTTGGCGAACGCTTTCATCGATGGCATCGAAACGACGCTGCAGCAATTCTCTGTCTCGATCATGCATTTTTCGGCTCATTGAACTTTGCGCATGCTACACTACCTGCAATGGCAACAGTCCTCAAATACTTCCAACTGTACGCTCAAATCTTGTGGGGCCTTGCATCCCGGGAGAAACCTTCCGACACGCCGGAAATTCGTCGTATCTTCGGATTTGCGCCTGAAACGGACTCTGAAGATTTCTTTGTCGTGCAGAAGGACACCGTCCTATACACTTTCTGCAGCGAGCGCATAGCTCCTTCCGTTCGACCTCATGAACAAGGCATCGCAATACTTCGCTCAGAGCTGGACCGCGTGCTGCGTAGAGCACTGCAAGAACGTCTGCGCAAGAACGTCGTGGAGGAGAACGAGTCGTGCCGCAATGCACGGGTCTTCCGTGTATGCCTCCCGCACGCCGCATTTGGTCACTGCCCTCGGTCGGATCATTGTCCTCAAATACACATCGCTGCGGAGAGGTTTGACACTGACCTGTACAACTTGCGAGTCAGGATCTGTCTTCAACAGATCCTTATTTACAACACTGTATATGGCGTGGAACCATTCTACGAGCAGGCACGCCACAGGCGGTACGTCAGCTCTCATAATTTGAACTTGGACACGATCTCATCATCAATCTCAGATTTTGGCTGCGCCTGCTGCATGAGGCATTGGAGCCGTCGTTCTACAAGATGGGGTCATTGCCGAACCTTCAGGTAGCCTCCATACCAGAGTTTGAAGCCGCCATACAGGTCGTCCGAAACTGGACGATCGATTGGCTCTACACAGCTCATCCGCGCGCAGGGGAGTTCACGCCCACGTTCCTAACTTCCCTGCTTCGCATCGTCTCCTTGGGTGTAGCATTCGATCGAGGTGTTTTAGGCGGACATCTTCCGCGTGCTATTGCAGTTAGAGCGTACCGGCCAATCCCGCTCCTACGAGGAAGAGGGGAGCATGCCTCGTATGTAGTCCACGACATGTGTAGGTTGATGATGAACAACCATCGGGCATCGTTGCCTAGTGGTGTTCTGTTTCTGAAGTACGTCAACAATTTGTTTTCTTATTCGCGGCTAACAGTACGGGTCACCGTAGCCATATCTTGGACAAACGCTTGGCAATTGACATCGGAGTCCTCTGCAACTTTATGGACCATCTCTGCACGTTGCTCACTCTAGCCACCGCCCTCAATAAGCTCGGTACCCTTCATGAGATCACCCTACCGCGTACTTGGCTCCAGCGGGTGGCTGATGATTTACCGGTTTTGTATGAGAGGAAAATCATGGCGTTCTACCTGTACACAGGTCCGATGACCTCTCTACTGAAGCAGCTGTACACGGGCCTTGATGCAGGTGAGGGCACACATATAGAGACGAATCACGTCTCCATCTGCTGACGAATGTATAGATCACCTCCTGTATGAGAACCGCAACATGTCAATGATCGGATGGCAGATCAAGAGTATCTTCATAACGCGAGTGTATGTGTTCCGAATTCTTGCCGTTACATAGCTTGACACCATGCATGCTAGTTGCAGAAATCTCTGCTTATGTATGTCCCGTAACGTGCTGCCTTTTGCTAGTCTAATTTTTACACCAGTGGCGTATAATTCACCTCATATGTCGGTCAAGTTAGACGTACACAAGATAGTCACGTCGTTGCAGAGGTACGACGGCAGATTCGATAGTAGTTACGAATGGTTGGTCATTTCGGGTTCATCGTGTTTGACGTCATTGACAGTACTGCTTGGTAGCTATGTGACCGCTCCTTGTTGGGATAACCTGGCATGGGAGGTCCGCCAGTGCCTAGCGGGCTCCTCGATGGACGAGATGATTCAAATACATGAAGCCGGCAAGTCGACGCATCACTCTCAGCTGCTCCCCGGTGTGCGACGGATCGTGTACAACAAGCTCGACGAAATCCCTATACTGCTAGCTTCGGGTGCAACCTCTCTGCCTAAATCAACCCTGCGAGTTGACGCCGCACCGTTCGTTCCTTCACAAATGCAGAAGCCACAGCCGGCTTCTGCTTTTGATGACGCGGATGCTCCTGAAGAAGTCAACGAAGAAGATGTCGCTTTCGAAATCCGTGATGACCATGTAGCATCGAGCCAGCCGAGCGAGGACGAGATCAAGGCAGCAGATGTTATCCGAAAGTCGTTCCTGCACCACCGCTCTCGCGTCCAGCAACGCACAACGACGAAGCCTCTAGACGCTATCCGGGAGCGGATCATGAACTCATACCGCACCGCCGCCATGAACATGGAATGGCCTCATAGGTACTACCGAATGCTGTTTTTGGGACCCATACCCCACGCATTCTTCTGCCTAGAACGCGTGCGGCATCATATGCACGAAACCAAGCGTCAGGCCAAGAGACGTCTGGTGGATGCCATTCATCAAGAGTTGGAAGAGGTTGATGGAAGGCTGACGAAATGCTCGTATGTATACTATACAGTCGGGATGTCATCGTTCGCATACTGATGAGTGTACATTGCTGCAGGCAACAGATCAAGGAAGTCACCCGACTGATCAATGCGCTTAAGCCAGATGCTGAGCTGCACAAGAAACGTGACCTAGACGGGCTGAGAGCACGCATTGGCGAAGTGCAAATCTTGGCAGAGAGCTTGCCTAAAGGCGCCGCACTCGAATGGGAAGAGGATCTGGAGTTGGCGGTGAAGGGAATCGTCAAACCGCATCCACCCCCTGCACCTCCTGCGAAGAAGCCCAAGCCCACCTTGAATCTCGACGACGATATGGTGTGCTATGAAGATATCGTGTATTCCGGAGGCGACTTTGCATAGTTTTTCCCGGTAATGTCCTGCGTGTTATGCACGTCGTCGTGCGCGTACTGACTCTGGGTTGTAACTTAGCGACGCTCGGTGGGAGGTCTACGGCAAATTTTGATCGTCACACAAGAGTAACGCGGCTATGTTTCTTGATTGTACTGTATGTGTAAAGTTCTGTTGAACGAGTTGTTTCCCTGCATGACTCTACAGTCATTTCTACCGCGCGGGACAATCAGAACCGTGCATTCCGTGATTCAGTCGACTGACCCCCCAGCCGGCCGTAGCGGTGTCTGCATGTTCCCCTCCTCATTGGCAGCAGGCTTACAGCGCGCCCTCATGTCTGAGGATATGGATTGCATGCAATGAGTCGAACGCGCGTCTGCCCAACTAGATTACGGTCTGCGCGCTTCCTCATGATCCTGTCCATACGGTTCGGACGGCTTCGACAGAGCTTGCGGGGCTCGTCCGAGATGATGGGAGGGACATCATGTTGTTCTCGCTGAAATGGCACGTGGATTGTCGCATATCGCGTTCAATGCGATACGTCATCCGGGATAGGGATCGATTTGTGTTTGAGCTCGCAATGACATACAGTGGCGACGCAAAATGCACACCGGATAGGCAAATGAGTTGGAAGACGGACGGAGCAGGGATATGGAGAGATTTTACTCAGTCACGACGTGTTACTCCGCGAGCGACCATAGCATTGACAAGTCCGGCCTGCCAGGAGGGGGAGGGGGTCCACTCCGAAAGACCTGGTAACCATTGCGTCAGTCATATAGACATACATCAACGAGCCTACTCACACCGAGCCGAGTACAAGATCTAGCGGGATTGAACGAAGGGTAGGAGTGATATGGACCAAGGTTCCTGCTGTTCTGCGGCTGATATCTTTCGAAGACCCCGCGAGTCAGGCGAGGGATAAGGCGATGCGAGGCGTGAGCAAGAGATGGACTACAAGCGCTTAAGCCGTGTCTGATGGGAGCTCCGTATGGCGTACCGTTTGACGCTTTATTATCCCAGATCTAATCTTTGTAACACTCTAGATCTAATCTTTGTAACACTCTATATCTAATCTTTGTGACCCTCTATATCTACAACTTTCGTGACTCGCGATATATAAAACTTTCGTGGCTCGTATATCTAAAACTTTCGCATTGCCACCATATCTAACAAGTCTTTGGTGCCCACCATCGTACTTATGATACTCGCTCACAGCAATATATTGTTCTCGCGCGACACGCTCAACGCGACCGACGACGCGCTCCGAGCGTTGTGCGTCACGAGCCCGCGTCGGCGGTGTGCGCTCCGAGCGCTGCTCTCGACCGCCACCACCTCGTCCTGACCTCGTCTGAACGCGAATCGGGCAGCCACACCGACCGCCCGACTGCACTAGGGGCATGCGGCGACCCTGCGCGTGGACAAGACCGCTCCTCCTTCCTCGCCTGGTCCCCAAGCTCGCACGAGGCGCGTGAAGTCCAGTGCCAATCCACAGAACCACGAGAACGCGGAGCCGGGAGCGCAAAGGGAGGCGAAGGAGGAGAGACGAGAGGAGAGGAGAGGGAAGGGCACAGGTCAAGCAAAGGAAACGAGCACGAAGGCTCGTCCAGCACAGGTATGTCTTCGTTGGACTTCTCCGCCTCGCCGCCTCCGCTCCTAGTGCCGGCCCCAGCAGGCATACCAGAAGGCGATCATCACAGTCGACAACGTGCGTGTCTCGATAAAGATCCTGCGACGCAGCACTCACTGATCTTCGGGCCACCGTTGCCCGGGCTTCTCACAGCGTCCGCGTCTTCCACAACCCCGCCTCTCTGCGGCGCCATTCGACTCTTCCCCGGGGTCGGTCCGTGACCGATGTCGCGTCCAAGTACTGGCGCCTCCAGTCCTGCGCTGGGTTCCATCACCCAACCATCACCAGTCCGACGCCTCCACCCGAGGTGGTCAGTCCGCGCAAGCGAGAGTGCGCGGGATTGGAGTGCGCAAACCCTAGCGAACCGACGATTATCTTGCACGATGCATATTCTCGTCCGCACGCCTCGCTCCAGTGCAAGTTCGTGTTCCACGTCTCCCTCCCGGTCTCCCCTCCCACGGGAATACCAAGAGAGCATCGGTAAGGCGCGGGACGAGCACCCAGATTGGCGCGGACACCACTGGTATGCCCAGGTACTGCTCGCTATCGCGAGTCTGCCTCGAGTGGTCGAGTGGTGGGACGTTATCGGGTACGTGTGTGCATAACTTCATAGGTGGAATGATAACGTGCTGATCATCGTTCGCTTCAGAACGGACCAGGAGGACCTCATAGGAACACGGATATCGCGGTTGCTTGCTCCGGCTAGCTGGCACGCCTTCCGCGATGTGACTTGGCGGCTACTCGACGACGATTCACGCATCGTGGAGGTGCAATTCAGACTGGAAGTCATTGACACTGAACCCGGTCAGTCGTCGTACAATAACCTGTACCAGCAGGTGGTCGGAGATGCTCATGACGGAACGTGAGGAGGGTACACCGGCGCATACAATGTGGGTCGCCAGGCCCATTGGTCAGTCGGAGTGCTTGGAACAGCCTCCTCGAGTCCGGCGAGGTTGGTGATGAGCCAGCTCCGCTGAGGCGCCACAGGTAGGCTTTGGACATCAACAGGTGTACGAGCCTGCTACACTCTTCCCGTTCGCGTGGCCGATCAACGCCGCGCGATCCTCTGTCGCTTTTGCGAATGCGAGGTACCACAGTGGTACTTTGAGAAGCACAACGAGACGTGTGCGGAGGCGCACCAGCTCGAAGCTGAGATTGGTGAGTGCAACAAATCGATCAGTGAGCTTCGCAATACGATTCACGACCTGCTCGAGGAGGACGAGGATGACATGGGGCTGGAGAAATTGTATGCCCTCTGTACGAGTATGATTTGGGTAATGTAATGAGTTCTACATTGTAGTGATCCCAAGTCAATAGAATGCTTGTATCTTCTCTGCCTGCCTACGAGCATACAGCGCAGACATCATCTGAGCATGGATAATCACCAGTAAGAGGAGGAAGGTCATTCAACTCCTTCAGACTCTCCAACTGCTCCGCGAGCATATCCCTCTCAGCGTTAGCAGCTGCAACATCATCCTCTGCACTCTGCATATACTCTGCCTTTGCGCGCTCCGCATCTTTGTGCTTGAGGTACGACTTCCATGTACTTGCAAGGCACGTGCTTGTGACGAAGGCTAGGCCTGCTTGGAGGATCGGAGCTTCAGAGCTTTCACGGAGTTCGCGCCGTGGCAGCCCTCCCGGGAGGAGACTCGTACCATGGGCATGCTCAGGCTGCCAGGCAACCATGGTGTTTGCTGCCTGGCGGACCTTGATACCGTATTTCGCCAGGTAGAACTGGCCCCCGCGCTTCATTTGGGGGTCGCGCTTTGTCGTCCACGAGAAAGCCCATTTCTGGGGCTGTTTCTCATTATGGATGGCTCTACATCGTGCTGTCAGAAATTGTAGTCCAGAGGAACAGTTAAACATACCTGGCGTAGTTGCATCATGATCCAGCAACGCCAGCCGGTGGCGCGAGCTCGACGCCTCCAAACTCGACTCGCTGGTCACCCCACTGAACCACGTACTCGCCTTCAACATTGCCCCGCTTCTCATCGGCATCCATCCGGCACATATCATTGTCTGCGAGGTAATCCTCGAAGCCCCGAAGGACCTCCTGCGGGAGGTGGACTCGCAGCAGAGCCCAAAATAGGGCAAAAACCGAGGAGATCTCGAAGTTGATGTCCTTCAAGTCATCCGGATCGTGCTTCTTCGACTTCAGGTTTTTGGTCCAGTCGAAAAGAGGGTGGTTGCGAGCACCTGCTGTATACCCCAAGTTGACAATCTTCCCCGGATCCTCCAACTGTGGGGTACTTGTTAGCAGAACAAACTGAATACACTGGTAATATTACTCACCCTGACCGACTTCCGCATAGCCAATGCCAACTCCATAGTAGCATTCACCCCCTCCACCACGAGAGCATCGCGGCAGAAGTTGCGAAGCACGATCATGATGATCTCGCCTGTGTCGATGTCTCGAAAAACGACATTCTCGTTTTCACGAACTTCATACGCTAGCCTTTCGGCTTCTTCCCGCTCAATCGGGTGCCTCTTGTGGCGGCGATCAGCCTGTTTGCCCTCCTCGATGGCGCGGGTCCAGCAGACGCGGATCTGCAGGGATTCCGCAACCCAGGTGTCGAACTCGGGGTAGACCTCCGATGCCTCGAGAGCCTTCACGCGAACAGAGTTCGCGTTCTTGTTCAGCCAATATGCCTTGAGAGGCTCATCAAGGGGCTTGATCCCACTGAGTGCCTGCACGAAGAGGCGGATCGTTGTTCGGCGGCACTGAACAGCTCGGTTGCGAGCTTGTATCGCAGTTCGCAGAGCGCCAGGGAGGTCGCGGTTTGGATCGTTGGCCCAGGTGCAAAACCCTGAGAAGAGGTCCTTGGGCAAGTATGTCGGACTGGGCAGGCGAGATGCGAGCTGCTCAAGTAGAGCGGTGAATTCGCCCCGAGGCCGAGGATCGCAGGTTCGGGGAATTAGAGCGAGAGCGTGCTCATCACCAACTATAGAGGTGACAATGGAAGTAAAGGCCTTAGCCCGCACAAACTTTTCGGCTCTCTTCCCCATTGCAACTGAGCGGGCACGGAATGGGCGGTCGCGGTCGCGAGCTGCAAGAGACTGGAAGGGGAGTCGCAGCCAGCGGCTGCGCGCTTATTGGACCGCGATCTCAGATCTGGTGGTTCATCGCGCGTTCAACGCCGGCGCCCTCCTTGCCCCTCCGCATCGCCACCTCGCCACCCCGCCGCCTTCGACCAGCACAATCCCCGGCGAGCTCATGGAACGTGCGAATGCGCGGACTTGAGGGCAGGTTCGCTGAGTCGCGGGCTGCGTCGACGCGAGCTTCAAGGCACCCCGAGGACGCCCCAACTAGCGCAAGGACGGTACACGGCGAGGAGAGGTGTAGGGAGATCTGCAGAGAGGAGAGGAGAGTCTGCACGACTCCGGTGAGTGTTATGGTCCATCACCCACCACCCTCCTCACCCTGGCCTCCAAGTTGCGCGCTCCCGAACTTGTCCTCTCCACGTCCACGTTCCGCGTTCCCGCCCAATGCGCCCCGATCTCGTTCGACGCGGCCACCGCCTCGACACCCGTCCACTGCCACCCGTCCACTGCCACCCGTCCACTCGCTCGCCCTTCAGCACACTCAGCACGCGCGTCGGGCACAGGAGCCCCGTTCAACGCGCTTGCGCCCCTCGAATCCCAAGTCACGCCCACTTGCCAAGTCTCCGTCCGCTCTCGGATCGCCTGCCCTCGCATTCAAGAACAACATCGGGCTGTGCGGAATCGCCGCGCGCCTGGTAAACTTGCCGTCCCCGCGGCTCCGGAGTTCGAGGTCGAGCGGCCGCACAACGCCAAGCGGGAGAAGGATCGGACCTACTCCAGTGAGTACCGAAGCCACTCGCCCTCAACCTCCCTCTCCTCCACGACCGTGTTCCGCGCATCCTTCCTCACTCGACCCGCCTCCATATCCGCCACCTGCATCTGCTCCTTCACGTCCGTGCTCTGCACGTCAACCCTCGAGCTACGCACCCCTATCCTCGTCCTACGCGCCCTCGACCGGAACTGGCCCCACAAGCAGCTGTCTGGCGGACGAAGACTGGGATGTGCGGACTCCCCGCGCACCCAGTAGTCGCCCAGACACCTCTGCCTCACCACTCAAGGTCGTACAAATACGCGGCGCCGAGTTCAGCGCGCCACCGCGTGCATCGAAAGGATGCGCTCATGGACACCTACCTCGCGCTGCAGGCGTCCACCATCTTCCAGCACGTCGGCGTCATGATCTACGTCTTCTAGGGTCGAGTGGCGCAACATGCCCAAGCCTGGACCTCCAGTACTACCGCGACTGGCTCGCCGCGCTCCAGCAGTACAGCCCCGACGCCGCCGTCTTCCTCCTTGTGCACAAGATGGAACTCGCCAGCGGCTCGCGTGCGCAGACCCTCGAGAGGAAGGCACTTGAGCTTCAACAGGCAAGTGGGAGCGTGTCTATGACCGTGTTCGGGACGAATTATACGACGAGAGCCTGTACAAGGTGCGCCACTCCCTCAGCCTCTACTCATACTCTCCTCACGCGAAGCTTTAGGCGCGGTCCCGGATAGTCCAACCTTGATTCTAAATGCTGTCGTCCTCTCCAAGCACCTCACCACCCTCGCGCACGCCTGCAGCGCAACCGAAGTGATCCCCTTTGAGCGTACCACCTTCCTCATTATCGCGACCTCCTCTCCTCCTCCCTAAGCGCCGCTCGTAAGCTCCCCCGTGCTCTCCTCCCCATCCTCCTCGCACGCCACAACGAACGGCCTGCTCACGCCAACCTCGCAGAGCTCACTCCCTGCACGGGAGTCCGAGCTCGAGGCAGACGCGGACGCACACCGGCTTTTGCCGGCGCGCTACGAGCGCACGTCCGAGCTGATCAAGATGTTTTCTCAAGCACGCGCGCTCGCACGTGCGCGAGTAGTTCCACCCACTCGAGATGGAGCTGGACGAGTTCACGGTGGTGCTCGACGAGCTCACGAAGAACGTGTACGTGCTCATCGCGGCGCATGACCCGACAATAGGTGCGTGGGTCTCGGAGAATGCATGATGGAGTGCGGTGTTCATGGATGTTTGCAGACTGCGGCACTGAGGATGAACATCTGGCTTGCTCGGAAGAAGTTCGAGGTGCGCGCGGCGAGATCATGGTGAAGGACCACGATGAGGAGTTGCCACTCGGCACGGCGGTACAAACCAGCGGCTTAGCGTGTACGCCGGGCGAGTTCTGGTCCGCATAAGACGCGCTGCTCGTGGCGCTGGAGGAGACACAGTGGAATCATAACACTCGAGGAGACAAGGACACCGTCCGCGATTCCGCTCGATCTGCTACTGGGCCAGGTTCAGTTGGACCAGGTCGGCAGTCTGACTTCGGGCCCTCTGATCTCCCTGGCGGTCGCAAGGAACCCGTGGATGTTCGGCCCCGCGGTCGACGACTTAGTCTCGAAGATCGACTTGGACCACCGTACAATGACCACCACGCTTCCCTAGCTCCGCCGCGTGCGCTGCTTCCTCCTCGACCCGCCAATCGTGATGTCTACATTGAACCAACTCGGCACTCCGACTATCGTGGCGTCCGCGAAGATGGCATGCCTGCCTGGGATCGCCCAGGCGCCGAACCTTCCCGCGAGGTCTCCCCGCCAATAGCGCAACCAAGATTCACCCGGATTGTGCATGCCTGTTGCATACTGCACAGGCTCCTCAAGCATCAGAGGAACCGGTGAAGACGTCCAAGCCTGCCCGTATTCGTCGTCTACCCCGATCGCAGAGGAATCACCGGTAGCTGGTAGACTACTTCCGGACGAAGCCTCTGGGCGTGCGGCAATAGTTCGCGTTGACGGCCTGACCTGATGAGGTGCACAGAATCGTCGCTTCTCGGCAGACTATCGCGCAATGATACTACACCTATCGCACCAGAGACTTCGACTACGCCTCTTTGCGAGAGAGCGGATCTCTCTTCAAAGCAACCGGGCCTTAGGGCGGACATGGCCACGGCGACTTCGCGATGGACACTGATATGGAAGGAGGTGCAGGCGATGCGCCGCGAGCCAATGGAGGAAGGAGACGTGGTTCAAGGCCGAAGTGCGGACGAAGGAGCGGGTACCCGGCATGAGAGCGATGCGCATGCTGCCGGAAGATGAAAGCCAAAACATCTTGATGGGTTTGGTCGCGCATGGTTTAGGTTCGTGGTCGTCTTCGCGCTGCCAAATGGCTATTCAATATCTCGCAATACAATTTTCAGCCTCAAGTCATCGACGACTGCTGCCTGAGACCGGGAGTATGCAGCTCCTCGCGCGGAAGCATATGGGTCATGAGGGGAAGACACACGGCTCCCGCCGGTCGTGTTCAATGGTCACTATGCACTTCCCCATCTATCTCTGCTCTCGTGCCTCTTACACCGAAGTAACCAAGGAAAGTGGAGCTTGCGCACAAGAGCCGAGAGGACTCAAGTGAGTGCGCCCGCCCGTGAGACCTCGCCACCCTTCTCTCCTCTGCCTTGCACTACGCCTCCCTCTCCTGCACGTCCGTATCTTGCGCACCCCCGCACTCGATGCGCTTCCACTTCTGCCCTCTGGCTCTCCGCGCCCGCGCTCCGCACATCAGCCTTCGAGTCATGCGCCCTCGTCCGACGCGCACTCGCATCTGCCCGTTCAGCGCGCACCGGACGCAGGACTCTCCGGGCGGCCCTGCGCTCTCACGGCGCCCCTGCTCGCCTTCAACGGACCCTACACGCCTATCTTCCGCTTTTCCGCGCTTGCCCACCGTACCCTCGACCTCGCAGTGTCTCACCCAGTCTGCGACCCACCAAGATGACTGCGCCGGCGGCCTTCCAGACGAAGGCTGCGCTGCGCGATCTCTCTGCGCGCCCAGTGGTCGCTCCGTCGTCCCGTCTCACCTCGCCGAGTCCGCGGAGCCTGCCACCAGAGTCGACGTGGCCGCGATCACGAAAGAAATGCGCGAGTGCGGCGTAGTGGGCGTATGCGACCGTGTTCGATGCCGGCGGGGCGGGCAGCATCAGCTACTCGGGCCGGGTCGCTCGCTCCCTGATTCAGAATCCCAGGCCGTTCTTTGTGGGCTGCGTCCGACGCCTCGAGCGCGGCGGACGTGGAGGTGCACCATCTCGCGGAGATGGCAGGCAATGGCGCGCAGACTTAGTAGATAGACGCGTAGCAGTAGCAGCAGAAAATCGCAGAGCAGTAAAGGAGACCACGCCGCGGCCGAGGTGCGCGCGATGCCCGCCCTGGCCAATGGATTTTCTCGGTCAGTTGGGCGACCTCTGCTAATCTGAAAGTTTTCTGAGGTACAATATTATCAGTGTATCATACTCACATTTTCTGCTGCTGGTGGGTGTGATGATTCAACGAGGATAAACGACTTGAGTTTCGGTGGGAGGCAGTATTGGCAGGCGCTTATGTATCTCGGCCAAGTGGCTCGCCACGATCACGAATGAGCCATCTTTGCACTGCGCTCCTCTTCCTCTTTGCCTTCCCCTCGCGTTCGTGTTCACTCCGCCGCGCGTTACTGCCCTCCTCCGCAGCTCCATCGTGTCTCCGAGCTCCGCACTGATATTTCCCGTCCTCGTGCATTGCTCGATCCGGGCCGGTACATTCAATCGAGGAGCTCTGATACTCAGTGAGCCAATACACCTCGATATCGCACGACGTCGCCCTCGGCTCGGAATGGGTGACCCAGGTCGAGTCCGACGACCTACACTCTGGCGAGGGGCGAGGGGCGAGAGATGGTATGCGGGCTGGACAAGGAGCTCACGAGCTCACTCAGCAAGTGCCCCACAACTGCAAGCCAAGGCCACGAGCGCGGTCTCGTCCGGTGCACAAGAGCCCGGTAGGCGAGACTCGTCGCCTGCGACGACTCTTCCGACAAGCAACAGCCCAGTGAGCAGGTACCGGTGGGCAGGAGACGCTGGAGGAGGCGCAATCGTGGTACGTGTTCTGCGCCAACCACAACAACTCCCAGCTCACGAATCAGCTCGAGGACCAGGTCCGCGGTGGCGATCGTATATCGGTCCTACAGTGGGCACCTCGTGGTGCTCAATGCGCGTGAAGGCGAACCACGGGAACACATTGAGCAAGCACGTACGGAGTTGGTTCTCAATGAGAACGATCTCGTACTCCCACCAAGGTGTGTACCTTCCTGTTTCGTACACATCGATGACTGAAGATGCCGCTAGTCCGACGTCCCTCCAGGCTCTATTATGATCTTCTTCAAGCACTTCGACACGTCCAAGCAGACACTGTATGGTGCCGGCAATATACATGTGCAGCGGGCCAGCAAGGTCAGCAACCTTGTGCCGATGGTCCACGAGCGGATGCGATGGACGCCGGGGACGCCTGCGAAGGTCTATGAGGTATGGACTTTACTCGAACCCGATGCAGTACTACGACTTCCTGCAGAACAGGGTCATGGTTCTCTTCCGGCCGAAGTTCGAAGAGCCCGTTCATGATCATCCGGAGTTCAACCTCATCCTCAGCAAGAAGTAAACCTACGATGCCGTAAGTGACCTTGTCCGTCTGGCCGAGTTGCATTACTGATCATCCGGGGGTACATGTCCGCGAAAGCGGGCGAGCACCTACGGCACGACCCATTCAAGCTGCGGTTCACGACGGCGCACGCGACGAACGGCACGCCCAAGTCGATCCTCAAGCGGTCCCCGAACCAGACCGCCGCAGAGATCATCTCGCCGACAATCTACGTCAGCCCGCAGGCGACGACGGTAATCCTCTACGAGAAGCTCGACGTGAGCATCGTCGAGCTTGAGACGAAGCGCAGCCTCAAGGTCGTCTGGGCGGGCGATGGGCGAGGCTGGTAAGAAGCTCGTTGTGTGCGTACGTCGCGTTCGCCCTTTGCCTTTCACTTCTCTCATCGTTCAGGCAGACGGTGTATGTGCCTGCAGCTCGTCCTGGAAGAATGAACCATCCTTGCAGATGCCAAGGTACGCAGGCGGCATCCGCACAGCAGTGAGACCAGCATTCATGTTCACGCCGACTGCGCAGGCAAGAGTTGTTCCCGAGCATCGCAACTTATGGAGAAGCGCGGTCGCGGGATGCCAAACTCTAGCACCTCGTCCGGCATCGGCAATGGTCCAAGTGTGGTAAGTTGAACACTGCGGTCTGCTAGTGCTCCACATGGTTTCGTCGCGTAGTTAGCACGATCCCTCCCACCACATGCTGGTCCTAATAGCATCTCACAATTGACTGGGGGCCTTGCGACGAGAATGCTGATAACACGCGCAAACAACTGGCGCTGGTTCGCGCACATCTGATTGTCTGCCTCGCGTCGCTGGTATGGCTACCATCCCTCAGCTCCCAGTGAACCCAGCTAGTGGTCAGAGGGTATGGTCGAACAATGTCCATGCTGCTCATCCTCAAATCTCTAACCTCTGCGACCACATTACGACACTGCTTCGCCAGGAGGAAGGTGACCATGTCCGCTTGGGCATCTGTGTGGACCGCTTGGAGAGCCAAGTTGTCCCTTTGGTCAAGGAGGTAGCACGAGAGCTTCTGAAAGAAGGGGTTCGGGACTGGGTTGAAGATGTATGTGGTCAGATTGGCAGGATGAGAGCGAGCCTTCAACTAGCGATTGAGGCCAATACTGAGCGGTATGGGCTGATCTTTACTGGCTGTACCACATGTATAGCAGTCTTGCTGACATGAATGACACAGGGAGCATCGCGATGTTGTCATGCTCAACCCGGTCACTGTCGAACACTCGCGCAAGCCTGGTCGCCCAAGGAAGGTGATTAGCAAAGCGTGGCTGCAAGAGACGTTCGCTCCGTATCGCAAGATCTCAATTCAGCAAGCTGCTGATGCACTTGGGGTTCACCGGTCCACAGTCACTCGCTGTATGGCTACCTACAACATCTCGGTAGTGTATACTCCTCTTCTTGATGAGGAGATAGACCACTTGATCCGAGCTTTCAAAATCGAGCGACCTAACGCTGGAATTTGCCATGTTCATTCCTTCTTCCGAGCGAACTGGCTGCGAGTTCAGAGGCTTCGCATCTCTGACTCGATAAAACGAGTGGATGCTATCGGTGCAGCCCTCCGCCGCAACAAGACTGTTCGGCGCCGCGTTTACACTGTTCCTCGGCCTAATCACCTGTGGCACATTGACGGCCACCACAAATTGATTCGATGGGGCATTGTCATTCATGGAGGTGTTGATGGCTGGGATGATTTCGTGCGACTGCTGCTCCCATTCAGTTGGCATTCACTGACCATGTGCACCTCCAGGTTGTGTGGATGCGAGCTGCAAACAACAACTTGCCGTCAACAGTGCTTCGTGGTTTTGTGAGGGCCACTAAGACTCATGGCTTGCCACTCCGGGTCCGAGGCGATCGCGGTGGCGAGAACATCTTGGTATCAGCATACATGATCATGGTGCGGGGTCCAAACCGAGCATCATTCATGTTTGGGTCGTACGTCCGAGTCCACTTTCTAATGAGAGCATCACTGTTACTGAGACGACCTGTAGCTCGATGAGGAACCAGAAGATCGAGCGGACATGGGTCGATGTTGGCGAAGGCTTTGTCCGGCACTGGCGGGTTTTCTTTACTCGCCTTGAAACTCGCCATGCTCTTGATGCTTCAAATCCAGCACATTTATGGCTTGTGCAGAAGCTGTTCCTTGATGACATCAATGATGATGCAGACAATTGGGTCAAGCACTGGAATACACATGCTGTGTCCGGGAAACATCATAATCAAACACCATCGGTAGTTCCTTTCTTAGAATTTGCAGAGGTTATTCTGATGTTTCACTGCCCAGGATATGCGCCACTTGGCACGAGTGACTGTCGGCACATACGAAGACAAGTACCAAAACGACGATGTGAATGACCTCACTGAGTACTATGGTGTGGTCGGCACCCCGAAGCGGCGCAGGCTCGGCCAGACGGGCGCAGGGCATTCGGCGGACACAGACGATGAAGATGAGCCAATGGAAGATCATTCCGATGGCGAAGCAGAGGATGTCCCCGATGGCGGTGATGGCGATGAAGGCGATGAAGTTGATGCCAGTGGTGCATGGGTTGCAGGGGAAGAATACGAGAGCGCTCATGAAGATGAGGAGAGCAGTGACGAGGACCAGGGTGATGAAGATTACGAGTCAGAGGATGATGAGTTAGTCACCCGAATCATCGCTGACCAGGAGTCAAATATCCGCCATGCTGCTGTCAAAGTCGCGCGGCACGCAAACCCGTTTCGCAATCAGGACAAGGAAGATGCATTTTGGGCTGCTTTGCAGGAGATCTCTGACCTCAATTATCTTCCTCGCAACCTGAATATCCGCAATGACGAGTGGGACGATGATGGCTACCCTACATATGAAGACCTTGCCATCGGAAAGCGCAAACAGTCCCTGCGCGTTGAGCTACCACATGCATTGTGGCTTCCTCGCGCAGAGACTTGGTGTCGCGCAGTATCGATTCTCACTCGGGTGCTTGACGAACTTGAAGAAGAGGCAGGCGAGAGTTCCGAGTCGGCCAGCGAAGGCACTAGTAGTACAGGTATGGACGAAGACTAGTATATAAAGTGTAGTATGTGGTTGAATCATTTTGCAATCCCGACACTGCACGTTGGCAGTGCCATAGTCTGCAGACCATTTCCGAGTCCATACCATTCGATAAGTGAGATGCCAGTTCGAGTGGCGCCAGACCCTGCGGGTGCGTAGGCGCCCGTTCGTAAACGTAGCAGCGATTTCAGCTTGTCCGAATAAGCCCTCGGACCAGCTGAAATATGTTCTTTGCATCGACCGCATAGAGGATCAAAAAAGAAACTGCATTTTGAATCGTCGACGCAGCGAGTGTTTGCTTCCGAAGTCCCTGCAGTGAGCGCCGCAGGTCCGGCGCTTGGGTGAACGGCGGGTCGCTGCATCGGACTGGTACTTCCACCCGACTTCCACCATATTCTTACTCATCTCACTCTTACTCGCAGAATCGCTATTCGCGCATGACCGAGGCGAGTCTGTGGACACTCTCCAATGCCGCATTCCGTGCTGGACGACTCTATCTTCATCCACCCACCAACATCAATGCACACCTGGACGGCATGTGTTGAAGCCCATACGTCCTCGGCTCCTCAACGCTTGTGAGCGCTTGAGCTCTCGACTTTGAGTCGCACCGTGACCCTCGCCGCCGGCGAGTTGACCTCTGTCGACCTCCACCACATCCTTGAACCTGATCGCTGAGCTTGTCACTGCCGTCTTCATCTCCGCGCATCCGCACTCCCCGATGACCCTGCACGCACCCCAAATGTACGTCTACCAGGTGCTGTTTCTCGCCGCTCTAGCCCGACCTCATCGCAACCTGCTCTGCAGACGGGAACGTCAACCTCTTCGACCGCTGCGCGCCCACGTTAGCCTCCTCGACATCGACACCAAGGTCGGCTCAATGGTTGACTGATACAACCTCTCGCTCTACAATCAGGGCGCGCAGGAGTACACCGACTGCGATAGCCTCCACTTGGCTGCCTCACGTCTTCTGGCTGCACGTCGGTCCTCGAGATTGCCGCGAACAACATCGACCGCAACACGCCTGACATTGGCAAGCCCGCTTATGCCGCCGATGCGAGCAAAGGTCACGCACCGGCATACTATCCCTATCCACCCACTACGAACAGCCCCGTGTGGTATCTGCCGGTTGCTTTGGCCCCTCCGGGAGGCCGAGTGATTAGTGCTGTACCGATGAGGGGCTGCCGTACGCCATCCTACCAGCCATCGCGCCAACATAGCGACCACTGCGCCAATACCAGCCCTGGCAAGCAAACCGAAGGCCCGGCACAGAACGGCGAGCACGCAGGCGCATAGCACGCTCGACGAGCGTACTGTTTGCGCGTAAGGACAGGCGTGGGCGAGCAGAGGACGATGGGTCGTGGAGGATGGCGGGCGAGGTCGAGCCGGCGGTGATGGACAAGGGTGGGCAACGGCAACGCGACGCACGCGGCGACGGCGAGCACTCAGGGCGATTGCCCTGTGTGCAAACGCAGCCAGCGAGTAGACCGCGAGCGAGCGTGCAGGCTAGGGCAAGGGCACTGGTGAACGCGCGAGCACGGGCGACGGTGTGACGGAGCTCGGGCGCGAGGATGATCGAAGTGGGCGGGCGTGAGGGGCAAGCCAGCGGGGAGGTGGGGACACGGAAAGGGGGGTGCGAGGGGTGCGAGAAGAGGTCGAGAGGAAGGCGAGAGGAGGTCGAGAGGAAGGCGGGTGCAGGCGCAGGTGAGTTGTGACGAGTCGGGGGGATTTGCAGACCAAGGTGACTCGTCCTCCCAGCGCATCCTCGACTCGCTCGACATGTGCGAAGACACCCTCCCTCGCGCTCCTATCAATACTCTGCGAGGAAACCGCCTCGCGCCCGGTCTCGTGCAGGTCTCACCGTCGTCCGGATAGTACAGTCTCACACAAAGTCTCACCGACCCTTTGGCGGGCAGGTCGTCGTCGAGACTTCCTCAACCAGCGCTGGATTGTCGGCACAAGCGACCACCCTTCTCCTTCACAGGCTATCTTCCCGAGATGTATCCGCTCGCCCGTATTCCACAGCCTCTAACGTTCAGACCGTCAGTGACTACCTCAACGTCGAGTCTCCGCCCGCTTCCTCAGCCAGCTTACAGCAATCGGACGCCTCGTATTCCAGGCCACCCTCTCCAGCTTCATCTTTGCCCACACCACCTCCCGAGGACGTGGAGGAGGCGCCTACATCTGTGAGCCGGTGTAGGAAAGTCCGCCATCGCAGAAGGCCTCGCGCAGCGTATCGTCAACCGCGATGTTCCCGCTTCGCTCCTCGGGCGCCTCTACTCGCTCGACATGGGTGCGCTGATGGCCGGCGCGAAGTCAAAAGGCGAGTACGAGGAGCACATCAAAGCCGTCCTCAACGAAGTCGAGAAGGCCGCTTCACCTCATCATGGCTCGGAGGGCGGGCGCACGGACACTGCGAACCTGTTCAAGCCCCTCCTCGCGCGTGGCAAGCTTCGGTGCATCGGCGCGACGACCCTAGCGGAGTACAGGCAATACATCGAGAAGGACCCGGCGCTCGAGCGGCGGTTCGCGCAGGTGCTCATCAACGAGCCGTCCGTTCCTGAGACGACCAGTACTCTCCGGGGTGTACGTGAGAAGTACACCACGGCGTTCGTATCCTCGATGGCGCTCTCATTCACGCAGCAATACTCGCCCACCGCTACCTTACGTCAAGACGGTTGCCCGACTCTGCCATCGACCTTGGTCAATGAAGCTTGCGCAAGGTACATCCATAGATTTTTGCCGACTGTGATGCTGATTACACTCTGTAGTGTCCGAGTAACGCGTGAAACCGCGCCTGAAGCCATCAACAAGCTTCAGTGCCGCAAGCTCGAGCTGGAAGTCGAGATCAACGCACTCGAGCGCAAAGAGGACGAAGCTTCCGAGGAGCGCCTTGCTCTTGCACGCAAAGCCATTGCCGATGTCGGGCCGAACTTCAGCCCCTCCAGGTGCAACATGAGGCAGAGAACGCGCGCGACGAAGAGATCCAGAATGTCTGCCGGAAGATGGACAAGCTCAAGACCAAGGCGGACGAAGCCGAGCGGCGCTACGACCTCGCGACCACGTCCGACTTGCGGTACTACGCCTCGCCAGACCTCCACGCTCATCAGTGAGCATCGAGCTCGCGAGCGGCTTCCTTGGCAGGAAGATTCCCATTCTCAGGGACGATGTATGTGCGCTCAGTGAGGCGGCGGATACAACCTTGTCACTGCAGTATTTCCTGGGCAAGGGTGCGCTGCGCGTTGATGTCGTCAACATCCTTAGCCTAACACTTACTCTAGGTATATACCTCGCGATATATTGCACTGCTCGCGGTGGCTCTACAACTGTCTGAGGACCACACCTCTCTTGTGAGGTGCCGGATGCAGATCGTCGATGGTCTCCGCGCACTCGCGGGCTAGATCCGCAAAGTTCTTGAGGGCCACCGAGCGATCACCTGCTCCATGGGCCGCGGCTACCAACATGCGGCGCATCAAGGAGATTCTGCCCGGGCACTCGGAGGGCATCCTCGTGGGCGAGCTCAAGCGCGGGCGGCTCGCGCTGATCATGCCGGTGATACTCGTGCTGGCACGGGGTGCGCTTTGCCCGAAGATGCAGGGTGTGGTTCGCGCAGATCACTGCGTGCAAGGTGCAGTCAATCGCCATTTGCAACAAGGGCGATGAGGGTATCCTCAAGTGTGCCAGGACGACCCACATACCCAGGACAGTGGGCTGCCTTCAGTCCATCCTCAACATCATCCGCCTGCAGATGCTTGGCTACCACCTTGCCGCGAAGGGCAGCTTCGACGTCGACTTCCCGCAGGCTGCGGATCCTCGCTAAGTTGGTCCCGGCGGAGTAGGTGGGTTGGGAATGGATGGTGATTGGGTGGTTGTTGTAAGAGCGGCAGGTCTTGGCATTGCTTTCGGACGCTAGTGTAAGACTTGGCTACAAGTTACCGGGCAATGAACAGCATCTCATGTCGGCTACAAATATGGCAGGGTATTGGTCCGCATACAGGCCACATGTTTTCCTTGTGGCACTGCCGAAGCGAAGGGGATGCCCGAAACCCCGAATTGCGTCGAGTACAAATATTGCGGGCTGCGTCGCTTGCTCACCACCCACCTCTCGCAGCCCCCTCGTCGTAGCTCATGGTTCGCTCGCCGTCGGTCAAGCATGGCAAGCGCAAGGCCCGAGCCGTCTCACCAGATGAAGACAACACTGAAGACCTCGTCGAAGAGCTCATCGCGCGCGCGACCAAGCCAGAGCACAAACGACTGAAGTCCTCGCTCAGTGCTGCGCGGCGCGAGACGAATGCTGGGCTCAAGTCAAAGCAGAAGGGGAAGGGGAAGGGTGTCGCCCACAAAGTGACGAAGGCCGTGGTCCAGGTATGATCGTCGTGAAAAAATTCGTGTTCAGTGTCGCTGACGAGATATGGCGGCATTCTCAATAGGCAGCAGGCCCCTCAGGCTCCGAGTCTCGCAAGGTATGGCCTTCGCTCTGATTCGTGTACCAACTACTAACCAGGATGCTCGCTGGTCAGACCTCATCGTCGTTGTTGAAACATGCACCCCTTGAGGTTGGTTGTATCTTATTGTTGCCGCATGGGTTGAAGGTGTGCTTTTCATGTGGTGCATGTCGTGGTTTTGTGCTGATTGTCGCCATTCTGCAGGACAATGGTGACATCCGAACGTCGTCGGCATACACAACAAGCCAACTGGAAATGTATAAGCGCTGTGGGCTCGCCGTCACGGAGACTCCAGGTGACGACAGGATCCTCATTTCACCTGACATCACTCGGGATGATATCAACGACCTCCTCAAGGCTTGCTTCCCATTATATTTTGACTGGCTCGCTGCTCAAGGGGTAGACATTGGATCATCCTACCATTGGAGGATTGTGGCGAGGGATAGGCGGCGCGTGATCATCCCTTACTTCAACGACAACCGTCCTATGGACTTTGTGGGGATCTGCAGAGCAGTCCATGGTAAGACCAGTCGCTGGCAAGACCGAACGTGGTGCTTCGGTGGGCAGTCCGACTTGTATTGTACACCTCTTACTAATGAGATCCTCAGTATCGTCCATATCTATCCCGAAATCAGTGTGGCAATCGTGGGGCACTACCCAAAGTGCAGTGGATGTTCCTCAACGCAGGGACTGGACCGACACTCAGCTCGCGAACTACGCTCCCAGCTCGGACAGCGACTCAGACGAGCAGGTCGGTTCAAAGCCAGATGTTGGCTGTAAGTCCCCTTTCAGACTTTGTTGTTCACAAGGGTCGTAACATATTACCTGCTCAGCTTCGTCAGATGCAGAGGCCGAATCGGGCGATGAAACTGATGTGTCGGAATGGGCAGCACCAGCTCATAAATCGAAGACAAGTCGTAAGCATTGTCATCCTACTCAGTCATGGGGTTGATTACGATGACGAGGGCTCTCTAGGGAAGCTCGGGAAAGTGGTCGCAACTCTTGGAAGTAGTCTCGCGAGCATCCAGCTCGGCACCCCAGAGCCTGAGCCTGGAACTGGTAATTCAGTTGCAGGTGCGACCACCCGATCTTGTTGCAGGCTCGCAACTAACACTCTCGTAGGTAGCTCGTCTAATGCAACTGGCCCAGCCAGCACGAGTGAGCTTGGCTCAGCAGCAAATCCGATCGTTTTCAGCTCCTCAGTGGAAGACCTTGGCGAAGTGTCCCTCGAAGCCAGCCCCGAACGACCTCCCTTCACTCAACCCTTCTCTTCGCAAGCAGGATCCTCAAGGGAAACCCGCGCATCTGTGTGGATCCCACCCCCTGTGACGATGTCGAGGGGTGAAGTTGCCGACGACCCGTGGGCTTACTAGGTCCTTGCTGAGTAGGTGGCAGATTGGTGCTAATTCTTGCTACCCTTCGTACTATCCCCTCATTTTTCTTCTGCGCCTGATAACTATACTACATACCCACACTGCTCCGATCTTCGTGCACGACACTGGCTCAGGCTACAACATCCTTTGCTTCTTGGATACGAGTGGCTATTGCACTTCCTGATCTTGCTAATTTTCGTGGTACCTGTGCTCGTTCTCTACCATTACAATATCCTGAAATAATAGCTCGATTTGCGAGCGCTGCAGTGGGTTTGGCGAGGCATCTGGGACTAAGGGCTTTCCCCTGCAGGTGCAGCGAGCTCGAACCTTAGTCTAGGGTTATACGTTCCCACGGCCAGTGCCAGCGAGCGCGACCTTCGCGAGGGCACTTTTTCATCAACCACCCAATTCCTGCTAGTACTGCACAAGTGCCCGACGTTCTGGCGGTGAACCAAAGTGATGCATACCTTGGCTATGCCAGGTGACCGCATCCATGGGGATCCAAAGGGATCAAGGAAGCTTCAGTACCAATGTCGATCTCGCCTTCGCGCAGCAACGAAGCCCACTGACTACGAACACCCCGCGCTCGGTGGCCTCATCAGCACTGCCCGCGTGCGCGGCGCCGACACGCAGCAAGACGAGCGCATCCGTGGATGGTCTGGCGCCGCACTCGAGCGTGCGCGGGCGCGATGACAAGCGGGGATCAGTGCAACGGCTTTTCCTCCAGGGTCAACTCGGGCAAGACGCCGCCCCCGGCGCCCTCAGTGTTCGCCAAAAGGTGTGCCGCGGTGCATATTCTGGCCTTCGCCGCCGCCTGACAACATTTTCCAGAGCGAGGGAGCTCGAGGCGAAACAGGGGATAGGTGCTAGATACAGGCCCCCGCGCTGCGCGCCTTGGCTTCTGGCGGCTCTCCTCCTAATAATGACCTATCTTCGTCTACGAACTCCCTACTAGTAGGCGACAACGGTGACTTGCCGCCGGCCAACTACCCCGCGGGCTTCGGAAGGGCGAAGGCGGGGACCTTGCCCTCCAACGTCCAGCTCGCGGCTCAGCGCTTCGCCGCGGCATCGAGCACGCTTCGCAGCTCGGCAGCAGCGGCTGCTGCCACTGTGTCGACGGACTCGTTTCAGGAGCAGCTCCAGCGGCAGAGCTTCGCACCGCCCGCGTCGACGGCCCCCGTGCGACCTGGTTTACGCCACTCGGCCTCGGTCGCTTCTTCAGCTGCTTCCTCTGCATTGACTGAGCGGAACAGCCGCCTCCGCTCTGGCTCGCTCACCCTCCCCTCGGGCGGCCTCTCCAACGCGTTCGGCTCGTCCCTCTTTTCGTCGACCTGGATGCCCAGCCGCAACGGTGGTATGCCCGTGCTGGACGATCTGCGCTCAGTGACGTCCATGGACTCCGGCGCAGACGATTTCGATGTCCACACGCTGGACTACCTGGGTCTTGACGAGACCCTCCGCCACCCGCCCGCTGCTACCATCTCGGAGCTGCGCAACCAGGCCCAAGCCGCGATCGCAGGCAATCTTGCTGCGAACCCGTCTAGGCTTCGTGCTACTACGGTGTCCAACCCGTACCGGCCTTCTGCAGGCGCCTCTCTGCTCGCCACTCCCAGTGCAGAAGAAGAGGAGGAGCTTTACGACGAGCGCATGTACGGCAGGCAGAGTCTCAACGCTTACCAGGACACGGAGAGCGACTATCTCTCCGCTGCGTACATGGCGAAGGGCTTCAAGCAGAGCGACCACCTCTCCGTCGGTCTTGGCTCACGTCCCCGTGCTATATCGGTTGGGAACCTCGACGACACGACACGAGCGCTGCAGGCCCGTCGTCAGGCTGCGGCTGAAGCACAGGCGTACAACGATCTGTCCATTCAGACGAGCCTAGGCGGTATCCCTCGTGCTGACAAGGCTAATGCTCGGGTGGTGGTTCTCCTTCGGTCCATTTCTTCAATGGCGAACTCTCGTCTTTGTCATTTAAACAGGATTGACTTTAATTCAATAGTGTATTTTAGTTCACCTTAAGGCAATTCATTATTGAACCCCTATAATCCTATCCAGTACTCATCCTATCCAAAGCAGTAAACAGGCTTAGCTAAGACTATCCTCAGTATGTTAATGGTTTAGCTTAGACTGTACTAGCCAATCCAATCCTGTTATGAGCTTAGATTAGCCTATATTCACCCAATCCAATCCTGTTATGAGCTTACCTAGACTGTACTCATCCAGTCCAATCCCATTATAAGCTGAGTTTAGTCAATCCAATCCTATTGTAAGCTTGTCTTAGTCAATCCAATCCTGTTATGAGCTGACTTTACTCAATCCAATCCTATTGTAAGCTTGTCTTAGTCAATCCAATCCTGTTATGAGCTTACCTTACACTGTACTCATCCAATCCAATCCAGTTATGAGCTTAGTTCAGCCAATCCAATCCACTCATAAGCACAATATCAGCTCAGCTAACACCATAATAATCAGGTACATACAGTCTAATATAAGCTGTTGGCACTAGGCACTCTTTGAGATAATCCCATATACTACTGAGAAAGTAGCAAAGCAAAGACTGTTCTCATCTAATTCTAATCACCATCTCAGGTAATCCACCCTCCTAGCTAAGTCAATCTATCAGCTGAGCACATTATCACATGATCCCGGTCAACGTCGGACTTGTACCAGGCGACCGCACGTCAGGGCGGGCTGCCAGTAATCGAGCATATGATTGGCGAACAAATGAGTAAGTGAGCGGAGGCGTGGACCATCAACACGCAGATTGAGTAACATCCGCCGGTGGCACCACAATATCGCCCAAGAATTGCGCACGATGTTGCGGGTTTGATAACAGCCGCAGGAACTGCCGTGGTGACGAGCATACAGATGAAGCGGGAGTCGGAAGATGGATGAAAGGAGGTGGGGTGTGCGAGGCGGTGTTGAGACCTGCTGTAACAGCGAGAGGAGGAGGAGGGGAGGAGGGGAGCGAGTCAGCGACCGTGGCCCGCGCCCTAGCGCACACTTCGTCAGTGCTGGCGTTATCACGATAGCAGCGGGCAGTAATGTGCTCCGATAGTACGCGAATGGACGAAGCGGAAGGCAGAGCGGCTAAGGAACGAATGTCCACACTCGCCGAATGCAATGCTCACGCCGCTCCAGCGCCACTGCTAGCGCCACTCGCCGCAGCGCCCTCCTCGCCTGGTGTATCCTTAGCCGGACTTGGGCTTTCGGTGGTATCTGCTAGCTAGGTCAGTGAACAACTCGTACTGTTCGGGGGAGATCGCGCACAAAGCTGTAGTCCCACTTCTCCCAGGATCTCTCCGAGTCGCAGCGAACGCGGCAGCAGAGTTGGTACTCATCTGCTTGAACATCGCGGTCTTTCGCTTCGCATATGCGCGTGCACCCGGAGACATCCCGTCTTTGAGAGACACTGCTTCCCACGCCGCTGACATGTTGCGGAATCCGAGAGTCGTCCGCTTGAATTCGGCGTGTAACTTGTTGATCTCCTCGTTGACT